GTATCAATTTTTCTTGAAACAAAAAATATTGAATTCTATACAACCTCAAGAAATGACTAAATTCCATTCCAAACCCGGAATTTCTATCTATCAAAAAAGGTCTTCTATTCATCAAAATTATACAAAAATATGATAAACCTTGTCAAAAAAGAAAGAATGAATTTGTATATTTTCAAACATTTTCTTTTATTTGTTTATTACAAATATGTATATATTTATATATCATTTCAATATCATATTTATAGTAGGGGGTGGTGGAAACAGGCAAACATTTGGTGGCTCTTGAGAATAAAAAAAAGAGTAAAGAAACATCAGACAAGATTATTTTTAGATTTGGAAAAGTATAAGTATGACTTACAACAAAACTGGTTTTCTACTATTTCGCTCCATGCTGCTTTCTAATATAATATTTATTTAACGTGTCATGTTTGCTCAACTTTTTTTCTTGTTGTTAATTTTCTCATAATCTATGTATATATGTATAACATTTTTTCCAGAAAAATGCATGGAAAAAAGCTGTAAATGAAATGAGAAGAAAATTGAAATAACATAAAATGAAGTTAAATTAAAGCTAACCGAAACCAAACGCAGAAAAGAACAATTTCACACATAATTAATTGGAAAATTTACTACGTAACAAGAAAGAAATACGAACACAAAAAACATTTTTGCTGTATATAATTAAAAATCAAAAAATGAAATGAAAATGTAAATTTGAAACAGTAGAAGGAGAAAAGGATCAGATTTCCAAAAATAGAAATAACAAAAAAATATGTATGAAATTATTATTTATTTTTTTTGGAATACTAATCGGAAGTATCTGAATTATGGGAGGTTTGAAGAAAAAATTAAGGAAATTTGGAGAAAAAACTTGGTGTGTGGTCAGAATTTTTGAGCATTCGGAGTATTCGGAGAATGAATTTTTTTTGCAATTTTTTTGAGGAAGAAAATATGGAGAGAGAAGGTTAGGAGACAAGTTGAGTTCCAAAAAAAATTATTCAGAATCAGAAAAAAAACATTTTTTAGACTTTGACTTCCCATTACCTATCAGAAATTTTCGAAAAAAAATTAAACTAGTGAAAATTTTAAATTTCTTATCATTCAAAGTTAAAACAGACCCAAAAATATTTTCAAAGCTGCTACTTCACAGGAAAACTACTTTTTGAACAGGTTTCAAACATTTTTTTTCGAGAAAGCTAACCTCGTCCGATTCTGGATATCCTTAAAATCATATTTGACCTAAATTCTACAATGTATGCAAAACCGAAGTCCTCTTCTGAAAATTCTCATCAGATGCTTAAAATATAAACAAAATTCAGACCAAGACTCAAATCATTTAAAGAAAATACTACTAGTTCCAAAAATATCTGCAAAAAAATAAAAACTGTTTCGAAAAAGTGACAAAGTAAAAGTAAAACTAATTCAGCTCTCAACTCCTCCCCTTCCTCCAAATAAATTTTCTAACCTACACAAACACAAAAAAAGCCGGTTGTGTCAAAAAAACCAATGAGGAAAAAGAAAAGAAAATGAAGACTTCCAAGCAAATAATACAATATCGGGGTCACAGATTCGAACTGGAAATTTCTCTTACTGTTTTATTTGTAACTTTTGGCGGCTCCTCTTGACTTTTGTTGTGTTAGTAGTTACTATTATGTTTAATTTGCAACTGGTATTCAATTATTATTTATTTTTAGATTTCTACAGGCTGGTGATGAACTACAAAAATCTTGTAGTCTTTCTCAAAAAAAAAGTTTTTCAGAGAAATAAACAGAAAGCTCATCAAACAAAAAATGCAATAAGCCCTCTGAAAAAGTTCATTTTCTCTCTATTTTCCTTCTCAAAAAAATCCAATAGAAGAAAAAAGTTCCGAAAAAACAGCTCTGGGATTTCACACCAACAAAAAAAAAAGAAAAAAAGAATGTTGTTAACATGAACACCAACTTTTTTTTACTACGAACTGGGCAGAAGCAAAAAAAAAAACAAAGCAGAAATTTGGTGGGAAACTTTTTCGCGCGGAAGCGAGTAGAAGCAAAAAACGCGCGGGAAAATAAACAAGGAATTACCGCATTTTCTTTTGTAATTTGATATTCATTATTATACATAACTGACTAAAGATTTTATGCACAAAACTATATATTTCATCAAAGCAGGAAACATTTGTGTGTACAGACAAATTCACAGAGTATGAGACCTGACAAAATCTTATAGGTGGACTGAAAATTAAATGAACCCGTGGGAGATTCAGAGAAAATATTTCTTGATCCACCGTGAAAAATGCTGAAAATGTTCGAGATCTAGCTACGAACTTGAGAGAATTAATTTAAAAATAAGTTGATTTTGATGTTGATGTTAGTAAATTCTCAAAGGTATCTTTTTACATGTCTAGAAACTAATCGCAAAAAAAACGAATCTTCCTCACATTCAGAAAAATCAAGAAAAATAACTTTTCTTTGCTTTAAAGTTCGAAAAATAATCTTTTCTGTTCGTTGTGTCAATGTTTACAGATTAACAATCGCGTCATTTCCAGGTTCAATGAGAAGAAAAATCAAAAAAGTAATGTTTCCAGGTGGTCTTAAAAACAGAGGTTGGTGTTTTTGATGGAATAGAATATGAATGCGGCGATCTATCTCGGTATAAACATAAATGAATATGGACATACATTTTCCCAGGGGCCTGTAAACTATTATCATCAACTAGGCGGCTGTAAAGTTGAAGAAGAGCAATATATCTTGGGAAAACAGAAGCTGAATTTTTGCTCAAATTACAGCTTACGTCAAAAAATTTTAAAAATCACTATACTGACACCATTAAACCATATTCCTGATTTCCGATATGTTCTACAAAATATTCTTACATAAATATAGAAATTGAAAAAAACCCTCCGAAATCACTAAACAACATTATTAATTTATCAATTCTAAATTTACGTTGTTCCAACCAAAATATGATTCTAGAAACAATTATAATTTTTCTTATACCTCAAAAATTTCGATTCTTGAACTATGTTTTTCTAATAAATCCCTCTCCCTGAAGGATTTGTTAATTTACTTAAAATCGATCAGAGAAGTTTTGCTGCACTTTTATTTTTGATTGCCTTTTGAATATCACTTAAAAATCACGTTATTCTAGAAAGTACTGTATAACACCCCTTCGTTTTTTTTAATTCGCAAAATGATTTCATACTATGATGTACATCATAAAATATCCATTTGGACCTCAATTTGGGTTCAAAAGAGCTCCGATAATGAGTTGTTTGATATGCATTTGTTTTTTATAAAAGCTTTTAGGGTGTTAGAAGCACTTTAGAAGTCAATTTAAGAATCGAGTGAGCTGATGACTGGCAAGAAACTAGTAATATTTTAAATCGTTTTGATTTGTAAATTATGGTTTTATACAATTGCAAAATTAAATATAGACAAAATATTCTAGAAAAATAATCAAAAACAGAATAAGAGCTCATCTTTTCGCAACGACAACGACGAGAAAAGTCGTGCGATGAGTTTTATTGTTAAAACTGTGGTTTAATAAAATAAATGACTCAAAGTTTGCAAACTCGCTTGTCAGCACTTCGTGTAATTTGCATAAAACTCAAAACCCCAAATTTTCTCAAAAAAAACTCACATTTCCTCCAATTTTCCTCGAAATTCAGAATCATTTGACCGAAATTTTCCTCGTTAATTGTTCCAATATTTCCACCATTTCTCTGACTTTTTTCCTGTAATGTAGAAATTAGCAAAATCTTAATAACGTATACCAAAAGTAATGAAATTCAAGAAAATATATTTTTTCCATAAAATAGCTTATCGAGCACCAGTTTTTGTATAACACTATCAATAATCAACTAAAATTATGTTACTTGTGTTAGGAAAAGATATAAATATGAATTTAACAACAAGTTCCATTCAAATTCATGAAAAAACAACAAAAAATACGCGAATCAAAAATTTTCGAAAAAAAGACAAGAAAATAAAAGTAAAAATGGAAGTGCGCCCTATTGATAAAAATTGCATCTGTCGCACTCTTTCAAAAATGTATGTGTTTTGTCGTTGCTTTTTTATTATCAGACTGGAAGGAGACCTCCAAAAGCAAAAAAAACTACCACCAGAAGTTCTGACATCAGAGATTTTTAAATTAAATGTACACAGGGGTAGTCATATCCAAACCATTTCCAGTTTGAACTGTCACTGTTTTCTGATAAATTATGACAAGTTGCAAATTAAATATTTTCGATGATGATTTTTCCGAACTAGACTTTCAGCAAATAATTGCAATTATCTAATTTGCATATTTATAAACATACCAATATTTTTCCACACGTAAAATTCTTTCTGTAATTTATTAATTAATCGAAATCCTTACTTTATTCTTCCTTTGTTTGATTTTTACACATGAAACATGTTTTCTACAACTGGAATACAGAGAAAAAATTCACAAGCTTCGAAAAAAAAATGAGAATTCCAAGACAACTTTATCGAATTGAACTCCGAGATCTCAAAACGTGAATATGATCTATGTTGAAAAGTACACGAAAATATCTTTAGTTGTGATCTTCGTCATATTCAAACTATTCTGAGTTTGAGCTTTCTTTGATTTCTGATGATGAATGATTTGATGCAAATAACTAATTCCTCATGTTCCAATTCCACTAGACTTCCAGAAAAATTATTTATTGTTCAAATTTGTCTAATTTGCATATTCGTAAACCTGCCAATCTCTGTTCGGATGTCAGACCCTTTCTAAAATTTATAAATGAATTGAAAATCTTCCTTTGTTTAATTTTCACCCATACGTTTTTGTGTGTCTCTCTATTGATTAGTTTTTTTGTTGAGTTTTTGCTCATTCTCACCCCGCCTAAAAATGAGAACAACATATAATTTGAGCTCGCGTGTACTTACTCATTAAATGCAACAAGAAAAAAACGACTATTAAATTGCGCTTTATCACCTAAACTTACTTCATGTATTTTTGCAGGGTAAACATATTTTCACGGGCAACACAAAATGAGTGAACGAATCAAATCAAAAAATTGCGATTTGATTCGAGCTGTTTTCGATGTCAAAATTCGAGACATCAACATCTCATTCCATGTGAGTTTTATGAATTACGAAAAATGTTTAACCTAAAAATGAATTTCAGGCTTTCTTGCAACGCATTGGCGATATTCTCGATTTTGAAACATCGGAAAAAGTCGACAGATTGTTGCGGAGATTTCGTCGCGCTTTCTGTATCATTGAGCAGGAATTGGTGAGAACAAAAACATTTAGTATTCAAAGATTGTCTTTCTATTTTAGGATGTTTTGGCGTTCGGTTTTGAAGTGGGATGTGCAAACGATATGTTCAAATCTTTTGAGAAAATTATGGAGTTTCTCAGGGAGATGATTGTCATCGAATTGGTAAATTTTTAAAATCTTTATTTCATACTACAAATTACTCATTTCGATGATTTTATACATTTTGTGACAATTAAAATCATCAGTTTCGTGAAATTTTGAAAATTTGATGTTTCAAATGTATTCTGACTTGTGATTTTTTTCCAGAAATTTCGAAATTCTAGATGAAAATATAAAGAGAAATTTTTAAAATTTATGGAACGCTCTCGTTTAATAATGTGTTTTTCTACATAAAATTTTTTCGAAGGGTTGTGTAAATATAGAATTTCCTTGAGGGCCTGAATCAAAGTTTAGAGTTTTCATGAAAATTGCGTCTCCAAATTTTGAAAATAATTTTTATCAGATCTTTTTAATTTTCTCTAGAAAATCGTATTTTATATCGTCCTATATGATTACAGAATTGAAGGTTTTTTTGAAGGAAATCCATCTGAACTCTGGTTTCTTTTTCATACTCACATTCAGATTCAGACAAATAATTGTGAACCTCCAATTATTTTTTATTTTTCATTTTCCCAAACTTCCGATGAAATCATTTTTTATTTCATCTAGGGCAAATAATGAACAACGCTCTTTTTTAATTAGGAGGGTTTGAAAAAAATCACGAGGGATAAATTGTACTTTTTTATTGGTGTGGGTTGGAGAATATAACTTGGCAGCAGCCAAAACTGTCACTATCACCTGCGATAAACGTATATAGAAAATGTTTTGATAAGTTTGAGACCTAAAGATTCAAGTCGTTTCTTCCCACAAAAAATTATGACACGTCATCATTACAAAATTTTTCCCATTTCCCATAAACGCCCCCGCCTCTCAAATGATTCTAAAACAAATTAAAATTAATTTTTTCGTGGGAATATTCTTATTTCCCTACGGGAAACAATAATGTGTTAATAGTTTTTCTTGATTAAAATTGAATTCAATCAATGCTTCTCATAATTTTTTTTCTAACAACGCTTTTCAGATTATTTTTCCCGATAACATTATCAATGTTTTTTTCAGAAAACTTGCACTGTTTTGCGTGAGTACAGCGAAAAACAACGCGCCGAACGTCTTCGTCTCGTCAATTTCAACGATCAATCTCAATACGACGACGAAGACACTGAAAACCGCCGTCCATAATTTTTCTGGCACCATTCATCATTTTTCTACAAAATCCAATTTCATTCTGCTTTATTTTATTTTATTTTCTTTTCACACACCACATATAACACATATATAGACGCACGCACGCATACCAAATAAAAAACCACGACGAAAAATTAGACCTCCCCATCAGAAAAAAAGAAATGTCATAAAACTAATGTGTTCGTTTTATTCACACTGGTTTGCTGGTTTTCCCCCTATCACTATTTTTTATACGGAAAAATATTATGTTAATGATGGCGGTTGCGCTTTTTTGCTGAAACATAATTAGTTGTTTTTTTTCTTTTTGAGTGTGTGTATACTTTTTTGCTGAACTTGAATTCAATAAATGTAGGGATTGGATTCAAGTTTTCTTGAGAGTAATTATTTTGGAACGTGGGTGGATTTTGAGCTCATCTCATCTTATTTCGTTTTTTTTGGTCTAAAGCTCCACCCACTTTTTATTTCCTTAACAAATAAGACATTGACAGTTACAGTAACCCTCTTGAAATTTGTTCATTTTGTTTTCTCATCATCTTTTTTGAATTCATATTTACATTGTCAGTTAGTTTCAGAATGGCTCTTCGCCTTGTTGTCCACGAACTTCAACTGTTTATGACCAGGGAGCAGAAAAGAAAGATTGAAGAGTTCGAAACTCTTCAAAATCGAATTGAGCCGGAATTCGAAGCGACAATTTATAAACCAATGGTTGGGATTTTCACCGATCATGAACATACCGATAAGGAGATTGGCGAGAAAATTGTGAGTTTTTCAAAACAAAATTTGTAGGTTTTCGAAGCAAAAACCAAATAAAATCTGAAGATTGGGAAATTCAAAAATAGCCTTGTTTCTTAATGAGCCTTGAAGCCAAGCCAGTCTTTTGAGGGTCAGATTGCTTTTTGTGAAAACAAATCCAAAAATAATTATTTTGAAACAAAAAAATCCAGGAAAAAAGTGTACATAATCAATCATATTGTATTTTATGCAGGGAAAATTGGGGAATAACGCTGTTTTTAATTAGGAGCGCTTCAAAAATGTTTTATTTCAGCGCTCAATGGATGAAATGACAGCGAAGAACGAGTTGGAATTGGTGATTGATGAGATCAACGAGTTGCTCAATCATCTCGACACTCTTTTTCATGTTAGTAATACTTTTCTTTGACTTTTTCTAAACTGAAGTTTTTCAGCAACTCCGTCAATTCATTTCAACAAACAATCTCGATTTGCAACCAATTCATTAAAGAAGGATAAAAACTACAATAATAATAAGAATGTTATTACGAACTACAAATTTATTTAGTTTTTTTTGTCGTCAAATCGATTTTTTTGGGAAACTTGTGAATAAAAACATGTTGTGTTATATTAGTTGCAGAATTGTTGAAGAATGTAGATTTCCTGAAAATAAAAAAATGAATATGTACATAGATTAGGAGTTCAACTGACATCCAAGACCAATTCTTTGATTTCCAACATCGTGTGAAGGGTGTCACGCATCATCAAATGTTGTCTTGCTAGACATTCAATGTTCTCATATTCTTCACGAAGTTCTTCTTCAGCATCATCCATGTCATCCGAAAGTTGATTGATGTTTCGAATCGCATCCGAGATGATCTTATTGGCTGGGCCTGGTGGGATATTGGTGAAGTGGATTGAGACCTCCTGAAAAATTCAAAATCATCTCAACTCATATGAAATTGTTTTTCTCACGGTGCAGAGGAATTCGACTTGTGTGCGAAGCATCATACCATAATAAGTGATACTACGATTAGCGTGGTGAAGAGAATCCATGTTCAGCTGGCTGAAAATGTAAAAATTTCAGGATAAAATGAAATAAAAATTGGGAGAGTGCGAACTCGAGTTCTATGAAACTCCGCCTTTTCGGAAACAAAATTGTATTTTTCTCGAAGCCTTTTTTCAAAATGACGTGAATCACGCGAAGTTGGGTTGTTTGGCCAGAAAAATACATAAAGCATAAAAAATGATTGGACCTGAAGGTTTTTTCTCAAGAGGGTAAAAAAGAGTGTTAAAGTGTCGGATTTCAATGCGCATTATGTATGTGTATATTCAGAATTAAGTAGATCAAAGGAACATGTGAGCGTTTTTTTTTTGAGAAAGGTTCAAGATCAGAAATGTTATTTGGAAAATATATTTCGAGCTAGGGGAGCTAACATTCAATAATTTTCAAAACCTGGGAAAGTATAATAACACTTGAAAAAAACGTTCTGAAAATATCTACGTGCAGATTTTTCGTTGAAATAAACACAAATTTTTTCGGATTATTCTTTTCAAATTCTAGATTTTCATAATAGAAAGTTTTTGTTACGCTGGTAATGTATTGTGAAGAACTTTGACTTTAATTTTTTTTTGAAATTCATTTCACTTGATTTTCAACTTGAAAGATTGAAAGATCACGTGCAAACAAAATGTTATTTAACTCAATAAGGTTTTTATACAAATTCCAGAAGTTTGAAATAAAATTCATCATTGTCTTGTGAAAAAAATTTCAGATCACATAACCATATTTCAAATCCGAAACTTGCTCTAAACGCTCCTGAAGTCGAAAATTAATTTCAAATCTTTTGGGAGTCATTGCAGAGTTCCAATACTTCTGAACTTTCCAAAACCCCATATTTGACGCAAATACCTAATTTTTCATCCCCCTACTCTCCAGTGTTTAAAAGAACATAATAATTATTTTACCAACACAACATCACACTTTTTTTTCTTTTTCTAGCTTTTTCCACTTTTTTTCACTACTCTATAAAATCTCGTGATACCGTAGTAATCCATAAAAAATTGTTGCTGGAAAGAAAGACGGAGGCGGTTTTTCCTTCTTTTTTTGTTCAACCAAAATGAAATGAGAAAAACAAAATGGCGTGTGGTTTAATTTCAATTTGAATCTGATGTGAGAACGAAACAAAAAAAATCAAAATCTGTCGGTTATTTTTTGAATGACGTGAAGGAAAAACCTTATGTAAAAAATAATAAAATACCAATTGGAATAAAAATGGGATGGGTTTATGCTTGAAAAAAGTGTGTTTTCAGGATATGTATTTTCAGGGATTGAACAAAAATCAATGTTTCTGATTGTATTTTAGCTGTGTTAATGTTTAGTAATAGTTAATGAGAAATAACGTATTTGTTTTTCTGAAAAAAAAAACGAAAGGCATTTTTCGTACTTTCTAATGAGTTCATAAAAACCACTTTATTCGAAAAACTGTTCTGCGATGTTTTGTAAAATTTATTTGTCAACTACGTTTTTTATTTAATTATCAATTTAATTTTCAAAGGTTCTCCAATTCGATAACATTCCAATTCAGTTCAGTTATGGCTTTTTGCAAAACCATAAAAACTAAACTCATAATCATAATCATATCGAATCCTGGCTCTCTTCTTTTCTAATTATGCATCGCTCCCCATTTGTCATTGTACACACACACACATAGATTCATTTATTTCGAATAATTTCTTTATAACATCACTTCTCCCTTTTTCAGCTTCAGTTATTTTCAATAATTTCAGAAAAAAATGAACGCAGAAGAAATTTTCGAAATTGTTGAAATTGTTCGAGGTTTTTGGAGAACGTCTGGTATATTGTTTATGGTTCGTTGTACTTTAATCAAAGATATAATTAATTAGATGTTTTTTTAGACAGTTCAGTTCAAATATATCACTGAACAAGATGATCATGAAGATCGTTTGTATAGATATATTGGCGATTTTGATAGATCACATCAAACGTTGCTCACAATAAATGTGAGTTTGAACATGTTGAGATGAAATTATATTTAAAAACAAAAACAAAAATAGAAAATTAAATCTGTAAAATTTGAAAACAATTCTTATTTTAATGTTAGATGGAATGGTGTTTTGTTCTAACCTGCTAGATTCAAAAAATTGTCCATCTAATTCCCCCATGTAAATAGATTAATTTGGATTTTTTCTATTTGAAATCCAAAATAATATGATTGTGTAGGACAGAACAATGATAATATTAAAAAAAGTATTCATATGAGTATAATATTTCATGAAAACTTTCAAAAAAATCAAGCTTACCGCAAAAGGTAGTGTTTTCTAATATAATGAAACCCCAGGGAAGTTTCATTCTAAACATTTGAAAGAAATGCTCCCTCAAGTAGATAAAACAAATGGCTTTACTTTAAAATTTACATAAGCATTCATAAGTTAGAAAAACACTTTTTTCCAGCAGCAACTTTTCCGCCTTGGACGTGTTGCAAGAAGATACAGCACCGATCTGGAAATTATGGATGTTCTTGAACAACTCGAAGAGGCTGTCCAGAATGTTTTGCGCCCCATTCAGGTTTTTTCAATAAAAATCACCCTTCTTTCATTATTATTATTTTTTCAGAGAATCCTTCACATCGTCACCAATGGAGAAATTTAGAAAACATCATTTAACAATATATTTATTCAATTAATTAACTGTTTTCATATCAATTAACATTAAGAAATAAACTTTTAAAATTCCCTTATCCGGAATCCTCCAATTCTCCGAACTCTGAAAAATGCTCTTCGGATTTCTTCATTCGTGATGATCATTTGATCAATGATTTCTCGGATCACAAATTCTTGTTCAATTGGGCATTCATGAACTTGATGCATAATTACAGATTGCTGAAAAATTGAAGGTTTTTTTGAAAATGTGTTTCACAAAAAGAGTTCTCACCTTGGCTTCTTCTTGACGTGTTATGAGAATCATTAGTCTATTAATTGCATCGTTGAGTTGTCTCAATATTTCACCTTGGTAAAATGAGCTAAAGTCGCGGCTAACAATCTGAAACATACTTTCTTTATAACTACATAAGGGTTTCTGAATTACCCGTTTGATAGCTTCAGCTTCGTTTCCCATATGACAAGCCATTGCTAAATAACGAACAGCTAGAGCCATTATCCACAAAGTTTCAAAAATCTTGAATGATTTTTGTTTTTTTTGTCTAACCACACACGGGGGCAGAATGAGTTTTCGATTTAAGATATATACCGAAAATGTCACATTTTTTCGGAAAAAAGGCGGGCTCTGAACTCTTTTTAATTAAGGACAAAATGCGACTGTTTGCACAATCAAATGAGAAAAATAGAAGAAACTTTTTTGATTTTTTTGAGCGTGACGGAAGAAGGAAAATAAACGAAACAACAAAAAATAAATGAAACAAATGCTGAGATGCTGGTTGGAATTTTTTGAGATGAGCTAAATGATACGATTGTGGATGTATAGAAGTTTGGATATCTGGGAAAAAATAATTTTCAATGTCAGTAAAATCTGAAAATCAGTTCGTTTGTTCGGTGATATTGTCCTGATTAATTTTTGAACAAGGAAAACATTTAAAAAAGGAATTGTCGTGATATTTTTTACCCTGAACAATTGAAAATAAATTTACAAGCTGAATAGCTCTTTCATACTTTCAGAGCTTCATAAAATAGAAAAAGATTTATAAAAAGGAGGTTTTGAGATAATTTTGACATGATATGTTAGTATATTCCTCAAGATTCATTAAAAGCCGATGTGGAAACGTCTTCTATTTTCAGCGCAAAACTAATATTCATTTCTCACATTCAGAACATTCTTGGACTCAACAAAAAATCGTTGTTATCGGAAGGCATTTTTTCCTGAAATTTTGAAATTAGATGAATTGTTTCATTTATGTTTTGAATTTCATTAAAAAGTCCCCAATGTTTTTTTCTTTTCACTTCAGAACACCTCGTTCCTCTTGCTTTAAATGTTTTCTGATAGAACCAGGTGATTTTTTCATTTTTTTTTTGGAAATTATCAAAAATTGTTATAATTCAAATTTATCAACATCTTTGATATTGAAAACCCCTTATCTTTCCAGAAAATCTATCCAGAAACATGCAATTCCCAGATTGAAAAAAAAACAACAATATTTCTAGTCCATCCAATAATTACAATAACAATAAAACATTATTGTTTTTTTCGCAATTCGCTCATTTTTCCACCTTTAGAATCCAGTAGACCTGTGAAATCATTGTTTTTTGAACTTTTTATTGTTATCCCGTATATGATGACCAAGATATCGTGATATAAGAATATTATCGCCCAGACAAACACATTTGAAAAAAAACCAAGATTGAAATCAATTTCGATTTAAAAACATATTATTCCCACTATAAAAAAAAAACAACAATGCTCTTCTAGAAGATCCATCCAATAAAAATTGTGGTTTTCTATAACACTTTGATCAATTTTTCACCTTTACAATCCAGTAGACTTGTGAAATCATTGTTTCTTGAACTTTTGGTTGTTATTCGCTTCCGGAGCAAATCGTGACAAAGATTTCGTGATATCAGACTTTTCTCGCCCAGACAAACACTTTATTCATATTTGAAAAAAAACAGGAATTGGAATGTAAAATATCAAAAGAACACGCCGAAGAAGTAAAGATTAGGAAACAAAAAAAAGGATAATTGGGATAAAATGGAACATGAAAATTTGGAGTATCCTTTTTTCGAGTATCATACCTTTACCTAAAATTGGGCTCTGTAAAGATAAAATTATAGTGATGAATTGAATACACCAAAACTCTAAAGAAACAAACATTTAGACAGGAAAAAAGGATTTTGAGAGAAAAAGGGATATTGATGAAGAATGGTTTTGTTTTGTGGAAAATACAATGTATTATTTTTGATATTCATAATGACCCGAAATTGTTTTCCCACGGACTGAAGTTATTATTCTTTCTTTGAATCAGAATTATTTCTGAATTAGAAGATTACGTGATTTTTCGAAATTTCGTTATTTGGGTTATATTAACCTAATCATTTCAAAAAAATATATCAATTATACTCATGAAACATCCCAGATTTGGCATTGATTCATTCAAGTTCAGTCACATGTTCATTTAGAAGCCGTTCCAAAATGTTTCACAATGTCTTCTTCAATTTTCAGTTTGAATTTTTTCGCTCATCACTTTTTTTTAAATTATTCAATATCGTACTTCAAATATCGTATTTTTAGAACAATATAAAATTTTCCCATCTAAACTTTTTGCTTAAATAATTCAAGCATAGAGAAACATGTGAAAAAACGCAAACTCATATAAATCAATACACTGCTTCGTGGGTGGTCTTTTTTTTTTAGAAAAGGATATATGACCGTTTCAAAACTAATAATTGGTGAAAACTTTAAGAAAAATCAAAGCCCCTATGTTCATCAAAATCTCTCTTTCTCTCATCCCGTTCAGAGCAAAAAAAAAACTGATTGATTACGTGTTGGAAGTTGATGGTTCGTCTGATGGCAAAGAAATAACTGGACGAGTATTTGTAGTACCATTAATTGGAAGAATCTGAAAATTTTGATAATAGTTTTAAACACAGAAACAATTGATTCAACTTACACATATCGATCTTGTGATAGGTACAACATGGCCATTTTCAGTTACTCGAACAGTCGAATCAACATACGGTTTGGGTTCAGGCGAATAAATGACAAAAGCAGATACAGATGGATCATGATTTAAAATAGGCGAAGGAATCGGTGGGAGAGGCATATCGAATATATGACTCAAATCTGGGTAAACTGGTTCTTCGAATTCGCTGTCATCAAATATGTTGTCATGGAGATCCTAAAAAAAACGACTTGAACTCCTGAATTTTCACTTTTTTAGTCATTGAGAATGTATTATTTTCAGAATAAGTACTTTTCGATGAACTTTTGAGTGATACTGAAAATCGATAGTTTTTTGAGGATTTTTGGAAGTGATAAGAAACAAAAGAACAGAAAAATAGAGAAGAATATCTTATTAGAGGGTTACTGTAGTTTTTTTTTGAATTGCAAAGTACAACAAGAACTCAAAAAAAAACACAAAAAGCTGAGAAGCTGAGGTGATATTGATGAAAATTGTTTTCATCTTGCACAGAAAAAAACTTTGTCATTAACAATAGAGCGCGGATTACTCATTTTATCAACGACTGAAAAAATTTGGGCTTTCTCACGTTTTTTTTGCAATACTTCTGAAAAAATTTCATAACAGCAGTCTGAAAAAAACAAAAAATTAGTTTTGAGGTAAAATTTGTGATAAGGTTATCTGTCAACGAAAAAACTTTGACATTATCAATAAAGCACATTTTACTCTGTATATTGAACTTCAAAGACTGATTACGGGGTTTTTTACCGTTCAAAAAAGCGTGATATTTTGTGAACGCGTCAAATAGTTTTGATTTTAGAAAGATCACATGAATAGATTCAGAGAAAACTTTGAGCGTTTGGCTGATGTTTACAATTGATAACATGTTTCATCAAAAGTTCGAACATCATTTTTTCCAAAACTTTTTAATAAAAAATTGTTATTGTTTTGAAGCCAGGAAAATGTTGAACTGCTTTAGTCTCAAATTTATAATTCTTATGAGTATATTTTTTAATTTTCGAAATTTTTTTTGAATTAACATTCACAATCATTTCAAAAATTTGAAAATTATTTTAATTTTAAGTTTTCAAATTGAACTGACAAACTTTTAAAAGTTTTGAATAAAGGTAGCAAGATGTGCTTCACAAGAAGTTAATTTAAAACTAAAGATGTGAAATTTAAATGTTTAGAAAACTCATAGTACATATGAACCCCGGTCTGATTTTTTACTTTTCTTCAATTGTTTCTTATTCTTCAACATATTTATTGAAAACTTACAATATCAGCTCGTTGAAGTTGTGGTGCTTCAGACGTAATTGGAGTCAACCACCATTCATCTTTGTACGACGAATCTGGTACTCCTTCTGAATTGTTCTCAATTTTTGAAGGTGTTACAAATTCTGGATCTGCGGCAATTCGAACACTTGGAACCAAGAATGGTGGAGCTTCATCCGAATCTGTTGAAGAAACTGCAGTTTCTTCACGATTGTTTTGAAAAATACCAGAATGTTGGAATTCCGCTCGTCTTTTTTTGCCAAAATTAGATGCCATCTAAAAAATAGTGTGTGAAATAAAAAAAGAAACAAAATTGAGAAAAATAAGGCAAATAAAAACAAGTGGCAACATATTTTTTTCGAAACATGAAATATTTTGAGCTGACACTGCTCATATTTTTCCAGTCGGTGTTAGTTGTTATGGTGATTTGACACCACAATTATTTTAATGACTAGCCCTCTCTCTACCTTGCTTCACCTTTTAATCGGATGGTGAAATCTGCCCCCGTTTACTAATCCGAAAAGCAGATGGGCGGAAAAGGTGTTAGATTTGTATAGTATTTTTTAAAATTATATGTGTATTAATTTCTGGCCAAAAAAAAATGGTGAACAGCTTTCAACAATTGTTACAAAGAATTAAGTTTCCGATTGATATAAATTTTTTCAAAAAATTACAGAGCTCTACAGTTGGAATTCAAAAAGAATCATATTATTTTCTAAAATTTGTTTGCAGTGAATTTTTTCCCGAGCTATCACTTTTTAACCTCGGATCCTTTTCCAGCTTGATCGAAATTCAAAATTTCCCCCAAGTTTCATTAAAAATTAATTTTAGGACATAGAACACCTTCCTTGATAAAGTGCAAAGCGTTTTTGGAATTTATCAAATTTGGTTATTCAAAAACTTGTATCTCCAGATGTTATACTTTAAAAGTAGAAAAAAATATTCAAAATATATAAATAAAACCAAGCTTACAATTTGCTTAAAAAAGAATCACGAGTTTTAATAATTACGGGTTTCGGAGAAGCACTAATTTCGAATGATGCGAAAACCCAAGAGTTCATCTACATACGTTTTGAGAATAGAACCGGGATATAACAAAAAAATTATTCACACGAAAAGAATCAAAACCTGCCTGATTTTTTTCCACTTACACATAATTAGAAAAAAAAAGAAACAAAAATCCACCGGGCAGCAGAAAAAAATAGCGAACAGCTGGAAAAAAACTGTCCTTCGCAGATGTGAAAAATATATAATACTCTTTTCACTTTCTTTCCTTACACTCATAATTTCATTATCACTTCATTAAATTATTCCTTTCCTTACACCTATTATCCTCTACCTCTTTCTTTTCTTCAATTTTTTATCTTTTTTCGTTTTTATTCTTTCTTCTAGAGTCAGTTGACTCCTTTTCCACAGATTTCGATCTGCGGATTCTAACCCATCTGGGTTCTAACTTCTAAGTCCGGAAGGACTACGGTTTAAACACCGATCACCTCAATTTAAGGTTTCTCCTATCAATTATATCAAACTACAACCAACTACACTCAATAACTCGTTTTTTGCACTTTTAAGATCAAAACAGTACCGGAACTTGTTCCGAAAGTAGTTAAAAGAGTATTTAATGTGACGGGGTTATTTAAACAGAGATTTGCTAGGCACCGTCAGGATTTAGCATCTCGCCTCCTATTAAACTCTATAAATATAGGTGGGCCCGCCAGCGCCTTCCTTAAAAGTGAGCAGCCCTCATAAAAGCAATCCTTTCACTTCGCCAGGTTATGTCACCTAGGCTGATTTGATATAGACATAAAAACACTCAACCAAAAATTCCAATTAAACATTCCTCTTCTTCCCATTCACCCAAAAAATCACTAAAATCCCATCACAATTATAAAATCGATTTATCATCTAACCCGGAAATAGATTATTTCCGACAAACCAATTTCCACACTAAATCCCTATCAAAAAATAAAAGAACTGTTTGTCAACAGTTCACATTCAATAAAGGGAGCAATTGCTCCAAAACCAACTGCAAATATTGCAAAATCATCACCAAAAAACATTACATTTACAGTGCATCAACGAGTTATCGTATTAACACCCTAAAAACTGAAGATTGCCACTGTAGAAGCAGAAATTTAATTTATTGTATCACTTGCCAAGATTGTGGACTTCAGTACGTTGGAGAAACCTCTAATCTATTGAGATCTAGAATCTACCAACATCTATACTCAATTAAAAACAATAAGTTAGCCACATTTTTCTGCCAACATTTTGATGATGTAAATAAAAAACATGATAGACTAAATCCGAATATAACAGTCACAATTTTAGATAATTATAAAAACGAAGACTCTAATATTCGGAGACATAAAGAATTGCATTGGATCAAACTCATAAATTCAGCATTCCCTTATGGCTTCAACGACCAAATTCAGGGTTTTGGTAATATTTCAAGCATGAGAGATATTCCAGAAGATAAACTAGAGAAACAGCCATATAACAGCTATAAAATTCACATCAAACATACACGCAAAAACAAGAAATTAAGTTCAACACTACACAAATCTACACCAACCATCAGACACCTAAACAACTCAGAAATCATGGAAATCAATAATGCATTCGGCAAAGAACTACACAAACTTCGATACAAAATAATTCAAAACAAAACACTTTTTCAATATATCCAAGAAACTAAAAATGAACACAACTTCAAATTATATGATGGTTCTACATTTTTCAAACTGGCAAGCATTACATTCAAAAAATTACACGAAATTCAAGTCAAAAGAGCTAACAATATGGAACAAAAACCTAAATACAAATATTTCACACTTGAGTTGCCATACAACAAAAACATACAAAAAAGTAGTTTCTCTCGAAAAATCAATAAAATATTCACAGAAAGTATGGATTTCGCCACTCAAAATCTGGAATATAGACCTAGACTAGAAATTAAATATCAATATGAAAAATCAGATTTCCACACTATTTGCAATTACAACAAATTTCTAAAAAATTTGAAAAATGGAGATATAAACAAAATATTATCTAAACCTTGTATTTGCGAAAATGAATTTTTCAAAAAATACATAGATTCCAACCACTCACATATAATCACAGGAGATGTCCAACATATCAAAGACAAACATCTTCAAAAAAGATTTCTTAATGGCAGCAAATTTAGAAGTAAACCTAACTTTGATTATAATTCTATAAATCAAAACATTTCCGAACAAATCCAAGAAATTTCCACAAAAATGAGCAAAATATTTGGAAAAGAACTTTCAATCGATAAAATCATAAAAGAAAAACTACTCGCGGTCTGGACAGATCATAAATCTAATTATTCAACTGAATTCCAACGAAATAACTATAGATCAAATGCCGATAAAGAACTCACAAATCTACAAAAACACTTTATCATTACAGTAACTGATAAAGCAAATTCTAATTATTCATTTACTTGCAAAAAATTTTACTGTGAAAAACTCTCAAAAGAAATGCAATCAAATTCCACATATGAAAAAGAACGCATTACTTCCGATTTCATTATTAAGAATCACATAAATATCACTAAAAAAGTATTTCAAAATACAAAATACAACAATATTTTTGATCCAGAAGACACATATTATAGTATTCCGAAAATTTACGGTATTCCAAAATTACACAAAAATCCCATAGCTATGAGATTCATAAGTGGAGCCTCAAATAGTTCACTCAAACCTCTTTCACTCTTGACTAAACTAATTCTACAACATTTCAAAACTCATTTCCATAATATTTGTAAAGTTATTGAAAGCAGAAATTTTAGTACTATATATTGGTCAGTCAAAAACACCAAAGAAATTTTGAAATCCCTTAAAAACTGCCGAATACCTAAAAAACACAGAGAAATATTCTCAGGCGACTTTTCATCCTTATTCACAAATCTTCCACACGATATAGTTTTAGAATCTATAAAATCAATAACCGATATGTGCTTTAAAAATTCAAATAAAAAATTCCTAGCCATCACCAAATCTAGTCGTGTATTTTATACAGAAAAAGATGATCAAAAAACTTACCTCTATTTCACAAAAGCTCAAATCGATGATATTATTAGGATAATCATGACAGAAACATACGTATCTTTTGGAGACAACATTTATCATCAAACAAAAGGCATTCCACAAGGTGGAAATGCTTCACCATTTATAGCAGACCTCACATTATCTTGGATGGAATTTAATTACGTCAAAAATAATCAAAATAAATTCAACAAACACAAAATTCTATGCTTCAGATATATGGATGACTTGCTTCAAATTTATGATAAAAGATACTTTAAACATGAAATAAATACGCAAATTTATCACCAATCTCTAGAATTAAATAATACAGTGAAAGATAAAAATAAAGTACAATTTCTAGATTTAGAAATTATAAATTCTAGAGAAGACCTTCATACTAGACTATACAATAAAACAGACGATTACACATTCGAGATAGTACGATACCCTAAAGCTGAAAGTTATATGCCCGAAAGAATCGCAATAAATACAATATACACAGAACTTCTCAGAATATTTGACACATGCACTTACTATTATGATGCTTTACCTAGAATTAAAGCTCTAATTGCTCAATTTGTAAAAAATGGATTTAAACAACCATTTATTGAACAACAAACAGTGAAATATTTCCATAAAATCAACAGTAATAAAAAATACCGATTTGATCTTAAAAATAATCTCTGCTAAAATTATACCACATTCGTTTTTCTTTTTCCTTATTCTATCAATTATTTCCTTCTATAAAATATATTATTTTGAATATAGGTCTCCCTCCTCTCACTATTCCTCTCTTCATTTTCCTCACTCTCTCATCTACTCTTCCTCTCTAACATATCGTCTCCCTCCACTCTACATGTTTTCACAAATAGTTTTATTTATACACCTTCTAACACTTCTTATTATTTTTTCTTATTTTCGCGCGTAGGATAGGTTTAGAACTAATACTTAAGGTCCAGCAAAGAGGCATCACTGATGAGACCTACCTCTTCGCCGTCTGATGTTCAGGTCGAAACGGCTTTACCGCGATTCTAATTTCATTTATTTTTCTTCTTTTTTCTTATATATATATTTTTTTCTTATCCACGTGGAAGCAATTTTGGAAAAAAAATAATATTGTATATACAGAAATCCCTATAGAAATAAAGAACAATTAATTGGGTGCTGAAAAATAATCTGAAAAATTTCTAGTATATAATTTGAGTGTGAATCACGATGTGGATTTCTCATAATTTGAGTCATTATGATGACTATCTGAGAAAAATAAATCATGTGATATTTCCAAATTTGATTATTTTTCAAAATTTTATGCGTTCAGCTTTTAGGTTCTGTGAACAGATGGGGATCTGAAAAATTAAATAGATTGGAATTTTTAAACTTTTCCATCAAGACACAAAACTTTACCACATCTTCTTTTCTCACAATATACTGTAGTTATCTTCCATATTCCTATTTTTCAAATGTATGTTCATCGGATTTTCATTGGCTTCTAGGAAAAAATATTTGGTTTTATTCCAAATGCGTGGGGTTGATCCTTATAAGGACTTTGGCACTCGCCTCCAAATTTTATGTGCTATTTTTTTTCATTTTCATAAAACAATATATTCAAGATTTAAGTTAATACTCGACAAGGTCTTTGGATTTTTAAATCGGCTTTTAGATGCAATTTTAAGCACACGGGCTGTTTGAAAAAATATTATTTTTTAAATAAAATTAAAAAAGAGTATTCGTTACTGAGCAACTCTTCTGTGAGTTCTACATTTATATATTAGCTTTTTTTTATAATTTCCAAGCTTGAAGCAAACAATCAGAAAACTCCTCCGGAAATTTTCACGTAAAAAGTCTCAGAAACTTCAAATGAGCTCGAAGCTGAGATAAAACCATTTCTTGAATTTCTGAAACTTGTTCCAAAGAAAAAATAAATTGAAACTGGCAGAACACTTTTCTGGTCAGTACTATTCAAAACCTGATGATCAATTCAGAAATCAACAAATTGAAAAATATTTTAGTTTCATTTATCCAAATAACATAACTTATCCAAATAACAAAATCATTACATAAAAAAAAAACAAATTATCTTAATTAAAAAGCATATTAGACATACTATTAGTCTAAAGTAATAACTTCAATTTCAGTTTGTTGCTGAACTACTTGTCTCTCTCTTCTTGTTGGCGTATTAACAGCACGGTCAGAAGCTTCATTCAACTTATGGTAAACTTTTTGCATGCTCACAAGAATTTGGTAAACCGCATCACAGCGACCGAAGTGAAAGGTGTTCTGTAAAGAACACAATAATATTTATTGGATCAAATCAAAAGTAAAACTTACAATCAACTCATTGGCTTCTCTTGAAATATTGTTGAAATCTAGCTGATAACCAGCGATTGTTGCATTTGGAACATTTCTTGCTTGAGCCTTGGCAACCAAAGTCTGAATATAAGTGAACAATTATTCAAGGAAGTTGTTTATTTTGTGAAACTCACAGTGAACTCGTTAACTAGATGTCTGAAAGAGCCTTCGAATTGGCGTGAATAGTTGTCGACATCTGCTCTTATCCAAACTGGCATTTCTATAAATAAAACAATTATGTTTCAAAAACTCGTTTCAGAAAAAAATTGAGAAAAAAGTTAGAGTTTAGATATGTTTGTATACAAAAAAATGGGTTTAAGAAACTAAAATGCTATAATTATCGGTGAGTTGTTATGGTGATTTGACCCTATAATTTCACAGAAAATGTCAACCGGTTGACACTATCATTAAGTGATCATGTAGGCGTGAATAAGAAATGTCGAGGTGTTTGTCAGTGAATCATCAACTTTATTAGATGCAACAATTACAGTGAAAAGTGGAGTTAGAGATACGTCTATGAGATACTATTTTCGGCATCGAAAGCTCAGCATCGAATCTGCGCCAATATAAATAAGAGTGCGAGAATGCATATGATATAATATAATAATCTCACAGATTTATATGGATAACACAACACACAACGAGAAGATTAGACTGGGCCCAAATCAAAAAAACTATTTTTTTTTTGGTTTTTAAATGAAATCCTAAAGGTATGGTTCAAATTCAACTCTAATTTTAAACATTACGCCTGGGAGCTTCTAGTCTACACCTAACAAAACATCTGAAAAATGACGCACTTTTAAATTCTAGTAGATTTTCAAACAAATTATCTATTTCAAACAGCGATGCAGGAAATTAGTGTTAATAGAAAATGCAAGTTCATCACCTTTCCTCCCATTTTTATGAGCGAATTCATAAAAATAAAACAGCGTCCTTATAAGCTGAAATAAGCTTCTGATGACTCCGTGCTTATATTGAATTGAAAAGAGAGGTGATATAATCAACTACATATTGAGCAAAAACTAGCTGGCAAAAATAATCTCCGGATAAAACAAAACTCAATGTCAGTTAATATTTTTGATTAAAATAAAAGCACGCGTTTTGGGAATTTAAAAAGTTGTTTTGGCTACTTGATAAACTTCCATCTGGTAGATATGAATACAACTATTCTACTTTCATATAACCAAGTAATGACTCATAAATATAAACAAAACAAATAAGATTCAGAAAATAAAAGTTAATTTTAAATTATAAGTTTGACAAAGGGCAGGTGATTTTTTTGGCAGGGAAATTCTTTTTTTTTTCCAAATTTTCACAAAGTAATTTGCGATCGGAAAAAATTGAGGGAAAAAATCGCTATAAAAACATAAGTTCTATATTCACCAGGCTGACTACGAAAATAAATATTTTCCAAGTTCTCCAAACTCTCACAACAATTTGGCGATCGGAAAAAAAGTTAGAGGAAATTATTTTTCAAAATTCTCCCGACATTTTGAAATCGGCATAAACCAAATAATATCTTACCAGACAGAATAGATCTTGACAATGAAAATTATTGTATTAATTTTTAATTTTCTCACAACAACTTGCGGGACAAATTAGCTCTGAATAGAGAAACTATATTTCAAAAACATTGCCATCAAGAAAATTAATAATGGGGTCGTCTCTTGTCAGTACACAGAAATGTTGTTCTCTTTTACACAAATGTTTTTTTTCTTGTGAATAATTTATTCAATATACCACACAATACTCAAATTATGCTTGTTTGTTCGTAATTGAAACTGAAATTAATCATCGACCCAGGACTCGAGTTCTTCTTGAATTTCTGACATTGCGGCGATGAAGAATGTAATTTGGAAGCAAACATGTTCAAAATTGGTCTCGTCAATTTGATGCTGAAAAATATCTTGTTATTTTCATCTAAAAGTTCTGAAAACTCACAAGCCATTGGTTTGCAACCACCCAAACTTTCATAAAATTTTCATGATGAAGATCAATTGTGAGTTGATGATCTGGATCGATTTCACTCAAATTGTTGTAAGCGGCCTGAAATATGATTCGAGTATTTTTCTCGACAATAAAAAAACTCACAATAAACTGATTATATGCACGGTCGATAATCTCGGAATAAATTCGATAATAATTTCCAGCACTTCTTCTATTAGTCGTCATCAGAAGTAGTATTTCTCGATTTCAGAAGAATAACGAAAAAATCGGTTGAGATTTCGATAAGCTCCTACATTTTTTGTACTTATTTCGAAGAAATTCATTGAACATTTGGAAAATAGTAAAGTTGCTTTTGAAAAAAAACATCCAAAAGTTCATTAGGATTGTACAAAAAGTGAACAGGGAAATGGAAGATTCTGAAATAAAATAATAATTAGTTGTGAGGATCCAATTGTCAAAAAAATGTTATTCACACAATGATCTTAAATTATTATATTCAACTTGAATTATATAAAAGTATGTTAAAAAGATTTTATGAGGTAATTTCCACCTCAATTTACTCTTGCATAAGCATTTCAGACACCAAACTTTGAATAAGGTTGTTTTGTTTTCTTGAAATCAAGTTCCAATTGTGGCAATGAGTTGACAAATGCTTTTGTATTCCCTTTTTAATCCTGTTAATCGCACAACATGTTCTTTCCCGGATGGTCCCTTACAAAAACGTTTTTTTTCCGCCATTCAAAACCCTTATTTCGCAATACTCCGCAAAACATAAAGTGTTTTGAGGAGCGTCCAGACAACACCAGAGAAGATAGAGCGCATTTCATTGTGTCCCTTTCATTTTCCTGCCAGCCTATGGAAAGTGGGGAGATCAGACAATAGAGAAATTGATATACCACAGGCATATGTGTTGAAAATAAAGAGATTCAGAACAATTCTTACTGCATGATGAATAAACCTGGAAAAAGCTTGGGAATGGAGAAAATTTATAGATCATTTGTGCTTGAAAACCAACGAATTGGCTTTTGTTGCCAAACCAGTTAAATTGTATTTAAAGTTGTTATATCAATCATCTACTTTATAAATCCTATAAATTCTATCTTTTCATCCATTGTTTTGTGATTTCTATTAATTATGTTTTTTTTTTGATTAGATGAACTCAAAAAAATTTGAAAAAATCAACAACTGTTTATATATCAAAACTTTATGTTAGAAAATATGTCATAATATTTGATTTTTTTTTTCAATTGTTCTCTATCTGAAAACATAACTCGAAAAATCCTCTTGAAATGGTCAAGTGCTTTCTTGAACGATTTCATGAAAAATCCTTTTTTTCTCGATATGTTCTCTTTCTGTATTTTTTCTATTAACTCTATTTTGCAGAAAAGTTTTACTTCTTATTAATGACCCAATCTTTATATTTGTTTATTTTTGAAAAAATCTGCATATGTTTTCTGCCGTTCAAAAAAGAAACCTGATATTCTAAAAAAAAAGTGAAACATAAAGGGATTGTAAATTATTGAACGCGGCAAAAATGTTGATATATTTTTGAGTCTACCATCTATATAACAAAGAATGTTTCACATATGTGACTTGAGATTTTTACAATAGTTAAGGCGACAGACAATGAGGGCTAAAATAAACTTTGATTTGAAGTTTGAAGATTGGGGATTGGAAAAAAATGCATTGAGAATGGTCATAGCCAAATTTGTCAAATTATTTCATGATTTTTTATAATACTATTACTCTAGTATGCAATCATTAAAGAAGCATAAAAAGGGTTGTGTAATTTGTTATATATTTTCAAATAAAATTGGATCCTCTTTCACAATTTCACAAATGTTTTTAAAAAAGTTTGATATAAGCCTATATAAGCTTGGAACACTGGGAACTGGGAACAATAATTCCATTTTTGAAACTTTTTCTCAATGTCAGAACATTAAACCATGTTGCCGACATAATCAATCATCGCGCCAAGCGCTATAAACATTTTTGCAACTCTTTTTTCAAAGAAGCTATGTGAGAAGAGTTTACGAGAATAACCGAATAAACATCAATTTTTAAAAATCTGTATCTATCTCTTCCATTTTTTGTAGATTATTAATTGTCTAAAATGTTGTTATTCGCAGTTAGCTTTTTTATACTCTGCAGATAATTTAAAAATAACATTTAAAAACTGAAAACCCAATTTTTTCATCAATATTCCAAATAACCATTCCTTTCCAATGAACAAAGTCCTCCCACTATCCAAATAAAAAGCATGATTCAATTTTTCCACTCCTTTTCACATAAAAAGTTTTAAAGACGAAGATGTAATAGAACTTGTGCGCTCTTTTTTCGTCACTCTGACTCTGATCTTTTGTTTTCTGAAAAAATGTTGAATTTCATGTTTTTTCTGTGTCTTGATGTGTTATTTTTGAGTAGATTCATGTTTATCTGAAATTTAAATATAACATTTTTTAATTGAACTCTTATTCGTCTCCTACGTCAGATTTTCTTCGCTATTATTCGCGAAAAAATCCATATCAAAAAACCTCATTTTTCAATTTCGTCCCTTTCCGCTCATTTTTTTTACTCTTCCCTGATTTTTTCCAACAGAAGCCAAATATTTTCCGGAGAGAGTGCTAGACAACGATAATTTAGATAGGGCGCACAAACTCTGGTTCTTTTTCGGTCCCTGCCGCGATACATGTGGTGTGAAGAAGGCAGAGTGCGAAATTGATATATACATGTGTTAGAGAGTACAGAAAAATTGGAAATTTGCCAATTTTAGCAAGCAAACGCCTACCAAAAATTGAAACGAGTAGTTCTCTACTTTGGCATTGACAATTTTTTTTACCGACAAGAACATTTTGAACAAAGGGAAAGAATAAAGTACCGTATGCCTTAAAAAAGCTTAGCCGCCAAAAAATCAGAAAAAATTGCGCAACTTTCAAATGCACTTTTAAATATAATTCGAAATTTAGAACCAAATATTTTGGTGAATTGCAAAAAGGGCAAATTTCGAATCAAAAAATTTCCATCAAATCTTGAGAGAATAAGAGAATATTTGTTAGCAAATTTTTCTCTCTAAAACCGTTGATTTTTATGAGCAAATAGAAGTTACTTGAAATATTTATTCATGTATTTCATACCAAAAAATTACTTTACATTTGAAAACACAATAAAAATCAGAGAATTAGGAATGGGTAAATTGAGAATAAAGTTTTTAAATGGGAGAATAACTCTCAAACTAGTGAACTTGCAAGGAAAATTATCAAAAGTAATCTTACATTTGATGTTAACTAGATTATTACTCAACCGTTTTTTTTAATATCACGCTTTTTGAGACAGTAGAGTACGATTAGGATTATTTAGTTGATGTCCGGATTTTCCGCTGCGGTGGCGAAGAGGAATTCGATGTACTGAAAATTAATTTTTCATTGGAGACATTTTTTTTTTGAAAAATTACCTCAACCAAGCGACGAACCAAGCCACGTTGAGCATCAGCAAGAGTCAAGTTCACGATGCGATTTTGACCGCCGCGAAGATTCGCCTGAAAAGTTCATTATTTGCTTTATGAAAAAATATTGTTTTAAAACCAACCAAGATTGTTCGCGTGTTTCTTTTGATTCTGAGATAGAACAAGCTCAAAACTTCGATCTCGTTGTAGATCTCTATTGGAAATCTATTATAGTTCCCATTTCCGACAGCGATATCGAAATAATTCTGAAATCATAAAATTTGCATATGTCATTTAGTTCAAAACTTTCAAAATCATACATCCAACAATTGTTCTTCCTCATTCATTCTCGTTTCGTACAAACGAGCATGCAAATAAGCATTATGAGCATCCATTTCTTCAAGAAAACTTGCGATGTCACGCATCATACGATCTCTGTCTTCATTGCTGCTCATTTTCGATCAAAACAGCAGAATCTAATGAAAATTAAGTTAATGATATGAATGCTTAGCTATCCCCAATAGAATTTCGAAAATAATGAAAAGTGCATTTGTATGTACATACAAGATCGATAGAGAGAAGTGAGATTATATCCAAAAAAATATGTGAGGTACTACAAACATACGGAGAGAGAGAGAGAAAACAGCTTGATAATGATTTAATTTGAAAAAAAAATTAGAAAAATATTGTTTTTTTTTTCAAAAAAATAAATATAAATTTGATGCATGAAAATTTTGAAATAAAATCCAAGAACTGGCAGGAATACAAAAATGTTGCTATCGTTTGTTGAAAGAGAAATGAAAACATTCAAAGATACATTTTTCTCTAACCCGGCGCTCAAATGACTCATATTGTCTTTGTCGTTCTGTCCTCGCGGATGAAAGTAGCCCCCGAAAACTCGCGGCCCCAAAATTACATATGACGTCAATATGTTTTTTCCAGATTTTGAACTAGACGAACTCAAAACTAACTAAACAAATATCAGAATAACAATGATTTCGAACAAAAAAAAATGATAATGAATCAGAAATGCTGACAACCTTTTGACGAATTCCTTGAAAAAGCTCATATTTTTTTGAAATAATATAATTTTGTTTAGAGCAGTAAGAGTGAGCAAAAATAGAAATAATTAATGCTTTGCTCTTTTCGGGAGGCGGCTCTACCTTCTGCAGAAACTAATCCAAAATTTGATACAATTTTAATAACAGGTGTACTTTGTTGATGAAAATATGATTTTTTTACGAATGAAAATATATCTAATTACTACCTTTCGATTTTTGAAGATATCTCACGTGTGTTAGAAAATTGAATATTCAAAAAAAAGAGAAACAAAAATGTTTACAATATTTTTTTAGATAAAACTGTGGCCTAAACTCCGCCCATTTTTTATATCTATGAACATCTGGCACCTAAAGATCTGTCTGTCTTTCTTGAAAATCGAAACAATTTTTGGCATCACTTTAAAATCAAGCAACTAAATGTCAAAAAACGCTTTTTTACAGCTTCACATGGAAAACCTAGGTCAACTCGTACCAACCAAACAATTTGTATTGAGCAACATCGAAAGAATGCAATCACAGTTAATTGTGAGCAAAACAAAAATGAATTCAAAATGAAAACAATATTTTTTCAGAGAATCAGCAATACAATCAATGGTGTTTTGGAGTTTACTTACAATGAGAGAATAATGCTTGGCCAGTGTATCCAAGTTTGTCATGAAGATTTGAACACTATGACCGCGCTGGCGGTGAGTTCTGAATAGATGGTATAAACATAGTGTTTGAGATTTTCAGAATCGAATAGGTGAACTTGGAACTGATGCGTATCTTGAAATGATTGACGAAAAATGGGATCATTTTTCTAGTGTTATCGATGTAAGTATTTGATAAACTTAATTGTTCAATTCGATATCAATCACTGAAATTTTCAGATAATTGGAGAAAGTGTTGAATCTGCTTCAATGCGCAACGGAGTTGGTCATCCTCCACTTCGATTTTGAACTTTGTTACTGAATGATTCACTGACCAATGCTCAACACCGCTTTTTTCTTCTGAAGATGTTTATCAGCTTGATAAAATTGTAATAATTTATGTATTTTAATATGCAAAATCTCATTTGTATCGTTCTGAATATCAAAAATTATAACCATTTCCCAATTGAAAATATATTTAAAATACATTATTTATTTTGAATAAACATAAATAAAAAAATCTAAAATTTCGTTCTCAAAAAATGATATCATTTTTGGATGATTTGGGAGGAATTGTTTGCTTTGGGCGAACCATTGGTAAAGGTTATTAGTATTGGAAAGATGACTCAATTACACAGTTAACCTTTTCCCATTTTATAGCGATAATTAAAGTCTGAACAGCTTCCACTTAATGTGGTATGATGAAACATACCAAGAAAAAACGAAAAAACAAACTAGATTGATATAAGAGTATTTTTAAAATCGATAAATGTGGGAACCGCGTATTCAATATTTTCAAGGTTATCAATAGAATTCGAAAGCTTCAAGGTTTTCTTGGACCACCCAAGATGCAAAAGTGTTGAAGAAATGTTAACCCTGCGAAATAGCAAAGCGTTGTTTTTTTCAATGTTTTATAATACAATAAACCCCGTCCTTTATTTTAATTTTATAAAGTCTGGGAAAAATACTTTTCCTAACGTCTCTTGCTCTCTTCAAAACCTATACTATTTCCAAACAAAACGCGCAGCTTTTCAAAAAGTACACCCTACAAAAATCCCGCCCATTTTTCACTCTGCCTTCTTTTTCCTATCTCTTCAACACCTCGCATTGGTGGAACACTTGTTGTTGAGGCAACATATTTTTCTTCTCATTTTTATGGTGTTTTTGTTTTTCTGTTTCGGTTTTCTCATAGACTACTGTAGATGTTTATAGAATTATTTCAGAGAAAAGAAGTCTTCCAATCAGCAAGTTGTCCAAGATGGATCTTTACGACGGAATACGCGAACTTGATCGACCATTCATGCATCGAAGTCTTTGTGAGGTTTACGAGCATTTTACCGTAAGTTTGATTTTCAATTAGGTTTTTTTTATTCACAGGCCTAGGAATTTGACCAAGGGTTTTTTGGGGTAATGTATTTTTAGTAAAAAAACGCCACCACGTGGTCCGATTTTTTTTGTTGCGAAACCACCTGGGTGTGAAGTGGTCTAGATCTGGCTAACCCAAGGCCGAATAGCGTCCACGTCGTCTCGATGTGGTTGAAAAAAATAAAAATCTTCCGAATAGAAGAAATCTTGGGGAAAATTGTTTTATTTTCTATTTTTCATGATTTTTGGGTCAGAAAAACAATAGGAAATGCACTCATCCCCTTTTCGGATTTTCAAAAACTTAGGCCACGGAAATTAAGGGGTTCACCACACAAAAATTGCCCCAATTTTTTCGCACTGGGCCATTTATTTTGAGAAAATTGTCCCGAGAACACCAAAAACAGCAAGAGCCAAACTGTTCTCAAGTCTGCAGCAAGGTGGTTCTGCCAGAAAACCCTCCTCTGCTACGGAAATCTGACTAGGTTACATCGAGACAAGGCAATATGGGTAGAGTTTCCCAAGAAATAAATAACAAAGCCGATGGACGAACCATATGTGAATGGGAGAATAAGAGACCTGCTTTTTTTAAATGATCTCAAATGATACCTGAAAAAGTCTGACAAAACAAAAAAGTTTATTGATTTTTTAGGGACTCTATAACCAATCTCAAAGATTCCGCTTGATGCCAGAATATGCAGAGGAGATTCAAACTCTCAAAACACAATTCTTCACCAAAATGCGGGAAGCACGCCGACTTTCGGTTAGTTGTTTTCTCTTTGATTTTCATGAAAATCAAAACTGATTTCAGCGACTATTCGAAAACTCACTGAACCCAATGTTGTTCCTAGAAGATCTCGTTAACAACATTGAAGACATGAAAGACATTTGTCACGTGGGTTTATTTAAAAGAATTTTTGATCAAATTAGCTTTTTTGAACTGGAGAAAAGAAAAAAGTATAATAAATTTTCCTCTTTGAAAAAAAAAAGCCAAAAAACCAATGTTGAGCGGAATAGGCAGGTGACAAAAAATGCACATTTATTCTCTAGAAACACACTTTTTCTTGTTGATGAACCAGAAACAATCCGCTTCAGGTTTCTATTGATCGAATTTTCAAGAAAAATGGAATGATAACGTTCGAAATGTTGAGAAATTTTTTGAAAAAAAAAATAACAAAACATTTTCAGTGTTCCAAATTCAAGATAAAGGACCAAAAATCGCTTCCAAAAAGATTTTGTGATTTTTTTTCTGAAGATTGATTCTCAAAATTTATCATTTCTTATAATTCATTTTTGAATCAAAACGAAATTGTATTTCAGCGCTTGGCAACAATTATTCAAGAGCATTATGCACTCCCAATTCTCCCAAGAGAAGAAGAAGATGGCTAAATTAGTCACTTGATTATTTCATATTCTAGTTAGTGCACTTTCATTCCAATATCGCCTTTCTTATATTCAAATCTTTTTTCCTCACTTTTTTGGCTTTGAGTCAGCTACCGTAACACCTCGTTTTCTCTTTTCTCTGGCTAGTGCACTTTTATTTGAATAATCCTCGCGCTTTTTTTTCTGGCGTTGACTAATAATGTTCCCGCGTCTTTTTTGACTTTGAATAACCACACCGTAATACTTCTCTTCTTCTCTTTTCTTTTTTCTGGCTAATGCACTTTTATTTCAATCTTGTTTCCGCCACTTTCTTGGCGTTGACTCACCTACCGTACCCCTTGTCTTATTTTCTCAAAAATGTCTTTTCTTTTGTTCTGTTCTGTTCTGTTAATGTCACATTCTTATTAAAACAAAATATTTTTCTTTTTCTACAGTACCCTTTCAATTTTTTCTAATAAAAAACCATGTTATGTGCACTTAATTTTGTTAAACTTTAGGTTCAACACCTTTAATTATCTTTATGAATTAATATTTTATTTCAGAGTTTTATTGATTATTGATTCAGATAGGTTCCAATTATGCCGATATGTTTTCGAAATTCAGACTTGGAGTTCTTACAAGAAGTTTACGTTATGTTTCATGTGAGTTTTTTGAAATGAAGTTTGGAGAATCTGGATTTTCCTTGAAACTTTCAGAGACTTGTTGCATTGGCCGAGCGAAACCCATCGAAATATGATGGAACTAACGGTATTGGAAAAATGTGCCTGTTACATTTTAATTTCATCTTCGGTGACATTTGGCAGCGAGCTCTTCGCATGAAACGGCGGTCTTTTAAGGTCAGTGATAAAACATTTTAGATATAGCAGATATTTTGTTTTACCAAATTAAAATCTTTCAAAAAACGTTTGAAAAGTTTTTCAATTAATGTACCTTCTCCATTTTTCAAACACCCTTGATCTTTTCTATTTCTAACAATCAAATCAAAAGTATTTTCAGAGAAACAATGCCATGTTTTATGACTATGGAGAGGAAGTGGCAGAAATCGTGGAATTGTGGAACTACAACGTTGATTTTAGCCATCTTCTTTTCTTGGTTAGCGTGAGTTGTTTTTTTCTAAAAACAATAGATTGAAAAACATTGGTTTTGTTACAGACCATGGCCTTGGTTGTTCTTGCCCCAACCTTATAAACTCTCGATTCGATTCAAACTTTCACGAAGAAAAAAATAACTTGCTACATTTTAAGGCGAATTGCTCTTTTTTCAGTTTTTTCCCAAACTCAAATCTTATTGTTCTAGGAGTAAAGCAGAAAGCGGCGAAAAAAAGCTAGAACAAAGTGCTTATATGAAAAACTACTTAGGATAAGTCGCTCCATTTTTTCTTGATAATGTTCACGTTTTGAGTAACCTGGCAATTACAAATGTAAACTGAAGAGAGATAATTCGCCCGAAGAATGTAGCAAGTTGACCCTCGGACAATAGCAAAAATGCGGTTTTTTTCTGTAGAATGTTCTCACACCGTATTTTCCTTGTTTTTCATATTGCATATTTAGTTCAATTAATTATGATTTTTTGATGCTATGAAATGAAATGAACTACTTTTATTTTTCAATCAAATATGTTTTACAAACAAAATTAAATAATTCAAATAACTTTTGTTATTAGAAGTTAACACATAGGGTTATTACATAAACAAGTTCATAAATATGACAAACATTCCTGCAGATTATTTTCTGGATGTTGATCAAGCAGAAGTGATGTAAATGATCTCGTAGACTTCCTAAAAAATAAACATTTATTTATTTTAAAATTTCAAAAAAAAATGTTTACGTTGTAAATATTGCGAGCTCTGGTGAAAAGTTGAATAACCTCATCAAATTGTTGATTGAAATTTTTTCCGATGAAATCAGAACCGAAGCAATTCTGAAAAACTCACAAGATGTAGAACATGTTTGCCACCGAAACAAACTTACGATTTTTCTTTGAGCCGAGACCAAATAATTGTCGTAGTCGTTTGACAACTTGTTATAACGTTCCAACGTTTCAGCATCAAATTTTTCAGTGTTCGCATTGCTTTTCAAGTCCTGAAAATTGTGAACACATTTTTTATATTCACAAGTCCAAAAAAACCCACATTGAACCATTTGGAGATTTGTCTGTAGTGATTTTGAAGCTCGATTTGAATGTATTTATCGTGTTTCATTTTTGCGACGCTGAAAACTGGATTAAACAAATTATTTTCGATAAAATCAAACATATAGAAACATTTATCAAAAAGCAAGATAAAAATAAGCTGTTTTGATATAATTCTGCATAGCAACCAGTGTTATACTGAAAAGGGGACATGTGCTTTTTTCAGTGTCTGTGATTAGTTTTAATATCAGTGCATTTTAATCTGGATCAATATTTATAATTGTTTTATATGAGAAGTGAGAATATTAGAAGGCTATAATTATCCTCAAGGGGGAGCTTGAATTATTTGAAAATAACAAACCCGGTAATTTGAGGCCACAGGTTGCAAGATATTGTTAATGTTTGAACAATCAAAAAATACCTTCATTTCACCGCAATATTCCAGAATAACTTCATATGAAACTGCTATTGAGGGAACAAACACCACTCATGTGAGCATTTTGAACAAGTTTTATGATAATAAATGACAAGAAAATTTCGGATTTCATTTTTCATAAAGATTGAATTATGAAACAATGAATTTTTTTTTTGGAAATCGGATTGATCATCAGGGATTAATGTTTTGTTCTTTTGATATGTCAAAAAACCATAGAATTTGTTTATTTCACATAATTTATAAGGTTTTTTATTATTATCTAACGGCAAGAATTACGTTAAATTCAGATTCAGACATTGACAATTTTGTCTCGATAAATGCTCGTTGTTTTTTTCTAAAATATACAGTGAATTACGGAATCTAAAGACATTTCATTTTTTTAAGTAACAAAAAACGAATTTCTGATGATCATGTTTTAACAGTTTTCATATTGTGTGTGATGTGGAAGAACAAATAGGAACTTTTCTACTGATGTGAGATACAGTGGAGGGTTGTAGAAATTCACATATATTTCACATGTCAGATTCTAACTTTTTTTGACGTGGTTCGTTATAAATAGTGCTAAAAGCTCTTGTTCCTAATGTTGTTTAATTTTTTTTCTTATTTTTTCTTAATAATACATGTAAATATCACACAATTAGTTTCAAAACACTCAATATTTCTGTTTATGCAGGAATCGATCGACACACACTTCGGATTTCAATAAAAACTGAAAAGTCGCTTATAAAAGTTTTTTCATCAACTCATTTTTATGTATGCTTACATTTATCAAATATCAAACCCAAAGCTTGAATTAATGTTCTCTTGTATCAGCCCCAACTTCTCGTAATCAAGCGTAAGAATTCATCCTGTGAAAAAATTGCCTCATGATTTCATAAAAATTTTCAACACTTCTCGAAACTAGCAAATTATTAAATTTTCATTGACACAACAAATCGTATTTCGATGAAACAGAATCAAACAACCACACAAACGTTTATCTTTTTTTCTTCCCGCTTGTTTTTCCCAAATCACCACGTGACGAAGAAAAACGGGGAAATACCGTTGTAAATCATTATCTGATTATAATGCATAAATATGAGATCATCTAAAAAGGATGAGAAACGGGGGAATCCCTTTTTTGTCATGGACAGGGTATTTGATGTGATATGATGGTTTGATCTTGAGTTATTTTTTAGGATGAAAAGTAAGAAGAGGTTGTAAAAAACACCTAGAAACTGTATCAAAAATATTTACCCCACATTCATCCTTCACTAAATGAAGTAAGATATAATTTAACTTTCTCTGAAAACATCATGTGATTCATTTTTTCAGACCACCTATCACATTTTATCACAAAAAAATATGATATTTTCCAAACGAAAAGAAACTTTGACCCATCTGATCTTCATCATCGGGTTTCTTATCATTAGTAAGGCGACAAGAACTGATGTAATCAAGTAAAAAACTAATCTATCACAATTTTGTTCAGAAATCTATCATTTGGGGAAACCCCCCAGATATGAAAAAGATTCATTTTCATAGACAAATGTTGTGTATCTTTGTGATAGTTGATGATTTTAGAAAACACATATTGTTGTTTTTTTGATTTTCTAAAAACTAGTTATGTAATTTCAAAGTTTCACAAACGTGACTAAAAATAATTTTCTTGATTTATTGATGATGTCATCCCAAAAGGCAGAAATAGTTTCCAATTTTTTTTTAAAAATGAATAATTTTATTGTTTCCCAAGATGATTTTCAAAAATTTCTGAAAATAACTTTCCATGTTTTTTTTTCAAATCATTTCATTTGAAAACATTACTGTCGTTCTGAAGTACTGAAACTCGGCTGTTTTCGATCATTAGTTTTAGACAGGCTTGGGAACTGAAAAAAAACAACTTTCCATATGTTCATTTATTCCATTAAGAAAAATTATAAACAGTTCTGAAGTCTTGATTTTTATGATGAAATATCTTGTCTCACATCGTTCAACATTGTTCTAATACCTGATCAAAAATAAGTCCCGCCCATCTACTGTATTCTTCCTCTCTCTCTTTCTTATTCATCAGTCATTATTTATTTAGAAATCACCACGTGGTTGACTGTCTTATGATTTTCATTTTCTTCTGCTGAAAACTAAATAAAAATCCTCACATTTTAGATAAGAGCATGCGTAAATCAACACAACTTGCTAATCGAGTTATCAAAACTATTGGATGTGCAAACGGTTTAGGCGGAAGACAATTAGGATGTGAAAATGCTGTTGAAGTTATCAAAAAATCACCATTTATGGCGAATGTTGCGAAAAGATTGGATATTCAATGGGGGCCTATTATTGAAGAAGTAAACACAGGAAGACACGCAAAAGCTCTAGGAGGGGTTACTCAGGTTAGTTTGAAAATATATGATGGATATTAAAAAATAAAAACATTTAGACATGCCGTCAACTTGCTCATCATACCCGTCAAGTTATTGAAAACAAAAATGAGTTGCTTGTTTTTGGAGGAGATCACAGTTGTGCAATCGGAACTTGGAGTGGAGTAGCAACAGCAATGCGTCCAATTGGAGATATTGGACTAATCTGGGTTGATGCTCATATGGATGCACATACACCTGAAACAAGTGATTCTGGAAATATTCATGGAATGCCGATTGCTCATCTTCTTGGTTTTGGTGACAAAAATTTGAAAAGAATTGGCGATCGTCTTCCAAAAATTTTACCTCATAATTTATGTCTTGTTGGAATCAGGGATTATGAATCAGCAGAACAGGAATTGCTAGAGAAACTTGGAGTCAAAATCTTTTATGCAAATGATGTTGAAAGGCGAGGAATCACTGATATTATGCAAGAAGCACAGTATATTGTATCAAGAAACACAGTTGGATTTGGATTATCGATTGATTTAGATGGTTTTGATGTTTCATATGCGCCTGCAGTTGGAACACCAGCTGCAGATGGAATCAATGCTATGGAATTTGTAAAAGCTATGCTCATGATTGATATGACAAAATTAATAGCAACAGAAATTGTTGAATTCCTTCCACGATTTGATGATTCAAACAAAACCAGGTTTGTAGATTAATGAAAAAGTTTTAGAATCAATATTAATTTCAAAAGTTCAGTGAACAATTAGTTGCCAACTTGGTGGAATACATCTATAAAACTAAACACTTTCAATTGGATTCAGTTATTGAAATTGCACAACGAGTCGGACGATCCGAAGAAATTCAACAGAAAATTTCACAATCTTTGTAAATTATGAATTCTATTTAATATCAATAATAATACTATCAATAAAATCTTCTAAAGAACATGATGCAATTTTGTTGTTTTTTTGAATGAGATAAATTTAGATTGATATGAATTTCTTAAGAGGCTAATTACTGTGGTTGGGTTTTGACAAGCTGAGAAATTTACATTATTATTCAAAATGGTTTTCAATTCTTAGACTTTTCAAACTATTTCCAGATAACACAATTTATTCGTAAATCAATCAACAATAAGAAATTTCACAGAATAATGAGAGAAAAACAAAGTAGGGATCAGTTTAATTCCGGATTCACTAAATACTTCTTGATATGTGTTCCAAGATGAAAAAATATGCATGAAACTTGGCCAAGCGGTAATACTTCGATCGGATTGTGTGAAGGAGACGAATCAATGATGTCTGAAACATGTTCAGTGTTCAGTTCAATATCTATTCAAACTCACAACATAATCGGCATTTCCCTCATTTAATAAAAAGGTTCTAGCATTTCTGATATCATTATCCACTTCTGCAATCATTTCGTGTAGAAAATTGTTTCCGCGGTTTGCAGTTTCTGACTGAAAATTTAAAAAATGAATAAAAACAGAATGAAAAAACCAACCAGACGGGCCAGTATCGCAGAAAAACTATCCAAAATCTCCGAACATAATTGAATGAACGCTGGCTGGAAAAAATTATATTATTCGAACTTAAACGATCGGAAGCTTGAACGCGATCAAAAATGAACATTTTTAATATGTTCAGCTCGGAGAGAGTCTTCAGCATTTTGAATTTTATATTCGAAAAATTCGATGAAAATTAACGGACAGCGCTGTTTTAACCAGGTTTCTGAAATAATCTAAACACAACTCACATCAATTCTTGGCACATGATTGTTTCGTACAGGCGAAACATAATCTTCGGCATCATCCACAATATTCCTGATTTTTGTTGAGTATGTCATCTTTAAGAAATTCTAAAAAGAAAAATAAAACGTTGAAAAATATGGAATCTTCACTAAAAATACATAAACAGATGATATGCAAAAATGACCAACTCCTGCACACCATAAAAACACATGCTTCGAAAAAAATAGACTAACAGATGTATCGAAACCAACTGTGGGAGCGCATGAAAAGAAAAGAAAAAAACAAAATGATTATTTTTCAATAGAGCACTTTTCTTTCATGTTTTCTTTTAGTTTTGTAGAGCATCTGTGTCATTTGTGGACCTGTGATTCGGTTGAATAACACGTATTATTTTTTTTTATTTTTCAGAAAACTGTCATGTCGCTTCCTAATTTCACAAAAGAAGAGTTGGAGAATATTCCAGAATTTGTTCCAGCCAACGTGGTTATTGGAAGAAAAGAGGTTTATTTTAATCCATTTTTTTTAATCAAAAATATTTGTTTCAGCGTGGTTGTTTCTTAATTGCCTCATCGTATCTTGAATGTATTGAAAAATCTCTCTATGCATTGGTGAGTTCATTTTTCATAGCTATGTACAAATAATTAATTAATTTTTATTTACAGGTCAATTCCATTGATCTGAAACACCATTTCATTCACTTGTTGTGTCGGACTTTACATCAAAAAGTGACCGCAACCAGTGTTTTTCTGGTTGAATATCAAGGAAACGATTATTGTGTAGGTTTGAAATTGAATCTATGTATATAAAATAAGATTGTTCAACACCTACAATTTCAGGATCGCGTAGAAGATCAATTGGCAAAAATCGAAACAGATTATTTTGAAATTCAGGAAACTATCGATTTTTCCAATGTTGTCAGGAAATTTTACTGTTAATTTTCTCATGTTATATTAAAGGGGCTGCGACACAAAAAAATAATTGTAATTTATTTGGAAGGGCATGGTCGATCTAGTAGAATTGCTATCGTGCGGCAAAAAACTAACACCTAGAAAAAAAGCGAGTTTGCACCCGCCGGAATTGACTCAGGGGACAGCGTTTCCAATTTCTTGTGCTCCCATTTCCTTTGTTAGAACACAAAGGCTGTGGCACTCTGCCGGTCTCCTAGATCACTCCCTCATATTTCCAGTAGAGCGGTCTATATCGACCAGGCTCTTTCGAATAAGCTATAATAAATGTTTCATGTCTGCAGCCCTTTTAAGTGTTTATAGTTGAGTAATTCACATAAACGTGTTATTAAAAAAACATCAGCCCAAATTCTGTGTTGCAGCATTGTATTATTTGTCGGAAAAATAATCGAAAATCTGTCAGTGCGTTATTTTGTGAGAATCTATCGCCATACAATCCGAATATGTAGAAGTTTCCTTATTTCAAAAGTGAAACTATTTTTTTTTTGGAAATTTTCTGGAATATCCTTATCAATCCTTATCAATTAAAATCCCGTAAGGTGAGATTTATTTAGAAATATTCCTTTCTCCCGGTCACGTGAAATTCTGATAAATATATATTTATGAAAAACGGCAAAAAAGAAAAATCGATGACTTCATCCTTGGCAAAATTAGGAACCGTTCCCGATTTCGCCACGAGTCATTTTTTGAACGAAAAACTTGAAATTTTCTATGGGATCAAAAAACATTCCTTCTCAGTATGACTTGAACTCTTTTATTTTTTCTAATATTTTATTTCAACCATTTGAATTGTTCCAGTTTGGATTCGTTTTAATTGGAAGCTTCGTGGGTGATGTCGGGCAATCGCAGTAGCTGTTTGATCTCCTTTTAAACATTTTTGAAGTTTCAATTTTCGAATAATAGCATCACGATAGTTTTGAATAATGAACATTGTCGGTAATGGATCAACAGCAGGAAATATAGCGATTGTTGCAGAAAATATTCGAGATATTGATTGAATATCGAGCTCATAAAACGTGAACAAAAACAAAACTGAGACCGGAAAATGTAAAAGAACAACTGGAATCAAGGTTTCAGTTAACAACGCATAGTATACTTGTTTTTGTAAATTATGAAAGTTTGAAGATTTTAGAGTAGGTTTTTGGAGTGTATTATAGCAAGACCATCCGAAATAAATCATAAGAAATGATGAAATTGCAATCATTACCCAAATTATTGCAATCCCACAAATTGGTCGCCAGTTCAACTTGGAATTCGAGCCATTTTTCTGATAAATTGTCGCACCAAGAAAAACAATGTCATCTATATTCAGATCAAAATCATATAATATAACATCTCGAATCATTTCATTAGCTTCTTCAGTTTGGGAAAGAAATAAATATATCATCAAACCATAGAATAAGCCATATAAAAACGGAAATAGAAACCAGAAAATGAAACGCCAATCATTGAGTGAATCCAAATATTTCGATTGTGTCATCACTGCATATCGATAGAAAAAAATGAATCACAAATATTCCCATCGAAAACCCGAACAATCCACAGTATATGTTCAATAAAAAGAGAAGTGTGGTTGAGTCTAAGCTCGAATTTTTCAGATTGACAAATGCTATACATATTGATCCATAGGAATAAACCCTCTGAATTGAAAAAAAAATTAATTCTGCTCAAAATGTGTAAAACTAACCGGTGATACAATAACATCTAAAATAGAATAACATATTTCAAAAACTGTTACATAAATCATTAAATATTTGTATGTTCCAAAAGCTTTGGGAGATTCATGTACAATCAAAATAGTTAACAAAATGTTCAAGATAATTGAAATGATAGCTGATGAGCATTGAATGTAATGAAGCACTGTACTCCAATCCATTTTTCTCGTTTTTTCTAATAGAAAAATTTATATAGAAATAGGTCGACAGGAACTAGTAGAAAATTAAAAGGTGATCAAAAATAGACTCTTTTCAATTTACAAAAAAGTACAACTTATTTTTAATTTTTTAAAGCCAAAAAAATTTTTCGAAAAAAACCAACAAAAAAAATTTCGCCTTGTTTGAAATGATCTACAAAAAATAATTAACAGTGCTCGAAGATCATAAAAACAAAATGATATTCAGAATACTCTACTACCTTCTGAAAAAACTCCCTGTTGAATTCATTGTTATTTGAACTCTTCATTTTTCTATTGTACTTTTCTCAAAAAATGAAAAATCATAGAATAAGTTATGAACAGTAAAAATTTTGAATTGAAAAAACTTCTGAAAAAATTTTACATTAAGACCAACACCAACATTTATCGGACTTATTTCACGTGAACAATTTCAACTTTTGTTTTCAAAAGCTGTTTGTTTTGAATACCCATTTATTTGACTGTGATTTGTATGAAAAGAAACAATACAAAAGGCTTTTAACAAGGTGTTGGAAGATCCATTCTTCTTATTGATGATTTCTTTAAAATTTCTGGATTTGTTGCTGATGATGGATGATGTTCGGATGGTGATAATTGTAAACATCCACGATTTGGAAATCGTAAAATGCGTAACACGTGACTTCTCATCGATCTTGAATATATTATCAGAAGCCAACATGATAATCCACAATATATATCATTTATTATATCATACCACATGTAGAATACCTAAAGAAATTGCTTTATTATAAACTTTTTTCGGAACTGAAACGTTTTCTTACTCTTGTTGGAACATTTGTGTTGATTCCAAAAACATAAATCACATAGATATAATAAGCAATTTCGGCACCGCATGTTAAAACAGCAACGATTGTCAAATTGTTTTCTTGCCGCTGTTTTTCGCTGATAATTTTATGATTATGTGCTGACCCTTTGGCAAGACTTATAGTTCTCTGGAAAAATATTTTTTTTCTCGGAACTCATCTCGATATAATCTTACCATTCTATATTTTTTCTTGAAATACATTAACATTGTTATATTAATTATAATAATGAGTGCAACAAAAAATGATTCAATTATGTTGGCAGCAATAAAAAAATGTGAACGAAATGTGAGATTGTCAAATTGAACATACAATCCGTCATTTTCAACTTTCCAATGAAAACTTTGAGAAAATAAACTGAGCCCGACACATGCTCCAATTCCAATTTGAAAAACATGAATCAATGGAGAATATTTCGAGTGCCAAATCTGAGGGAACAAGTCTAGTTAGAATATATTTTGAGAATTGTTTGAAAACTAGAGTTCACAAAAACAAAAAATCAGAGCGTATATTATTCAGGAATATCGTTTTCACTATTTAGATAATGAACATTTTACTTCTCGGGTTTCAACTATTTTGAAGACTAGAGTACAATTCAATTTCTCATCTACATTCAGCGCAAAAAAACTTGTTCAAAGTGTTATTGAATTTCTGAAATTTGAAAATAGCAATTTTTATAAACTTGGATCAATATTTGTGAAATTTCGGTTTTTCTGAAAAAAACTGAAATCACATATCGAAGATTCTAGGGGATTCCTAACTAATCCATACTTTCAAACAGAAATTTCCGAGTTTTGTTTCTTTCAATTCTCTTGAACTCACTCTCTTATGTTTTATTGGTAAACAAACAGCAGTAGCTCTATTCAAAGCCAATGCTACAACTGTACATCCTTGAATACCTCTTGACGTCCAAGCAACAACCAAATATATTTTTCCAACCAAAACTCCTTGTGACAAATATAAATCAGTGAAGTATCTGGAAACAATATTTATAAACAGCTTCCATAATTGTTTTCCTACCCTTTGGCTGGGAAAACACAACCAAAATAGTTATTCAGTAATGAAATCATATCCACAGTTAATCCGATGATAAAAATTTGATAGAACATTCCTGAAAATTTTCAATTTTTCAATTTAAAAATATAGCTTGAATACCTTTGTATGTTGTATTTCTCAAATTTATCAAAATAAAAATCTCTAACAATCCGACAGGTATTGTTATAAAAGTGGCAATCATAAATGTATAACTGACAACACCTTCCACGTGATCAAACCAAAACGGAAGAGTTGTATTTGTAACCATCCCTTCTTTTGTATATAGAACCTAAAAAATGTTGCTTCATAAACAGACTTCACAAATCGACAAAAACATGTTATTTCACGTGAAAATAATCCAAAGTACGGTCAGTTTATCCGTCCTCGTGATAAATTATTACAAATTATTTTTGATACCACATCAAATCATCAAAAAACTTTCGACATGTGTAAAAAATATAATAGGAAAAAATGAGAAAATGTGAATATATAGCCGGAGGGCTAGGTCATTGTGGTATAGATGATTTTAAAAATTTAATTAAATAAGGTCTGATTCAACACCCTCGTGAACAAACATTATATTGGTTTTTGACGTCAAAAGCTAAAAGTTCTTCTGAAAACAAAGACGTGTTGAGAAAATCTGATATTCAGGAACTATGAGTAAGTGAAAAAATGTTGCAAAGAATGAATATCAAAGTTTGATGAATTATTTTAGCGCCAAAATATCCGATTACACCACTTCAAAGTTCTATCTTTTATTTTTTTAACAAAAAATAAAATAAAAGCAAACCAAATAAAAACCACATGCCATGCCAAAAATACATGTTTGCTTCTTCATTTTTTTGTTTCTCAAAAGGAACATGGTGCAAAATTCACAAGAAAAGCTGATTATTCAAATTACGACCTTTTTCTGGGTGCTCTGCTTGATGGAAGCAAAAACTGAAAAGGAGTGGGTGTAAAATCAGAAAATGGGTTACATAAAGAATGATATAGATAATTATGCTAATGTTAGTTTTAATTTCAACAATCAGAAACTAAATGTATTATGTGAATTTAAGTTATCTAGATATGATATTTTTCTTCGGAGATCGTTTATCAGTTGCCACGTTATTTAATAATGAGAATCGCTAAAACTTTTCTCCAGAACTCTCAATAGCAACATTTTTTAGATACTTCTTCCTCATCTAATAATTTGCAAAATTTCTTATCGCTGATCTCTTTTCATATCAACAGATACACACCTATAAACATATAATTTTTCGCAAACTAATAAATAAATCATCTCAATTGATTCTCCATTTCTTTCTCACAGAATACACGTGAACAACGAGTTGGTTGCAAAACATTTTTTGGTTGATATGAGACTAACAAAACAGAAATCAAGAAATTAGACACCTTTGGGGTTTTAACTACAGTCACATAACTATTGGATTTGACCTTTTATTTGTGGATCTCTAAATCAGGCATTTCACAAAAAACAGCACAATAAATCATAAAGTTGTAAAATATATGCACCCAAAAAGTACTTATTCAAAACAAATATTATTTCTTGTTATTTTCCTACTAGCTACAACAAACAAGTGTTTCTATGCTAAAATCTAGAATAGAATTTCAGATTTCGATATGTAGGAAATGAAATTTGAGACAAGCTAGAAAAATGTGTCGTTGATCTACATTTGATGTGAAATGGATATGCTAAAACGCTTGTAGTGACGTGAAAATTCGAGTATTTGAGCAATGTAAACTCATTTTGACTTCTTGCTTTGTTTGAAGAAAGAAGAGTTTTTCATAAACTCTGAAATTCTAACTCATGAATTTGAGCATCCCAAAAAATCAAAATTCTAAAATGTGCATTTTCGTGATAGTTCATAATTAAGAAAAAAAGTAAGAAGTTCAAATTTTTTATAAGAGAGAAATATAAGAGATTCAAATCTTCCTAATCAGTTTTTCAGGATTCTAGGCATTTACAAGCACGTGATGAGTGAAAAACCAAGTAAGACTGTGCAACTTTGTGATATTTTATAATTTATGGAAAAATAACAGATTATTTTACAGATTGACTGAATTTTCTGCAGATATTCAGAAATTGGAAACAAAAAAACCTCAGAATATTAGAACTCCCAAATGTTCAAGAAACGTTCAAGTTTGTGAAACTTTGTTAACATAACAGTGTTTTATTCAAAAAATAATTTTTACCCGAAAAGATGTGAAAATGTTCAACTGGTTGAAAGATAATAACATAGTGTAGAATTTGAAAAAAAAACGAGTACTGATGTTTTCAAATATGAAACTTTGTGCAACTTTATGAAAATAATATGTCCAATTTCGTCGCACTTTATGAACTAACTATCATATGAAATATCACACTCTTGTGAGCTCTGAACTTTTTAGGTAATTTTTTGTTCACAGAAAAATTGTGGAACAAATCGAATTTAAAAATATTTTTACTCTTTCCTAGTTCGTATCTTCCTAGTTCTTGAAAATATTTTGCTCAAAATAACAAATGCATTTCTCGCTACTTCCCTTCTTCCCATATAATAATAATGACTAATAAATCTCGAGCCATGGTCCACAAAAATCAACCATAAACTACTCGATGAATTACAATCATACAATAACACAAAAAAATGGGCGGAGATTCAAGTTTGAGAAACAGTGAATAGACTCGTGTCATCATCGTTTTTGTTCTCATTTACGTCATTCGATCAACTACTACAGTGATTTGATCTATCTATAAATACATCAATCCGTTTGATATTTTTCTCAGTTGTAGATTATCAACACAACACAAGAGAAAGTCAGAAAATGGCCTCTTCAACACTTATTCGCACTTTGGAACACCATGCTAAACGGATTCTTATGGTTCGACCAACTTATTTTGAGGTGAGGAAAAGGGTAAAATTGAAAATGAAGGAATCGCATTTGTTTTGAATGTGAGTGTGTTTTTCTATTTAGAGAACCTTACAAATCTCAAAAAGCGCGAAAAAAAATAAAAAACAAAACATGAGGAAATTAAAACCCATAAAAGATGTTTGTTTATTCGAAAATGTCCTAAAATCTGTTGTCTTTTTTTCAGCTCAAATATTCAATCAACCCATGGATGGATATGAAAAGAGGAGTAAATAGAGAAAAAGCATTGAATCAATGGAATATCTTGAAAACTACAATTGAAAATTGTGGAGCTAAAGTTGATGTCATGGAACCAACGGTATGATTTTTTCTCATTATTATGATCACAAATGGGGCAGATTAGTTCATCAGACACTATCGTTGTAAGACCCAGAGAGTCGTCCTATGATTCTAGAAAATGATTTGGACACCCTACCGCCTAGGATATATTTTGAAATTGCTCAGGGTTTGCGTCCCCATTCCTTACCCTAAAGAACCTAACATATGTTCGATGAACTTTTGTAGTCTGTTTCATTGACATTTTCGTTATGATAAGAGTTTTGATATATATTTCATTTATCAAACTTTGTATCTGTTATTGTAATAAAAAAGGGCAATAACTGACAGTTTGTGGGAAAATGGGTGCGCGAGAAATTTTTGACAGATTCTCTAAGTTTTTGGAGATATGATGAGAAACAAAGCAACAGAAGGAATTAGTTGTTTTCTGAATTCTGAGAAATAGTTAAACAATGTTCAGGTTCTCGAAAATAATTTGAGTTTTAATCGTGAACTGAAAATTTCAAGAAAAAAATAATTCATTAAACGCACGTAAATAATCACGGTGTATTATTTATTGCCTATAATTTCAAGGGACTTTTTTTCTGAGAACTTTATAAAATTCGCGATAAACACGTTTCTCGAACAAATAATTTTGAATTTAGGGCTATAAATCTGAAAACCAGAAACCTTGTCTGTCTCAACGACAAAAATTTGAATCAACTTCAAAAAACTTCCAAAAAAAAAACAATAACTTTTTTTTTAAATCTTCAGCTTCCCTATGATTTATTTGAATAGTAAACTTTTTGAAACAGTTGAAAAAGACAATTTTTAGGGTGCCGAAGCTTTGCCAGACATTGTATTCGCTGCCAATGCAGCAATTATCAAAGGAAACAAAGCCTATCTCGCAAGTTTTGCTCACCCAGAAAGACAAGGAGAACGATATTTCTACGAGAATTGGTTCACAGAAAATGGCTATGAATGCGTGGGAAATCAAGATATCCCATCAGAAGGTAAGAAAACAAACAAAAAATAAAACATAATAGGAATAAGGCGACGAAAAATAAACAAATGATTGACTGGAGGCGGAAAAGGACCCCTGAAATAGTTCGTAGATCAAATTACTGGTTGCTTGACTAATACTTGAAAGCACTGAAGACGAACCACAATTTCCGACATAAATACACTATAATTTGCATGATCTCAAAACACAGTGTAATATGATATAAGAAATTTCAAGGAAAGAAGGATCATGAATGAAATTGAAAAAAAACGACGTGACACGCGAAATTTTATGAATAAGTAAACATATGTTTTAAGAGAGGAGGGTCAACATTTTTGTTAGTTTTTTATGGCAAAAAATGAAACATCAAATTTTCTTCTCTCTTTTAATTAGGTTCTTAAAAGAAAAACATATCTGCAAAGTCTTCCTTATTAATTTCGAAAAAAAAACTTCCTCAATAAAAGTTCAACAAAACAAAATTGTTCAAAAGATAAATGTTTTACAGGAGCGGGAGATGCACTTTGGGGTGGCGAGCAATATCGAACTCTTTTCATGGGCGTGGGAACTCGGACCGATGTAAGAGCTCTTGGCGATGTTGCGAGCAAACTTGACGATTCAACAAATTGGAAAGTGATTGGATGTCGACTTATTGATCCAAGGTTTGTTTATATTAAAATTGAGAGCAATAAAACAATTGCAAGAAATCAGAAAAGCGAAATGCATGAAAATGCAGAAAAAGGAGAGAATATATTGTGAATCAGAGATCAGATTTTTGAGAATCTTTGAAAATTAATGAAACTGGAGGTTTTTGAAACTTTAGGAAATGTAGGGTTTTGATGAAGAAAAATAAAGAGGCAAGCATTTTATTTCTCCATGAAAAATTGGGATCATTTCAAAAGTATTTTGTATCTCTGAAAACTTTCAACTTTAGCTCTAAAAACTTGGTGTTAAAAACCAAAACCTCTTCAGCGGCCATTTTGAGCACATACAGATCAATCAAACAGTTTGAAAACAAAACAAGTTAAAAATTTCAGATTCTACCACATCGACACTGCATTCTGTCCATTGAACGAAACTTCGGCCATCTACTATCCATATGCTTTTGATCACATCACACAACATAACATGAGGAATGAAACGGAACTCATTGAGGTTTTTGTTTTCTGTTTTCTTCCCGGAAATTAAACAAAATTTTTTGTAGGTTTCACTTGAGGAAGCTCGCAACTTCGCGTGTAATGCTGTAGTCGTTGGTCAAAATGTAATTATGCATCAAGGAAATGAGAAAATTGCAAACAAATTAGTCAACAAAGGGTTTCACTGTCAGGTAAGAATTATTATGAGATAAAATATTTATCAAACTATTTTTTTTTTTTTATCAAACTATTTTTTTACAGATTCGTGGACATGAGTGAATTCATTAAATCTGGAGGATCAGCAAAATGTTGTACGCTTCAAATCTAACATCACATAAATCAAAAAATAATAAAATAAGATTTGAAAAAAATGATTACGTGTATTTTATTTGTTGAATTGAATTGGAAAAAAATAAAAGGATTTGATTTCTAAAGGATTTTGAAAAGTGCGTGAATATCTGGGAAAGTTTAAAAAGTTTAGGCTTTCAGACTGCGCTAAGATTTTGACGATCATTTTTTCAACAAAATAATATTCGCCACTTTCAGAGTTTCTTGAAACACCCACTATTGCATCATCAAAACACTCTCACCAGACTACACACATACAAAACACAAACCGGTATGGTGAGAGAGTTTACAAAAAGGGGAGAGTGCAGTTTTAACACCTAGGTGCGAACCAATTTTTGGTGCTGTGTGTGCGGACATTGTTTTTGGAATAATGTTTATTGATTATACTGTTTTTTTTTGTGTAGAGTAAATAACTTTGGAACTCTTAGGCGATGTTGCAGATGAATTTCTATTTCGAGGAGAAATGGGGTGAAATTCGAAAAATACATTGTTTCGCCTCCATGTGCAACACGTTTTCATTTTAGGCTTAAATTAATTGCAATTCATTTGTTGAGCATTTATTGATTACTGTCTAAAAAAAATACTATTTTTTGATCAATTTTTTTCCGTTCAAAAATTTGTAAATCTGGAAGCTCTTCCAGTTTTACAAATCCATCATTATCGAACCAAATTTCGAGATTTTAGGCTTAAATTAATTGCAATTCATTTGTTGAGCATTTATTGAGTACTGTCTAAAGAAAATATTATTTTTTTGATCAATTTATTTTTGGATGAAAATTTGTAAATCTGGAAGACCTTCCAGTTTTACAAATCCATCATTATCGAACCAAATTTCGAGATTTTAGGCTTTAATTAATTGAAATTCATTTGTTGAGCATTTATTGAGTACTGTCTAAAGAAAATATTATTTTTTTGATCAATTTATTTTTGGATGAAAATTTGTAAATCTGGAAGACCTTCCAGTTTTACAAATCCATCATTATCGAACCAAATTTCGAGATTTTAGGCTTTAATTAATTGAAATTCATTTGTTGAGCATTTATTGAGTACTGTCTAAAGAAAATATTATTTTTTTATCAATTTTTTTTAGAGATGCGGAAGCTATGCCCAAGTTTTGAATTTTTATTCAAAAACGAATTTTTTTAAAGAAATTCAATTATTTGTTTTGAATTAGAAGTCAACAAATGCGTTCCATTTCTAATTGGTGTTGATTTTTCCCTCAAGAACATTGGTTGCTATTGTTTTGTTTAGATGTTTAATCAGATCTTTGCTAGATCATATGATACCAAATCAGGAGTTCTGGTTTGGTTTTTGAGTGTCATGTGGGCTCGTTAAGCCTTTTCGAAGACCAAAGTGTTGTCAATTTTGTTTATCACAAATAACAACAAATCAAACAGCAATTCATGTTTTTTATAGATTTATAAACTTTTGAAATCCATTGGTTTCATGTGTGATCTTAAAATGAACAGAATCAAAAGATTAGAATGATGTGCATAAATTGTATTAGTCATTTTGTTAATGAAAATTTTGGTTTATATAAATAGAGCTTGATCCACTGTCTGAGATTTAGCAATAAAAAAGTCGGGATGTTTGAACGAATTTCTAAAAATAAATTCAGTCATTTTTGATTTTTAAATCGGATTTCTTAAAAATCTGCTGACTAAATATTGGTGTTGGTAGGAGGAAGAAAGCAAAAAGCAGTTTGACTCATTGATTGTAATTGATCATATAGAGGCTGCAATTATACAAATGTTGATTTATGAATTCGCTCAATTGTTTCATCAGAAATTTCCACAGATAATAATTTACATACTTTGTGTTAGGTCATCATTGAGTGTCTCAGAAAATTTCTGAACAATTTTTGATTCGTTGGTGCTAATTGTTCCCTGAAGTATTTTGGAATTTCGAAATCTCTCGAACTTATATATTTATCTTTCCATTAATAGCTCGATTCCTGAACATTTCAAGTGTAATCCACGTTTTCACCTGATTCTGTATTATCTCTATCAACTTTGATAGAAATTCAGAAAAACAATATTTTTGCTTACTTCACTATATCCACCTTCAATCTAAATCTTTGCACTTCACAAGCTTAGAAGATAATACTATTTGGGCATTGAGAAAATATAATTTGAAAGCGCTTAAAATAAGAGCACTTTTTTTAATTCAGTATTCAGATATATCCACTTTGACGCAAAATAGTAAAACAAGAAAATTAGAACTTTAGAATGAAGAATTATTAGAACTTTAAATTCGTTGAGCAATCAATGACGCACTAAATGATAATTTTAGTATACCCAACGTTTAGGTTCCTAGACAAATATTGGGTAAAATTCTGAAACGTTGGCACTTCAGGAAACACGGAAAAATTCGCGATTTTTTAGTCGACAGAATAGGCAGTGCTTATCACGATCTGTTTCAGACATCTTCTTCCAAAACAATCCAGGAAAATTTTGGATTCCAATAAGCGTTTCATTGGCGGATAAGGAAATATCGGTCGGCAAAAACTCTTCAGCAAAGATCTTTGTTTTACATGGATGAACAAAATTATTCCAGAAATCATTGACAATTCCAACCCACGTAAAATCAAAAAAACATGAACATGACCATCCCTGTTTTTGCGTGGGGATTATGTTTTTATGGCTATAAAAATATCGAACTTTATAATGAAATGGTGACTTCAGCAATCCACATTCACAAAAATCGTTCTGCCCTTTCGTTTCAGTTCTTGTGAATAAACAAAGCTTTATTGACTAAAAATACATTTCTGAAAGATTGAAGCATTGAACAGTTTTCCAAATTTGATACAATTTTGACATTTGTTACTGTTCCAAAAAAAGTAAAGAAAGCCTCAATCTTTATTTATCCTCAAATAACTTGAAGATGGTTTGGTAACCACAAGAAACTATGTTTTTTTCAAGTTGTGAGTGCTGTGATAACTTCTGAGGTTGAAATTTAAAAAATCACATTGCTCAAAATGTTTCAGGTAGTCTCGAAAATGTAGATAATTTCAAATAACCATTATGTTCAGAAAATTGTGTGTGCCAACACTACGAAGCACGCTTCGTGGGCAACAGGAATAACTGTCTGACCGCCTTTAATGATGCCAAAAGTCTACTCTGAAATCAGTAATCAAGAACAACTCTTGCAAAAATATTTTTGAACCCGAACCGAATATAGAAGATTATACGTTTTTAATGTCTAATTCCTTTTATTGGCTATTCATAGATTATTTCTGAACTATGATACTTCCTTTTTTATATGTTTAACATATTCCAACAACGTGTTTCCTAACCTCATTTTCAAATTCTCACATAATAAAAAAACGTTTTGTTAAGTTTTGTTTCTCAAATGATATATTCTATGAATTTTTACATGATTCACTACAGTTGAAATATATATTTTTTTTAGAATTCGACCAATATCTTGTTTCCTCTCGATGTGTCATGCGCAATTATTCAAATTAAAGTTGATCAGTACATCTCAAAACCATAATCAGCTTTCCAAAAACCATACCTTTGGTCGTTGACCAGCCTTATCTTTTTTTTTCATTCAAAAAGGCGGATCCGATAATCCCGCCTTTCTCTCAACGGCAAAACATCCCCCTAAATCAGTATAAAAACTGAAGCAATATCAAAATTGAATATGAATATGTTGAAAACTCTTCTGATACTTTCAACATGTATTGTGATTTCAATGTCCGCAATCATCCCACACAAACTTCGAGCACATCGGTAAGTTATCAACAACTATTACAAAATCATCAGACTAATTTTATTTCTTTACAGAAATTCCAATGTTCACAGCAGAAACTGTTTCTTCACTCCGGCTCAATGTGCATTGAACAATTTCCCACAATCCGAAAAACTTCAACCAGTTCTACAAGTGTTCGAAAACGCTTCATTGGATACAATCTACTCAAACCTCAAATTCAATCGACCTTCTTTTTTCGACTACCGGAAGTAGAAGTAATTTGGATATGACATTAATTTATTTGAACATTCTTTAAATATGGGTTTTTAATTTGAATTCACTTGTTTTCTCGGATTTAACGATGTTCTCTCTTGTTATTTTTGTATACTGTGTATATCAAATAGGGTTATAAATTGATGACTTTTTTGAATTTTAACAATAAATATTTACATCCAAAAATTGTATCCAAAATGACAAAAAAACGCACAAAACAAAGTAATGAATCATAAAACACAAATCCCAACGGTGGTGATGAATCTAACCGAGCAAAATCGTAATGGCAAAGTCAAAGAAGCACCTTAAAGGTAACTTCGACAAAAATTCATACGAGTTATTGGCTTCGGTTTCTAAGCATAGCTCAAGATAACACAATATTTTTCAGAAAATTTGAACACGGGAAAATATAACATGGGAATTGCTTTTTTTAAGGAAAAAGGTTTCTCAGATCAGTGGCGGTGGTAACTAGTGTCAATTTAACAGGCACGGGCTCGAATGATCCAGAAAGGCTATACCTCAGAATTCAAAGAAAAAGCCGAAAGCCTGCCTCCTTCTACCTTCGTTTTTCAAAAGCTGTTTGTAAAAATACACTTGTGGTACCTTTGAAGAATCAACGATTTTCACTAGTACCATTTCTCAATAACAAATTCTGGTTTTTTGATTTCTGATAAATGTTCCGCGATGATGTTTTTTTTCTGTCTGCAAACATTCTAAAATTATCCAAAAAAGTGTTCCTTGATTCCATTCATTAATATTGAGAGGATCAGCTGTCTGATAAACACAACGCCCATTATTATAAAAAAAAATGAAAGTGTTGTAGAGATGATCCGAAGGGGATAAAGAAAAAGTGAATCAGGCAAAATTCAAAAACAAAAAGTTGAAAGCTGCAAGTTTTGATAAAAGCATTTGGAAGCATATAAAAGAATCGACTTCAAAATGGGAAACATTGTAGATCTTCACTTTTGGTTCCAGAAAAAATAGTCATAGTTTTTGTTATTTTTACAATTCTGAAAAATATTTTCACTACATACAAATAACGTTGGTTTTCCAAATGCATCTATAGAATTTTATAGTTTTTTTGAAGTTCTCTAAGAAAAGTTTGTTGAAAATCAAAATAGAATTCACAATATTTTCGAAATTTTGCAACAAATTTTCAGTATTTGAAGCATTTTATAGCCTGAAAGGATTTTTGGGAACATCCGGTTCTAGACATTTTTTGTAAGTTTTTTTTCCAATCATACTATTTTTAGTAGTCATATTTCTATCCCCTACCCATCTTTGAAAATCCGCTTTTCTATCAAAATAGTTCTGGGTATTGCGAGTTCAATATGTAATAAAGTTTAAAAATAACTATTATCAAAAAAATACCGTTTTAGACTGGATACATGGAATTCAATCGGATTTACGCATTTTCCTGTAAGTAAAAAGATAGTTATATTTACTTTGGGAAGGGGTTGAAAACCAATTTCCTTGAGTAAGCAGGAACAGAAATACTTATAGCTGGGAAAGTTCATTGGGGTTTTATGTGAAGGTTAAGGTTAGGGAGATCCGTTGTTCAAGTGCGATTCGGACGAAAAAAGATTTGGACGGTGTACGCAAATGAGAACTCAAATCATCATGTTCCACGGAGAATCTTTTTACTTTTCTCACTGAACTACAACCCACTTACAATTGGATTCTCGCAAAGTTTTGAAGTTGTTAGATTGTCTTGTGTAGATCAAATACTCCCCAAAGATCTTTGTATAATTCAAAATAACTCAAATTTAATCAGTTCTTATGTTACAGAATTATGTTCTTGTTTGATAGTATTGACGCGCAAGTACATGTAATTTCCGTTGTTATTTCTCGTTTTCTATTTTTATCTGAAGATTTATAATTTCTAAATTCCCAGAAAAAACTATAACTTTCCGAATATTCTAAACGAAATGAAATAAGAAAAACAAAATAGAATATCGAATTCCACTTCTTGAATTCTTGAAATTTGTATTTTTCCAGACAAAAAACAAACAAACTAAAAATGTTGATTATTTAATTTCAGATTGTTATTGTTTTTAGCTGAGCACATGATTTTTTTCTATATTTGTTATATACTGTATGAAGGAAAAAGCAAAATCTTGCAAATCCACCGATTTAGTTCCTTTTTGTCAACTGATATACATACATGAAGATAAGATTCATTTTTATCAAGATTATTGAAAAAGTATCGCTAATCAGAAAATCAGATAAATTTACAAAATGAAAACATCACTTTCATTTCCAAATCTTTTTTTCATTAGTATAAAACATCTACTAACTCACAGAAAAAAAAAGAGTTTTTTGTTTCCCAAAAAACCCTGGATTAAAATTGACGACTTGTAGACGAAAACGAAAACGAAAAAAAAATCATAGTTTGGTCTAGTGAAACCCTTTTTGTTATATTGTTCTATTCTCATTTTCTAGTTGTTCACACGATTCACAAAAAAAGAAAACAAGAAGGATGAATGAGCAAAAGGAGTAGCACAAAAAACAAAACAATTGCAAACTACATGGAAAATTGAGACTTCCTTTTTTTCTGGAAAAATTTGTCTAATATTTTATTCATAATATTTCCATTTTCTTCCGTTTGAGTCATGAAAAAAAGTCACACAATTTTCAAACAAAATGTTTTTATTATTTATAAGTTATTTCATTGCAAAACCCGATGATTGAAAACTGTTTATTATTATTATTATATCTGATGATATTTAACGAGATAACCATTCGAAAAATCTATTGTTTTGGGTCCGTTTTTGATAGGGTGATGAGGACCACGGAGCACTTCGACGAACTGGAAGAGATGGTTGATAAACACCGTGAAGAGTTTGAACATCTTTGTGGGTATCAGCCAATGGGAGCATGCATTGAACCGGAGTGAAGAAACAATTACGATTGTGTTGAGTTCTGCAAATAGTTATATTGATATTTTTATGCAAAAAATACTGCTATGAACTCTCTTAAAAATTAATATACAGAAAAAACTTACGCAACAACGACTGGAATCTCGTCCGCCGCCGAATCTGCAGCAATAACCGATCCAATCGGTTCCATATTTCCAACAAAAGTTCTTGTCGAATAAATCGTGTGAGGCATAAGAATGCTGCCAAAAGCAGGTCCATACAAACTGACCAACACAAAAACAGTCCACATTTTTGTTTTGGTATGTTCACCAACCAGCTAAAAATTCTGACTGACTGGAAAGAAGGGGGCGGAGCTAGCTCTCGTGAGAGAAAGAACGCAAAAAATAATGAAATGGCTCGGAATCAAGCGACTTTATATAGGAAAAATGGGTGGAGCTGACTGACTATGCATGCGGATTTTCCATTTTTGCGAGATCAAGATTTTGTGCGCTTTTGGTGGAAATGATCCCGATTTTTTTGAGATACAGACGTGGGATAAGAATGATGAGCATGAGTCATTTGAATTTTTATAAATGTTCTTGATTTTAGAAAAAATTCTGAATTTCTGAATCATAGGCAAATATACATATCAAAAAAATTGAGAATGTCAAATTCTATGTGGGATTTTCATCGAACCTACACCTTTGAAAATTATATGGTTTGCATAACCTTTTCATAAGAAAACTCAGAGTTTGCCACATCATTGCAGGTAAATATAGATCAGGTACAAATTCTCATGTTAATCAGTGGAAGTTCAAATTAACCAGAAACGAAATTTACAAAAAAATATTAATATTCTTACATTAATGGAATTGAACTGGAAAATATAACTTCTAAAAATAATTCATAAATTATAAACATAAGTAATTTTTAGTTTTCCGGAATTACTAAGGACAACTTTTTTTGTCAAAAATAAACCTAACATAAATCCTCTAAAAAAAGCTTTGAAATTATTTTTACTATAATACTTCTGCCAAAAACAAAACTAAATAAAATTTCCTAATCAGACCTATCTTATCTCCAGATATATATTTCAACTTTACGAAACAAATCCAGCTCAAATCTTTTCAATGAAAAACGAGTCTGAAAAATGACATTCAGATTAACGGACAAAACAAAGGGTTTCAAAACAAGACGATGTTTCCAGGTCTTCGAGAAACCTTGATGCAAACCAATTTTTGTACTTCTTGTCATTCAAATAATCGCAAGAACAATTGTGAGTGATCGGAAAAATAATATTTATAAGTTTGCAAAACAAAAACATGCGAATAAATACAACAAAATATGTATGTGTGAATCAAAAAATATTTCGGAGAGCAAATTATGTTTTTTTACAACGATGAGAATTTATTTACAGAAAGAGTTGAAAGCTTTGTCATCCAAAACTGGCCAAGTTTGTTTTGTGAGAATCTGAATTGTTGAAATGACCTCCTCTTGCGATTTACAAACTTGTTTCAACCAATCGAAATCCACTTCGTGTTCTGTGACATCAGTTCGACACCAGCAAACCTGAAAATTCAGGAAATAAATCTAGTGTTTTTCTAGAGTACACTTATAAAACTTGTAATTCCTCACGTATATATTCAAATCTTTCAAATCCTCCTAAATCGTAGTGAACTAAAAATAAACATGCCCTTTTTGATCGTGGTACATTTTTGCGTACTACGAAATTTTTATGATGATATTAAGTTGAAAATGATCTCTGATAATAAAAAAAAACAATCGGATGTTTTCAAATAATCGTGCGTGATTTCATTTTTTTTGTTCTCTGAATTACCCGTTTCAATAATCCATTTTGTCTCAAAAATAATTTGAATCCATTTCTCTGCGCAAAAATCGCCAACATGACAGCGGTTCCATGCGAAATCCTCTCACGGCAACTGACCACTTCAAGATTCAAACATCTGAAAAATCAACGATTCTCAATTGTACATATTTTGATAGTGACTAATACGGAAAAGTAAGATAAGCTTAAAATGACGTACGAAAAACATTGGTTTTGCTTATTGAAATTGGAATTGAAATCAAAATTATTTATATGTATAATTCCCTGTTTTCTCCTTTCATTGAGAGATTTATGGTTTTAAGGTGGAGATTTGATAAATCGTACAAACTTATGAAATACATTCATTTGTAATGCCGGGAACATTTTCAAAAAAAAATGACGTTTTGTTTTCATTTTCAAAAATAAAACTGACCTCCTACAAAGTTCAAAAAGTGCCAAATCAACTCGCTCATTCATTTTTCCACCTCGCTTATATCTTTCCAAACCACATTGAACAAACTGGCATAATGTATTTGAGTAAAAGTTGGCAATCTTGAAAAATTATATCATCGATTCCAAGTGTTTTATGATGATTCAGAGATTTGAAATTATAAAAAATTCACTCAAAGGCTTTGCAAAGTGCAACGAGTTCAAATATTGAAACCAATTTCAAGAATTTTTTCTTTTATGATCAAAAAATATTAGTATTTGGAAAAACTGTGGTGTTTTTCAGACATATGGCAATTGAATACTAATTTTTGTGATTTGAATTATTTTCAGACAGCTACATAATTTGGAGTTTGATTTATTGTTTGTTTTTTTTGAAATATGAGTGTACTTAACTTCATTGCATACATACCACATTTCAAATTTTCTTACCTGTTCTGCAGTTTCTAATGTTAACTGTCCAGAACTCATTTCCATTTTGATGCCATACACTGGAGCATTTGGTTGAATAATCAGATGTATTTTTGGCTTTCCTATAAAACAGAATATCAGAAAATCAGCTGTTAATCTCGAATTTTCAAAAATTCTTTGTGCACTTTTGAAAAAAAATTAATCCTTCGATTATGAGAAACACAACACATCATTTCAAAAATAAATACCTCGAAGAATCAGCCAAACACGAATTCTTCCTTGACTTTGAGCAGTGAACGTTTTCCAAGCTTGTCTGTTGCAAACTGGAGCCGCTGACGATTTTTCATCCTGCAAATGATAAGATTTAAAATTTCAGATTATTTATACATAGTATATTCATAGTTATACCTGAATAATTGAAAATGTATCAAGATTCTGAAGACATGAAATAACACTCAAAGTATCGGCATCAAGCATTTGTGGAGAAACCAATAGTTTTCGGAGATTCAAAAATAGTCCAACTTGCAAAAATGGTTTTGGATGTAGAGTTACATTTAGCAAACTCAAATAAGTCAGCTGGTTTGAAAATTTATCAAGGAGCTGGAAAAATGGTTGTGAATAAAAATGATAAGAAATCTACCTACCTCAACAATGAATCGATCGGCTTCCCAGTGTGTTAATTGAAGATCAATCAGAGATATCGATTTCAAACCGTGTAAATGTTTCATAACACTTGTTAATGTGTGTAACATTTCTCCACCCGTTCCAATGTCCTGGAAAAATATTGTAGTCAAATGAAAGTATTTCATAAACCTTCTTGTTTTTATATTCAAAAAAACTCACCTTATCCTGCAAAATCCCACTTGTCTCATCCTCATCGACATGCAACTTCCACTGGAAATGAAAATCTCGAACCATTGCCAAAGGTCGATCCTCTTCAGTGTGTCTGAAACATTCTTATTTTCCCAAAAAAAACCCTCAAAACCTTTTCAAAAGTAATCCTACCTTTCGTAATATTCCGAAAAATTAGTCAAAACTCGAAAAAATTCATACAAGTTGAATAAATTGGTGACCGGTCGGATGATTAGAATTCTCCATCTTCGAGCAGCGTTTGTGATCAGGAATCTAAAAAATAAATTTAAACGAAAAAATAAAGGTGGCTATGTCTCTACCGTAATCTCCAATGATCAATATGATATTGCCAACCAGAATGTTGTGTAAACTTTCTTCTTACAAAAATACCATCTTTGAATGTGAAAGTCCTCCAAGGATAATCTGTGTGATAGGTGTAAAACCAGTTTGAGCAAACCTAGAAAATGTGTTTCAATAAATTAATATTTACAAAGCCTTGCGAAACTACAAACCTGTGAACATCTGCCCAAATTTTTGACCGGCAGATGTGCAAAAATTTGCTGCAACAAATCAGTTGGTAATATTTGCCATTTCACTTCATCTTCATTTTCTTCTTCCATTTCAGCTTCAACCATTTTCAAATCTCAATCTGTTATGTTATGAAATCAAAAGTGTGATTGAGTAGGAAACAAGCAACAATCAAAAACAAAAAACAACTTTGTTATCCTTCTTCAAAAAGAAGAAGAAATAGACTAGTCATACGACTTGAGTTGCTCCAATCAATCGATATTTACACTTATCCAATCCCTTCCGTTTTTTGTTTGATTTTGTTTTGCTGTGATGTTGAGCGAAAGGGACACTTTTGCAACACAAAAACAAAATAAAAAAATTGAGCTAAATATTTATTTTTTTAGATTAAGATTGCTGAGATGGGGTGTGGATGAAAAAGTAAAGTGACAAAATCAACGCTCTGGGAAATAGAAAAAAGGAAAAAACTATTGTCACAATATGTGAGGCTTGAGTTCCATATCTGTCATTAGATTTATTGTAAGCATCGGGATATTCATATAATTTGTAACTCAACCACCGTCGATTTCTCGGTCGATGATATTTGGACGTGGTGGCGGTGAGAAAAGCTGAAAAGGTATCATTGGAATTTGCAATTTTTTCGAAATTTTATCGATTAAGTTTGAAAAAAAGTACCGTGGTTCCAGGTTGATTGTCCAGATTTGGAGTTGTCCGTTGTTGGTTGTCCATATTTTTCGAGTAGAAATCGTAATGATACGTTGCTCATTAGGAATATAATGAATTGTAATGATTTTTTTCCGGAAAATCCAATATTTGAGAAATTATGATGACAAATAAGTGAGTATATCAAAAAAATTCTGACGATTTTTGTTGGTTTCAAAAAAAAAAACAATATTCTTGTTGATTTCCATTTCAATTTTGATGTCGGTATTCATATACTAGGTTTTTGCTCGGCATCTTTCGAATCACCCACCACATTCATCGACACATAGGTAATACCAATATCCGATTCCCGGTCGATGCACTGAAATGTGGCTTTTAGGAAACCATCAAGAGATTTTTACAAAAAACTTTATTTTTTCTACGACCATAGATTCCCCGACGAGCTAGATTGATAGTTTCGACATCTTTTATAATTTGAATTGCACATAGACGTTGATAATCAAGTAGATTTTTTGTTTTAATTGATGACTTGTGGCATCTTTCAAAACCTTCATAACATTCGGCATTTGTCAGGAGTTTGCTCGTCAAAGGACCTCAAACTCAAACTTGGGTAATTAAAAATTATTCAAGAGAACAATATAAGTAAAAATAATCAATTATTTCAAAAACTAAAGAAAAAGTGAACTTGTGCAGAAAAATGATGATGAATAATATAAAATAGGAAAAAATAAAAAGAAAATCATTAGGTGATTATAAAAAAATTAGCGGAAGCATACACGGTACAGAGAAGAGGGGCGCAATGTTAGAGAAGTTTAGTAGGTGAGAGAGTGTGGAAAATGTGGAGAGAATTAATGAGAGGAAGAAGGCGTATATTCAAAATAATATATTTTGTAAAAGGAAATTATTGATCGAGTCAGGAAAACTGCGGTGGTACATGGAGAATTGTTTGTTTTCGTGGACTAAAGAAGAAACATCATGTGTCTATTTCACTTTTTCCACTTCATCTAGTTCTGCTCTGGCGAATCTCCCCATAAAATCGATTATATTCTAAATATTGTTTTTGAAAAGCTGGATGTACCCTGGATACATGGAAAAAAAATAATTGTGTAACTATTTGTACCTCTTGGGACTTCTGATTGAGTTAAATTTAAAAAAGTGCATCGAACAATTTACTGAATTTTAGTCTTTCAAAATTCAAATTTTTTTCTCTTTTCAGTCAATTTTTTGTAAACAGCACCAACCAAAATTCCGAAATGGAGGAAATTGAAATTGGAGGCAATTGTTGATCATTTATTTAGTGCTTTGTGTTCAAATTGTCCGCCTCAATTTGTTTCTTCAAAAAAGCTTTATTATGCATAAAAAGAAAATACAAGAACAAATACAGAGATAAGATGCAAGTTCAATTGATTATACAAATCTCAAAAAAGTGTAGATCAAAATTAGTTGGAAGCCTCTCCTTGAAGAATCTTGAGATCCCAGAGGAACAAAAGGAATTCAACACCAATGAGAACAGTGACAGTGACGATTCTACCAGTTTGATTGCTGTTGAGAACAAACCAGATGAGAAGAATAACAGCAATCAAGAAAAGGATTGTGCAAACTGCCGAATAGATTCTTTCCAATCCCCATGATTTGATGTTCAAAACATTGAGAATGAAAAGAACAATGTTGATAACAACACAAACAAAGTTGAGTCCTGAAGCGAAGCCAACTCGTCCTTCACCGAAACACGATTTTCCACCATACCTAAAAATATTTTTTGGTTTCTTCAAGATTCTCTCCAGATCACCAACACTTCTTTTTTATTTGTGAGCATTAAGAACATCTGTATTTCTCTACCGCCCACGGTACCACATGTTGTTTATTTTCAACACAACAAAAAACACTAATCTCCACGTGACAGGTAATTAAAAGAGATATGTGGAAAAATATATGAGAGTGAGGTTCGAAGATAAATTATTTTTCATGGTGGTTTGTTTGGAAGATGAGAGATAATTTTTTGAAGAAAAAAAATGAATTACATCAAACATCGAATTTCTGAAAACCGGTTTAGGTAATTCAAGAGGACAACATAAAAATTTTAATTCTCAAAAAACCAAAGAATTTCTGACCGACGAAAAATTAGTCATGATTTTTATTTTTTCTGTGGGGTGTTTGCGACGACGAAATATGCGAATTTTTTATCTAGTGGATCAATTCATCTGAAGAAAAAATGAATTTCGCGACATTTTTGTCGCGAAATTGCAATTCGCGAAACGACACGAAATTAATAAAATAAAAGAGGAAATTCTTTTTTCGTGTGTTGGGTCTCGCAGCGATTACGTGTCCCTTTAATATTTCTCCTTTATTTTTGTGTTTATTTCGTGTCGTTTCACGAATTGCAATTTCGCGACAAAAAATGTCGCGAAATTCATTTTTCTTCAAATGAATTGATCCATAGGATACTTTTGAACTTCTGTGAATCAGTGGATCTTTCTATATTGTGAAATTAAGATTCTGAGCGTTTTTAGAAACACAGAAACATTTCAAGCCTGAATAATATTTCCGAGCTTTGCTTATCTCGTGCACTTTTATTTTCATCTTTTTATTTTTGGTAACTCACCATGTGGTACATAACATCGAGCAGATGATGAAACCAATAACAACTTGAGCAATCTTGATGATTCCTCGATTGGTCGAAAGATAACGGGTATTCAAAGCAATCTCGCCCATTCTGAAATCACAAAAAGATAGATAGATACTCAACTCGATTTCAAACAGAAAAATACTCTCAAAATAAAAATATGTGTTGTTTTTTATTTCAACAAAAAATATGTTGTGAGAGAAGGGAGGTTGAAAACCCGCCCACTTTATGTTCTCTTTTTTCTTCTTTTAATGTCTTCTTGGTTTTCTTAGGACTCCGCCCGCTTGGCCGCCCGCCTGACTAACTATGGCCTTGGTGTATATTAAAATCAAGGTGTAGAAAAGAAAATAGATAGTTAGTTAGAATGAGAGAAATGATACAAAACAACAACAACAACAATACGAACATGAATACATACAAAATGATGAGCGGCAAAAAAAATGGTAATTTTCTGATTTTCTGAAGGAAGGTGTAGTGAGGGAGAAAACAACTTTTATGGGGCATATGATGTTTTTTGAAGACTGGAAATTTAGAAAAGTGTACAAATTGGTGGCAGTAAAATCACGGTATTTTGAAAAGTTGAGGGAAGTTGGAAGAATTTGAATTGTTGATTTTCAAATTTTCCGATTCGAATTTCGAATGCGAAATTTACAAAGGAAATGTTATATGTCCCGGAACTTTGTTGACAAAACATTTAATAACTCGATCTTAACCAAGAATGATATAAGTTATTGGATCAATGAATTTGTCAAATTCTCAAAGATTTGGAATCAAGCAAAAAGTTTTTTTTAAATCAAATATGCGGATTACTCAATTTTCTTTTTTCATTTCTTTCATAGTTGTTTCTGTTAAAAAAAATATTTTTTTAGTTTCATAACAATATATGAATCATAAAATAAACGAAAAAATTAATCTTGTATTGTTTTTTTTATTAAAAATTACAAAAAAATGCTGACTAACAGGGTCACACAACTTTTGTCATAACATTCTTCCTCCAAAAAAAACGAAAAAGTGCAAATGTGTTTTCAGAACAATTATTTTTTCTTTCTTTTTCTAAAAATAAAAAGTGGTGTTTCAAGCTTTTCCACGAAGAGAAAAGAAATCAACAAAAATATTTTCTCTGACATTTTTTTGTGTAAATAAATACTCTTGGTGTTTTTTTGTGAATCGAGATATGTATGAACGATTTAATGAAATGTTGTGAGTCACATGTTTTGAGTGGTCATATAATAAATAACATGAAAAGTATAAGTATCATAATTGTCGGAAATGTTCATTCGCAAAATCGTTTTGGTTTTGGTTTGAATAGTTTTTTGTTGTAACCAAATTCAATGGATCAAAAATTGAATACGGTACTTGACAAATGATTTATTGGTTTTTGTTATTCAAAAAAGGTTTTTACAATTGTGTAATAACATGGAAATTATTTTTGAGGACTTAATTTTAGGGTAAAAAATAAAAAATCGTTTTTTCTTTTTTTCGGAAAAAGGTTCCGAGAAGAAAATTACAGACCTGGAAAGATTCAAAAAACATTTCTCTTTCCTGAAAATATCCAATCCTCAATTATTTCACAATAACAATAACCACCCATCAATCAAAAAATCTCCGTTTCAAACTATTTTTTTTTCTCTCTCATTTCATTTTTCGTTGAGTCAGAGTCATCAAAGATTAACCTGTTTACTTCCCACGAAGGTCAAAAACACACCCAATAAAAATATTTTTTCAACAATCTTTGTATCACGTGCTATTTTATGTTTACGTGTTTTTTTTTGATAACAAGTTTTGTTGTTGATCTTGAGACATTGCAAAAAAAATGAATTTTCTTTTTGAAAAAAAAAACTTACACTGGTCCTCCTCCTGTAGTGTGATATGTTCTGGTGGTTCTTGTGGTCGTTGTTGTAATAATCGGCATCTGGAATAAATAAAAATGGAAAAATGAATTCGCGATCGAAAAAAAAGAGAAAAGAGAACGCAAACTTGAAAAATATATATGATTCATTTTTATCAGTTGTCAAATGTTTTATTTTATATTTTTTGTGGTTGTGCGGAAATGAATATAAAATAAAAAAAGAAAGTGTGTGGGTCATGTGGGATAAAAAAGAGAGAAAATAAGTCAGAAAAAGAAAAACTGTATGACTCATGATTTAAAATGTTAATTGTAAGATGAAATAAAGGAGAAAATAAAAATGTGTGAAACTTTTTGGGAACAAATGACATTGTTATTCAAGAAACATTTCAAGGATTTCACATGATAATTATTAAATTGAGGAACTTTTAAATTTTCGAACATTAAGTTCCAATTTTTCAATTTCTTGGGTTGAATTTGCTTTGCATATTTTCAAAATTCTGAAATTCTCTCCAACCGAAACAAAAAAAAATCTAAATAAAACAAAGAAACCAACATAAAATAAACATTATTTACAAACGAATTCATTTCAAAATATTGATTTTTGGAAACCGTCTATCACAATCCTCTAACACAACACGTTCTCTCTCATTCGTCATTTGTTCCCGCAAAATTAAATTTTTCCAAAAATTCATAAATTACAAATTGTACATTATTTGAAAAAAAAATCTGTCAAGGAAATGGGAATTGAAATTGGAATTGAAATTTGAATTAAAACAATAAATTCATCCTGATTCATTGTTAATTTGAATAGCGTTGGTCTGTATTTGAATTTAATTCTAGAAAACACAGTATAAAAACCCAAAGGGAATCAGTCTGGAAAAATTCAAAGATTTTCAAATAAACACTAAAAATGTGAGTTTTGAAAGATAAATGAAATGAATGACCGTAATTTGAGAAGTTTCTAGGTTTTTTTTTCGTTTTTTCTCGCGTAGGATTTTCTTACACTTCTTTCGCAACAAAAACGTGATAAAAGTTTTTGAATCGGAAATGGTTTAGATAAGGAAAAAGAATGATCAGTGATCAAAAATTTTGAATTCTTGAACTTTTTTTTTGAAGTGGTGAAGCATACATATGTTAAAATATGAATAGAGATTATGAAAAACAGATGTTTGAGCTGCGATTTTCTGATTTCCTCGATCCAAAAAGACAAAGTTAGTAAAGCGGTTTGTGAGAAAAGTCGATTGATGGGATGAAAACTGTTGGCCCATAATATACAAATTCCAAAATAATATTCCTAACAGTGTATTTTTCGAGGAAGAAAAAACAATTCCAAATAACCACAATAAGAAAGAGCACTTTGAAATAAACCTTGAAAACATAACATAAGAACACCTTAAAATCGCCTCTAGTAAATATTTGTTCTTTTATACCATTTTTGCACTTTACCCTTTTCCAAACTTGCGTAGGCGAAAAATCACAAAACTATTCGGAGAAATTCAATTTTTCCATGACATGCATACAGAAGCCGACCGTCTGATGTTGTACTTTTCTCATTCCGGACTCGTCTCCACTCGGTCACGTTTTTTGTCGTTGACAAAAAACGGTAGCAACTCTAGCATCTTTTTTTTGCCGTCTTGCTCTCGATTAAAACGTCATTGGACGAAGAGCAACGAGGCCACGATAAAAGTGAAACGAAATTTGTGATAAGACACGAATTTCAATTTTTCTAGGTCTTTGAAAAAAAATGAGTTGGTTTTTTGCAGACTTTGGAAACCTACCCATTCAATTATGAGGATATTCGTTTTCTTCGCTTTGGCTGTCGCCGCTGTATATAGTAAGTTCAGTAAAGAAGTACAGTATAGAAGTTCAGCATAGAAGTTCAGTATAGTTTAGATTGTAGATGTTCAGATAACTAGCTAACCTTTCAGATTCTCTGGAAAAAATTTTGTTACCTTTTTTCTCCAATCTGAAATTCAGAATGTGAATAATTTTCAATTGTATTTTGAAGCTGGATGATTTTACTCAAAACGTTTTGAGATTCTTATTTTCAATAAATTCCCATCACACTCAATTTTTTCTCATCATTCATTTTTCTCCAGAGAACGATCAAATTTTGATTGACGGTTGAAGCTCAAACTGAAAAATTAACTCGATCTTCAGAACCGAAAAACAAAATGTTTCTGGAGTAGTTGTTTCTCAAAATGAAATTTAGTCCATTCCAAAGTAATTTTCAAATATATCCCATAATTTTTCCAACCATCATATAATTTTTTCAGCCGCCCCTGTTTTCTTGGATCTCACCACTGTAAATACCTTCCTCACAAGTCTCGCCTCATCCGATGTTCGAACTGACAGCAAAGTCACCCTCAACTACCAGGTACAGTTTATTTTTGTCACAAAAACATTTGATCTGTTCTTGGACAGAAAGTTTCCTTATCAGACAGAGGTTATAAAAAAATGGTTGATCTATATTCTTACGTAGGCAACTGGCTGATAATTTTTTGCAGTTAACTGATAATTTTTGAAATTAATGTAATGTAAGAGAAAAGAGAGGAAAGATAGAGAACAACTTTGATGGACACTCCCAAGAAATTTGAAAAAAATGGAGAATGTTGTTATACAGTTTTCGAACGAGTATGATTTAATTGGAAATTTCACTTGAAAAACTTGATGAGTGAGAAGTTTTCCAGGTTTTGCGGTTTTGAAAAAATCATAGTTTTCCGATTTTCCTGAGATTTTGATTCATGTGAAATTGTTTTTGGCTCAAATTGTAGGAAAAACAAATATAGCATCTTTAATTTTTGTGAGTTCAGAACAACCTCAAACCACAATAAAAAATTCCCAACTGTTATCAATAATTTAGCAAGAAAAACCATGTGGCCATCTAGAATTTTCACGTTTTTCAAACTACGCAAAAACTTATCAGTAGCATTTGTTATCGACAACACTTTACTGAAATCGAAAAATCAAATATCATAAACGCGGTCAAACAGAAAATACACTCAAAAAAGAACCCGGAATTTTTCAGAACATGGCATCGAAAAAATCACCAGATCACGATAATGCTGCTTCACCACTTTTCACAACTGTAGATTCATCAATCACATCAGGATCAATTTACACAGCAATCGCAAATCTTCTCAAATTCTACTCGCATGACAGTGAAACCGCAATCAATCTTAGCACCGATTTGCAATCGGCTATTTCTGATTTCCTTGACAAAATCATTGCTACCCCAGCAGTCACTCAAGCAAAAGCCTTCTTGTATCAACAAGGAGTTTCTCCATCTGACGCTGCTGCTTTCAAAACTCAACTTTATAACTTGTGGTTTTTGCCATATGCTAGATCAAGTGTTGTTGGAAGTTGTGGATTCAAGAGTGTTTTTGTTGGAGAATCAACTGGAACAAGTATCACAAGATTTGCTAACTGGTATGGATTTTATTTACAAGAACAATCGGGATCAATCAATTATCATGGATGGTTCACTAAATTGAATGTAAGTTGATTATTCTTAAAGGAACGCATCATCTTCAGGGGTTTCCACAAAATTTTCCGCGATTGTTGCTTGTCGAGTGATCTGTTTTTTGATAGCTTGAGGTTTTGGAGGCAATCCAACTTTAGATTTTCTACAAAAATTTGATTATCAATTGAAAAATAAGATTTGAAAAACTCACTCTAATAATGCAATACATCTGATTGTTATATCATTCAATTTCTCAACTTTATTCTCAATTTCTTCCATTTTTCCCTCGCATAATATAACACGATCAATCAACGCAATTTTTTCACCCGATTCCGAAAATGGAGAGATTGTTGGCTTACCAATCAGAGCAAGGATCGTTGATTCAAGTTCTTTCATTTTTATATTTCTCGAATTTTCTCTCTCTGCAATTTCAGCTTCAATAGCTAGCAATTCTCCAGCTTTTCTTTCTATTCTGAATTTCTTCATGAGAAATCGGAACATCACAAAATTGAAAAATCGAAGAAGTGGGCGATATTTCATCAATAGCTTGATATCAACCTCTTTTGCGCTGAGCGATTCAATTGGGCCTTCGAGAAGATTTTTGGCTTCGAATTGAGTTTCAAGTTCTGAAACATCACAATCAGAAGAGAACGATGATTCAGCTGATTGATTTCTCGATTCGGCAAATAGCACACGTTTTCGAATTGTTGGATCAGGAAGAGCAATAATTTCCGGACGTTCTTCACTTTTCTAAAAGGATGAAACTATCAACAAATTTTAGAAGTTTTCAACTCACCGTCCTTCTGAAAGAATGTTTCCTGTCAATACTATTATCTTTTTGTAGCACAGGTTTTACCGCTCCCTTGAATCCAACTTTCAATAACTCTGCAGTCACTGAATTTTGATGAACCATCGATTTCTTTTTTTGTGGTTTTTTTCTTTCAAGCTTCTCTTTGATCTTCTTGGCCAGCTCACGATTTTGATTAATTCGTTCTTCAGTGATATAAAGTTTGTAGCAAACGTGAGTAAAATAAATATATCTTCGATGTGATCGCCAATGTGTAGCCAAATGATATCGCCACCAACATTGGATTGTTGACGCAGCAATATTCCGAAGTCTTGCTTTACATTGTTTTTTGTTTTCCTCCTCCATCATTAATGTCATTCCTAGAGGAAATTATTCAATATTAATAGGTTGAGTTCAAAGCAGAAACAACATACCAACTGATATTTGCGTACTTGCCGCTTGAAATGTGCAAAACGCAACAAAACCCAAAATACAGACAATAATTTTGGTGATTGCTCCATGTGGCACAATATCACCATATCCAATAGTGAGAACGGTAACTGCGGTGAACCACCACGAATGTGCCATCGTCGGAAAAGTCGGAGTTGTTCCGTTTGGAACATCAAGACGATATCCGACTTCAGTTATATTTTGAGAATATGCTTCAGTTGAATAAATAATAGTCGCCATAGCTATGCCAAGAACCAAGGTGATGTAATAAGCAGCCAATAATTGCCATCTGAAAATTTGAGTGATTTATTTATTTTAAGAGACGTTATTTGTAATTTCTCGAAATACGAAGAACAAAAAAAAAGTGATGATCTTCGATTTGGGTCTATTTTTGGTAAAATGATGCCCCACGCCTATATAGTTAGAAAATAAAGTGAATTGGCGCAAAAAAATTTTTTGAGGTCGGGGGGATTTTTTTTTGAAAAAAATTTGGCCGATCCGTAAAATGGTTCAAAATTCATATTTTTCGACGTTCAAAAAAGCATTCTGCTCGTAATTCAATGATCTTTCCAGTGGTAAAACGATCCATAATTCATTCTCTAATTTGAAATAATTATATTTTCAAAAATTGAAAAAATGATAAATTTTTGGTTAAAATCATCATTTTCGACCTTAGGGAGTCAAAAGCGCACTTTTTAACTGCGTGCAATCGCTTCCTTTCGCAATTTTAGCCCCGGGGGCGTATGTTTAAAAAAATTAAACGCGGAACCTTGACTTCATCCAGATCGGTGAAAAGCGCCCACTAAAACATTTGTAGGTGCATGTTGTGAAGAGATCACTTGAAACGCTTGAATTTGCTAATCTAAGAGTCACAGGTTCAATTCCCGGTGGCGGCTTTTTTTAAAAAGTGGTTTTTTGTTCGAAAACCCATTCAGATAGATACAAATGTCATGTCCTAAAGACAATATACTAAAGGATACAAGAGAATAATACAGTGCATTTTATAATAATAGATTTGCCTTCTATATTGATAACATTGTCTGAACCATCAGTTATTGAAGCAAAATGAGTCAAAAATTGACACGTACGCACAAAATCAGGCAGGTAAACTCATTTTCATATGAAATAACCAAATATAGAAAGATATCTGACCGATGTTCAAAAATTACAAAAAATTTGGTGTTCAATAGGATCACGATTTTTGTTTGTGAAATAAAGAATGTAAGCAAAAATACATTTGCAGTTAACAGGGCATCATTTGCTTTAATTTCCGACATAGACATTTGAATTTTCACGATTTGAAGATTTACCATTAAGATCATCATGACAGTACAAAAATGTGTTGTTTTCCATTATTTATCGATATTTGATCATCTTCTTTTATTACAAAAAAGGTGAATCTCTCATTTTGAAACACTAATTTTTTGTAATTTTTGAACATCGGTCAGATATCTTTCTATATTTGGTTATTTCATATGAAAATGAGTTTACCTGCCTGATTTTGTGCGTACGTGTCAATTTTTGACTCATTTTGCTTCAATAACTGATGGTTCAGACAATGTTATCAATATAGAAGGCAAATCTATTATTATAAAATGCACTGTATTATTCTCTTGTATCCTTTAGTATATTGTCTTTAGGACATGACATTTGTATCTATCTGAATGGGTTTTCGAACAAAAAACCACTTTTTAAAAAAAGCCGCCACCGGGAATTGAACCTGTGACTCTTAGATTAGCAAATTCAAGCGTTTCAAGTGATCTCTTCACAACATGCACCTACAAATGTTTTAGTGGGCGCTTTTCACCGATCTGGATGAAGTCAAGGTTCCGCGTTTAATTTTTAAACATACGCCCCCGGGGCTAAAATTGCGAAAGGAAGCGATTGCACGCAGTTAAAAAGTGCGCTTTTGACTCCCTAAGGTAGAAAATGATGATTTTAACCAAAATTTCATCATTTTTTCAATTTTAAAAAATATAATTATTTCAGATTAAAGAATGAATTATGGATCGTTTTACCACTGGAAAGATCATTGAATTACGAGCAGAATGCTTTTTTGAACGTCGAAAAATATGAATTTTGAACCATTTTACGGATCGGCCAAATTTTTTTCAAAAAAAAATCCCCCCGACCTCAAAAAATTTTTTTGCGCCATTTCACTTTATTTTCCAACTCTATAGGCGTGGGGCATCATTTTACCAAAAATAGACCCAAATCGAAGATCATCACTTTTTTTTTGTTCTTCGTATTTCGAGAATTTTTGAGTTTTTACAAATAACGTCTCTTAACAGCAGTTTTATACGTTTGAATATGAGAAAATAGAAAAAAAGCGTCCTAAAAATCTCCAGTAAATGTACAAATATATTGTCGTCAGGTTTGGTGTTTGCACAGCAGTGTATAGCAAAACATATGTTTTTTTCATCCAAGTAATAAGATTTTCCTAGTTTTTTTTAAATTTTGAGATTTCTTTGACTAACTTGCTTAACATGACCATTTTCCTTAATAATTTCCAAGTAGCCATCTGCCTGTCAACATGAAACAATCTCAAAATCTGAATAAATCGCAAAGTTTCCAAAGTTCTTCCATCAACATTTCCCCCATGTGAAAGTAATAGCATAATTGTTGTTGGGATAATACAAAAATCAATCAAAGTTACAGTATGAAATAAATAATATATTCTGCCCCATTTAGTTCGATATTTAGCATCCGCTTTAACTGACCATAAACGAACTATGAATTCGACGATGAAAAATATCACCATAGTGACTTCCAATGTGAAGTGGATTCCTGAATATGTTGATTGTTTTTCGATCCTAACTTGAGAATCAGATGAGAGAAATAATTACCTTTAACAGTTTCATCGTTGTGACCAGTTGCTGCTCCGAGTATCAGATTACTTATAATTAACCCAAAGATGAAAAAATGATAGGGAGCACTTGCGGCATTCAGTGGCTTCTCCAGGAAATTATAAACTTTCAATCGAAAAATTCGAATATTACGCTGCCTTTGATTTCCTAGATTTATAGTAGATCTTCTTCGAATTTGAGCCGCTGATAGATCCTCCTCCTCTTCTTCTTCATTTGACAAATCACTGTCGATTTGCAACGTGTGCATATTTTTTAATGCAATAAAATCAAAATGACACCTTCGATTTGAAAAAATGCAGATAATTCAATTTGCAACTGATAACAAAAATTATACATTGTATTATATTGATTTCCAATTTTTGTTAATTTTATGGAAATGTCTACGTTCTCATGTAATAATTGTTTTTTTTTTTCAGGGAATCGCAATCGATTTGCAATTTGTCATTGGATCAACTGAATCAATCGAAACTGCTTTCATTTTGAACTCCTCGCCAGATTTTGATTTCGCAGCTATCACTGTCGCTGCTTTGACTGCTACTCAACCAACATTCTCTCTCAATGGAGATTCAATCACACTTGCTGTCTCTACACAAACTGTCAGTGGATCAATCGTTGTTGATAAAGTTGGTGTTTCTTTCGGAGGAAGTGCAAGTGGTACCACTAAACATCACAGTGGAAGTGAGACAACAAAAAAACCATCTGGAAATGATGCTGATCTTCAAACTCTTGTTGACAAAATGTGGAATGAAGATCAAGATCGTCCAACTGGTAATCAAGTAACAATGAACTGGGGATCCCATATTAGTGGAAAATCTGGAACTAAACAAGCCAATTTGTTCACAACTGTTGATGAAACTCTTTTCACCAAGAAACAATACTCTGACTTGATCACTACTTATGACAAAGATCTTTTTACCGCCGATGTTTGTACCGCCGAACCAGCAATGGCCGGATTCCGTAAACAATACCTTCAAACTGTTTTCGACACTTTCACAGCCACACCAATGTTCACTGATGCTTTCGCTTACTTGCAATCAAAGAGTGAGTTTTCTTTTCTTTTTTTTAAATTTATATAGATCTCATGAGATTTTTTTCCAGGCGTCAAAGAAACCTCAAGTTTGGATAACTTCAAGACAAAAGTTTTGTGGCCTTTGTGGTTCGGAACATACACTCGATGCAAAGGAGCCCTCGGTAGTTCAGGTAAACAAAGTTTTTGTAAACATAAACCTTGTATCTATGTGTTTGACCACAAATACTACATGAAATATGGTCTGTGCTATCTGATCTTTAAGAAAAGCCACGTGCAAAATCGGAAAAAAAAGTTTGTATTTTTCAGGATGGGAACACGTTTTCTCTGGAGAAGTTCGCAGCGGTGATGTAGATGGTCAACACGATTGGGTTAGATATTATCTCCAACAAAAAGCTGATAAAATGGTTTATGAAGGATATTACGATCATTTCGACAACATTATCGGAACATTCCAATATACCTGGATGGGAAATTTGAAACCAAAGGGTGGATTCTTCACTGGATCTTCACCAGCATTCGATTTCTCAATCTTGTCAGTTTGTGCTTTGGTGCATGGAAATGGAGGAAACTGCCATTTTAATGTTGAAGGACACGCTATCACAGTTACATCATATACTCAACAATGTGGAGATGGATCTGGAACTTGTCTCTCAACTGCTTATCCTTCTGGATAATTTATATATATTTTAGTGTTTCTTGTTTTTGTGTGATATGTACCGATGAACTTTTTTTTCAAAACTTTGTGAGATGATGCAAATAAATGAGCATAGTTTATATCTGAACAAAATCAGCCTAAAATCCCAAAAATTTTCGCAAAAGGAAAATTTTTACAAGAAATGAGCTCTCAAAAAAACTCCGAGTCTATTCCACACTGCCTCCCCAAATCTACGTGTGTGTGGAAAAACGAAAAATGTCTGGCACGCTCTCGCAAACACACACTCTCTTGCACACAACTTTTTACTTTTATTTCGCGAAAACAGTGCATATTAGGAGCTGATTTTTATGTGTTTTTCATCGGAACCACAATATGTGTTATACATAGTTTGGAAGAGAATTTCTTCGGCTACAAACACATATGAAATGTTATAAATGAAACCGAGATAAAAAAATAAAAATTTCATGCAAACATGACATGGTTTTTTTGAATTGTGTGAAAAACGCATGTGTTTTTTGATGACCTGGCTTATTTTTGAATATCGAATATATGTATAATCGAGTCGTAGTTTTGTTCAGAATCTCAAGGGCTTTCAGATGATGTAAATCAATATTTATGAAATTGTGAAATCATGGAGGAGTAGGGATTTTTCGTTTGTCAATTTTTAAAACGAAATTTTCATTTTCATTTGAAAGGAACTCGAATAAAGTTTACATACGTTTTGAAGAGAATTTCTCGGGCTTCAAAATCATATATATTTCTATACACAAAAATGGAAATTGAAAGCACCGCTTTCGGTTGAAAACGTGTTGGGTTTGCACCAAACAAACAAACCACGTTCAGTAGCGTTGCGAAAAACAGCGGTGAGTTTTCAACCGAAAGCGGTGCTTTCAATTTCCATTTTTGTGTATAGAAATATATACGATTTTGAAGCCCGAGAAATTCTCTTCAAAACGTATGTAAACTTTATTCGAGTTCCTTTCAAATGAAAATGAAAATTTCGTTTTAAAAATTGACAAACGAAAAATCCCTACTCCTCCATGATTTCACAATTTCATAAATATTGATTTACATCATCTGAAAGCCCTTGAGATTCTGAACAAAACTACGACTCGATTATACATATATTCGATATTCAAAAAATAAGCCAGGTCATCAAAAAACACATGCGTTTTTCACACAATTCAAAAAAACCATGTCATGTTTGCATGAAATTTTTATTTTTTTTATCTCGGTTTCATTTATAACATTTCATATGTGTTTGTAGCCGAAGAAATTCTCTTCCAAACTATGTATAACACATATTGTGGTTCCGATGAAAAACACATAAAAATCAGCTCCTAATATGCACTGTTTTCGCGAAATAAAAGTAAAAAGTTGTGTGCGAGAGAGTGTGTGTTTGCGAGAGCGTGCCAGACATTTTTCGTTTTTCCACACACACGTAGATTTGGGGAGGCAGTGTTCCACAAAGAATACAGCGCTGAATTTTTTCAGAACCCTTTTTTTAAAATTCAAACAAAGAGGAAGAATTTTGACCATAAAACCTAAAACAAACTGTTTCCCAACACTTTCTTCTATTCACTAAATGTGTATTTTGTAGTGTATGTGATTGAACTTCACTTTTTTCTTCTGTTTTTTTTATTCCAAATTTTTATTATCAAATTCTTTAATTTAAAAAACTCAAAGTAAAAATCCGTAAGACAATAGAGGAGATGAGAATCGTTTTGGTTCACACAAATAAATCAGCATTCAATGCAAAAATAATTATGTTCAAAATTACCGGTATGAAAAATTACAAACAGAAAACAAAAAAAATTATCAATTCGAGGATTCGTTATTTGTTTCGTTCAATGGTTGTAATTCGACAGTCATATCTGGAGCTTGATCAGAAATTTCTTTCAAAGGCGCACAAAGTGTTCGAGAAGCCACAAATAATGTGACAACTGCTAATAGCAATTCTAAAATTGCTGCACTTATCAATCCAGCATCTAATCGATAATCTGTTCCAAGTCTAGTCATAACCCGTCGCATATTTTCGTTAACATTATCACCACAAAATATTTGGCATTGGCTATTTGATGGGAATGAAGTTGCAAGAAGATGCCAGTCACATTCTCCCCAACATTCGTGCTAAAAAATTTGAACTGTGGTCATTTTTAAAGTTTTTTCCTAACAATTTTTGCCCTCTGCCACAACGAAAAATTGTATGTATGTATGTAGTAAATACAATATTTTCTGAACAAATATCATCATTTTTGATAGAACAGAAAGTGTGTCAACAGAAAAATTGGCGATTTTTTCATGAAGAGGAAACACAAAAATTTTGAAAAACATGTGCTGCTTACCTGATAGAAATGAATGTCGAAACTAGAGACAATTATGATTGCTGGCACAAATATTAGGATTGAATGAATGCACATGACGAGATATGCAATCACTATTCCACGACGATATGAAGCGGAGCCACAAATTCCGACGCATCTGGAAAAATGGAGGATGCTATAGGGTTCTTTTGAAAAAAAAACTAGGAGAATTATTTACTACTTTGGGGGAGAAAAAACTAATTACTTCTGAAAACCATATTTGAAACTTTCTGTGATAAAGTGTTTTTTTCAGTTTGACCAGTGATGTTTTGGTTTTAAAAACCTTCAGATTTTAAACAGATAAAAATTTTCAGCCAAATTTTTTTTTGTTTTTTTTTTTGTTGTAAAATTTTTTCGGAAAATTTGCATCATTTTCATTTTTAATCTCTTCCCAAACCCTTCAAAAATCCTCATGTCTCACCCCAAAATCACAAAATAAAACGAGCAAATTTCTTCTAATCCATGCAATCGAATCGTATTTTTTCGTGTGCTTGCATAATCAGCCAATCCACTCAAAATCATCATAATTATACCGAGAAGCACGTGGATGTTTGCCAAAGCCTGAAAAAAAATGTTTTTTTTTTGCGTTTTGACAGGTGATTGCGTATTATTGCGTAATATGGCTTGGATATCCGGGTGGGAGGAAAAGTAGATGTTATGAAAAAAAGAGGCTTTGAAAATTTTATACGATTCTGACTTCTTTGCAAAAAACAACAAAGAACGAGGTCAGAAGATGCATATTTCATAAGTTTGACGTCAAAAACTTCAGGGTTTCACAGGATTAAATTTAAAAATAGATCTCACCTTTAACAATGACAACATTTTAACAGTAGATGTTTCAGACAATCGAGCTTCCTTTAGTTGATTCAGCTGAGCTCTGAAAGATATCACAAATTTTATATTGGAACAAATCAGTGGAAGTTAACAATATAATTTATTTTCAACAAAAAAATGTTCTTACTCTGGATAGATTTTTCTGACTGGAACAGTCATTTTTGTCGAGAGAATAGTTAATAGGAACTGAATTTTGAGAGCAGTTTTCGTTTCGAAAAATCGCGAAAATGACATGCTCTTTGGGTAGCCGAGCAATTTGTTTTTCTCAGACTCCGCCTATTGTTTGCTCAAGGAACTGTTTTTTCAAATTTTTCATATGTTTTGGCTCGCAGATGATGACTTTCAAAAAACTTTTTGGAAAAATAATTCACCTGATTGCGTTAAATGACGAAGTTGTTGGAATATTTGAACTAATAGAACACATTTTCATTGCATTTTTTGTTCAAGAAAAATTAAAAGTTCATAGGGAAAAGATGATAAAGTTTTACTTATAAAATCAATCGATCAATAAAAGGACACACACAAATAAATCTTTATAAAAAGATTTTCGTTTGTGTTTTTATGTTATTTTATTTCGTTTGTCCCGCGCAATAAATATCGAAAGGAAAATAATAGTAGTTGGTAGTAGTAGTAATAGTTTTTCTCAATTTATTTCTCTTATATTATATGTCTGTTTCAAATAAAAATATATATGCAAAAAAAAAGAAAAAATACTAGTTGTCTGCTTCTCGCGAATTCTCTCGTTTTTGCTTTATCTCTCAATCGATCCAGAGCATTTTTGGAGCACGACAAGAAAAATAAGAATGAAAAAGGAGTGAGAGAAAAAGAGGGGGGAGAGATATAAAAACGGAAATTATTGTGAATTAGCTTTAGATTGAGTTGGAGAATGGATGTAATGGCCATAAAAATTGCGGACCATCAAACATTTTTTGAAAAAATGGGAGAGGAAAAAAGTGGAGCAGAACGCTATCAAAAACCAGATGTGCTCCAGTTGAGCTTGTTTCATTTTTTTGGTAAAATTAGATGGCACCTAGCTGGGGTTCAGGGATGGAATATATTTCAAGTATTCTTCTTCCAACTGTCAAATTCTTGCACTCAACAAATATTTTATAATTCAACAGCAAAACTATCATAATCCAAATCCCCTCACATTTTCTCACGCACGAAATTGATAATTTATCAAATCTATTTTTTTTCAAAACCCAAAATAAAATAACAAAGTTCAGCATCACATTTATTCATTTATTACTATTTTATGTATGTCTATGTGAAAAACGGAAATCAGCCCAGCAAAAATTGTGTGGGTTTTCTGTGTGGCATTAAAAATATTCAAAAAAAAAAGAAAAACAAATCTTTTGTCCTTGGAACAAAGCAAGGCCTTACATAAAATTTGAGAGCGAAGTTTGTATTTGAGATGAGAAGAATTGTGTCAAATCTATTCAAGAACTTTTATATTTTGAAAATGAGTCAAAATGTTATCAAGAAATAGTGATTTGTGTCGCTATCACAAATCATGGAAAAGCATGCGAACTAATTCTCTGGGAAATATTTTTTCGAATTAGCTATTTGCACAAACTACGAAAACTAGAAGAAATAACAAAAAATTGAATAATTCAAAACTTTGTGGTTTCTATGGTTTTTGAGAATTACAAAAAAAATAAATCTCACCTCATTTTCTCTTGAATAATGTTCAAATCCGATGGAGAATACTTCATTTTTTTTCTGAAATGAATGAAAATTATTGTTTTGTTAGTGAAAACCGAAAGAAAAAACAAAAAATAAGAGAAAAAAAGCCCCCACGAAGAAAAAGTTCTCTCCTTGAACTCAAAAAAATGTACATAAATAATCCTTTTTTCTCCACATTCATATATTCATTTGCGGGAAAAAAAGAAACTAAAAAGTGTTCATCAAAAATGTATTCATTCTCGAAAAAAAACAGAAAAATGTTTCTGTTAAATTCAATAAAATATATTATATTATGCCCTTGAATAGAAACAATTATGGCAAGAAAATCTAGTTTTTTCTTGCTTTGGGTGGGGAAAAATATATACAAAATGTTGAAAGTTACAAGAAAAATTCTCAGAGGTCAGTTATTTTGCTGGCTCATTTAAAAAAGAGTAAGAGCATGAACTGTTTGTTCTGTCGAATAATATATATTTGAAGAATGACAGAATACTATTTGAAAAGCACAAATCACGGCTTTGAAAGAAAAAAAAAACGTGTTTTCATAAAATATTTCATAATATTCTCAAAGTGTGTAAATCATCTATATTTTTTGTGAAAAAGCTGAAATTTCTCTATTGAAAATAATCCTCTGAAAGCTGGAGGATTTTAGAATTTTGCGGGCGGGTACATATTTTGTAGGGATAATATAAAAATCCTCACAAAAATTTTCAAGAAAATTTTAAAGACATCTACAGAAAAAACTAATGAAAACCAACCAAGTTTCTACTTAATTCGATACGGTAAACATGAAATTTGACGAAAATAGAACATGACATGAAAAATTCCTTTTCTTGTTCATTTTTTCTTTCCGTAGACAATAGACAATGTACATACAAAATGAACGAAAAAATAGAAAATAAAAAATAGAGGCAAAGATTTATGAATGAATGCAAGATAACATTACAATTTTTAGGTTATCAGTCTGGTGCTATTAAAAAATAAGAGGGAAAGTTCAAAAGGTTGGTATGAACTGACTGTTTTTATCATTCTCATTTTATTTTTTTTTCATTTCTTTTTTCTTTTTTTGTTTTTTATCAACGTTGAAAAAATAGAGATCCGGAAAATATTTCTGTTGTTTTTCTCGAAATTTATAGAGACAATTCAATTTGATTAAAAATAAAGGGAAAACACAAACACAAACAAAAAAAATTATTGAGATCCACAGAATGACTCAATCTCATATATATTTCATTTATGTATCTTCTAATTGTTTTTTGAGTTCAGCGAGTTCTTTCTCAAGGAAAACTATTCTCACAAATAAGCAATGAATCATGTCTTTTGGATTGTCGGACTGCAAACTTTCCAGAGTTTTTGGAATTAATTTCTCTTATATTTCAATTTATTATGATCTTTGTATTCTTCTGAATCTAGCTCAAAATGTGACAAAAATATTTGATTGAAATCAGGATTTTTGCGGAGACATGTGGGTTCGTCCATCATTCCAAACAATTCTACGACGTTTGTTTCGATATACTGAGTCATGAGGTTTCAAAAAATTCAGAAAAAATTGAACTTTTACTTAAAAAAGGAAAATTTTTGTTCATTTTATTTTTTATTCCAAATAAATAAACCAAATAAATATAAATCATGTGAAGTTGAGATAGTATAATTTTCAAAAAAAAAAATACAAAAGTAGTTAGAAAACAACATTGAAAAATATTTTGAAATCAATTCAGTGAAGTTATCCGTTTTCAGAACGTCTAAAGTGATTCGCGGAAGGGCAATTTTGCAGCTAAAACAGGGTTTTTGTTGAGGGGAAACATGACATTTGTACATTTAACACATATGCTATACACCGGGAGGAATTCACAAAAATGTACAAAAAAAAGAAGAGGTAATTTTGAAAATGAAAAATATGAAAAAAAAATAAGTTAGGGGGTATAAATGAATTTGAGTTTTCAAGGAATCAGACCAAGAAGATAACATTTAAGATATTCGGGAATTTCGAAATCTTTGTATTTTGATGGATCAACAGTGTTGCGAATTTGTAAACGACAGAGTTGTTGAAGAGTTGGGGCATTTCTGAAAAATTGAAATAAAAACCGATTTTTTTCAAATTCGAAAATATGGACTTACTTTGATTTTTCAATAATATGCGATTTCAATTCTTTTGGAAGTGGAAGTCGATCAATAGCTTTCGTATCGTATTTTTCGCCAAGGCCCAAAAGAAGCGACAAAACTTCGGGTTGATTTTGAAGAGCTGCCAATTTGAGCACATTTCTCAATTGTCCACGACAATCGTGTAATGGATTTCTCATGATAACTTTTGCTCCGTGTGAAATGAACAATCTGACAACTCGAACATCAATTGAGTCATTTGAGCGGAAATATTCGACAAATGGACTTTTGAGCTTGGAACCATCTGGGAATATGTGTTGCAAATTCATATCTGCGCCTCTTTGAAGAAGAAGCTCAATGATGTTCAACTGGTTTAGAAGAGCTGAAATGAGTTTTTTTTTAATTGAATTTTGGTGGTAGTAAATGAATTTGTAAAAACAATCATAATTTTTCAGCTGCTAGACTATATTTTCAGTTTTTCACTCTCATTAATTCAAAAAAAAAAGAGGTATTTTGACACAAGTAATATGCTGAGTTTTTCTAATCAGGAAGACTTCACAGTTTTTAAAACTCACTTGAACAAGATGCCAAATGAAGACATGATCCAATATAAGTATGAACTGCATTTGGATTTGCTCCAGCATCAAGAACAATGCGGAGAAGTTCAGGATCATCTTTTAAAACAGCAATATCGATCGGCGATGATTTTTCGTAAATTTTATCCATGTTCACTTTGCAGCCATTCTGAAAAATAATGTTTTTTATCTAATGATATTAGGATTTTTGCAAAAAAAAACCAAACCTCAATCAAAAATTTGACCAAATCATGATTTCCACTCAACAACGCAAAATGCAAAGCACTCCGATGATCTTGTCTTTCTGGCGCCAATTTATTGATATCTGCACCGTATTTCAATAAAATTCGGATCGCCTCAATTCCCTTGTCTTTCATACGACAAGCTTTCATAATTGGTGTCAATCCTTTTCTGTCAAAAACATTTGGATCAGCACCAAATTCAAGTAAAAGTTCCAAGAAATTTGTGTCCAATGGGCTGATTTGTGTGATTTCTGGACCATCGAAATATAACGCATTTGGATTTGCACCATTCATTAGAAGAAGTCTTGCACAGTCGTAATGGCCGTTCTGTAAAAAATACGTCTTTCTAGATTCATTTTTCTCTGCTGTTCTTTTTTTTGCACGTTTGCTTGCACTCATCGATTTTGCCTGCTGAAAAAGGCAAAACCAAGAACAAGACCAAAAATATTGGTTTTCTAGCTGCATAAATAAACTCTTGAACACATTTTCTGGTTTCTTGGCCAATTTTTGGTCGTTTGGTTTATTTATTTCATCTCGTTTGGTTTATGCGTGCAAAAAATTGGACTCTTGGTTTGGTTTTGGTTTTTCATGCGATCAAATAGGCGGGGTTGGTTTCTTGGCTTTTTTCGAACTACATTTGGTCTTGAGAACAAATTTCTGGTCTTGAGAAACGTTTTCTGGTCAAGTGAGAAGATTATTTCTCAGTTTTTGGTTTCAGAATGGCTTTTTGAACTATAGATTGGTTTTGAGAGCCGTTTTTGGCTTTGTTTCATTCTGACTACAAAGTACATAGTTGTGGTTATAGATAGAGAGTATTTTGTATTCTTTTCTACTTTCAGTGTATGCTATCATGTTGCATATAGAAACTATAAACTATTTGAATAAACTAGACTATAGAAAATGTGTTGGGTCTTCAAGTTGGTGATGATAAATAACAATGAACTTATTTTGCAAAAAAAATCATTTGTTAATGCTGACAAATGGAACTTTTGATCTACAAAATGTTTATATTATAGCAAAACAGTGTTAAAAGCAAGAGATTCAGACAGTGAATCACGAAATTCCAACAGCGTTTTTTATGAACACTTTTTTATTATCCAGTTTTTAAAAATGTGTTCTGAGAGTTTGACTAGGCCAATTTCTGGAACCTCATTGAAGAGGGGTGCTTCTGGAAATCAATAAAAAGTCATCTATAAGGTAGGTTGAAAATATAATATTAGAAAAATTTATATGAGAATGCGTAGTAGAAGAAGCATAGAAAATTGTAGAATCATTTTCAAAATATATAATTTTTTAAGCCAAGCATTTCTACCCCAAGAAAAAACCACAGAACAGAAAAACATATCATGAATTGAAAAAAGTGACTATTCTTTGTATTTTCCAACGCAACACATCAACAAAATAAAAACAAATAAACATTGCATCTCGCGCGCCAATTTTCTAGACAGTAAAAGTAGCAAAACAACAAAAACAAACCTTGATAGCAAGTCGAAGTGGTTCGTCAATATTTTCACGTTGCGGATATTTGTCTCCGACTCGAAACTCGGGCGTTTCATATTGTTCCACCACTTTCATGTACTGTAAAAACAACAGAAACTGTTTTTCATTTGATATTTTTTGGGGGGATTTTTGTTTATTTGCGCAATTGGTACAAAAACAATCAACCGGATTGATAAGTGTTGTTATTTTTTCGGTGAGCAACAAAATATTGTTTTTTTTTTGCATTTTTACTAACTGTCAAAATATTATAGGATGACATAAAAATTATCCGAGATGAAAACAATTCATGTTTTGAAAAATACCAACCTGCAACAATAATTTGATCATTCTGTAATGTCCGTGTTCAGCGCACAAATGAAGAGCAGAACATCCAATGTTATCAACAGCTTGCACCTAAATAAAAAGGGTTACGAAAATGATGATTTATGAATAACCTTTTGAAAAATGATGATTTATAAACCTCCTCATTTTTCATTCAACCCCAAAATTGTCAAAAATATTTCATCATTTGTCAACGATGTTTTTGCATTTCGCTTTTTTTATTTGAGAAATAAAAAACAATGTTTCGATAAAAATGTTTGTATTTTGTAGGGTTATCAAAATGAGTGAAACAAAAAACAAAATGAATAATTATACTTTAAATTTTCTATTTAAATATGTAGACTTTTTATGTATGTATTTGTTCGAGTCACAAGTCAGATTTTTCTTATTTTTTCTGTCTTCAATAAAATGAGTAATCAGCTGTTTGGGACACAACACCTCAAAGAACACACTTATGAAATTTATTGGATATTTTTTCACTTATTGTTTTCTAGTTGGATATAGAAAAAGTTCAAGTTCAGAACATTTCAGAGATCTTTGGAGGCATTTCAATCCCCACCTTTCTGGCTCTTCGAGTGTTTTGTCATCTCTCTTACCTTGGCTCCAGAACTGAGCAACAACTTTGCGGCTGCCAAATAATTGATAAAACACGCATAATGTAAAGGTGTCAAACCAGCAGTGACTTGTCCATCAACCTGTAAAAAAATCCACTTTTCACCTAATAAATAACAATCCACTTCACGAAAAAACAAGATTTGAATTCAATTTAGCCGTCAGGACGGGATGTTCGGATATCAAAAATTGATGAAAAGCGAGAAAAAACACAAACAAACAAACAAATATATACAAACCTGTGCGCCACGAAGCAATATATAGCGGATTTCCTCGATCGGTGCATAGTTTGTGATTTTGTCAGCCAAAGCACGCTGGAATTATTATTAGATTTGAAACAGAAACAAAACTCAAGAAAACCCCCTGGTTTTATGGGATTCATTGAAGCATTTTATGAAAATTTTCTTATTGGATAGTTTGAATGAATTTTAAATTTTTTATGAAAAGAAAATCGGGAAACAATGAGAATGAAAAAAAATCATGAAATCTTAATTAGATTAGAAAATTCGTAGACCACCCAAGACGTTTTTCAGGATGAATGAATTTGGAAGAAAGGAAAAAATATTATCAGGAAAGTTCATTGGAAAACTTTTAAAAAAGTAGAAACAGAAGAAAGTTTGATGAAGTATGTGAAATGTGAAATTTTCGTCAAATATTGTTTATACATAAACCCATTGTAGCATACAAATTTGATACAAAAAATGTTAAAAAAAACAACTCCAAATATTTCAAGAAGAACTGGACATTTAATTTCCATAACCTTATAGAGATAAGACTGTTATGAACAAAGAAAATTATATAAAATTTCAGAAATACTTATGATTATGACAGAAATTAAAAAAAATAGCTTCGAGTTTGACTTTTTCACAGGGTACAGGTTTTTTTAGAAAATGTTCCAGCGCCTCTTTTTCTTCGAAAGTCCAGAACTCGAAATCAAATTTTCAATTTTCAGTTTTCAAAAAACCCAATCCTTTTCCCATAACCAACCTGAAGTTGCCACTGTGGATCAGTTTCTTCAATCATATCTAGAATCAAAACAATATTCCAAGTAGCAATAACAAAAATATCTTTCGAATTTTTTTTCAGAAAAAACAGCAATATGAGATTGTGAAATCAAGAACTGATGAGCTTCTTCTTTCTTAAATCACAAGACCGTTTTTTTGTGTTTGGGGTGGAGATGAGATGTGGTCAAGCGACCTCCCGAATATGAGAGAAAGAGGTTTAGAGAGACGGAAAACAGCTGGAGGGATAGACGAACACACACACAATCAGCTGGTTTTTCTCTCTTTTTTTGTCTCCCGGGATAAAGTCACACACACACAAGCTCGCACTGAGCACTGAGAACCGAAAACGCACTAACACTTTTTGAGGATGAACAAGTTTTCTGTTTTTCAAAATAAATGGTTTGAGATGTGGTTAAAATAGATTGAGGATATAAATAACTTGGATAAATGAATAGATGAAGATGTTGTTTGTTTGTTTTTTGATTTCGAACTGAGTGAATTTGAGGATCAAAAAGTGTTTTTGTTTTGTATATTTTTGGTGAAACCACATCTGGAGACAATTGTTTGTAGTGTTTTCTTGAAGATCAAGAAAAACCAAAGAACAACAAATTTGCAATAGTCATAGAAATGTTCCTGAAAGCTTGAGATTAGAATCAATGAAATATCAAGAAGCACATTAAAAAATAAAAAATTGTTTTGAAAACATGAGTGATCTGATTTTTTTTTCAAAATTTTGGGAGCATCTACAAAAGTTTCGAAGCGCCCATGAAAGTTTAAGATCACTCAAAAAGGTTTGAAGGTTTGATGAGAGTTTATGACCATCCACAAAAGTTTCCTTTCTCGGACCACACCTTTCAAAAACCATTCTTATTTATTATCCAATTTTAAATACAATCTTTACTTTTGATATACATGTGATTTCGTAACATTTTTTTACCAAACTTCCTGGTTAACACAAAAACGCAACAATATTCTCAATGAATTGCGCTCGATTTACTATGAAGCCATCATGAGTGGTCCAGAAACCTAAATATTCATCCTCATCCTCATTTTGAATATTTCATAATCAAGTGGTGTACAGTCAGGTTGTTATTGTTGACACTTGTTGGTCATTGAAAACAGAAAATAGTTTATTTGCAAACAAAGAAAAAACGTCGTCCTTTTTGTAGAAAAAATGTTATATTGAATTCAAGCTATCAGAATCAGCAGTTGAAACATTTGAAGTTTTGCGTGTCGTCACATACTTTGACCATTTGCGATAAACCACGTGAATAATCGAAACAAAAAGAGCAGTTGTCACAAAAACGATGGAGCAAATCGCCACTAGTGCTAGCTGAGACAAACAAGTGCTGTCGTACTGATGATAAGATGATGATGATACTAAAATAGATCTATATTTTTCAATTCACGTGATCAATTGGATGAATCAACTGACCTAATGCAGCTGCAGGACCAGTTGATTGAGGTGATATTTCGAGAACGGTCTCAAGACGAAGTGTAGCCACTTGTTGTGTTGGATCAGATGATTGTGAAGAGTCATCTGAATCAAGTTTTGAGCGTCGACGACGATGTGCTGGGATCATTGGGATTTTTTTCGTTGCATCGTCCTCTTTCATACATTGCTGCAAAAAAATATGTTGGAAAAGGAAACAGTTCAAAACTGTATTAACCAATTGGAAAAATTTTTTGTGTTTTTGGCAATTTTTGAGATTGTCTTCAGAGTGGCCAAATTGGTATCAAATTTTAGAGAAATTACCATAAAAATTATACTACAAAATACTGGCTTTATAAAATAATGCTTCCAAAAATGAATTCAATTTTCAAAAAAATGTCTTTCCCATAAACTGCACATTTCAATGACCCGAGAGAATTGTGGCCTCTCCCAATTTCATTTTTTTTTCGTCAAAAAGGTCAACTCTCAATTACATAGATTGTAGTCTTTGGAGTTCGAGTGAACCTTTCTCGAATCTCGTGATTTTCATTAATTTCGAACAGAAAAAAAAAGATTTTGACTGCAAAAAACTCTTGCACTTTCAACCTGGCGTGTACCAAGCATACGTTCAGTACATGACAGAATGAAAAGTGATAGAGATAGATTGCAAGAGAGATTATTTTGAAAAAAAAAAGATAAGTTTTGTTTTTTTTTATTATTGAGTTGTTAGGGATCCTAAACTTTATTTTTGTTCTATTGACTACACATGAAGCAATAAGTTTTTTTCAAGCATATGATTCTTCAAAAAAAATCCTCATGATTCCTATCCTGAGATTTTGATCATTTGATTTCAAATGAACGCATTCTCAAGACTGACATTTAGACCACACATATGCAAAAAATTCGTCACATTTCCCCTCATGAGATCATCAACCTCATAAATCTAATAAAAGATGAGCTAGCTCGCATCATTATTTTCTTCATGATATCATCAAAATTGAGCGCATACAATATGAGCACTCTCAGTTTTTCTGAACCCAATTAATTAAAAAACGTATGCAAGAAATCCAGCCAATTTGTTTGCTTACTACGGTAGTTTTTATGAATAAAACATCTAAATATAGAACTTTAACTCGATGTGTGTGTTTTTTTTTTCATATGAACATTATGAAGGTTCCAGATCGCACAAGAAGAGAATGGAAAATTATCACTCGCTAGATAATTGAACTCGTTAAATCTGATGAACATTATCAGACCACACACGGTGAAAATTGATCTTGTCACTAGCAGTTTGTCTGCACTCTACAATAACCCTCGAGTATTGTAACAGAAAATTCAATTTGTATTTCAAAACAATTTTATGGACCACGCTACAAGATCTCCCTATCAAGAATAACGTCTTTCTCCAACATCAACCCCTTCGAACCACACACAAAGAAAATTGGCACTCTTGGTTTCTCTGAACCCAATTAATCAAAAACGTATGCAAGAAATCCAGCCAATTTGTTTGCTCACTACAGTATTTCTCACGAGCTCTTCTACGCATATTCTATTCAAACACCAAGGAACACCCACATATGAATATGAATAAAAAGAAAAATTGAGAAAGAGCGACGAAATAAATTAGAAACGTGAAAGAAAAGATCTCAATTAAAAATTGTGTGTGTGGATGAATTCTGTTTCTGTTTTTTATTTTATTCTGTTTGCGCTCGTGCAGTTTTTGTGCTCAAGAAGAGCATCTTCGTCATTTGTTCTTATTCGATCCATTTTCATTCCATTTATGCTTCTTCTTCTTCTTCTCCTCCTCTCGTCGTTTTTTGCTGTGTGTGTGTGCTGCTTCTTCATTCGAAGAGCCCAAAGGCGGCGCCTCGGCTCCGAATAAAATATTCGTGTGTTCTTCAGAAAAATATATGAGCCATTGTTTCCATAAAAGCAAAAGGTCGGATTTTTCCTTTTTGCTTTATTATATTTTCTCATTTCCTATGAAATTTTTTCGCTTTGTGTATTCTCTTCCGGATTTGAAATTCAGGTTACGGTAACTTTGCATCAGATTCTAATTCCAAGACGGCTTTTTAAAATTTTGTGAGAAGGTTTGGGAAAACACTTGGTATAGTTCTAGGTTCTAGGTGAACTTTTTGGAAAAAAATACTAGGTTACTGTAACTGCTAAAAACAATTTAGGAAGTTTTAAATTTGGGAAAATTTGGATTTCACAATTTTTTGGGATTACTGTGAATGCCATTTGTAAACCGTAGAATGCCTAGAATGCACATGGATGAATTTCAAGTGCATCATCTACCGTATTCCAGAACAACATTCTTTAAAAATAATTCCATATGTATGTAATTATTTTGGAGAATTCAGATTCTTATTACAGTAATCAAGATTTTCCAAATCTTTCCGATCTCCCCTTACAAACCTCTCGATGGCATGATTTGATGCATGGTTTAACTTGACATTCAAAATGTACAAAATTGTTTGAAGTGAATTGAAAACCGTACCTATAAAAAAGCGTTTTGATACAAATATACAGAAAAGAAAATAAATAAAAATTTACATGTGTAAATAGACATGTTTTGGGCCATTTGGTGCAGGTTGTGAGGTCAAAGCGGGCACGTCAATCGCGCGTGAAAGTCGAACTCCACAGCTGAAAGATTTATATTTCTTTGTTATTTTTTGTGTGTTTTTCAAAAATAAAATCGACCAACCCATATGAATCGATGATATTAATTGATGCATCTGGAGAGTTGCTTCCATCGTGTGCATAACATGAATGAACATAAAAATCATAAATCGCTGGAAAAAAAGAGTCATTATTTGTATAGAAAATTTCACACAGTTATCTATAATTATGGAAAACTTTGAGATAAATGCACTATAATTTCATTTTGTTTTACTTTTCTCAATTCTCTATAAACCCAGCTTACCAGTATTCTGTAGTGCAATATCCAAGGTAATTCTTTGACCTACAGCAGCTTTCACCATGGGTGGTCCAGTTATCCCGTGTCCCTCTAGAATCTGCATAGAAAGTGAGGGTGAACCTCCACTTCCAGTCACTACTGAATTTTCATCTTCCATTGTATGAATCTGAAAATATTTTTTTTTCGTTGTAATCTTAATTTTCTCAAATTCAATTTTTCCGAACCTGTAGCGCATTTGTGCCATTGAAAATTGGCGGCAAAGTGAGTGTAATATCCTGTGTTGCATAAATGCATTTCACATTAACCGCATGAAATCCGTCGACAATTAGACCATTAACCGGGCTAACTAACAATTTGATACTATAAACGCCGGATGTCTGGAAAATCGATTTACTTACTTTCTATAGGTGAAAGTTTGAAGACAGAAAACTTACATCATTTGAGTTGATCAAGCATTTTGAAGAATTGAAGAGTGGAATAATTAGAGAAAGATGATTTGAACCATCACCTTTCCATCTGAAAATTAAATTATTGGAGGTATTTGATATTTTCTCTAATTTGTTCGAAAAAATTCATCCAATAATATTTTCTAAAAAAAAAGCTGTGATGTAAAGGATTACCATCATAATAAAAACCAGATTATTAGAAATGTTTTTTTTTCTTTGTGAAGTTTGGACTGGAACATTTATGATCTGAAACTTTTCTAGCCGAAAAAATGCCCGAACATTTTTCTCTAGATTTGATTATATTACAGTTAAAAGGAAAGATCAAAACTTATTCTCACCTGCATTGATCATTTTTCTTTGCATTTTCTGTTAGAACTCCACCACTGAATGCTTTTGAAAAAGTTAGATCAACTTCAATATTTGAAGATGTGCATTTGACTTTTTTATCAATAATCAAACTATCAGCCGATACCTGCAAAAAATCTTTGATCTTTTCTCTTTTTTTTCGAAATCTCTTCTCATCATTTTGTTTGTTTGCAAAATCTAATTGAATGGCAACCAATCCAAGCTCAATTATATTTTACTCGTTTTTCTCATTCTCTCTCTTTTATACTTTCACCTTTTCATTATTATTATTATATTGAAAAATGTTTTTATTACTCTGTCAGTCAAAAAAAAAACGTCTTCTTCTCCCGCTTTCAATTATTTCAACTTTTTCTTGTGTAGGTGGGCTTGGGCAGGATTTTTGACCTTGGTTGTAAATTTGTTGTGGTATTCGGTATTCGACATGACTAATCGGGGATTAACATATTTTGGCTTGTTAGGTGGTGTTTTTTGTGGAATTAAGGAATTATGCAAGGTTTTGGGATTTTTTTTTCAATTTTCTGAACATGGTAAAGTGGGTTGAGGTCATTGGGATTGAAAAGTTTTATGGAGGAGAGCACAAGGTTCAAAATATGGATTTTACATTTGGAAGTAGCAAATTGATCATTTTAAGAAGTGAGAATCAGAAAAACTTGAGACTTTTGAGCTTGAAAGTAATCTGAAGTGTTTTCTTTCATCCCAAGTTTTCTCAAAATGTGTACTTCAAATTTTCTGATTTAAGATTTTCAAAAATTCAAGAACAACTCTTGAAGAATTTCAAAAATAATCATTAAAAACTACAATATCTACATATTTCAAAAAACATTTAATGAAAACTACAATTTTATGATTTCATCAAAAATCTTGTTGGTTTTTTTTTCTAATTTTCAATCACCCACTTCAAAAAACTCACCGAAAAGTTGTGAACGAATAACAAGAACAACAATAACAACATTTGTCTCTCACTCGAAACAAAAAATTAGGGAATCAAACAAAAAATAATAGTTGTATTATTATGCAATACAAAAGGAGAGGAATAAAAAATTCAAGTAATATCGAGACAAATTAGAAATAAAGAAAGAAGCAGTGCGAATAGTAACCTACTACGCAATGTGTGTATTTATAAAAATAAATAATCCGTGGGAAGGAAAAAGGGAAGACGGGGATGGATAATTACAGAATGTAGGTTAGTTGGTTGAGAATAAGAGAGCTTGCCTTTCTTTGGGTTGGTATTCTCGGTAGAAAAGGCGGAAAGAATGAAGAAGAAAAAGACGGAAAAAAAAGAAAGAAGATGACAGTATTGTTGCAACAATGACCTTCCCGCCTTTTATGATGATTTTGTAAGTTTTGGCTTTTCAAAGAAAGCCGGAAGAATTGGAAGACAGATTTCAAGGTAACTAGTTGTTTTTTTTTCTGAAAGGATTCCGGAAAGTAGAGTGACTGCGCGGAATATGAGTGAATGTTTATGATGACAGTTCGGTTGGCAGATATGATGTTCTCCTTCATTTAAAAATTACATGATTTTTGAACTAAAAATTCGAATCAGCACAGATCAAAATCCGAATTTTAAGATTCCAATTCTCACTCCCAATCTGACTACTCTTTTCTGGTTCCGAATATTTTGACAATGTCGATTCAGATCAGATTTTTAGGACTGCTAAAAATCACGTTTTTCAAACCCTTGAATTTTTCTGAAAATACATATTTTATTTCAATATGTTTTCATTCATAAAACCCAAAAGCATTAATAGTTCATAGTTTAATCTGTTTTCTTCAAAAAGTATCAATCACAACAGATTTTTGATATCTTGTTGTTTTGTTCACTCCTGACATTCAGTATTCGATGAGCTTGTTTGAAACGTTTGTTTAGGTGAATAGCCAATATAATTTTTAGTTATTGAACAACTTTTTTGTGTTGAACAAGTTAAACAAACCACTTTCAAGTCAATTGTTTTCAATGATCAGATGTTTGTAGACATTTTCAGACAATCATCATCGTTTCACCTCCCACTGTTTTTATTCTAAATTCACCTGTTTCTTCATCTTCGTAGTCAATATTACATTTTTCAATCAAAATCATTTCGTTTTTTCTTTTGCTTACATTTCTCGAAATTTTAGAAAACATATGACAAATCATTTGTCACAATTTCTGAAATCGCAACATTTTCCCAATGTTTTCTTCGGAAAAAAGAAAAATGAAAAGAGTTCAGATTTATTTATAGAACGGGGCAATGTCAACATCTGTTTTACTTCCTTTTCTCATGTTTCTGAGTTCTGCTGTTTTACTTTTTATTTGGATTTAGAGAAAATGTTTTGAAATGGGAGAAAAATATTTGCGAGTTTTTTTTGAAGATCGAAACTTGTGAATTATATTTCTTTTTCTAGGTTAAATTTTTACAGACTTGCACAGGCTAAGAAATTTTCAGTACACGTTTTTTAACGCATTTTTCAAGAGATAATTTAACTTTTTCGGGCCTTCAACCCTGTTATTATTTAAAAACCCTAAACTTTCTGATAAACTTTTCATTTTCTCTAAAATCATTTATTTCCGAACAGCCATTTTTACTAATCAAATAAAAGATTAGATTATTTCATAATCAGAAAAAAATGGAACACATATAACATATGACTCCAGACTTATTTCGTTTTTCATTTTCATGACAAAAAATCTATGGCTTATTGTTGTTATTCTACAATTTTTTCTGTTTATCAAAAACCTCAAAATAGCCAGCTGTTAGTGACAATAAAAGTTCAAACTTTTTGGCAACAAATAACATTTTTACTCACATTTTTTGAAAAATCATAAATTCTATTTCCACATGAAAAGTTTGCGTTTTTTTTTGATAATGAAAAAATTAATAAGCAAGTTCATTTGAAACACTACAATTCTTATAATTTTTATCATTCACTACTTTGAAACTAGAGAAACCCGGGCTATTTTGTGAGCAAAAAGCAAAAACCTCTATTGTTTATGTCTTTCCCTTTTTTCGACAACACAAATAAACACTCGAAAAAGTGTGCGATGAGTTGGCAAACATATGCGCCGCATGTGAGCGTCCCTACTACCACGCCCACTAATTTTGCAATTTTATTTATTTATTAAATTATTAAATTTCTATACATATTTTTTAATTATTTTCAAATTTTCGTCATGTATTTTTATTTCTACAACTAGATTTTAGATACTAATTATTATATATAAAGACATTTCGGGTCACCAGCAACAAAAACATGAAAAAAGAAGAACGAGTAAGTTTTTTTTGGTTTGGTTGGTTCGTTATTTAATTAGGAATTTGGAACTTTTCAGCCATCATCCAGCTGTGAAGAAGAGAAAAATGTAGTGCTGCAAAAATTTAGAGGTATGTTTTTTTGCTATAAAAATTATGACTACAAATTCTCACTTTTTCAGATTTGCTGAAATCGTCAAGCATTGAAACATTCTTATCACCAGGATTCGATCATGACACCAAGATTTTGGAGGTAAATATTTCTTTAAATATTTTGGAATGAGAGAAAAAACTGGAAAAGAAAAAAAAAGGAAAAATTGTTATTCAAATTAAAAATACAATTTTTGTCATATTAGATCGCTTCTGGGTTGCTTATCAAAACCCGAAGTTTTTTCTCATATTCTCATAAAATTTTAATATTTTACAGAAAAACTATTGTGAACTTGTGGGCCGAATTACAAAAATCAAACAAACTGACAAAGAACGCCGTGAAATTTTATCAACATGGTTAACATTTGTCGGATTATCTGCCCAAAATATTCGACATCTTGAAATTTGTTCCATCACTGTTTTCGATTCTCTTCTAAAGATTTCACAGACTGAGGTAAGATTTTCATTCGTTCATATTTGATATGAAAATTCAATTTAACTGTGGTTTTTAGCTGCGCTCACTGGCCGATCGTGGAAGATTCGACGCAGAAACCAAAAGAAAGCTTCTACAATCTACCGTTATTTTGCAGAGTCATTGTCAACATTGTGAGTAGTTTAGGGGATGAAAAATTGAAAATTGGGAGAGTTTTATTCCTATAAATATTAAAAATCTAAACGTGTTGAGATCACATCAAAAAATTCATAACCGTTTTTTTTTAATTCAGAAGATTTTTGAAATACTCATGTCTCTCAAATTCATCATTTTTTTCAGAAAAAATATATATCATGAAGATAAATCTTATTTTCTTTTTTTGAAAAATCAAAGAATATTTATTTGAAAAATGTCTTCCTTGCTCTAATTTTCAAATAAATCTTGCTGAAATAATTATTTTGAACTTTTTATTCTGTAAAACAGCAACAAAAGCAATCAATGTAATATTATATATAAACATAGATGTGCTTTCAATTTTATGTGGCAAAATTTTTTAATATCAATTGTTACAATAAATAAAAATATATATAATAAAAAACAAAAAGGTCATTCTATAGCTCAAACCATTCTAGATATTGCATTTTTATGCGAAAGAAACAAAAATGTTTCAAATCTATATATTCTTGCAATCACGCTTTCCAGATCTTCACCATAAACGTGATTCGATTGAAGAACCACCTGGTCCATCAACATCAACACCAAATACAGCGTGTAATATTCCAAGTCTAATGGTTGGCGGAAATAAAATCTTGCAATCAACAAGCATGAATTTTTGTGAGTTTTTTATCTTTATTCTTACAAAAAACGTGCGAAAATGTTTGTTTATCAAAATTTTGGAAATTCTAAGGTTTCGATTCCATCTGACTTATTTTTATACATATTTCAAATTCACATCATTATTTCATTTTCCGGAAAAACGTATTGACCGGAAATTGTTTTGTCCAAAGGAAATTGAAACCCAATTTTTAATTTAATAATTCCCTGACTCTATTTTTATCAATTTTTTTGTGCGTGTGTGGGAGCCATGTCAACAATAAAATAATATAAATATTTTATTGGATTTTTTCCAGCCAATTTTTTTTGTTATTATGTATTATATTATACAATTTTTTTCTTACGTAGTTATTTGAGAACTAAATCTCCAGAGGTTTTTCTATATGTGGTAAACAGAAAAAAACGAACTTTTGTGGTTACTGTAGTCTAGCAAAAACCCTTCCCCTTTTTCAAAGAATTCAGTTACAATGAATTGTCGACTTTGTATTACAGCGTCAGCTCCGAAATCACCAAAAACGTCATCTCGTTTTGTCCACGCGATTCCACACAAATGGCATCGATCCACCAAATTTCGATTCAGTGGTGATGCTGTTTGTCATTTTTGTCAACGTCCACTTGGTTTCGGCTTTTTGAATGCCTGGGAAAAATGTCGGAGTTGTAAATGGAAAGTGCACACACAATGTAAAGGACGAGTTGGTGATTCGTGCGGATTGACGCCGGATCATTTGAGATTTTTGTTTGACAAATTGATTCAGGAAAATAATGGGGTAAGTTTGAAACTCATTCTTGGTTGTGGAGGACCAGAAGAGAATATTAGTAATTAGATTTTTTTTAACAATTTCGAGAAAAAAGAAATATTTCTTGTTTCACTTATCTGAAGTATACAAATGTTGTTTTTCAAACTCCTAACATATTTTTTGAAAAAATCATTAACAAAATTTCATTTCTGATCATCTTCTCCGCCTTTTTTCGATTCTCATAACCTAATCAATTGTTTTCCAGGGAATGTGGAATGATCCACAATCAGCAGTGCCAATTCCGGGTAGTCGATCAATGAACGAGCCAGCTTTTCAGTACCCAGACACAGCAATCGATTCCTCATCTTCAACAAACAGTTCAGCTCCATCAACACCAGCAATGCCACTAGGTGTCCCAGGTTCTGGACTAAATCCACTCACCGCGCCTTATAGATCAGAGCGCAAATTTTTGTTCCCCGATACGGAAATGTATTCAATGCATAATAAAGTTCCAATTCTTGTCATTAGGTTGGTTTTTTTTTTGCTTTTTTGTTCTATAGAAAAAAAAGGAAAGTTCAATTTTTGCAGCGAGGGGGACAATCATATTGAAGCAAAACCTGATGAAAGTGAGGGCACAATTGTTGCACAAGATTCGATTGGAAGTAATGAGGTCAACAGAAAAAAAAAAACTTTTAATTAAATCAAGACAATTGTTTTGTGAGAAAAATGACATTTATTCGTATTCATTTTCTTTTTTCAAAAACATTTGAATTTTTAGGCTCAAAGTTCTGAAGCTTCGGACAAATTCAATCGGCGAAACGACGGTGGACATCAGTGGGAAAGACATACTTGGAATATGAGTACGATAAGAGTTCCGAATACACAAGCAAGCTGGAATGAAGTTACAATTCAACCAGAATCAATTGAATGGGACAAACGACAACTTCTTATCGGAAATGGGCGTTTCGGAAAGGTTCTCCGAGGTTTTCATTATGGTGATGTTGCTGTTAAAATGTTTGATATGAATCATATTCGAGAAAAATCAAAAAGAGCAGAAGAATTCAAATTGGAAGTGTCAGCTTATAAAAATACACGACATGACAATATAGCTCTGTTCCTCGGATATTTCATGAGCGATGATAAATATGGTCTCGTTATGAGTCTTTGCAAAGGAAGTCAAACGCTTTATGGTTTTTTGCACGTAGAAAAAAGAAAACTGGATTTGCCAACAACTCGAAGATTGGCTCAACAGATTTGTCAAGGTGTATCATATCTGCACACCAAGAAGATTCTTCATAAAGATCTTCGCACCAAAAATGTGCTTTTAGAAAGCATTAACAAAGTTGTAATTACGGACTTCGGAGTTTTAAGCATGAGAAGATTGAGTTATCCAAAAGCGTAAGTTTTCAAAGCTTTTTGCCAAGAAAATAACAGAATTGGTTATTTCAGAGATTATGGATATATTGCTCCAAAATTCTGGGTGAATTATATTGCACCCGAAATCGTCGCCTCGCTTCGATGCGATTATGACGAATTTTATAGTGAAGAACTACCATTCACCGAGTTTTCCGATGTTTATGCGTTTGGGTACGGTTTTTCTCCCTGGCTGAATGTGAAACCCATTTCAAAAATAATTTTTGTAGAACTTTGTGGTATGAGATGTTGACTGGATTGATGCCATTCAAAGCAACAGAAGTTGAGAGAGTTTTGTGGATGAAAGGAAATGGTATGAAAGCGGTTATTCCAAATGTTAATTGTACCAGAGAAATGAAGGTAAAATTATATTCTCTTAATTTTTTCCCAATGAAAAATGTCTACTACAAACATGTTTTTTCTAGGAACTTCTCACAAAATGTTGGATGGCTGACCCAAATGATCGTCCAACATTTGTTGACATCAATCTCAAGCTCACTAGTCTTCCACGCAAACAACGCGTCAACCGCAGTCCATCGTTCCCGGTTATGATGAAAAGTTACGAGTCGGCTTTCTAATCAAAAAACCAACAATTAATCAATCAATTTTACCAAACAAACAATTATTTCACTAACCAAAGTTTTATCACATGTAAAATACTGTGTACTTGATGTTATATCTAAATCCAATTCTGTATGAAAAACTTGTACCAAAATGAACATATTTCATAAGTGTATCTTGTTTGAATTTTGTTTTTGATATTTGCAGGAAATTTACAGAATTATGACAATAATAAAGTTCTTATTGTTTTCGAGATGAGTATGTGTAAACTTTTATTTTTTCATATAAGTGCAGATTTTACAAACAGGAAGTTTTTTCATGTTCTTCAAAACAAATATCATCATTTTTTGCAAAACTTTTGATAACTTCCTGATTCTTATTACTGTACTTGAAAGCAAATGCCAAGTCTCGATAACAAAACAAAAAATAATTAGCTCTGAAAAGTTCACAAAAACGTATATTCTCTTGAGAAAATTTCAAGCAATCAATGAAAAACAAAAATTAATTAGAAAATTTGATAAGTTGTTCACACGAATTCCAAAACGAAATCGAGAGAAGTTACCATGTCTAATTCAATTTGTCTGGAATCTGTTCAATTTGTCTGGAATTGTAAAAAAGCAGACCACATTTTTGTCAGAAGAATCCCAACACTTTAAATACAAAGTTTCAATTTTATTTCCATGCAAATACCAAAAAAGAAAACCCGCATCAATTATAAATATGTTGGTGTTTTCAATCACTGGGATTCAAATTATTGTATTTATAAATTATTTTCGAGCGAGTGAGAAAATGGCAACCAAACCGGCCAATGCAATTGCTCCGCCGCCAACAATTGCAGCACCAATCAATCCGTCATGAGTCATTTTTGATTTGATAGCTTCTTTCAGATTTTGCGCTTGTGAATTGTTTCTTTCAGCTTCGAGAAGAATATCAATGTATTGGAGAGCCACATCGTATTCCTGGAAATATGTCTATATTTTGATTTTGTATTTCAGCTAGGAAAATGTATCCGGATATTCACATAGTCTTTTTTCTAGTTAATATTTATAGAAACATCTCATAAGTTGTATTTTTTAGATTTGAAAATTATCGTATGAATTTTAAGACTAATCCTTGTTTCAAGATCACAAAATTAAAAAAAATAATTTCTGGGAAAAATAGAAAACTACCTGAGAAATGCATAATTATCCTCATTATTTTTTTCTCTGAAACTATGGGATTCTGCAGCTTGTTTCATGAGAAAAAGTATTATTCTTGTTTTGAAACTTTTAGTTTTGTTGAACTGATTTTAGAAAACTTCATGATAGAGTTTACGTTTCCAGTTTGTATCGCTAGATTATTGGATACTGAATATGTTTCAATACCAAAATAATTTTAATCTCTAATATTGTTGTGATCGTATGATCTCATCATAATATTCTTTCACAAAACGTGTTTCTTGTTTTTTTTAGCTAACATTCAACATTCAATCTTATCCTAAGTTTAGACCAAGTTTCAATTTATTTCAAAACAAATTCCCAGACAGATCAAAATCCAAGATTTAATCAACCCAACTTGTTCCAAAAGTAAAATCTCATTATAAGAAAATAACAAAACTAGATTCTGAAAAACAACTTTTGTCACGCACCTTCAATCTCGCATATGCCAATGCCAAATAATACACATAATGTCGTTTTCCAGTCACATCATCCTCGTCGCGTAGCATTTCTAAAAAATGATGAAATTAATTTTGTTTAATCATCGTTTTTTTTTAAATTTTTTGATAACTCACTTTCGAGTGCAGAAATTCCTTCTCTCACATCAAGTTTATTTTTTGATCCAATCATTGCATGAGCATAAGCAAAAGTGGCGACAGCGGATGGTTCACCGCGTGAACACTGACGCATATACTGTTCACGTGCATTCTGCAAAACATCAAAAATTATAGAAAAAAAGGAAGAAAATCATATTTCTTCTCTCAGACTATGAATATTTCATTCATTTGCTCGAAAAAATGGAATATATCTAGCTAGTTCTCCTTTCTAAAAAAAATTATGTCATTTTTTCTTGGATCACCTGATACATAAATAAAAAAGGGTATTTTACTTTACTTCAATAAATTATGGGGTTTATTCATGAGTTTTTTCCTTTTTATGAGTTTTTTTTCCGAGTTTCAACAAGTAAACATGATAATCCCAAGTTTTTCAGGAAAGCGGATGAAAAAATTGTTGAAGAAACTTCGTTCAAGGAAAAAGATGTAAGTTTGTTTGTGAGAATTTGAATTTTTAATTGTGAATTTTTGATGATAGAGTTAAATTTGAGGATTATCAGCGAATCCAGAAAACCAATGTGATCTTTAGTTGAGAAATGACACGCCTATATATGTTTCTGGTTTTATCTCTCAAGATATGTATCATAATTTTGGATATGTCTGACTAGTTTCTGAATGTGTTCTAATCCTATGACAGCAAATGTTCCAATTTTTTCCAAATTTTTTTCATGTTTCTTTCCAACTTAAATTTCGAAACTCACAATTGTCAATTGGGTAGATGTAGAAATCAGAAATTTTTTTGTAAAAATAGGAACATTAATTCAGAATTTTGATTTAGAAACGTATTTTTAACATTTTAAATATGGAATTAAATTTTTTAATTACATTCCTCTTTTGAAAAAGCTATTCTCAAAAATATTCTATTGAACCAGATCTCTGAATTATTCCGGAAACAATTTTTTATAGAAAAACCAGTGAACCAGAAAATTGAAGCATTTTTGTAGAGACACCTTTTCACAGCTATTTATAACATTTATTTTGAGATGATATTAATTTTTTAGAATTTGGAAAATCAGCATTTTCATAATATTCCAAACTCTTTTGAACTATTGATCTTTTATCAATATTATCCTAACATCTTCAACTCTTTTTTTTTGTTTTCTCACACTACTGACCACCCGCTGCGAAATTAATGTTAGTTCGAAAATACCTCCAATCATGAATCAAATTGACCTCCTATTCTCGTCGCGTACCTACCAATTTGGGAAAAAGGGACGAAAAAGCCATAAAAACTCACTATTAATGCGGCTGGATTGGTTCGTTCATCAAGAATACTTCCATAATCCATGTTTTTCTGTGTTGTTGTTGTTCTTTTTCCTGTAATTCAAACAAGATTTCTCAATGTGATTTATTTTTTTTTGTGTCTTGAATAACATCAAAAGAAATGAAAATAAGCGAGCGAGCGACAAGAAATGTTACAAATAAGCTGTCTAATTGACCAATGATTTTGTCAAGTGTACTTATCCATAAGAATTTTTCGATCATCAATAGAGATGAGATATCCACCCTTTTAGTCTCTATAAAAACAAGAAGGAACTGCTTATTATTTTCTTTTCTCTCGTTTTTTTTCGCCTTATTTTTCATCACATCTGTATGTATGTACAGAAAACAATGACCTAGAGTCAAATCAGATATGAACACGGTTTTTCTCCTTTTTTCTTCAAGAAATGAAATGAAATTGGGCCTATTAGAGAAAAAAATAATAATGATTTCATTTGCAGTTCAGTTTTCACTTCTACTCAAAAATGCCTCAATAAAATGTGTCATTTGATTGCGATTGTTTTGCTCTATTTTGCCTATATTGGTCATAGTGAGGTTAGTAAAACTGGGAAACGGTTTGAGAGATCATTTTGTTTCAAAAATAGGTCAAACATTTTATGGATCGGTATTAGGTCATCAGTTCAAGCTTTATAATCAGGATTTTGAACCAATAATCTTTTGTTTGAAAAATTCTGGGCTAGAATCGCAAAAAAAATGAGCAGCAGATGTATAAACGTTATTCCAGGGTTTATCAAAAATCAACATCGAGCTCAAACCCTACGAATTTCAATATGTAAGTTACCCTTACTCAAAATTTCCTTAACATCCATACAAAAATTAATTTCAGGTAGATAATACTAATCCCGCTATCCCTGACAATTCTTTGAAATATGAAACTGGATCATTTATCACCGAGGTGAAATTTCCTTTTTCAAAAAAAAGCTAGCGAAATTTTTTAGGCTTCTGATTCTACAGCTCCAATAAAACCAATGAAACCCAAGAAAACAAGGAGGAAAAAGAAAAAGAAGAAGGTTTTGAAAATGAAGAAACCCAAGAGGATGAACTTGAGAAGGGTTTTTAAGACAAGTCAGTTCATTCAGGATTCTGGGAAATCTAAAACAAAACGTATATTTTCAGGAATAATATCAACGACAGTTCCAAGTATTCAAATAGAAGAAGTTCGAGAAGAAGAAAAACAAACTAATGAAAATGTTATAAATCTAGCGGTAATATTAATTTTTCTATTTTATATTTTAAATAGAATAAAATAAAATAAATCTGAAATTTTCAGCCAATTTATGACCGTGACACTGGAATGTCGTATCAACCAGAAGAACTCGATAAAATCTGCGCCGAAACTGTACAAATTTCGAGAAATTTTGGAATTCGAGACATTGAAAGTTTTGCCAAAAATAATTGTTTTCTAATAAGAATGTATTATACAAATGTTACTTGTTCACAAATCAATCAATTGGTTGAATATTGTATAGCAAATGGTTTAATGAATGGTTAAAATTTGCATTTCAAAATTATGAAATTGTTTTTGCAGTTTGAATCGAAAATAATACAATGATGTGTGAGAAAAATAGAATTTTCTGGAGAGAAAAACGATTTCGCAACTACATATTTTTTGCTGTGAAAGTATATTTTTCAAAAAAAAAATCTTATCAATCATCTGAACTAGGTCTAAAGGACAACTGTTCTAAAAAAATACGAGTATCAAAAAGCATTTTCAAAAAAAAAATTCGATTCCAACAGAAAAGGAATAAATATGAAGCATGTGACTTTTTTCGTGGAATTGGATTGGAAAAATATAGTTGGAAAACTACAAAACGTTTTTTTTCATAGTGCAGCTAAAATTAAGAAATTTTTCAATAATTACACTATTACCTATGGAAAACCCTTCATTCTACAGAAAAATTGAAAAAAAAAACAGAACAACAATAAAACAACAATTATTATGTCACACAACACACATACAATTAAAGGCGCATCGATTTTTTGCAATATTTGTGTGCGAGCGCAACAAGACCCATTAATGTGTCCCTGTGAGTGGAAGAAGACAAACACGACGTTGTCCTCTTTTTTTTTGCTTCGATCAATTTATGTTTTCTTTTTCCCCTTTTTATATTTTTAATAATATACTACATTTTTCTGTTTTTTTTAAATATGTTTTTTTATCATAGACAAAAAATGTAGCGTTTTTTTTTCTTTCAGTTTGGTTTGGTTGTTTGCGTGATGAGTTTCTATTGGCAGCAAGCTCTTCAAAAGCAACAACAACAACAACAACAAAACACGGGATATCAGCAACAGGATCCACAGTTCTCGTCAAACAATCCGGGACAATGGGATTATATAAACCTAGGTGGAGCACCAGCTCAACAATATCAATGGAATCCAAATCAGAATCAACAACAAAATTATCATAATACTCATCAACAACCACCTCCTCAGAACGGGATGAATCCACCACAACAAAATCAACATCAGGTTCAGAATCAGTGGACTCAGGGTCAAGCAACACCGGTTGAGCATACACCATTATTGCGGCAACAGCCTCCACAAAATGCTGCAATTCCGAATTTAGGAAATTATTCTGCTCCTAGCTCGAAAGAAGTGACACCAGAACCTGCGCAACAGAACTGGAATCAAGCAAGTTATCAAGTTGAGCAGCAGTGGAATCAAAATCACAATCAAAGTCAGAATCAAGTTCACAATTATCCAGTAGAAGTTAAAGAAGTTACTCCTGAACCCGTTTATCAACAAACTCAACAGCTTGAAGTTGTGGATCCAGTTCCAACAAATTTTCAACAATGGTCGCAACCTCAACCTCAACTTCAGCCTCAAGATCAAATCGTATCCTCCAAAGAAGTAACACCTGAACCTCTGTTATATCATGGAACCCAAATTTATCCCTCCAAAACATCATCCAAAGAAGTCACACCAGAACCAACTCAGGTAGTGCCAACTAAAGAAGTGACACCCGAACCAGCACATCATCCGACACCAACAGCGCCGCCACAAGAGCAACAATTCTCTGCGCCACTACCAACGGTTAGTTTTGTTTTTCTGAATACCCGTGGTTATTGGCTATTTTGTTTTTTCCCTTTGAGTTTTACCGTGCTGAGCATGATAATTTTTGTGCCTGATTTAACTGTTTAGGAGAAGCCGCTCACTGTTCAATCACAACCAGAAATACAAGAAAAACCGAAGAACGAAATCAAAGTGACACCATCCTCCTCCGAAGATGATTGGGAAAAAGCGGATTTGGAGGTTCAGGCGGTTGAGGTAAGAAATGATGTAGTAATGTTTGGTAATGATTTTCCTTACTAAAAACGCATGAATAAAAAAATAGCAGGAGAAGTTTCGAAATTTTAATTTTTTTCCAGAAAGAACAACCAAACGGACAAGCTGAACAGCAAGTTGAAGGTAATTTTTTAGAGGGTGGGGGATTTCAAGAGAGATTTTGAGCCCTTAAAATAGTAAAGAATTATTTTTGAAAATCTGAAACAAATTGAGCCAATTTTTTTTTCCAAAATAGCATAATTTGTAGCTTGTACAATTTCAAAAAAAAAAATAAATGGCCACAAAATCTCCCTTTAAATGATTCTGCCTCCTGAACTCTAAAAACTGTATTTTTTTCCAGAAAATTCAAGAGAATCTTCATTGGGTGGAAGTTGGTCAAATGAGCAAGCACCACAAGTTGAGGAATCATCAAGAAGAGTGACTCCAGACAAACCTGCGTTGAATTTGACGACAAGTCCGGGAGAAGCACAAGCCACTAGCACACCGAAAGATTTTGAGAAGTGAGGTTTTTCTCTTGAAATTTAAAAAATTATTTGATTTTTATTTCAGAAGAGGAAGTGTATCGTCTCAAAGAACATTGGAAGCAGAAGTGTCTACCATTGATACTACTTTTACTCAAAAGAAACATGAGGAGGAATCTGGAAATAATAGTGATAGTACACTTGCTTCGAATCAAGCACCAATTGAAAGAGGAAGTATTCGAGCGAGTTATCGTAACTACAAACAACAATACACTGAGATATTGAAGCGATTGAATGGTTATCGAATTGATAAAAATCGTGCTGATTTCCGACCATCTTCAAAATTGGGAAACCCACTTCTTGCTGCTACTGAAAGTTTGACGGGGCCAATTCGAACTAAATCAATGAGACTTGATGGTCGAACATCTGTACCACTCCCACAATCACAAAGTTATAACGATGATTTGTGTTCTGAATCTGGTAGTCATCGACGACATCGAGTCAGTCGATTAGAATCTGGTAGATCAAGTGCGAGACCACAATACGGTTATGATTCATCGAATCAATCAAGTAGTGCTGTTCAACAAGATGTGAGAAGATATCAAGGAAGACATAGTGTAATGGGAATACCATATCGAAATCATTATGCTGCCGAAAGATTCTCTCCACAATATCCAGAGGGGAGTAGCTTATCTGAAAGCGATGAAGATGAATATAATGAACCACCAAATGGTAGTTATCAAGGATATGATTATGAAATGAGTTATCATAGCAATGTTTCACAAAAAAGTCAAAGAACTTCGAATATTGAAGGTCCCGAATACTATTATTTTGGCGTGGTTCATATTGCAATTGTGAGTTTTTTGTGATTGATGAGAAAGAAAATTCAGAAATTTGAAAAAAAAAACTATTTTTTTAGGAAACTGTTCAACAAATCTTGGAACAATCTCCACCACCAGAATCTTATTGGGCCCTTCCACCAATGGAAAAAGCTGCCTACATGTTTTATGCTGCCATTTATAAAGCGCAATACCGTGATACTCACGAGTTCCACAAACTCTTCAATCGTGAATATTTCAAATATGTTTGTGCTGGAGATGCACCGGATGTTGCATTGTACAAAGTTTGTAAATCGATTCAAGATCAATATGTTGCGCGAATGCAAGAGAAACAAAAACAAGCCGCTTATGAAGCATCGCAAAAACAATATTTGAGTGATGATGGAAGTCAAGATAGGTCAGTTCAATTAATTTTTACTGGCCATTGTGTAAAAGATTTGGGCTCGATTTTTCAGTGAAGAAGATATTGTAACACCGGTACATCCAAAAAGTATAATGAGAAGGTTTGAAAATCCCCCTGTTTTTTTTCTGTTCAGATAATGGGATTCTTCTGTTACTGGGTTTTTTCGGGATACCTCTGTTTATGTCTACGTTATTTTGGGAAAGTTAATTTTTCATCAAAAAATCATTTTTTAGATACAGTGAAAGTGCAAGTCTTTATGAAAATGATGATATCAATTCAAGTATCGCATCCGGATTATACTTCAAAGGACCTGCAAAATTCACCGCACCACATGCTTTTCTAACATTTGGAGTTGGCGGAAGAACAGTTTCAGTTCAACCAGATAAATCAATTTCTGTAGTGAATATTGATGATATGAAATCGTTTTTGAAAGATGCTGCAACTCTCAAAATTCACGACATGCTTTACTCATTCAAGGGACCTTTGATTCCTAATCAATCACCAGCACATACTGTCAGATTATTCATTACAAAACAGATTGAGGCTATTAAACGCTCAGATGTTGCAATTGAAAATCGTTATGCAAATGATGTCGTTGAATCATTATTAGTTTGGCAATTGTTGGAGATGATGGTGAAGCAACAAGGAGTAAGTTCAGACAATACCCAGAAATTCAACTTTTCATTTTAACATTTTTAGAACGTGACTGGTCCAGATATTGCCGAACTTCTGCTGTCTGCTTCGAATTTCAAGGTTGATACCCAAACTGCTCCACCAACTGCAGATATAGGACAAGCTCTCGGACAATTCACTTCTTGTCTTCTTGGTGGACATGTTGATGTGGGTTTTTTCTCACATTCAGGATTAGGCTAATATATGAATTAGATTTTATGAATTTAGATAGTTGTTGTTAATATTTTGAACAAAAAAATTCAAAAATGTAATTTTTAGGAAGCCGTTGAATGTGCGATACGTCACGGTTTATTCACCGATGCTCTTATTCTCACTCGCCGTCTCTATCCAAACGATTCACAAAAAGTGCTCGAAATCGAAGAACGCTTCCTTCAAACTCGTTCAATGAATAATCCAGTCAACACTTTGGTTTCTGTTGCAAATGGAATTATTCCACCAGTTATCACTGATCCACTTCTCGATGATTGGAGAACACATGCTGCAATCATTTTGGCTAACTTGAATCAAAAAGAGACTGCAATGAATACGATTTATCAGTTGGCAAGAGCATTGAGAGATCGCGATTATCATTCTGCGGCTGATTTTTGCTTTATGGTTGTTTGCATTTTGGCTGGAATTGATCCATTTGTTCCAGTTAAAGAGACGTAAGTCGCGACAAATCATGTTTTTGGGAAAACAAACGATAATATTTTCAGAAATGGTGATGGATTCTCCGCCAATATTTCTTTGGTTCATTCAGCTATCCCAGATGACGATGGATTCGATCTTGATCGTGAACATTGTGGATTTTTCATCACTGATCTTCAAGCAACTGAAATCTTTGACTACGCGCTTCGATTAAAACCCGAACGTGGAGATTCCCCACTGTCGAGATGTGTTGGATATCAAACATTCCGAATGACTTATGCAAAACTTCTTGCGACACACGGACTCACCACTGAAGCCTACAGGTATGTTAGAAAATTATTGAGGTTTCTCTTGATCTAAATTTTTTTCAGATATTGTGTTGAGATTGCAAGATCTGTGTGGAATCAATACACCAATTACAAGATGGAAGATTTGATCGAACTTTGTGATTTAGCCGAATCTCTTCATTATGTTGCATCAGCTGATCCTTCGGAAATTGGATGGATTTCTCAACTCCGCACAATGTGTCAAACTGCTCTCTATCCAGCTCAAAATTTAGCCACTACCAGCGCTATTTCAACATCAACTTCCAGTTCATCTACAATTGCAAATCCAGTGCAACCCGCAATCCAGGAACAATATATTGAACCTGCTCCAGTTTCAAAAGCCGAAGATCCACCTACTCCTGAACCTCCAGTCATCAAAGCTGAAGAAAACTTGGTTGATTGGAATGCAGCTCCAATAATTCCAGAAGTTCAGGAGAAGCCTGAGATTATTGAACAACAAATGACACCTTATCAACATCACCAGCAACCACCAAAGGAAGAGACTGTAGAGGAACCTGCACAATGGGATCAGGGATATCAGCAGCAGCAACAACAAGAACAATATCAAGAAGAAGTTGCTCCACCACCACCAGCTCTTCCAGTTGTGCCAATTGAGGAACCAGCTCCACCAGCTGCAGCGCCTCCTGTAGCTGCACCTCCCTCTGCAGCTCCAGGAACATCCGCACCATCTGGTTTCCGAGCTGTCCGAGGCGCTTCACGATATGCTAATGCCGCAAGTGCTCCAGCAGTTGCTCCAATGTCATTTGGATTTATGCCGCAAGCACAAGGTGGGTTTGAGAATTCTCAAGAAGTTGGGGGAAAATCATGTCCTCTGAAAAAAATAAGATAAGTTAGCAGAATGAATAAAAATGTCATTCGAAATTTTAATCGAGTTATTGAAAAATTATCTTACACTTAAAAACTTTTACCACAACAAAAATCGATAATTTCCCAGAGGCTCACAGCCGCTGTTCACACTTTCTCAAGCACCCAAACATTTTATTTTTATTGCAGATAATGATGATTCATTTGATCCATTTAGTGGTCAAGCAAATCCAACGATTCAACAAAATCCAACAAAACCATCAGCTGATGAGTAATAAAAATAATAATATTATCTTTTTGTGATTAATTATTCATATTTTTATTTATTTTCTACATTTATTTATTATAATTTTTGCTCCAAAACTTTTTCCTATGCCTTTTTTCTAGGTTCTATTGTGCATATCTCGTCTTTTTTTTCGGTCTTGGTCATTATTTTCTATTTTTCTTGGGGATGGATTTATTATATATATATTTGCGAAATTTGTCTGTGAAAACAAAACGGTTTTTAGATTAGAGAAAAGTTATATCAATAAAATATTTATGAGTGCATGGGTTTTTTGGAGATTGGATAGAGATTTAGAAGAAGTTGCAATTTCTTAGATTATTTGTTGATTTTTTCTTTTCAGCGAACTTTAACTTTTTTCTAGAGGTATGTCGGCACCTCTGGCTGTACCACAAATACCAACATCTGTGACGGCTTCGGCCGCAACATCCAGCGCGACGACAACAACAGTTGCAACAACTGCACCAAGTGCACCAACAGTTACGACAGCTTCATCATCTATGCCGGCGACGACAAATCCTGCGGAAAATGAATCTGCAACAGAAACATCGACGTCAGTAACAGAAACATCCACATCAACAACCACGACTTCAACGTCATCTACAAGTTCGACCACGACCACGACTACAACAAGCACAACCGCAACAACCGCAGCTCCTGCAGCTCCAAGTCAAGCACAAATAAACCAACAAATGTTATTGCAACTTCATGAAACTGCAAAACAAGCCAATAATTGTGAGTCTTTTGTTAGAAAAAAAACTGATACAGCTTATGTTCGCTGCAAGACCCTTTTCTTGTTTTCAACATAGAACAACATGTTCAATATTTCTCTTTCAGGTCTATTTTATACTCGCCGGTTACGTGCTCAAATGGTGAATACACAACAACAAGTGCTCAACTTGAGATTCAATAAAATGCGCAATAAAAACCATCAGAATTTATATCAACGATTTGAGAGAATGATGTTGGAAGTGAAACTGACATTTGAGTATGTTTTCTGACTATTTTTTTTTGAAATAAAAAACAATTATTGATTTTTCAGACGGGTTGAAAATTGTTGCCGAAAACTGCCGAACACAATTCAAGGATTTGATACATTGAATGCTATGCGCTATTTATATTCCGAAGAGCATTCGATGGATCATTCAAATGTTACCAAATCTCTAGAGGGTATGATTGATGCGGGAAATTGGAATGAAGGACAATTCGTAAGTTTTTATAATAATTTTGGAAAATGAATATTGTTTAAAATTCCTGAAAGCGAGCTAAAAATTTATTACATAATAGGATTTATAACAGCTGATTCCTCATTTTCCAGCAAACATTTTACTATCTCTCCGAATTCTTGCGAAATTCAAATAATAAACGACGCACTCTATTTCTCCATCCACGAATCATTCCACAAATTCATATCCCATCAAGTGAAAATGCTGGACATAAAAATTTCGAAAATGCATTCCGAGGAATGAAAAAAGAGATTACCTCAAAATCCCTTGGAATCTACCCAAGAATTGTGAAAACAACATCAACTGGAATGGTTGTGGAGATCAAATTTGGTGTCGCTGGTCCCGACAAAAATGATAAAAATGTTGTTTATACGTTCAAATATTTATTGATTGAGAAAAATGGAGTTATCGAATATATTAATGTGATTGCGCCAAATGAAGAATTGTATATGGATTGTGATTTCGCAGAAAAATCGGTGAGTTAAATTTTTCGTCTATCTCAAAATTGTATTTTCATCATTCAAGATAAATGCAACGCAACCGTCTCGTTATAAAATCTATAAAACACTGACAAAACAAGCGAATCTGAATCTGCTCAATAGTTTTGGAACTGCAAATCGATGGACATCTACAACGCTCACACAATTTGTAACAATTTTTGGGAAAATGCGCGAGATTTTTGGTGTCAAATGCAATGTTTGCAAGTGAGTTTTTTCATTATATGCAATTAGATCAATAAACTTTTGTATTTGTAGTAAGATTCTGCGAGATTTCCAACCACCAATGCTTTTTGATATACGATTCCCAGGCACGGCAATTCATGAACACTGCAAATGATGAGAAAACAACCCTTTAATTTACTTTCAGATCTCAAAGATCAAATTTTGTACCCTAAATACTGAAATAACTGTGGTCTCTTCTTCTTTTTTTTATTAATTTTTTCCTCAAAGCAAATACATATATTCATATATTTATTTACATAAACTCACATTTTTATATTTTAAAAATATTTTTCCATGGCTTCATTTTGATTAACAGAATGGTTTGAAACTAATTGATATCTCCATTTTTTGTTGTGTTTGTAATTGCAGATTATATAAACATTTTCAGATGGCTCAACAACCGCCACCCTCTCAATTGGCAAATCTTTTGCGAAAACCGGAACCACCTAAACAAATGACAGAAGAGCAAATGCAAACTGTTTTCAAGGATATGGTTCAGCGAAGCAATACATGTGAGTTTCATATTTTAAAATCTCACGAAAATTCAATTTCGATTTCATCAGCCAATTTTTTGTTTCAAGAAAAGTGTTTATCAGTCTTGATTTACAACATACCATTCTATACATATGATGTTCTTTTTTTCAATTCTCGAAAAAAAAGTTCAATATAAAAACGAACATTCAAAAAATTCCAGGTCTTTATCTCATCAAAAAATTGCGATCGAGAATGCAGAAGACCTATTGTATTGTCACATCATATCCGCGAAATGTAAATCCGACGAACAATCCGAAATTTCAAGCACAATTTGCTGAAGGGAATAAAATTGTCAAGGAGACTTATCAATATTTATGCACACAAATCAACAAATTTCCAAGGGAAATGCCAAGGACCGAAAACCTTCGAAATATGATTGTTCTTTATCCAACTGCTGCTGAAAAAGCAATTGAGAGAGAAGAATATTTGGGTAGTTTCAATGATGCAACTTATCAACATGATGTGAATTTGGTGAGTTTTTGTAGAGAATTCGGAAAATCTTATGAACTGTTTGAATTGAAAAATATTTCATGAAGAGCCATCACTCCCCAACTTGATTGATCAACACTACAGTGGTCCACAAAATTATACGGTCAACATGAAAAATTCCAAAAAATAAAAAATCCGGAAAGCATTGAATTTCTAAGTTCATGAGGCTAAAATGGGATCAAAAAGTTCAATTATTGGTCCGAAAACAAAATTGGAATTCATGGTGAAAAAATGAAAAAAATCGAAAAATCTCATTTTTAGGTTTTTTCCAATCCACAAAATGATACGGTCAACCATCATTTTTCTTTAATTTTCCAGTTTTTTGATTGAATTTCAATGTGATTAAGGCTAAAATGGTGAATTTCGGTGATTTTAGATGTTCCTCGAAAAAATTAGCATACCGTTTTAGGCTACGGGGTCCAAAAGGACCAAATCAGGGAAACGCCTTCAGAGTGCAAAAATCTCACAAATTTTGAAAAATTTCAAAGTTCTGTCGACTGATTCGTCGCAAAAAAGTTAAATGTAGCTTTGCTAAACACCGTTGACAATTTTTCTTCCAAAAATAAATGAAAGTTGTGAAAAATCAAACATTTTCATACCTCGCTTCAATGAAAAATGTGAACTTTCGATCTTTTCCGTGGAATTGAAAGCCCCATGGCACGAGATTTTGAAGTTGATTCATCGAACACTTCAGAACACCCATCAGGTATGCCCACTGACACATGATAAGTGCCATGGGGCCTTCAATTCCAGGAGAAAGTTCCGAAATTTAATTTTTTTTATTGAGTCGAGGTATGAAAATGTTTGATTTTTCACAACTTTCATTTATTTTTGGAAGAAAAATTGTCAACGGTGTTTAGCAAAGCTACATTTAACTTTTTTGCGACGAATCAGTCGACAGAACTTTGAAATTTTTCAAAATTTGTGAGATTTTTGCACTCTGAAGGCGTTTCCCTGATTTGGTCCTTTTTGGACCCCGTAGCCTAAAACGGTATGCTAATTTTTTCGAGGAACATCTAAAATCACCGAAATTCACCATTTTAGCCTTAATCACATTGAAATTCAATCAAAAAACTGGAAAATTAAAGAAAAATGATGGTTGACCGTATCATTTTGTGGATTGGAAAAAACCTAAAAATGAGATTTTTCGATTTTTTTCATTTTTTCACCATGAATTCCAATTTTGTTTTCGGACCAATAATTGAACTTTTTGATCCCATTTTAGCCTCATGAACTTAGAAATTCAATGCTTTCCGGATTTTTTATTTTTTGGAATTTTTCATGTTGACCGTATAATTTTGTGGACCACTGTATTTACTAAAACTTATTTTTTCTTTCTTTCCCACATAATCAAATTTTCCAGCAATATGGATATTATTTGTCGGAGTTCAACAAAACTCCCCATCGTGCTCAACAAACTCACCGCATTTCGCCATCAAAAATCCAAGACATCAATTTTGGAAAAAGCGATGCTGATGGTCATCGTATATTTCGCAACGCGTTGGCTGGTATTCACAAAGAGATTTCACAAAAATCACTTGGAATTGTTGCTCAAACATTGCTCAGAACTTCAACTTCGACTGTTGTTGAGGTTGGTTTTTTTCTGTTTTTGAAAAAACTCAAACTTTTTTTGCAGTTCAAGTTTACTAGTGGTCCGAAAAGTCGGAAAGATTATGAGAATGTATATAACTTTAAATTTTTGATTATTGAAAAATTGGGCATCATCACTTATATCAATATTTTTGCGCCAAATGAAGACTGGCGTATTATTGATGACGCGACATCTGACAAACTGGTAAGAACATTTCAAAATTTACATAACTACATAGTAGATCACAGCAAAACAATATTTTTAGATCGATCCAGTCGGTCTTTCTCGCTACAAAATCTACAGAGAATTGACTCAACAAGCGAATTACCATTTGCTTTTGAATTTTTCTAATTTGACCAAATGGACTTCGCAAAACTTGGTTCAATTTATTGTATTGTTTGGAAAAATTCGAGAAGTTTTTGGAGTCAAATGCAGAATTTGCAAGTACGTTTTTTTTCAATAAAAGTTTCAAAATAATCAAATTTTTGTTTTCAGGAATATCTTGCGCGATTTCCAACCGCCAACAGTTTTCGAATTGCGCACACCACATCTTGCCAAACATCAATACTGCGAATAATTGTTTTTATTTTATGTGATTCTTTTTTTTTTTTAATCTTCTTAAAAACCTTGCCAAAATCCCAAGCTCTGTGAATAGTCTTCAATTTTTATTCCGGTCAGTTTTCAGTAAATAAATTCTTTCATTTGATGGTTGATGGAGGGACGAGCTTTAATTTTGTTTTCTAGGTCAGCATTTGTTAGGCCAGGAAAATATTCTGTTTGTTTTTGAGAGGTTATAAGACGGCGGAAAATTTAGGTTTTTATGAAAATTATCAGTAACCAGAAAGACGACGGAAAAAATTTCTCAAAAAAATCATAAAGGGTATAATTTTTGTTGTGAAACATAGGCTTTAATATTTTTAATGAGTTCTTTTAAGAGGTCTAGTTTTCTTCTAGAACTTACTATGTAGTCCAGGTGACTTAGTTCATGTAAAGGTGGAATTATTTAATAATTTCGAAATCGATGAAAGGACTTTTCAGACATGAGACTCTTTACTTCACCTGTAACAAAGCATATCCAAAATTTATAAAATTTATTCGCTATCATTCAACAACAAGGCACTGATTATTATAACATGGAATACATATTAATAAGAGATTCTCAACTTTTAATTTATCTTGGAAGTGTGGCAGTTGTATCAGGACTATCAATTTCATCCTCATCTTCAGATGTCAAATTTTCACTAACAGCTCGTTGTGGGGATGGAAGTTCGTCTTCTAATTTTTTTGATTGTGGAAGATCATCATTTTTCTTCGATGCCTTTTCTTCTTCTCGTTGTTTGTAGAGTGCGAACATTTCTTCAATCATATTGGCGACAAAAAGATCTCCAGAGTTTTGCTTAAAATTATACTTTGTTTGGAATGAAATTTGAAATAAATATCAGGGTAAGTGATAAAAATGCCTTACTTGCACAAGTCTTGAAATGAAAACGCCATCAGAAGTCAAGAATCGATCAACAAATCTATCAGCCAATCCTGAACCCTTTTCTTGTTCATCTTCATAAGTTTCAGTTCCAGAGAGATAGGCAAAGACAAAGTTACGTCCAACTGATGAGAGGAAGAATGTGAATACCCAGTAGAATAATGAGATGAATGTCATTGCACCAACAACAACCAACCAGAACCTGAAAAATAGTATTTTCATCAAAATTGTTCACCAGAGAGAATTCCAGTAAAAAATAGAACTTATCTTCGATTCTTTGATCTTCAATTCGAAGTCACTGTTTTTCAAAATTTAGACTAGAAGGTTTATTAATGATTTTTAGTGCCAAATTTTAATATCAGAGTGTTACTTCAGAACTTGTTCCCACAACTAACTAACCAGAAGAAAATGTAGACTTTTTCAGCAAGCATATTGAAAACAATAACACATTGAATAGTGTGATTATGAATTGCGTCAAGTTGCATAACAGCAAAATCACACATCGTAACTCTTGGGAACAATCCAGTCGATTCCCATTCACGGCCATTCAAAAGATCCTGAAATATTTTAATAATTCTCATATAAGAACAAAGTTATTATAAATCTCACCAAGAAAGTTTCATATCCCCACCACATATTTTTGGTTTCCAAGAAATATGTCAAAATAAAGAATTGAACAAGGATATTGATCGCATAGAGAACTTTGGTTCCGATGAAAAGAAGTGGCAAAAATTTGCCGGATGTCAAAATCGAGGAAGATTTTTTGAAAACTTCAGATTCGTTACGGAAGACAAGTTTGTTAAAGAAATATTTTGCAAAACGTGTGGATTTTGTTTTGTCGTCGCTGAGTGTTGATTTGACTTTTCTTGATTGTTCAGATACGGCGGCAAGTTCTTTGATTTTGAGTTCTGAAAAACAATTTGGTTTGAAGACTAAAGAATAAAAAGAAAAGGTTCTAGAACTTACCACAACTCTCGTTGAACATTTTCCAGATAATCGAAGGCAAGAAAAACAAGAAAGCTTGGAAGAATAAAACCATAGGTATCCATTGATAATATCCAACTCTCTGAAAAAACGGAAACTTATTTCCAACTAACATTGATTCAAAAGTGAAAAACAAAATACCGTGGCGTCTTTGTCAAAATAATAATCATTTGCAAGAGTATCATTTGGCAAAAAGTAAGTTCCTTTAATAAAACAATAAGTTTCTGCATATTTTTCCCACATTCTTGTGAATTGAGCTGGAACCCAACATTGAATTGGTTTTCCAATGTATTGAGATGCAGCCATCATAACAGCGGAAAAACCAAGAATTGTGGATGTGTATTGATAATTAATACGGTCGATGAGATCATTTGATTCAGCAGATCGTCTGGAATATTTTGAGATCATATTTTTGAATCACTACTTTCTCCTCATGATTAATTTATTGGCATAAAGCCCAGAAGTTTTTAGGTTTTTCCAATCTTCTGTCCTAATCTCCTCATACCCCAAAACTCACTGAAACTTTCGTATATACGGCAGTAGAACCCCAATCATAATGAGGTTTGATCGTTTTTTGCGGCCCTATAAAAAACCATTTACATATAAAAATATGTATTTCTGCTTTGCGATAGATAATCGCTGTTTTTCCCAGAATCATATAAAATCACGGCGCAAAAAAAATTATAATTAAAAAATCGATTAAAACATATGTATTTGTAAAAAAAGAATGTTTTTTGTACAACACAACACGCAAATGACTCATTAGGCAAGAAATGGACGTACAAAAGTGCCAGCGTTTGTATAGTTTCTGAAGCAAAAAAAGAGGAAAAATTGGGGAAAACGATTTTTGTTACAGTAAAAATTGTGCATTTTCTTGACAAAAAGAAATTCGAAAGCGAATGTTTTTTTCAGGCGTCAGAAAAAAAAAACAAAAATTCCGAAGAAAGAAGGTCATCAAAAAAACAAACGAAATAAGTGAGAAGGTCAGATCGAATCTCTAATTAATCGATTGATTTTTTTCTTTCAAAAGAATTTTTCTCATAGGAAAAATTTGAATGAAATTAGTAGCTATTCAAAAATAATTCGTTAATACGTATAAATTATGTAAAAGAGTTTGTCGAATATCGAAAAAGAAAGAAGAAGAAAAATCGGGCGCCAAAAAAAAGAACGACATTTTGTCATGTCATGACAGACATTTACGGCGTGTTCAAAAACATTTTTTGGCGGGCGCGAGTTTGCAGAAATAAAGGGCATGGGAATCGTGCACTTGTTTCTGTGACCAAACGGTAGCCAGAATGATGATGAAAAAAGTATTGTCTAGAGAAGAGGAAAAAATGAGTTATAATTAGATGTACTTTCAAAACCACTGTTTTTTAAAGGAAAAATGTGATGAAAATTGAATACCCGGCAAGATTGAATTTACTGAAAAATGTCGAAGTTGAAGTTCAATCAAGTGAATAATTTTCGATTTATGATGCAATTTGAAAAATTTGGAGTTTGTATCTTTCGTTGGAAAAATGATTTCGAATGAATCATGAATTATGGAAATCAAATCAAAAATGATTTTTTTGAAAAAAAAAACAGATTGATTCTCAATTGCTACCGTCAGATCGTTTGGTTTGGAAAAATATGTAAGATACTGATGCTATTTTTGAATTCAGAAACTGAAAAATTACTGGAAAACTGTTATACTATAAAATAAATTGTCTACCCTACAAGATTTTTTAAATCAAAAATTATGTAGGTCAAAAAAGTTTTTAGACCAGCCAAACCATTCCAATAAAAATAAAACATTGATAGTTTCCGGTAGACACTACATAAATCACAGTAAACGAAAAACAAACACTACCTATATATTTTAAAAAGTTGGCAACATGAATTCCAACAAATTCACATACAAACACAAAAAGAGAGTAATTTATTTTGTCTCTCACTCTCTCAAGTTGTGGTATGTCTCTATCTGCAAAATAAAAACTGTCAATATAGTGAGACGCAGAGATGGCCTTGTATAGGAAAGAAAAGAATTGACAGACAGACAGTCAGTTGCGCGGAAAATGACAATTATTGATTTCGACACTTGTTTCATCTATCTTCTAGATAGAGAGACTACATTTATATCAAAACTATATATCTGGATGTACATATATGGTTACGGTCATTGGATATGTAATAATAATAAATTGTACATGGAAGTAGATCGTTTGTAATTTGATTGGAAAACGTTTTGTGTGAGGCGATTTAGAGGACAAAGAATTTACACAAGGTATAAATTAAATATGCGCATTTTATTAGATGACCGAGGTTAGGGTTCAGGGAAAATTTGAAGTTGGGAGTATTCAGAATTTGGAGCGAGAATCGGGCCAGGTCCGATTCACCGCGCCTTGGCCGAAGTTCAATATTTTCCTCTCGACTAAACCTAAAAACTACAACCAACATAAAATCATTTCTACTAATGAGATTAGATTGAATGAATGAAATCACCTTGAACAAAACAATAAAACCTTACCTTGTTCTATCTTTTCCGCAAAACTATGTAAACCAATACAATTGCAGAGAAAAAATTTCGAAACTAGTTGGATTATTTTTTGATACAGTTTTTTCATATGAATTTACATACACACACTTTATTCATATTATTATTATTATTGATACTAAAAAAATCAGTGTTACAATTACAAACCCATACAGTTAGGAAAAATGAAATTTAAAAAAATGAATTTTTTGGGGAAAAAGGAAATTTTAGTGGAACATTAAGAATAGATAAAAGATGTATACTAGCATAGGAACATAAAAGCTAAAAATAACGGAAAAATTGAGAATGCGATTGAGGAATAGTTGGTGAGTTTTGAATGCAGCGCATCGTTTCCAGTTTCAACATCGCGTACCGCTTTATCGAAGGAATTCTGAAATATAATTCATTTTATTTTTTTTGTTAAACATATCAAAATTTGAACTTACGTTGAGGAATTTGCCCAGATGATCATCAGTTGGAAGAGCTCTTATTATTTCATTAATATGTTTGTCTTTTTGAGTTTGACCTTTGGTGTCACGTTGAACAATTTGCATAACATGAACTACTGATCCGGGGAATGGCTTTTCTGGCACTGAAAAAACTCATTTATTTTGATTTTGAAAACTTTGAAGCTTTTCTGGTGTTTTTCGATGATTTTTTGTTTATTATTTGATATCTAATTACATGTTGCGAGTAAACATGATGAAATAAAGAATTATTTAGGAAAACATTATCATAAGATTTTTTTAATTTCGTGTTTTGCGAAGCGTTTCATTATAATTCATATCAATAAAGATATTATTGTGCAATCAACTAAACATTTAAATCAACTTCAATTTTCTATTCATGTGTGGAAAAATTGTGATTCATACATAATTGTGAGCTATTAGTAGTTGAATGAAAGCAATTAGGTGAATTTGTATTTTCAAACACTATAAAATAGTTTTGCAATACAAAGTTAGACATTGAAATTATCAGGTACAGTTTGATGGTTTTTGTGAGAGTTCTTTCTGTGATTGTGAAGTCAATCCCATGATCTAATATTATTACAAAAATAAACCACTTGCTCTAACTCTGACGCCGAGAAACCCATTTGACAGCTGCACTTTTGATATGTAAATTTTCACATAAAACCCACATTAGCGCCCTTTATTTTTCTCTTTTTTGAACAAAAAACGTCTTGATGACAGTTTTTTAGAATTTCACAAAACTCACAATCATATTCCGACATTTCTTCATCATCATTTTTTCTCTCAACAACTCCAGCTTCCAATGTGACAAACAATATAACAAAGAATAAGTACAACCTGTTCATTTTGAGCAATCTGAAAAAATCAAAATAAAATTCAAAAGGAAAAACGGATAATGGTTGTCAAGGCAATTTTTTCAGGAGGATTATTATCATTCAAAAAATTCAATGGCAGAAGAAAAAGAAAAAAAAATTAGATGACGGGGGAATTTGATATGTTTGATGTTTATTTTTTCTATTTTTAATGAGGTGCACTTTTTCATGACGAACGAATTGGAAGAACAAATATGAAGATGAAGAGCAAGAAAAACTGGAGTAAAATATTTCGGGTGAATCGTAGAATAGGCTTTACATATGTCTACCGAACTTTTCACAGATTCCTTTTTTTCTAGAAAAAAATGGAACTAAAATTTTCCCCAAAACTTTTTTTGCAAGAAAAAAAAGTTCCCACTGCAATCAGAGTTTGGCTAACTGAAAAACACAAAAAAACTTATTCCTTTCACAGTGAAAGTATGAAAAAAGTAAGTAGATAACATAATCAAATGTATGTGCGCGAAAAGAGCTTCTTCTTCTCCTCTTTCTGCCTTTTTTCATTCTATTCACAACACAAAAAAACGAAGACGGCATAGAAAGGACAAGCGGTTTGGAAGAAGAAAAAGAAGAGGAAGACCTTCTTGAAAAAAGAGCTCATCTTACAAGAAGAATCAAATGAAGCTGTAAAGTTAAACTCTATTTTTTCTCCATTTCTCATTTTCGTTGGTTGGTAAAAATAGTGGTTTTTTCAACGTAGCATAGAATTAAATTAATTGGTTTTCAGTCATTTTATGTATACTAAATGTAAGAACAACAAAATAATTTGGTATTCATGAGATTGTTTTTTTCATCTCATTTTCAAATTTTTTGTGCTGGGGGTAAGGAAAGGTACGATGATTGAGGTCGAGAAAAAGCAGGACATAAAATTTTTTGTTGTTTTTTATGAGATGAGATGAGAAGAACATTATGCACTTTTTCTGAGATGAGAGTGAATTTATATACGAGTGATGAAAGAGGAAAAAATGATGAGAGGAGTTTTTTCAGATTTTTTCTTTGGTGAACTGAAAAAGTTTGGATTAAGATATTGGAAACATGTTTTTATTTGTAAAGTGTGGGGGAATTCAAATGTGTTTTGAAAATCTTTAAGAAAATCAAACAAAATAATTTTGACATCGAATTCTTATCAATACGAAAGCATATCTTGAGAGATGAAGATTTTTAAATTTTCACGAGATTTTTTGAGAATCTCAAAGATCAGATACACGATTTATAGAAAAAAAAGTTTGAAATCAGCCTTGGTAAAGTTTTGAAAATATTCACACTTTAAGAAATTAAACCAAAACATTTTTTTCTGAAAATAAAATCTCTCCAGACTCTAAAATAAAATCATTCCAGGCTCTCTTGATTTCAAGTTCAGTATGAAGTTCGTTCAAAAACCAAAAAATGTGTCATAAAAAATAATCAAAAAAAGTAATAAAAGTGTTCGGAACAAAAAAGGAGACACTTGGCAACAAGCAGAAAAAACAAAACAAACCAAAACATAATTACATATGGACCACCCAAAAAATAAATATTTGTTCCTTATGCGTGGGTGGCCCGGATGTGGGTTATCAACAATTCAAGAATAGAAATCTATATAGCTAATGAGTAGAAGTGTGTGGCGGTTTGAAGATTCGTAAAAAGGGATGTTCGTTAGGCTAATTAAATTTTTTGTTCTTCTCCTTCTGCACATTTTCGACTTATACATATAATTTGTGAATTGTTTTGGCAAATGTACAAACATATGGTTGAGATTTATTCTGATGGAAAGAAATGGAAGAAATAATGTCAGGTTTGGGCAGAAACTAGAAAAAGTTCAAAAATATTAGTTATCCATGAATTCACAAAATAAAAAAATCTTTTTTTTTCGATTTATGTAGCTTTTAATACCAAAAGAGGCGAACAAAACATACATGAATGTAAAAATGACAAGGACAGATGTGTGAATTCGAATTCAAATTCAAACACATCAGTTTTGATAAATAACATCTGCCAGGTTTTCCAAGGTGTTTCAATATAACTGTTCAAAATTTTAAAAAAATTGGTATTAAAAACAAAAGAAAGGGTAAGTAAATAAATAAATAAAGAGAAAAAGAGCAAAATTTTGGGGTGGCGGAGGGGAAAAGGATTAATCTAATGTATTGTATTAAAGGATTTGGGTAGACACAACACAAACTTCCGCTCAATTTTGTTTATAAACATGCAATTTTTCACTTGGCAAAATTGTGAGTTCGGAAAATGTGTGTAATTCAATTTTGAGTTTTGCACTTTTCCAGAAATTTGACGATTTTTTGGATGTGGATGGGTATTTTTGAGAAAATAACGGCTTTTTTCGGGTTTGGAGAAAAAAGGTTTCGCATCGATTAACTGTCTCAAACAATTTCATGAATTTCAGAAAAATTCTAATGTTGCAAGAATATTGAAAAAAAGTTAAAATATTCTAGACTTTATTTTTGGGAGTCCTTTAAATTTTTTTTGGACCCAAACATCATTTTTACTTGAAAACTTTTTGATTTTAACACTGCCTGATTTTTCAGAAAATTAAAGGAATTTTAAAAAAACTAGGGGTTTTCAGAAAATTTTTAAAAATGCAGAGTCCAAAAAATAAAGAATCTCTTTTTTCGCCCCTTCACTAAAAAAATTCTGAAAATTTCTGTCAATTGCAGCTATTTAACTTCACATCGGGAAAAGGGCAAAAAATATTATATAAACAGAGCAAAAAAAGTCGCACACTTCTTAAAAATATTTATGCACAAGAACAACTACCAAAAATAGACAAAACTAAAAAAAATTTGCATAAGCTTGTGAGAGTTTTGACAAATTACTTGATTGATCATCTGGGAAAAATAAAATTGGGGTGGAGAAACCACAGGACGCCAATTAAAATAAGTACGTTTGCCAAAATGAGCAAAATTTTCGAAAAGTGTATAATTATTTTGTGTGTGGCGTGCCGTGCTTATTTCAACCATGATAATAACTATTAATTATTCATATTTTGCGGTTTCAAAAAGATTTTTGGTGTGACACCTGCAGAATGAGAGAAGGCCTCCAACATTTTGCATCATTCTATTTTCAAATGAGAGTGTTTTTTTTACATAAAGGAATAAACAAGTCTTACTCTCACCAAAAAAACATGAGAAAAACAAAACAAAAACATTGTTGAAATGTTGGGAAAAGCGGGATAGTTTGAATTGATTGGTGCATAATTTTAAAAGTTTTCAGATGAGACAGGAATTGGTTCAACTGAAAAATCAATCTGTGAGCCAAATTTAAAAAATAAGAGTACTGTACTCAAAACAATAAAATAAACCCCACTCAAAAAGTTATTCGAAAAACATATCAGAAAATGATTTTCATAGTTTTTTATGATATTTGGTTTCTCATAAAAACTTTTCTAATCAGACGAGGTTAGTTCAGTTTGATCATTTGAAGATCTGTATCTCTACTCACAAAATCAATTCATATTTATTCTCTGGTTGGAAAGTTGTTTATGCTGATAAGTGTTGTCAAGTATTTTTTTTAAATTTTTTAGATCTTTTGTTTGTTTGAAAAATTTCATTTTTTTTGACCCATTTTATCGGATGAAAATTATATCATCAACGTTCCAGCTTCAGAAAAGTAGAATGTTGTTTTCAGTTTTCTTTTTGAACTTTAACTTTCACAATGTGTTTTGTTTTTTTTTCTGAATTTTCTTCGCCCCAAACATCTGGGTTATCGAAATGTCATCATTCATTTCTTCATCACATGCCTTGGCTACATATTTTTGTGCTAATTTTAACCATCAAATATGGTTCCACCGACAATTCTACAATCTCTGAAATAAAAAATATCCTTGATGTTCAGAAAAACCTCATTCATTCAATTTTTGTCGAAAACTCTTATGATAAAGAAGTCGCACCTTTTCCACTATTTGACCAAACAATGGAGAACTTATTTTTTAATAAGTCCATCAACATTTTGATATATACGCTTTATTTGTCTAATATCACATTAATTGATATTGATGAACCGAAAGAACAAATGACGGTTATTATGGAACTTGTGCAATCATGGAAGGATGTCAGATTAAGATGGGAGCGGCAAAATTGGTCAGATATTACATCGATTTTCACCCGATTGGACAAAATATGGTCTCCACCACTCATGGTTTTTGGCGCGTGAGTTTTGCAATAAAAACACTAAAAACAGAAAGAATCAGAATAATTGAAAATGAATTTTTTTTAGTAGTGAAGTAGTGCAACATCGGGATCAAGTCAGCCGAATGGCCAGAATCGATCATAGAGGTGTAGTTGATTCACATATTCCTTTGAAAATGACTACAAACTGCAACATGAACATGGCCGAATTTCCGTTTGACAATCAGATTTGCGAAATTCAAATTGGCCTCCCATCATTTTATGCTAGTCAATTCGAAATATTTTTACAAGTTCCTCAAGATATTGCACAATCGTGTGAATTAGGAAACTCTGCGTGGCATGTGATTGATATCATAATCGATAGTGAGAAAATTAGGCCTAAAGATTATATGACAGATGTAATCAAAACGGCTGTCCTAAAATTGCATCTCAAACGAAATCCCATGTATTATATGTATATGATTGTATTACCAACTTTTATAATCAACGGAATTTCAATGGCTGGAGTATTTTGGGAAAGTGGAGAAAAAATGGAACGTCTTACAATTGGCCTAACTCATATCATGACATTGACTTTTATTCTGGGAATAATTGCAGACAAATTACCAAAAACCGCAGTTATCCCACTTTTGGGAAAATATATCATTTTTGGATTGGTCACTATGATTTTCGCTATGATTTTCTCTACAAATCTTGATAAATTATCGATTTCCAAGTTCGGTGGAAAACGTTATAAAAAAACTCACAATCAGTTGCGTGGATTTTTCATAATAAGTTTCCAATTTATCAATTGGTTGGGCACTATTTATGTTTTGTGGCGATTCATGGATTTTGAGGAAACATTTGGAGATAAAAAATGTTTTTAGTCATTTTTTTTGCTGATTGTGAAATATAAATAAATGCTTTCTAGACTATTTACAGAAAAATAATTTGTACTCGAAGTGATGTTTTTGGATTCTGAGTTCTAGAAATCTTCTAATGATTAATTTTTAATTTGATAGTTTAAAGTTCAATTCAAATCTCATTTTTTGTTCTGTTTTCAGCTAAAAATAGATCTCAGAGTTGTTATTCTACATATGTCTACAGTATCTTTTACCAATTTCCTGAAACGAGTAGGAAATTGAAAAAAAGTTCAACGTCAAAAATAAAATCATATTCAATAACAAGAGCAATGAAGTCTCGTTTCTGGCTTGAAACTTCAAACAGAATTTCCAACATTGGGTTTTTCGTGACATTTTCAGTAAGTATGATTGTCATTTTCATCATCTGGAACTATTCTCGGCGATTGTTTGGAAATTATAAATATTTGATGATTTCCTTTTCATTTCTTGGCGTTTGTTTCGCCACATTAGAAGCTATTGTTAAACCGGTAAATTTTTGATAATTCATATTTTTTAATGTTTGAATAATTTTTGAATCAGATGATCCATAATTACAACAGTTCCATGGTTTACTACAGTATTTCGAGAAAAACAGTTTGGAAAAAAAGTTTGATGCTGTGTTATTCAAGCACTTATGTTTTGACACTTTACATGTTGGCAGTACAGTTTTGCTACAGATACTGGGTAATTTTCAAAACCGAAAATCTACGGTATTTCAAAAATCCATTGCTTTGGATTTCTTTGGCCAGCCTGCAATTTTCTTTTTGCTTAGTATTCATACACTTGGGTGAGGAGAATCCAAAATCAGATGAATATTTGAGAGATGAGATGTTTCATGTTTACGGTTTTGACATTGAAACAATTCCATATTACGCGGCAATTATATCCAAATCAAACATCAAGAGTTTTCTAATGATGATTGGTATGCCAACAATTGTGCTCATCAATTATATTGCCATATTTTTCTGTGCATTCCGCATTAAATTTCATAAAAACAGTCAAATGGTATTCTACTCTGCGCAATATCAAAAAATCAATCAAATACTTTTTCGAACATTGCTTGCTCAAGTCATAGTACCAACATTTATATTTTTCCTCCCAGTTATCTTGATTTATGCGATACCATTTGCCAATCTTGAAATCAGTATGAATACCAGCGTTTTCATTTGTTCTTTATCGTTTTATCCAGCAATTGATGGTATTATTCTTCTTTGCCTCGTTCCAGATTATAGAAATATATTTTGTATTTGGAAATCGAGGAAAAATAATGCTGCCAATAAATAAACTATTTTATTTCAAAACATTGTGTAACATAAAAAAATCGCGGAAAAAGCTAACACGAAAGAAATTAATTGCGAGGAATTCTAAAGGAATAATCGAGCTTGAAGATTTTTCACTTAAAAAAAAGCGAATAGAAAAACTATTTGAGAAGTCACATTCTGTATTTCGCAACAAGCTCTGTCTTCAATTTTTGCAGGTCACAGATTTCATAATGGTGTTGAAATGCTTCATTCGTATAAACATTCTCTCCCCACCTTTTAATTTTTCATAAACATTTTGAAAAGTATATAATTTTCTCTGAACTTTTTTCGGAAAAAATTATTTTATCTTTTTTTCTTTTTTATTTGGTCTAGTAATCAGCGTTTAAATTATATAGATAACAATTTTCTTTTTCCATTGAGAAGGAGAAAATGGTGAGTCCAACATTGGTAAAATGCGAATCTGGCAAAAGTTATGAGCCAATTTATATGACTACTGTGATTGATGGAGACAAGAAAAAGTGAGTTTTTTTCTGAAAATGTATTGAAATGTGTATGTATATCCTAATTTTTCAGCCCTTCAAAATGGTTGGAATGTCTTCAAAAAAGTTTGAAATGTTTATTTTATATGCTTCTTGTTCTCACAATTGTTTTTTCGATTCAATTAGTTATTGAACATTTTTGCAACTATCAGGAAAACTACGATAGACTTGATCGATATGAAAAAATGTTTAATGATTTTATGGTGAAATATAATAGAAACTATGAGACACCTGAAGAACTCGAATATCGATTCCGAATTTTCATCAAAAATGTAGAAGAATATGAGGAGGAAGAGAGAAGGTAATTTTTCTGAAATGTTTTTTTAATATAAAAAATAATTGCAGATATCCTGGCCTTGATCTCGATGTAAATCAGTTCACCGATTGGACAGATTTTGAGCTAAAACGAATGACACCACATGAAAAAATCAGATCAGATAACGGAGAAACTTCAAGAGTTTATACACATCTCTATGGAAAAGGAGAATCTCGACCAGCTTCATTTGATTGGAGAGATCAAGGGAAACTCACACCCGTCAAAAATCAAGCATCTTGTGGATCTTGTTGGGCGTTTGCCACTGTTGCAGCTGTTGAAGCACAACATGCAATTAAACGAGGAAATTTGGTTTCATTGTCTGAACAAGAAATGGTTGATTGCGATCAACAAAATAATGGATGTCATGGAGGGTATCGGCCATATGCGATGGAGTAAGTTTTGAAAACATCGGGGACATTTTCAACAGCATTTTAGAATTAATATTGATTTCCGGAAACATACTGAAAAATGATATCATTTTATCAACAACGTTGAAAAAAATAGGAAACGTTTCGATTTTGAAACAGTTGAACTTGAACTCACTGATAAAAGGGGGGGGGGGCTGATAATTTTTTCTTCAAATACTGAACATTACGTTGCATACTGAAACATTTTTTTCTGTATCAATAAGTAGTTAACTTGAAAAACATGTGATAGAGGGTTATCAGTATTTCCAAGTTTTTGTATGAAAATGCCGAAAATTTTTAAATTTCCTCAATTACAAGTTTTTTACTTCGAACCAAAAAAAAGTATACTTTATCATATCATAAAACATCAAATTTTCCAGCTTTGTCAAAAGAAAGGGATTGGAAACTGAAAAAGAATATCCATACAAAGGACTCGAAGGTCAACAATGTCTTCTAGAAACTAATCTCGTAAGTTGTAATTTTCTCTGCTCCAAACAGTAACGACAATATTTTTTAGACCCGTGTATTTATTGATGATTATGAACAACTTGGCCAAGATGAAGAATATATTGCAGATTGGGTTTCCAAAAATGGCCCAGTCACATTTGGTATGAATGTTGTCAAATCAATGTACAGCTATCGTTCTGGAATCTACAATCCATCAGAAGAAGATTGTGAAGAGAAATCAATGGGTTCACACGCTCTAACCATTGTCGGTTACGGTGTCGAAGGTTCTCAACCATTTTGGATTGTCAAAAATTCATGGGGTTCAAGTTGGGGAGCGAGTGGATATTTCCGATTGGCTCGTGGTGTCAATAGTTGTGGAGCTGCCAAAACTGTTGTTGCTCCAATTATTCGATAATTTATTTTTTTTTCTATTTCTTTTTTTTTAACATATTTTCATTTTCTCATATTCATTCCTGGTGATAGATTTTTGCGGGATTTTTTTTATTTCGCATGCACGGCAAACACATTTACATACAGTAACTTGTTCCAAATATTTATACATGAATTTTATTTTGTTCTTTGTTTTCTTTTCAAATGATTTGGTGATTTGCCACCCAGAATCATGTGATTGGCGAGATAAAGGTGTCATTTCACCAATCAGAAAGCAGATGGGATGTGGATCCTGTTGGGCATTTGCAACTGCAGCAGCAATTGAAACGGCATATGCAATAAAAACTGGAGTATTGATTCAATTGTCACCACAAGAAATAGTTGATTGTGACAGATCAAATTTTGGTTGCTATGGAGGTTATTGGGAAAACTCCGTGGAGTAAGTTAAAGTTGAAGGCTCTGTATTTTTTTGGATAATCATAAACACTACCCTACAAAAATATGGATAACAAACTTCTTTTTTTTCAGTTTTGTCAGAAAATATGGAATTGGAACTGAAAAATCATACCCGTATCGTGGAAATGCGTCAGAATGCAATATCTTGGACAACTCTGTATGCATTATTTGTCTATCACTAAACTCTCTCATTTTACAGACTCGATATTTCATTGATGATTATAAAATGTTGGATCGTGATGAAGAAGTGATCGCTGATTGGGTTTATCAACATGGGCCTGTTGTTTTTGGCATCAAAACTACTAGGGATTTTTATTTCTATCAATCTGGGATTTTTTATCCAGATTGGGTTAATAAGACAATCGGAGGTCATGCGATGATAATAGTTGGCTATGGTGTTGAAAATGGAACAAAGTATTGGATTGTGAAAAATTCATGGGGCGTTGAATGGGGTGAGAACGGGTGAGTTATGATAATCTGCAAAAATTGAGTGTTGTAATATCATTTCAATGTATGGAACAAAATATAAAATTTCAGATATCTTCGATTGATTCGTGGTGTCAACAGTTGCGATCTAAATAAATATGTTGTAGCTCCCATACTTCACTAACACTTGAATGTTTTTTTTTCTGTGGGAAGCTGAATTTTATCCTTTTTTAATTTCGAGTAATAAATTCAGATGGATATTTTTAGAACTCTCTATAAATTTTCCGAAAATTGTTCATTTTAAATTGAATAAATCACTCCAGCATTTTCCGTTCTACGAACGCACCATGCACCGAAAAAAAAAAACACAAATACTATAATGGAATAATGAAATTGACATTCTAAGCAGGATTTCATTTTGTGAAATAAATTTCCCGGTTTCTCGATTGATTTTTTCTCACTGACACAAGAACACACCCATTTTTCAGACAATTTGTATTGCAGAATATCCCACTGCGACACAATTTCACACAATATTTTTTTGTTTTTTTTTAATTTTTTTTTGAGTGAGAACTTTTTTTATAGAAAATCAAACGAAATGTTTTAAAAATACCATTCTGAACGTATTGTCAGATTTCAAAATCATGCTTGGCTTTTTATAAGCCGTAGAATATAGAACTCTCAGACGTTTTCTATGAATACTCTTTGTCAGTTCAAATTTTGTATAGAAAAAGCAAATCTACCAACACAAAAACGTTGAGAACAAAACTCAATCGTGAGCTGAAAAATGATTTTGTCAGGACAGAACATTAATTAATCTCGATTCTAGACATTTCAAAAAAAAACTGCTAAAATATTCCAAAATGCAGACATCCTTGATGTTTGATTCCAAAAAAAGAAGCAAAAAGCGAAATAAAAAACATGACCTCACTTCTGGAATCAAATTAACTGGGTTGTGTATATATTTTCAGAATATAAAAACATTTTGAGCAATCTTGTTATTTTGCATTTTCGTCATAAGTAACAACGTCAGAATAAAAACTATGTAAACTCATCCTTTTTCTTCTTCCTCCTTCCCTCTTCATTCCATTTCCCAAATGAATTCAATTTTATTTCTATCGCCATGCCGAAAAATATCGTCAAGAAAAATTGGAAGAGTAAAAGAAAAAAATGGAAATCTCATAGGTTTTCATTACAAGCTCTGTGTGTGTCAACTTGTTTTTTTCTTCAATGTTTCGAAAAAAGAAGAGCAAAAAAAGCAAAGAGTTTCGAGTTGGGCTTACATAAAGTGCGCATAAATCAAATATTCCTTTCGTTTTAGGCTTTTGTGCATATGTGTGTATATGTGTATGTGTATGTGTGTGTTTTTTGCTACGCACATGACATTTTTCGCACATATTAGCCACGTAATTTTTTTTCTCATGCATATGACTGTTTTGTAGTCTAAAATTGTATGCCTACCTTTTTGTGCTACCCACTCACATTTTCTCATCTCTTCTCTTCTCATTTATTTTTTAAATCTATACTTTCGGTAATCCTTACAAAGATTAATCTATACCTTGTCAGAAAAAATCATATATTTGTTTTATAGCAGGTGATGTTCAACTGAAAACTTGATTTGAAAAACCAAGTTTTTTTTCAAGTTAATTTTTTTTTAGTTCTGCTCTCAAATTTCTTTTCCCGGTTAGAGTTATGACCTTTTCAATGTGAGAAGGGGGCAAAAAACATACATAGTTTGATCTTTTGCTATGCAAGTTATTATGAATGAGTTCAAACTTTTTCTATGTCTACTAGTGTGTGTAGAAACAACATCCATAAAAAATGTAACAAATAAATAACTTGAGCAAAAACCATTTTTCTTTTTTTGGTGTTTTTTAGTGATCTCATTTTTTATCATCTCGTTTGAGGAAAAACAACAAAAAACAGCACAACACAACTACTAAAAATAACATTTTGCCTCGTTTTTGTGTGTTGAAAAAAAGACAACAATAAAATTGTGGGAGTTAAAGCGGAAAGTCCTTTTTTGAAATTCAAAGAAATCTAAATGCAAAAAAAGTTGCGATATCTTCTTTTTTCTCTCAATTTTCGCTCATTTTTCCCCATCAGAACTTCTTTTGTGTGCGCCTTCTTTTTTGATAAAAATCAAAAATCTCTATTTTTTGTTTCTTTATGATTCCTCATGAGAGTTATTCAACATTTTTCGGCATTTTTTCTATGCTTTGCTTTTTTTCGATGAAGGTTAGGAAATCAAATATTTCTGGTTGAGATTTTTTTGGGATTTTTTCTGAAATTTCAGAAAAAAAGAATTAGAAAAAGTCTAGCGTTTGAGTCTTTTTATAGAACATAGTTCTTGAAAATATAAAGATGAATTTTGGACCCGAAGAACTGCCTGTTTTTAGGATGTTTGAATCGAACAGAGTAATCGAAAAAGAATTTAACCTAGTCCATTTTCTCAAGGAAAAACGCCGAATCAATCCCAAATTTCATCAATTTCTAAAATATATCCCGAATTGTTTCCCTCTCAAAATCTCATATCCCAAAAAATTCTAATAAATTCCAAGAAAACGACCACACATGATCAAAAATAAGATGAGAGGGAAAAAACGTTAATATAATTTAATATACAAATCATTGTCTGCAGTCGACGAACAAAATTATTCAATTCAATGATCTTTGATTTCTTTTGAAATAATGACTCATTTTTCTCAATGCTAACATAGAAAAAACAAAAATTTTACTTAACTAATTACTTACTTGAAAAAAAGCCCATTCATATAGCGAGTTCAGAAAACCAGTTGATTTTTTTGACCTTTTAGAGAGAATTTTTGAAGGAGCAAATCTTTTCACCTTTAGAAAAACGAACCTTTTAGTGCAAATAGAATTAGCAAAACTTATTCGTTTTTTTATTCCATCTATTCATTCATTTATTTTTTATTTCATTCATTGTTTGTTTCGTTATTGCCGGAGGAAAACTAAAATTGCGTACTTCTAGTGAAACTTCTAGAAAACTCTCATTAAAAAAGAAAGAGACAAAACTCTTCAAAAATCTTCTAAATAAATAGATATATTTTTTCCAACATATTCAAGTGCACATAAGGATTAGAAAAAGAAAAGCAACAAATTGACGAGTTAATCGCTTCTCAAAGAAAAACTTGCGTTTTCTACTATTTTTTTTCGTTTTGAAAAGGAGTTTTGAGCAGCACAGCAGCGGCTATAATTACCTCTAATTTGCAGATATTTCACTTATTCACTTTTTTCTCTACTCTCTGAATGTTTTTTTTTAGTTTTAGTCACACGTAAGTTTGTCCTTGAATACTTGCTGTGATTCTTAAGCTGATTTGATTTTTTGTTGATTCAGAAAAAGATTTACATATCTTTTTTTATTAGCTTTCTTTCTGTTTACCATAGCTGAATATATTATTTGTTGATTTATTTTTATAGTCTCATAAAATGGTTGTCTTTTTTGCACTTTATTCAATTTTATCTCAAAATATTTTTCACAAAAAGTTAGCTCTTTTTTTCTCGAAATTTTATTTACTAGAGGTGTCGGAGAAAGGAATTCGATTCAGATTTCCTTCCTTGAAAAAAAGTTTTTTTCTAGAAAATATATAGTCATCAGAAAAAAAGTATAATCCGATTATTGAACGAAATAATTTCTTTTCTTTTTATTACAAAAAATGATCGCGACCCAATTTATATATGTGTGAAAATGTTCGCTTCTCCAAATATTCTCTTTCTCTCCTGAAATTACATATAAATATTTTTGAACCGTTTTTCAGCAGATGCAAATAAATCTGATTTTTCTTTCTTTTTCTCACTGCTCGATTGTTTTCGTTGTTCTAAATTATTTTCATGAAAAATTATTGAGGAAAATATGCATTTGTCTTTCTTTTTTTTTTGTTTTTGAATAATTGTCTTTGAACTTTTATATATTTTTTCAGAGGAAAAGGAGAAAACAGACATATATTGGAGGTAATATAATGAAACCGATTCGTAAACGTTCTTCGATCTATCAAGATGTTGATTGCTCATTTACAGTAAGTTTTTGGGATGAATTTTTGTTGTAAACTCAAAATTGAATGCGGTTAGACAACATAATTTTTTTGAAGATTAAATGAAATTCTAAAATTGAATGTTTTATTTCCATTTTTTGATCAGTTCAAGTCCAGACAATTTGAAGTCAGAGACTTTGTGGGTGGTCTCGATCAACCAAAAAATCTGTCTGATCACCTTTAATGACAATTGATATTATTTTTCAAGTAATTGTAGGATTTGAAAAACATTACAATATCGAAAAGTCGGAAAACTTATGTCGTCGCAAACCGAGCAGAACTTTTTGTTACTGTTTATTTCATTTTGTTTCTAAAAATTAAGTTCCCTCTAAAAAAAACTTTGAAAATTTTGCTTTGATATTCTTTTAAAAAAGAGCCTCTAAAAAATTATTGTGAGTTTTTTGTTTCGGATCTTTCTGTACAATTTTCAGTGTGCTCTGATTAAAAATCTTTTGAAAATATACATTTTTGAGGTTGATAAAAAACGCGTAAAAGCTCAAATATTTTCAAGAGAGAAATTAATCATTGATGTATTTTTCCTGAATTCTTAAATAGAATCACTCCAATTTCCAAGAAAGGTTCAGAGTTTTTTATCTTTGAAGTATTTTTAGCATTTTTATCTCACATACAGTTGTTGAGGTTGCTTTTGGTTAATAAAAATAGAATCGATTTTTTTCTAACAGAAAATAGTGTTTTAAGTAAACTTAAATTGTACTTTTTATTTCAAAATGTAGACCAGGAAGCTCAAAATCAGAAAATGTATGACTAATATGAACAATCTCTAATTTTCAGATAATTATAGGTTGTTTGGAATTTCAAAAAAGACTCGTAATTATAAAAAGGTTGATAGAAGGGATTTTCTCAAATATATTGGGGGAGGGTATGTATTGTATGTAGAATAACCAAAATTCAATTTAAGTAAAAAATTCCCAACTGTTTTCAACTCGTTTGTTTAGAAAAAAAGAGAACATATGTAGAAGGAATGAACAAATTGATTTGATTTTCTTTGTCAATAAGCTTACATTAAAAGTCCTTTGAGGAATGTATTAATTAGAACATCAAATGAGCTTAACTTATTTTTATATCGCAATCCACCTTCAATCAAGTCACTAATGATGAGAACCTGATTTAAGTTGAAAATTCGACTGTGACTTGAAAAAGTTTTTACATTTAGTTAGGCCCAGGTAGAACAATAACTTTGTAGCATGAATTTGAAATATCTGGAATTCTGAAAATAATGATCAAATTGTATGATCCCTAATTCATGTTATTGAAAAGATTCAACAAAAGCTTGTGATTTCAAGATCATAAGGTTTGAAAATAGAACATCAAAAATTATCAGTATCTATTTTTATCACGGCAATTTCCCTAGACTACACAATAGTTCCAATGTCAGTTATGTGTTCCAAAATATTATAAAACCAAATGAATTTTTGATTCATATTTTCTTTCCACCTTCCACCTTTCACTTTTCACTTGATTTTTGTTTTTCTCATAGTTCACCACCACCAAAAAATCATTATTCTTTGAAGCGTGCAAAATGTGTACTCAAAGTTCAACTTGAATATTTCAATCAAAGCATTTTTTTTCTTTTTTTCATGTGAGATGGCATATTTTTCTCTTTCTTCTACTTTATTGAATTCCAGCCATAAAAACCCTTTTCATTATAAAATGAATACATCAAAGAATAGAAATGATTGGGTCGAATCTTCGTGAGAAATATTTTTTGCTGCTCTTTTTTCTCTTTTTTTATTTAGTTGAAGCCAAAGCTAAAGTCTATATATCGAATTCCTTTTGAAAATCACGTCATTCTCAAAAAAAACATTGTTTTATAATATCTCTATCTTGAAAACCGAACCAAAAACTCGGGGAGGTCTATAAAATGAAAATTGAGCAATTATGGAATAAGAAGAAAAAAAAGTGGACAGAGAAGGTTAAAGATGAAGATGAAGAAAAATAGACAGAAAGATGAAGAGGTTTCGGATATCTGAGATTTTTTATATATTTTTTTTTTCTTTCAGAATGTAAGTAAATATATAAATTGTTCGTTTTTCTTCGCAATAATAATTATTTTTGTGTTTTTATTTTCGGTTTTCTTTATTTTTTCGTCAGAAACTGATATGTTAATCCCTGAAAGAATAATCCTTTTTGACCTTGATGTTTCCAGAGTTTTGAAACATAGATTTATGAGATATGGGCATATTACTTATTAAATATGAGTAAATATCAAATTTCATAGATTCAGAATATCAATCAACCATCTCATTTTTTCTACGTCTAACAAGTTTTTTGAGTATCAATTTTCTCCCTCCCTCCCTAGCTCCCAAAAATTTTTATTCCATGTTTTCTTTCTTCTCCACCACAGACAGCTCTTTCTTTGAAAAAAATCAAGTTTTTTTGGCTCTACCTAAATTTCAAACAACGAAAAAACGAAGAAAGCTTCATCTTCTAAGTAAGGAGTCTTCTTTTTTTCTGTCGATTGTTCCAAAGAATGAAAAATTCGCCTTTTTTCGAGACTCCGCCTTTTTTCGGGCGGGTGACAAGCACTATTTATCTGGTCTCCTCGATTTTTTTTTCGTTTTCCGAACTTTTACAAGATTTTTCATTTTCTATTTGTTTTCGTTTTTAGACGAAATCATTTTTTTCCAGATAAATAAAATTATATAATGTATGATATCGATCAACCTGATCTTTCAGTCAAGGTATGTCGGATTGAAAATGTTATTTTTTTTAAATACATTTTTTTGAGTTAGAAGAATTTAGTTAAGGAGAGAAATCCCATAGGTGAATACATTTCTCTTCGAATAATGTTTTTCATTATAGACCTATAAAAAGTTTTTAGTTTGAACCTGAAATTCGGAAGTTGAAAGTTGAAATTCGACACTTTTGCACTTATATTTTGTTCATAGATCCAAAAGTGTCTTCTAACTTTTTTTTAAATAGAAATTCTGATCATTTTCAGATCAATGAGAAATGTTGCTCTAAATTGAATCAGTTAGTCAAAACCAAATTAACGCTCTGAATAAATTCAATTCACATCTACTCAACTTCTTTTCACAACTCACACATACATACAAACTTTTAAAAAATCATAAATCATAAACCAAAATATTCTTATTCTCAAGAGAACAAAAGTGCAAGATGATTAAGCGATAATTAGGTTTCAAGTGGATCACGGGAAATTGAAGCGTAAAGATCTTTGCTATTTTCGTTTTTTTCAGGTTATGCTTCTCGGTGATTCATGTACCGGAAAAACATGTCTACTTGTCAGATATAAAGATGGAGCATTTTTGAACAACAATTTTATATCTACTGTTGGCATTGATTATAGGGTTGGTGTTGTTTTGACAATTGAAAAACCAAAGAATAAATGTTTTTTTTTTCAGAACAAAGTGATTGATTTGGATGACAAGAAAGTCAAACTTCAGGTAATCTGAAACCACTATAAATTTAATCGAAAAAATAATGAAAAAATTTTAAAATCAAAATTTAAGTCAGGGTTATTTCGAAATTGCTGTTCTGATTGTGGTCAACCTAGAGAAATTCTACGAAAAAACTGTTTTAGGAAACTAGCTTTTGATGAAACATTAGAACATTGTCAAATGTACTAGTTGCTGAAAAAAAACTATTTTCAAAACCTAATTTCAGATTTGGGACACTGCTGGTCAAGAAAGATTCCGTTCAGTAACAGCTGCATATTATCGTGATGCTGACGCGCTTCTTCTTGTTTACGATATTGGAAATCGGACAAGTTTCGAAAATATTCGAGTAAACACGCAATTTTTCCATATAAATATCCATGTTTTTCCCCTTTTTTCCAGAGTTGGTTGGCACAAATAAAAGAGTATGGAAAGGAATCGGTGAAAGTGACACTTGTAGCCAACAAATGCGATTTAGGCAGTTCGAGAAAAGTGAAATCTGAAGAAGGCAGATCGTTAGCCAAGGTTTGTTTTTCTCTTCTTTTTTTTCGATTTCTGGAGAAGCGTCAACGAAAAAAAAACATACACAAATTAATTAGGTATTTTTTGGCAACCTAAATTCAATTTATGTACATTTCAAGCAAGCACGAAAATTTCACATATAATGAATAAATCAAGCAATTTGGAGCTATAAAATAGACAAGCAAAATGACGACATTGAAATTTGATATATTGACCACTTTTGGGATCAGAATGAGAAAAAAGGACAAAAAAAGAATGAAAAAAGAATTGTTAAATAATTGCAGGGTTCAAGATTTATTTATGAGAGTTTTTTGTTTCAGGCATATGGTATTCCGTACATTGAGACTTCGGCCAAAACTGGACACAATGTTGACAAATCTTTCACTGATATTGCAAGGTGAGTTATCATTGATAAGAATTATGTTTTTTCATGAATAAGAAAATTTTAAAAACAGTAGATTCTTGAAAATAAAAAAGCCTCAATATGAATAACCACAATTCTCGAGAAACCGGAAATTTGTGTTTTCTAGTTTGGAAAATTGGAAAAGAGCCACAAACTACAAAATCCCACGAGAAGTGTTTTATAGGGTTTCATAGGAATTTTTGTTTTCCAGAAAGCGTTTATATTTTCTGACTGAGAACGCTGTCGGGTACAAAATTATGAATTTTTTAATTTAGTGGAACTATTCACGATTCCAAATGTGACAGAGAAAAATTTTGAAAATAGAGAAGACAATTCCGAAATGTCTGAAAAACTTTTGAATTAAAAAAAATGTATCAAGAGAATAGATGACATTCTAGACAATCAAAAGTTTTGATTTGTTTATCGATAAATTTTCAGTTTGATCCAGGTAATTTGCAAAGTTAGTGACGTCATTTGTACAATATGCCTTTCTTTAGCAACACCACAATGTTGAATTTCTAATAACTCTATAAAATACTCTTTTCCAAGGATAATTCAAAAACATTTTTTCCCTGAAATTTCTTCAAAGTACATCCATCTCTCATAAAAAAGGATGTACTAAAATCAGAAAACCAAAAAAGTTTCGAATTTCAGACGTCTTCTAGCCGCTCAACTTGGAACACAATACGAAGGAAGTGCAGTAGTCGATCTTGCCACAGATGAACCGGAAACTAAATGTTGCTACTATTATTAGCAAATCCTCGGGTCCAATGACGTTATTTTTCTTCTCCTTTTTTCCAACGAACATTTTTTTCCATTTTTCATATTATATTATTTATTTTATATATTTTTCTGAGCTGAAAAAAAAACAACAACATACATAATTTTTCTAGCTTTATGTACAAAAACTGTGATCTCGAATTGCAATCTTTTTCCTTTTTTTCCCAGTGTTTTCAACTTTCAATTTTCAATTTTCAATAGTCAATGTGGTTAGATTCTATCAAAGCTCACATTTCCATTCCATTTTCCTATTTATCTGTCAATCAAAAACCCTTCTTGTCCTGAAATAAAAAAAATTGTATGAGATGATGATGATGAAATAAACTTTTCCACAAACTCTTTTTTTCCCATTTTTGAGTTGAAAAAAACTTTTGAGCAAATAACGTTGTGACAGTTCAAAAGTCAGTTTTTTTCTAGCAATGGAAGTAAATAATGTGAGTTAACTAACTTCTGATAAGTTATGATAAAATATACTAATTCCAATATCCTTCGGAGCTCTAAAGCCAGTCTCACAAAAATTGTCCAAAATTTTAACTTTGGTTTTTTTCAGCGTGATCGAATTGAATATTTCCAAGTATAACTTATCGAACTGACTTCACAAAGAAAAACAAGAGAAAACCAAAAAAAAAGAAAAAAGTATTTCATAACAGATATTTTTTATGTAAAAATTATCAGTGGAGCACATTTTCCGCTGTCCCTTTGAGACGAGAAAAAGAGAAAGACACATTTTCTTCATTTTTGAGTGATTCATAGGAAATTTCCTTTTTTTTTCTTGGGTTTTTGGTGGAGATGTTCGATTTTTGGTGACTTCTAGAGGCTTAGTGAACAGAAATAGAATTTTTTTGGCTAAAATTTTCCGGGTCAATGCTTCTGAGAAATTGAGCATTGATAAGATTTTGTGAATCTATTTGGATTTCAAAATTTTTCAACTCATGTTCAATTTTTTGTAAACCCATATTCAGTTTTGGTCTATATTTTAACAGTAGAAAAATATGGAATTTTTCGATCATCGGGCAATGTAGAAATAATCCCCTGTTTTTTTTCAAAATTCAATAACTGAACTTATTTTAATATTTTTCAATCGATTTTTCGAAATAAATTTCCAATGACTGATTTTCCCTTGCTCCTCTCAAATTTTTCAAAAAAATTCCTGAAACATTAAAAACATCATATTGACTTCATGAAAATGGCAATTCTTCTCAAATTTCTGTTCCGTTCCCAAAATTATGACTCATATTAAACGACCGTTCGTCCGTTTTCTCATTTTTTGCATTGAATTGAATCGAATTAGAAATCATTCTGCGAAACAACATTTTCATGAGAAAATCGTTCGATTCACATCTATTTTTAAATTCGTATTTTCATTTTCTGCAAAAAGAAAATCCGTGGGTTTATATTATTATTATTATTTATGAAATATTTATTTTCAGCACAGAAATTTTTTTTACCAAAAAAATGAAAAAGGAAAAAATCTCTATGTTTACTGTTGAACAAATATTCGCAAAAAAGTTCTATTTGATGTTGAAAAGGCAGGTGTTCTTAATTTTCTCAAATTATGAACAATCAATTTTAGAATTTGAAATTAGCTCATTAAATTTTTGTTTGGCGTACAAACTAATTAGGGAATTAATTTGAAAAATAAAATTCATGTGATGAAAGTTCACCCTAGTCCGATTTAAAAATACCCGGATTATTTCGAAAAAAAAGTAATCAGTAGTTTATAGTTCAAACATCCAAAAACACTTTTTTTTTCTCTTGTTTATTAATATTTTTTTAATGATATCATAATTAAATTTTCCAATTTTTCGAGTCACAGCTTTTTTCACTTGAAGAAAAATTTTCCCACTCACTTCATATTGACACCGTATATCAATCAAAAAATCAGAAACATAAAAAAAGAAAATGACGTCAGCTCTAACAAAAATTAAATTACACTCCCTTTCAACCACATCTGAAAAAAAAAAGAAAAATGTTTATTTTTAAGATTGACTGAAAACTGCGTGGTTTGTGATGAGTCTCGTTTTTATTTAAATTTTGCGGAGCTTGTTTCTTCATTCATCAAACCAATTTCGTCCTATAGCTAATCTTGATTACTGTAGCTTTAGTCACAAGCTCTCAATTTGCTCAATTTTCAGTCAACAAATTCTTTTTTTTTCTTTTTTTTTGCTTATTCACCACAAATCACTTGAATTTTTTTTAATTCTATATACATATTATGTTTAAATATTCATAGGTCAGCCGAGTGTAATATGATCATAATAGTAAACATTGCTTATTAATCACCAAGAAATTATAATATAATTCTTTTGTAACGCGCATTTTTTATTCTTTTCATTATTTTTTATCATGCCGAGAAATGTTGTCGTTGACCTTTTTTTATTGTTAGGCAAAAAAGCAGTAGAAAACAAGGAAAAAGGTTTTTTTCTGGAAGATAAAAGTTTTTGTTAGATAAATAATATTATTAGAAGGGTACGAAGATTGCACTTTGGAGAGGTTGTTATTGAAAACAATTGCTCAAACGATCCTAGATTTTTTGTTAAAGTGAAGTGGAAAAATTTTTCCTTCAAGTCATTTTAGAAAAAGTTCACATTTTTGTCTGAAAATTACACGAGATGGCTGATATGTGGATTTTAATTGTAGATTTTTTGTGAGAATTTACTTACAACTGAAATATAGTTTTTGATGAATCCTACCAAAAATTGTTGGACCTCGTGTTTTTGGAATTTTTTGAAATAGATCAAAAAATGTTTCTCTGAATCATTCTATTTGTCGATTCTATTCCCAGTAAAATATACTTCATATGAAAAGGGTTTTTTCAGAAAGTCTTGGTTAATTTTTCTTAAGAAATTTTTTAAAAAAACCTCACATCAGAAGCTCTGCATTATTTTTTACATTTAGTTAAGAAAAGCCTCTCTCCATGTTTTTTTCTTCAAAGTACAACTACAACCATATAATCTGGCTATATTTTCCAATTTCTCAATGTGTCATTCATTTTCTTTGTTTCACTTTGAATAAATTTCGATCTCTCCATCCTCAGAACATGCTTTTCAAATTTTTCTCTCCCGCTCCCTTCTTCCTCCCAAAAAATTCCAGAACAACATGTTATTGTCTTCCCTTCTCTGAAAATCGAAAAAAAAACACGACGATCAATTCATTCTCACAAAATTGTAATAAATAGATTACGTAAATGGCGTGTTTTTCTCGTCAAGAATTGTCTTTTGCGTCATAGTATTTTATCGCATACATTCATATTTTCTGTGTCGCGGTAGATTTGTCGTTAATCAAAAATTCCTTCTATCATTCATAGCGTTTTTGGTTCACATTTTCCAAGGTTTCCACGTTTTTTTCTCCTTGCGAAGCAAAAAAAGGGCCCATAATTCCGACGAGAGAAAAAAAAGGAAAAAAAAAGAAAAAGAGGAGGAGGAGGAGGGAAGTGAAGGCAGAAGAGGGCAGCCAACACACACACACACACACACACATACATATACACAAAACGAAGCCCGCCGCCGTCTTTTCTTTTTATCTATCATTTCTTCGGCCTTGTTCACTCTGTCAGTTTTTTCCATTTTCTTTGTGTATCTTCTTTCTCTCGTCTCTCCGTTTTTCTTTTCTCTCCATTTTCCTCTTATTATTTAAAGGATTACTAATGGTCTGCGTCTCTTCAGTAAATGTCTGCTTATTCCATCTCTCCGTCTCTCAACTCTCTCACTTTTCTCTATTTCTCTGCGTCTCCTTCTATTTCAATGTGCCCCATTCCAAACAAGCCTTTCTTTTTGACTGTCTAATCGTCGATGTTCTCTTCTATCGCTCTTATATTTTTTATGCTGTCTCTTCAAAATGTGTGTTGTCTCGATATTGTGAACTGATGTATATTCCTCCTCATTTTTCATTATATCTCGCCTTCGTGCATCGATTGCATCGTGTCGTGTCGTTCGGTTGGCCAAGCCAGACCTAGACTTGTCACCAAATAGATTAGATATTCAGGCCACAGTCGAGTTTTATACCAGTTTTATAGTCGTATCGAATTTTGAGTTAGATAGGACCCAAAAACACTATCAAAAAACGTCGCATTCCGCCGTTTCCGTCTAGTTTTTCCCATTTTTTCTTTTCATTTTCCCCTACTTGATCTTTGTTTGAAGTTTTACTGTTTTCCAGCTATTTATTATCAAAAATCTTATTCATCGTATTAATTAATTCAATTTTTTTCAATATATGATTGAATAATCCTTTTTTTTACTAATCAGTTTTTTCTCAAAATCTCTCATGTATTTTTTCCAGTTTATTAATATTCATAAACTTTAAGAATGTTGAAGACGAAAAAAATCGTCGTCATTTTCCTCTTCGCAGATTCGATGCTTTTTTTTGCTTATGATTCATATGGGCGGGATAAAACTCTGCATTTTTTTCTTTCAAACACATTTTCCATCGATGTCAAAAGATCTCAAAGTTTTTGAGGAACATATTTCTCTCCAATACTTTTACTTTTCACGCAGCTTTTATCAAAGAAAATCTTGGAAGGAAGAATTCTGTGAACAGAAAGTTTTTTTCGAAAGAGGGATTACATATATACTGTACCAAAAAAATCTTTCGGGTGTACAGTACCCACTCAAACTTGTATTCGCCTTGCCTTGCCTATTTTGCGGCCTTCTGTAGACAGAAGCAATTTAACGATGACAGAACGAGAATAATAGAAGTAGAAAATACGACGAGAGAGAGAAAAAACTTGAATGTGAAAAGAACGATTTTCTATCTTTCTATTACTTGTAATACTACTACTTCTACTACTACTATCTACCATTTCTAAAATAGTAATTTTCTTGGTTTTTTCTCTTTTAGCTTTCACGCGCGCGTTATCCTGATTTGTTTAGGGTCTTGATAGGCTGAAACTGAGATTAGAATTCTCCCAGAACCGAATTTCACCCATATAGTTTCTTGCTCCAACCTCTAACCAGAGTTGGAAGCTGAGGACCTAAATATTTAGCAACCATTTCTCAAATAGTTTTCTCTTCTCTAGCTTTTACTCCTTATAGCTTTCCTGATTCGCTGAATATTTGATTTTCTCACGTTACATCAGGAAAAGCACAGCACATTCGAATTATAATATTCATGCACACATATATGCGCGCAATTTTTTTTGTCAGCATTTTTTTCAACTTCTAATCGAAAACCAGTAGAGGGACACAAAAAAACTACAGTAAGATAGATAATCCGATCGTTGTTCTTTCGCATAACAAAATAAAATGAGATGAAATAAAATAATTGTTAGGTTATTTGATTACAGGAGATTTCAGACATCTCCTTAACTACTGTAATTTTTCTATAGATTTCTTTGTATCGAATGTACTTTTTTTTTAATTCACTGATTTTTTGCAGGATTACAGTAGCTTTATAAATTTTGGGAAAAAAATGTTATTTTTATTTTTTCGCAAGATGAAAAAAATGGGGATAAACTTGTATAATCCACATTTCTCCGCCTTATTTTCGTTACCATGGAATTTATATTCTCACGTGCTCCACCCATTTATTTAATCATATTTTTCCACACTTCTTACTTTTCACTCATTCCAATCCATTTCGTTTATTTTCTCTCATTTTACATACATGGCATATCAAATATTTTTGTTTTTTTTTGCAGAAAACGGGTAGTGAGTCTCTGCTTGAAGGTAGAGTATTCCGAACATCAATCACTACTCGTCAAAATTGCGGACCTCACAATCATAATAATAATCTAATAAGCAAAGGTGGTTGGTCGGATATTTGGTCTATTTTGCAGTGTGTTGCCTAATCTAGTCAATCAATAAATAGGCATATTTCAATTCAAAATTGCATCTTTGGTTAGCCTATAAGGCTGGAGATGCGAAAGCATAAAACATCGGATCAACTGAATAGCTCATCCAATTCATCATCATTTTTGCCAACGTCAAGCAACACAACCAAAACGACGTCCGATCAAGAAGTCACCAATCAACCTTACGCCGCGATTGAGGTGTCGGCGTTTGCAGCGGCAGCAGCCGCGGCAGTTGCAGCAGCAGCCGCGTCAGGACCCAATCCATCCCTTGCCACATCTACATATCTAGCGGCGGCGGCAGCAGCGGCACAAGTTCTACCGGCGACAGCTGCGATTGCGGCCCCACAACCGCAAACAACATCTCAATTTGCGGCTCTACCGATGCAAGCACCAGCGCCACCTCAAAATTGCATTGTCACCACACAGGTTTGTTTTTAAAAATCAGAAAAGGGTAATTTTCTGTTTCACAAGTAAAAAATCCTTTTTAAAAAATGCATTACACTTTTGCACTGAGAATCTTTTCATGGAAACTTCTTACTTTTAAGTGATTATCGATTTTCTCTGTTTCTAACCAGTATAAATTCGGTAGTAGAGATTAGGTAAGATTCTGAAAATGTTTTGCCAAATTTTCCTCGAACGAAATTCCGTTCCAAAATCAAATATTTTATTGAATATCAATTTTTTCTGTTGCCAAAACCACTTTTTTCTTGTTCTCCTCTTTTCGAATCTTGAATATAAAATGTGTCTTCAAATGTTTATCAGAAAACCGAGTGTTTTTTTGTCTCTTATAAAAAGGTCTTATCTGAACAATAATACAGTATGGTGTTATTTGCAGAAATCTTCTGAGAAAAAGAAAATAAGAGACGAGACAAATTGTTTTTCGCACCAATATTAGTCTTCTCTTTGTTTTGTTCCCAAAACGTTAATTGTAGATTTCCCAAAAAGTGAAATATAGGGGCGGGTTTGTACCATCTGTTGTTCTCCCCGTCTTTACGATCAAGATTTATAATTTTCACTGGTTAGGCGGTAAATTAACTTATTAGATTAGCTAATAATGAATCCATATTTGGTGAAAAATGAATCTATGAAGGTAAATTGGGTTTCCGAAATTACCTCTTTTTAATTCCAGTATTTATATTTTATTATTTTCCAGAAGCTTCTCCCATTGAGCACCATCCAATCAACGGAAACTGAATCGCGCTCGTTGAAGCGCAAAACTGATGACGAAGTGAGTTTTTTCTCCCACAAAAATTTGTATTAAATCTATAAATAAATTTTATAGAAATTGGCGACTGTCGCTTCAAAATCAGTGGCCAAACATCGAGCAGTTTCATCTTCCGCTTCATCAACCGCAACAACAAAGATGGCTCAAATATCGGCAAAACCAGTCAGAAGCACCAAACCATCTGGTGAAGGCGAATATCAATTAATAAAACATGAAGTTTTATTGTCCCCATATGGAAATCAGTATGAAGTGTTGGAATTTCTTGGAAAAGGAACTTTTGGACAGGTTTGTTTTTTCCCTAATTAAAAAAATATAGGTCGGATCTACAATTGATTCAAATTATTGATATTAAAATTCTGTAAAGCTAAAGAAACTTCACAGTTTCATTCGAAAAAAAAGTGATAATAAGAATCTTTAGGTTGTCAAAGCGTGGAAGAAAGGAACAAGTGAAATAGTTGCGATCAAAATTTTGAAAAAGCATCCAAGTTATGCTCGTCAAGGTCAAATTGAAGTTTCAATCTTATCCCGATTGAGCAACGAGAATGCGGAAGAATTCAATTTTGTTCGCGCCTACGAATGTTTCAATCACAAAAATCACACTTGCCTCGTTTTCGAAATGCTTGAACAAAATCTCTATGATTTCCTGAAACAAAACAAGTTCATGCCAATGCCGCTGAATTCAATTCGACCAATTTTGCAACAAGTTTTGACAGCCTTGCATAAATTGAAGTCACTTGGATTGATTCATGCTGATTTGAAGCCTGAAAATATTATGCTTGTTGATCCACATCAACAACCATTCCGTGTCAAAGTTATTGATTTTGGAAGCGCTTCTCATAGAAGCAAAGCTGTAACTAACACTTATCTACAAAGTAGATACTATAGGTAATTGTTCTTTCAATAAGATTTTTAAATAAACTAAACTAAATAAATTTTCAGAGCACCAGAAATAATTTTGGGTCTACCATTCAATGAGGCAATCGATATGTGGTCACTGGGATGTGTTATCGCTGAACTATTCCTTGGTTGGCCATTATATCCGGGCTCCAGTGAATTTGATCAAATCAGATTTATTGTACAAACTCAAGGATTGCCACCAACATCGATGCTTGAAAACGCATCAAAATTACATCGTTTTTTCAAAGAGATGAAAAATGATACGAATAGTAATGGAGAAGTTGGAGGTGTTTATTATCGATTGAAAACTGTTGACGAGTTTGAGAGTTCTGGAATGAGCGCAAAATCAAAAGAGACACGAAAATATATTTTCAATCAATTGGAGGACATTTCACGAGTAAACTATGGTTTTGAATCAGAACCCGTTGAACAACTCTCCGATCGTTTGGATCGTCAAGAATTTGTTGATATTCTCAAGAGAATGTTGGTTTTGAATCCAGATTTTCGATTGTTACCTTCTGAAGGATTGGAACATAAATTCACCACAATGGGACATCTTCGACAATATCAATGTTGTAATTATTTCCACGAGGCTCGCAAACGAATGGAAGCTTGTGTTCGAACCAACACTGGAAATGTTCCGCAACCATTGTTCCGCGGAGCACCACCAGCTACACCAATGGCACAAGTTTTGCCAGCACTTTCGACAACACTTAACACTCCGGCTCTTCCAACTGCACCAGCTCAACCAGATCTTGCTAACTTGATGCATCATTACAATCAAGTTGCAAATGCTGGAACAGCAACTGCTGCTCAATATTTTTATCAACCATTGGCAGCAACAACACTTTTACCTTATGGTCAACTACGTAAGTTGTTTTTTTCTTGTTTCTTGATTAATGTGATCTGCACTGCAAGAAAAATAGCAGGTGTTCAATAAAACCGAAAAATATAATCTGTTTTTTTTGCAGAACATCCATTTTCGGCAACTAGACAACCGCATCTATTATCTTTCGCAACACCTGGCCAATTTATGCCACAATTTGTACCAGTCTCGATAATGGATCCGGCTATGTTAGCTACACAAGCTCAATGGCCCGGAGCCGCTGGACAATTTGCAGTTTTAGCGGGTGGTGCGCCAGCTCCAACACTGTTACAAAATCTTGCCCAACAACAACTCGCTCAACACAATCCACTCAACCAGGTTTTTGCGGCAACGCCCCAGAACTTTGGGATGCCACAGTTCCTACCGGTACCTAACAACTTCACAGCAACAGCAGCTGCGGCCGCTGCAGCCGCTGCTGCAGTCGCTTCGAATACCGGTAATCCATTGAACACGGCATACTTGGTAAGTTTTTCGCACGCAAATTATAAATAATTGATGTGGTATTTTTTTTTGAAGGACGAGCCTGCGTGGGCACCAGGACCAGCCGTCCCCCAACAACAAAGAAATGGATCAACATTGAATGGCGCAAAACCGGCCAAACCGAAAAAGACATCACCAGCTGCATCGGTTATAACAATGTCGAGTGATGATGATAGTAACGGCGCTGGGTAAGCAATTTTGAGAGGGATCTTTGAGAGTACGGTAGCGGGAGGAATAGTTTTTTCTCTCTGGAAAATTGAGAATTTCATATGTGAATCCAAAAAAATATATTTGGCACACCAGATTTCTGAAAAGTGCTTTGAAATTAGAAATGAAAACGTTTATTTTCCGAAAATATGTTGAAATTCGAACACTAAGATCTTCACTTTTAAAATTACAAAATTGACTTTTAATTTCTGAAAAAAATGTATATATTCTTCCAGTACCAATAGAACTTATCCATAAACAAAATTTATTGATCAGAATCAAAATGTGATCACAAAATCTATAATAATTTGATTTTTCAGATCGTCAGGAACTAGCACAGCAGCTGTGGCAGCAACACGAGATGCAGCAGTTCCAGCAATCGCTCAACCAGTTGCACTACAACCCGAAGTAAAAATCAATCAATTCAACGGTGACGCTCGAACTGCCGTTGTTCGCCCATTGGATGTTGCCAAGCAAAATCCAATCAATTTTGACAATGCAAATTCGGCGGCAGGAGCTGCAGCACTTTTGAAACCAATGTATGATGGATTATATGCAGCCAACCTGTATGAAGGAATGCACGCTCATCTATTTGATGCAGTCGCAATGCAAAAGCCAACACTCAACGGAAATCCTGGCTTGTTGCCAAACCCATTTTTAGACCCAAAAACATTTGCGGCAAGAAATATTCATTAGAATGTTTTCAACTTATTTTCAACGGTTTTTTTTCGTGGATTTATGACCGATTCTCTTCACAATTCATTTCATTTGTTGTTTTGTTTTCTGGAATTCGTTTCTGAACTTGTAGCTTTGATTCTAATCTGACGAAAGTGTCATGTGTCTGCTCCAATTCATTTTAAACATATTTAACTGAATATGGTTCGTGCTTACTTTCCTCTAATCATTCCGTAATATTACAAATTATCTTTTTTCTAATGAACTGGTACAATTTTTCACCCCTTAAATTATTAAATTTTTTGTTTTGAAATCTCTAACCTTTGTTATAATAAAATCCCATAAAAAATACAAAATATTGAAAAATCACAAAAAAGTTGCGATTCTAATTTTTTGTAGTGTTTTTGCGATTTTCATCCAAATTAGTTCTCTTTTTGAAACGAGTAATTTTTCCTTTTTTTCTTGTATTTTTTCTTGTCTAGTTGTATAGAAAACCCCCAACTGAAAAAAACTACTTCCGATCATATTTTATCGATCATGCTTTATTTCTCCCCAACAACATTTTCTGATAATTCTGGTGATTTTAAACTTTTAATTGAACTCACCACATTCATGTTTTTTTTCTGATTGCGATTTTTTTATTATTGTTTTTTTCATTCATGGTACATAAAAGGTGTTTAATATGAAAATTGTGTTATTGTTTTTCTGTCAGGATTTCGCATATAACGAGTTACAAAATAGAAAACAAGATAAGCTGCGAATTGGCTTTGTTCAAACGAACAAGTTGTTGTTTGAGACACAAAAAGTTTTGAGAAGAAGCTTTTTTTTGGAAAAAAGAGAAATCGCGGATGGACAAATAGAATTTGATCGAATGAATAATTTTTGAAGAAAGTCCGGAGAAAGTGTGTTTCTATTTTTTGGGTTGCCGTGTGTTTTGGTACTACAAGATTCAAAGTTCTCGTGAAGTTCCATTCAAGAAAAATTGAAGATTGTTCATCTGAATTTCGAATTTCATCATTTTTTTGAATTCGAAATAATTGAGAATATCCATTTTTGAAATAAATCTAGAATTCAAGAGGTCAAATTTTTTTGAAATGTTTATCTAGATATCAAGATGAAAAATGACTTGTCGACAAAAAATACAATCAATTCTGAAAATTATCAAATTTCAACAAAAATCGTGGTTCGATTCCAAAAATTACTCAAATCTGGTCCATTTTTCTTTCTAAATTTGTGAGAAGATTCTGAAGTGTTTATTATTTTCTTATTGTGAATTTTTTTATATTTTCTCATCATTCAATCATTTTATTCAACTTTCAAATTTTTTTCCAGAAATTAGGAATTTTGAAACTCTGTTATTCATGAAAACATTTCAAGAGAAAATTGTCGTCATTGTAGGTATAATTTTCTAGATATTTTTTTCCCAGAAACCGATTGGATTTTTTTTGGTAGTCTGAGAAACCGAGCTCTTTTTATGACGTGCATAATATCTATAATTCACAAAATTAACACAGGTGATATTTTAATTCACGTCATTCAAAGTCGTTTGTCATCACACCTACAAAGATGAAAATCAGAACTTCTAAAATTGAAAAATCAGGGATATTTCTATACGAAAAACATAGAATATCATCACAAAATCACATTTCCTGAAAAATTGAGCGAAAACACGACGAGTCAATCATCTCTGACACGCATTTTATTTTTGTGTATTATCTTATTTCATTTTCTTCCTCATTTAATTCTATTTGTCTCATTTCTCAATGTGTTAATATCTCAAAGTGCATCCATTTTCATTCGTCTTCAAAAACATTGCGTGTTTGCTTTGCCAATAAATATTCTCAAAGGCCCCCTTCCAGCTCAAACAAAAAACTAATCATCATTTTGAAACATCAATGAGTTTTCTTAATTTTTCTAGTTTTCTTTTTATTCGTCTCAACAAAAAAATCTGATTCACCCACAAAAAGGCGTCACATTTCTTCGTGTCGTTTTTTAGTCGTGCTATCCTATCCTTGCATGAATAACCGACAAACGAGGCAATGCGATGACACTAAATTTCAAATTTGCTCAATTGCCAAATCTCTCCGATTTCTTTAGATGTTTTTCGTATATATGTTTTGTACTACATACTACAAATTTTTTCTTTTGAAAATGACTCAAAAACTTTTCTGCTGTCAAAATTATCCCTCTCTTTTTCCGGTTGGTGTTTGGTTTTTTCAAAATGGCACCACGACAACCTGAATTTTGAATTGTTTTTTCTTCTTTCATTTTTTATATATGTCTCGTGTATTTCCAGAATAACATCAAATAGTATTTCGATAATGATCTCTGATGATAAAACCCGATTCTCCTTGCAATAGAATAATAATCAAAGTGAGTTTTAGCCATGCGGATTCCCAAAATATCTCATATTTTGTGAATAATTCAAATACTCAAAAAAATGTCATTTATTTATTTTTAGATGGAGACTACTACAGAATTCGTTGACACAACCGATCATTCAATTTATGGTCTTGTTGTTTTTCTGGTTATTTTGATATTTTTCGCATCACTTACTACTGGTTTGATTTTATGTCTTCTCAAAATTTGGTGCTCTTTTCATCAACAAAGAAGAAATTCAGTCGCTTCACAGGTAAACTTTTTTTTCAAAAATGTTAACAAGATGAGGAAGAGCATCTAGAACAAATTTCTAAATTCATCCAATTACGAATAATGCGATTTAGTTTCAAGATATGTATTTCTTCTCACATTCAAAAAGAAAAGTGTAGTTTTGGCTATTTTTGAAAAACTATGTATATTTTTTTGAATTAATTAGTTAAATATAAAAATAATCATGACTAAAACTTTCCTGAATCGGGTTTGTAGAACTTCAAAAGTTATTTGGAGTAATGTGGTTGAGTAAGTTCCTAAATGCATAAACTTTTCAGGAAACTGAAAAACACGTTCTGTTATTTTTTTTAAAGTTATTCCAAGCCCAATCTTCAATCACGTATTTGCCCAAATTCTATTGAGGTCTGAAAAAAACGAACTTTCGAATATGACGTTTTTGTTAGGATGTTCAATCAACAACAAAAAATCCTATTCTTCCAGTTCGCCTCTTTTCTTTCTCTCATCAACAACATTTTTCCAGAGAATCCGAAGATCAATAGTTCGTGGCTCTCCAAACTTTGACAGCGACAGTGATGAAGAATCAGATGTTCAAAATACTTTATCAAAACGAAGATTTTGTAAGTGCTAATGAAAGCTTTCTTGAAAATCATTGAATTTTCAGCGCAACGATTAATGAGTTATGTCACAAAAACGCTGGATAAACGAGACAGTGTGAAAAGTTCGAAGAAAAGTAATGTGGATCAACCACAGATTCATGGCCGAACTGGATCTTCGAGTAGTAGCCGACGAGTTCCAGAAATTAATATTGATCCGGTAATTTCTGAGATACAAAAGAAATTACTGAAAGATAACTGAAGTTTTTGTAGACATCTGATGCGATGGAATCAATGCTGAAAGGACTTCAAGGAGTTCCACCACCTGTACGCCGACCAATTTTGGATGAAAATGATCCAACCAATGTTATTGATGTTTGATATAATAAATCCATTTTTTTCGAAATAGCATTTTATTAATCACAATGTCAAGACTTGGGAAAATTACATTCACAACACAATTATATGCTATCACGAAGTGTATTGCCGCCAAAAGTGTAAAACACAACAATACTCTAATTTGGTACCCTAAAAGAGTAAAAATAGAATTATATAAATCATACACTATGTATTCTAATAGATAGAAATTTGTTGTATACATAAGAAGGAAGAAAAACAATAACTGGACTGTTCGCATGGAAAATTTAACATGCTACGTACAAAATATTGTACAAATTTAGGCAAAAATATATAGAAGAAAACGGGGGTTGGTGGGATTTTTTAGGTAACCGAGTATCAAAGAGGAATGATTAAGAAGAAATGTCGCCTATCCGGGTCGTTTATTCTTTGGCTCCTCCACGTGGATAGTATTTCTCAAGGGTCTTTTCTGGAATACGTTTGAGCATTTCACGTGGGAAGATACGGAGCAATTGCCATCCAATATCCAAAGATTCGAAGACTGTTCTGTTTTCGTAGTGACCTGAAAATATAACAAAGTAGTCATAGAACATTTATTTATTCTAGATGTTCTTACCTTGGGTGATGAAGGTCTTTTCGAATTTGATCAAGAATTCAAGATACAACAAATCATCAGAAGACAAGGCTTCCTCTCCGACGACGGCCTTCATGGCTTGCACGTCTTTTCCGATAGCGTAACAAGCGTAAAGCTGGTTAGAAACATCAGAGTGATCTTCACGGGTCATTCCTTCTCCGATAGCAGATTTCATAAGACGTGAGAGTGATGGAAGTACGTTGATTGGTGGGTAGATCAAACGATTGTGGAGTTGACGATCGACGTAGATTTGTCCTTCAGTAATGTAACCAGTCAAATCAGGGATAGGGTGAGTAATATCGTCGTTTGGCATAGTAAGAATTGGAATTTGAGTGATTGAACCGTCACGTCCTTCGACACGACCGGCACGTTCGTAGATGGTGGCCAAATCTGTGTACATGTAACCTGGGAAACCACGACGACCGGGGACTTCTTCACGAGCAGCGGAAACCTGAAAAAAATGAATTGATTAATATTGATCTTTGAAAATGTTTCGATGCTATCTTACCTCACGAAGAGCTTCAGCGTATGAGGACATATCAGTGAGTACGACCAACACGTGTTTCTCGCATTGATAAGCCAAGAATTCGGCGGCAGTCAAAGCAATACGTGGAGTAATGATACGTTCGATGGTTGGATCGTTAGCCAAGTTAAGGAACAAGCACACATTTTCCATTGAACCGTTCTCTTCGAAATCTTGCTTGAAGAAACGAGCAGTTTCCATGTTAACTCCCATAGCGGCGAAAACAATAGCGAAGTTGGTGATATGATGTGGTTTGTCTGGAAGTTGGACAAGACCTCCTTGACGTACAATTTGGGCGGCGATTTCATTGTGTGGCAAACCGGCGGCGGAGAAAATTGGGATTTTCTGAAATGAATTGTATTTTAGATACTGATGCATTTCTGGATCATAAGATAGCAATACTTACTTGTCCACGAGCAATAGAGTTCATGACATCGATAGCAGAGATACCAGTTTGGATCATTTCTTCTGGGTAGATACGAGACCATGGGTTGATTGGTTGACCGTTGATATCCAAGAAATCTTCGGCAAGAACTGGTGGTCCTTTATCGATTGGCTTTCCGGATCCGTTGAAAATACGTCCAAGCATATCTTCAGACACTGGTGATCTCAAAATATCTCCGGTGAATTCGCAAATGGTGTTTTTGGCGTCAATTCCTGAGGTTCCTTCGAAAACTTGGACGACAGCCTTGTTTCTGGTGATTTCAAGAACTTGTCCGGATCTCTTTGAACCATCTGGCAAAGTAATCTTTACGATTTCGTTGAATTGTGGGAATTTGACATCGTTGAGGATAACAAGTGGACCGTTGACTCCAGCGACTGTTTGGTAAACTGCAAACAAATAATATTGATTATTTGAAAGAACATATAAGTTTTAAACTCACCAAGTCTTGGCTTGGTGGTGTAGTTACGAATAATCGCAGTTTTGTGGTTGGTGATTGGATGATTGACGTCAAGAGCGGCCATTTCCTGCAAATAAACAACATAAAGTTAGTAAAACACTTGCAAAAGTAATAGAAAACGTCGAAAACAACATTCAAATACATGAAAAATGGTATGAATGAACTGCCAAATGATAATAGTTGAGACAAATTTATTCCAACCGAAAAATAAAGGCCAATGAACACTGGTCTTTCACCATCGCTCTCACACTCACAGGGAATCGTTGCGAGACCAATTATAAACTAGACGCAGTGTCACAAACCGGAGCGTTGTTTCTATCCCTTTCGCCTTTCTCCTTTTTTTCTTTCTTCGTTTCTCTGCGCTCTCTTTTTTGTCTCTTTTCCAGGCAAGTGTCGGTTGCTAGTTTGTGTAGGGGTATATAAGCGAAAAGTGTTTCTCATTTTTTGTTCTTCCGAGAACATATACTAAAATTGGAACAATACAGAGAAGATTAGCATGGCCCCTGCGCAAGGATGACACGCAAATTCGTGAAGCGTTCCAAATTTTTTGTGAAATTTTCTATATGAGAGTTAGAAGAACTATGAGCTATTCTTCCTAATAAAATGCAATATTTCGCAATATCAAGTGCAGCAAAAAATGATGACAAATATCCCGTTTCATGCATTTTTTTCCTCTTTTCTTCCTCTGTTGTGAGAAAAACACCTTGTGGTTTATGTTGTTGATGAGTCATAAGAATACCTCGAAAAATGTGTTATTTATTTAGTCATTTTTTTTTTCTCGTGCCTTCAACATTTGCTGCTGCTTATTAAATGTGTTGTATGAACTATACGATTCTGTTTTTTTGATTCTCCCATCCATCGTTCCTCCGTCCGTAATAAAATGCAATTATGAGGAAATAAAAAAAACCATCAGAAAACCGTGCAATTTTTGTAATGTCTTTTTTTTATTGTAATGTTTCAGAGTTCAAATGGCGTTTTCCCACAGACAGAGAAAAAATATTGGCCCTTATTCATTTTTTGGTGAACCGTTAAACAGTTCCCCTTTCTTATAAAGTTTGTTAGGCCATGAGAATCTTTACATTTGCCTGGCAAACCATATCTTCGCTGCCGAAGATTCGTTGGGCTTTGTGAACTTTATTAGATAAGGGCAGTTGGTGAGACATATTTCGAAGTGAGACTCCCCTCGAAATATGCCCAAATTTTAAGTCTTCTTTCAACCCAATTTCAAGTCTTCCCCAACTAACTCTTAACATGAGCAATCTCAAACATATCATGAGAAATCTCTTATTTTTCCTCGATGAGAGCATGTTCTACGATTCACCCCAAAAACCGTGCAATTTTTGTAATGTCTTTTTTTATTGTAATGTTTCAGAGTTCACCGCGCTCTCTCTCTTTCTACAGACAGAGGCCATTATATTGGCCATTATTAATATTTTTGATGACAAAACTCTCGGATCAATTTTCCTTCCCTTCTTTTTTTGTGAGCGAACAACACAATATTCGAAACTTTTCGAAAATACATTGTGTTGACATTCATTACTCTTCAAAAGGTTGCTTGAGCAGATGGTGTCTAGGAGATGAAAAAAAGTAATTATTATTATTATAAACATTTTTTGTCTTTAAGGTTGTATATAATATCATAATATAATAAAAAATTATGGCAGTCAGGCAGACAAAATATAAACAAATCTATAAGATATATAATTTATATAGTAAAATATAAATCGGCTTCTTTGAAATAAAGTAACTTGATGAAAAATGTCTGGAACATTTTCATTTATTTATTTATTTATATTCTCATGCCCTCAGAATGCTTCCCCTTTTCTCTGTTGTTGATGTGTCTCGAGCTATTTCTCTCAATGTCTAAATCTCTCATTTCTCCTCCCTCTTTTTCATACTTTTAGAACACTACTCTACATATTAGCCAAACTTTGAGTTATTGTTTTTTTTTCAATTTTCATTGTAGAATAAGAACATTTTTGTTTTGTTTTCCCAATTGGTTTGTTTTTTTCTCTCATTTCCGGCTGTTGTCTATCTCATCTGATATGCTCTAACAATGTGATTTGTGTGAGAAAGAAAAAGAGAGATATTTTGATGGTATTTCCTCGATTTTTTCAAATATTTGCTCAAACGTTTTTCCCGCTCTCGCACAACACATTTTTTACAAAATTTTCCCTTTTTACTTTGCCGACCAAATTATATAATGTAATAATTTTGGAACGGAACATGCTAGACCACGCCTCTTTTGTTCTTGTATTTTTGCAGATATTATGTCAAACTCATTCCCTTAAGTATTCTTCCTCTAATGTGGCGTATGTGCGTGTAAAATTGCGAAATATCACACAACTAGCACGCGCGCGCGCGAAAAAAGTATCTTGCGCAAGAAACCATACATTTCGTAATTTATAACCTCCTCGTCGACTAAATCACCAATTGAACTGGACTCTTTTCTTTTCTCTTTTCTCTTTTTTTCCATCACATCATTTCTGACCTTGTTTTATAAAAATGGCATAATAAATGAATTTATTTTAGTTTACTTACTTGTTCGTTTTTTCTCTTTTTTATTTGATCTTTTGATTTTTCTATGTTTTCAGGCAAGCAGAATGTCTCTCACAGATCCTCAAAAACCTAAAAGCGATTGTGAAACTCCGCTTATCAAAGAAGATGAGAAAAAAGATGTGAGTTTAAATTTTGATTTCAACTGGCTGAAAATTTTCTTTAAATTTTGAAGCACACTCAAAAAAATTCAGGGCTTATATTAGAAGAACTCCATGGTTATAGAGCTTGAAAATTTAAAAATGAAACGTGAATCCCAATTTTTTATATCAAAAACTATTTGGTTTTCTAGGCCAGAAATTTTTGTTTTCCTAGGCCATATTAAAACTTCGTAACGATAATATTTTGAACTTTGGGGCTTATTTGGAGACTGAGATAGCCAGCTCAACTTGTATGAAATAATTATTTTCAGGATAATGGGAATCCCATGGAAAATGGAAATCAGACAAATGACTTTCCTGGATTGGATCTTCACGAAAGTTCAGAACAAAATGCTGGATGTTTCAGCATGATATTTTTCTGGTGAGTTAATTTAACATATTCCCAAAGTACCATAAAACAATTGTCCAGGTACGTGTTTCAATATTTATGGAGAACCAGAAGAATGACAAAGGATAAAGATTTATTGGAACAACCCATCAACCGCTTTCAAGCAAAAATTGCGTCGGAAGAATTAGAATTGTAAGTGGTTTTCTCTCTTTCAAAAATATATCCAAAAAACACATTTTTTCCAGAATTTGGGAGCAAGTTAGGGCAAATGGTGGATCATTCTTTTCCGCAGTTTTCAAATCAATTAATCATCGTTTCTATTCTCTTGGAGTTCTTTTGTTACTCGAAGAAGCTGTTCATTTGGCACAACCAATTTATATGGGAAGACTTATGGCATATTTTAGAACGGATTCTGGTTTAACAGAGTATGATGCTTTTATTGGTAAGTATTAGGAAAATGATAGGCGTACTATACTATCTGATAGTTACCATAGCATGAATTTGAAAACTGGTTTTTTACTCTTATGTTTTGTTCTATGATATCACTATCTATCGGAGAATGTTGATCCCTGATAGAATTATTTAAAAACCAAGAACCAAGAAAAAGTGGGATAGTTGACACCTGATTTTCAACTGTTCTTTGCAGCTGTTATCAGAAAAATTTGGAAATTAGAAAATGCAGTAGCGAACAATAGAATACATACATACTTTTTGCAAAAATATTTCTTTTATTGAAAAAATAAATCAATAATACTGTTCCGATGGGCATACTGAAAATCAAACATCAACAAATATTGATGAACTTCGATGAACTTATAAGTCAATATCTCACAAAATGTAGGAATTCAATCAAGATAGTCCTGAAAAATTGACATTCAATTAAATACAGTGAAATTTGAGTACTCTAGATGATTTTGTGCTCAAATTTACATCTTTTCTGCAAGAGAAGATTATCTTCGATCATTTTCCCATTTACATTAGTCCTGGATTATCCCAGTTTATCTAGTAGATTTTATTCTCATGTTCTGATCCATAAGAGCTTATCGGAGTCCATTAATGTTATTACTAATTCGAAGATAGGAAATCAAGTACAATTTTAAATGAATTCAATAGTTTTAGAGTGTACTGAAAGTAATGTCAAAATTTTTCAAATATTGAAAATAATACTTTTTTTTCAGCGGCTCTTGGTGTATCAGTATCATCTCTCATCTCACCCATTATCCATCATCCATATTTTCATGGTCTTTTAAAATTGGGAACAGCAATGAGAAGTGCAACATCTGGAATGTTATTCAAGAAAGGACTCACCTTATCTTCATCCTCGGTACAACAAACCAGCACCGGACAATTGATCAATTTGCTCTCAACTGATGTCATCAAGTTTGATTCGGTAAATCAGATTATAAGAAGTTAGAATATATTCAAAACGTTTTCCAGGCATTCATTTTTCTTCATTACCTCTGGCTCTGCCCACTCATTCTGGTTACATATGGTTATGTTATTTGGACGGAGATTGGAGCTTCTTGCCTTGCCGGTTTTGCAGTTCAATTCGTTTTAATTTTTGTGCAAGGAATGTTGTCTCGTCAAATGGGAATCAATCGTGCTTTGATCGCAGAACGAGCTGATAACCGATTGTCAGTGATGAATGAAATTATTTCGGGAATTCGAGTTATCAAGATGTATGCATGGGAAAAATCGTTTTCCGATGTTGTTAATGACTTGAGAAAGTATGTTTTTTGATATGATATTTTTTTTTTGGAATTATCTGAAACTTTTTTTCTTCAACATTAAAATATTTTGCAGCTTCGAGATCGAAAAAATCAAGCTTTCATCAATCTATTCTGGATGCGTCATGGGTGTTTTCTTCACATCTGGCAAAGTTGCCTTGCTTGCCGCTTTGTTGGTTTATGTCTATTTAGATGCATCGAAATTGACTGCAGAGAAGTTCCTCGTAGCTAGCGCACTATATAACTCTTGCCGATTGCCATTCTCATTGTTCTTGCCACTTGCTCTTCACTTCTTATTTGAAGTAAAAACAACATGCACAAGAATTGAAAACTTCTTGAAACTTCGTGAACATTCGAATACTACAAGTGAGGAATCCAGAGATACTGATGAACGTGTTCTTGTGAAAGTTGATAAAGCTGATGAGCCAGAATGGGTTATTTCGAAGAAACAAACCAATAATCCAATTATTTCTTTGAAAAATGTGACAACAAAATGGACTGCTGATACTGCTGAACAACAAAATTGTGGAATTCGAAATGTTACATTAGAAATCAAATCGGGAGAATGTATCGCAATTGTTGGACAAGTTGGATCTGGAAAATCAACAATGTTATCTTCAATTCTCGGAGAAGCAACAATCACAAAAGGAAAACTTAATGTTTCTGGAAAAATCGCATATTGCAGTCAAGAAGCTTGGATTCACTCTGGAACTGTTCGTGACAATATTCTTTTTGGAAGCGAATATTCTGAGAAACGATATGCAAAAGCTGTAGAAGTTTGTAATCTTCTTCCGGATTTCAAACAACTTGTTGATGGTGATATGACACAAGTTGGGGATAAAGGTTCAACACTTTCTGGTGGTCAACGTGCTCGTGTTTCATTGGCTAGAGCTGTTTATTCAGATGCTCATATTTATTTGCTTGATGATCCACTTTCTGCAGTTGATGCCAATGTTGGTCAAAAGTTGTACACTAGGTTAGTTTTGAGTAGAATATGGAAAATTCAAAAATTTAGAAGTTTTGGTCGTTCGATTTGAAAAATATGAAAATGCTAATTCTGGTCTAATTTACATAGAATTTCTGAAAAATAGAGCTAGTTCCAATATTTTCTGAAAACCAACATTTAAATTAATCAAATATTTACAATATCATTATTTCAGAGTTATCCAAAATCACTTGAAAGACAAACTTGTTGTTCTCGTTACTCATCAAATTCAATATTTGGAAAATTTGCCAAAAGTAATTTTGATGAATGATGGAGCTGTTGTTGGAACTGGACAGATTGCTCAATTGAAGAAAGATTTCAGCGAATTATTTGTTGAACTCGAATTGGTTTGTGATTTTTTTTCGATTCTCGATTTTCCAAAAACTATGTTTTTTTCAGGAAAATGAGACGATAACTGAAGAACCGGCCAAATTGACAGGAAGATCGATATCGAGAACATCGGGAAGATTGATGTCTGGTTTAAGCGAGCGAAGAACAAGTGCGACTAGTAAGAATGACTTGTCTTCATTGGGATCTTTTGAAGTTTTGGAGAAACTTGTTGAAAATGATGCTACTATTGATGCCGAATTATCCGCAAAGTTTGACGAAGCTAGATCATCAGGATCTGTTTCATTCAGTATTTATTGGGAATATATTAAAGAAATGTCAAAGCCAAGATCAATGGGTGCCGCATTGATGTTGTTTGTTATTGCAACTCAATTGTTATTCAACTTCTGTGATTGGTGGTTGCAAAAATGGTTGACTGCTGCTGAAAGAAAAGCATCTCTTATCAACAACGGAACAATGGCAGATGACGAATTCCTGGATACTTACAATATTTTTGGATTTGAGTTCAATATTACATTAGACATCTATCAACATGCATTCACATTTTTGACAATCTTGCTTTTGATCTGCGGAGTTCTTCGTTGTGTTTGGTTTAGAATTGCACAAATTGGTGCTTCAAGACGCTTCCATTCAAATATGTTCAAAGCAGTTGTTAATACCGATGCAGCATTTTTCGATACAAATTCTGTTGGAAGAATTTTGAATCGTTTCTCAAAGGATATGTCACAAGTCGACAATGAACTTTCATTCGTTTTCTTCGAATTCATAATGGGAATGTTATCATTTGTTGGAATGCTCACTGTTATTATTGTTATGAACCCTCTAGTTCTTCTTCTCTCAACACCAATCATTGTTGGATTTTGGGTTGTTAGACAAATTTACATTTCACGTTCCCGTGATTTGAAAAGAATTGAGGCAACTAGTAAGTTCTTTTTTTTGCGTGACTCATTCTCTATTCAAAAAATTTACTTTTTTCAGCAAGATCACCAATGAACACGCATGTCTCAGCCACTTTGATGGGTCTTTCTACAATCCGAGCATATGGAAAAGAAAAGGAGATGTTGCAGGTTTTCTACAAAACTCATGTACGTTTGAACAATATATACTTCAATACTCATAAAAATGTTCTGAATTTTATAGGATATGAATTGTGCAGCCTTCAATATGTCACTTATAACTTCAAGATGGTTTGCAGTATGCATCGATTTTTTGGTGGCTACTTTTATCACTGTTGTTGCTTTTGTTTCTGTTTGGCAATACAGTAAGGGTTTTTATGGGGCTTAGATCAATGAGACTAATTAAGAAAAGTTTTTTTGAACAAGAAGTCTTCGAACTATACATTTTTACAACACTAAAATTTTGATCCAAATTCATATATTTATATTAAAATTTCATGATTTTCATTTCAGAAAACTTGTCATCTGGAGAGGTTGGTCTCATGTTATTGTATGCCGTTCAATTGACCGGATTCTTTTCATGGATAATGCGTCAAAGTGCAGAACTTCAAAATGGGGTAAGTGTGCTCATCATCCCTAGTTTTGATTGAATAGAAGAAAATGAGTTTTTGCAAATTCCAACAATTAAATGTTGTTAGTTGAGTGCTCAAATAACTAACTATTGTTGTTTTTGAAATACGGCGCACACACACTACGACTATGTTTACCGCCACCAACATAACACGATAAAAAACACACGCACACTAAGCCAATAAGAAGTTGGGGCTTTTTCGAGTCTATTCATTCAGAAAGCCGAATAGATAATGTTGTTTCTTTGCAGATGGTCTCGGTCGAGCGAATCATCGAATACACCAAATTGAAATCGGAGCACGAAATGCGTAGAACAAAAATCGAAAAGTATAAAGATGAGGAATTGGGCAAACGATGGCCATCGCAAGGTGCAATTCAGTTCAATGATGTCAATGTTTATTATGGAGAAGAGAAAGTGTTGAACGATTTGTCATTTGAAATTATGCCCAGACAAAAGGTACGGGAGTTTTTAGAGTGGGAAGGAATTAGAGAAGAGAGGAGAGGGTTCAGAAATTGTTTTAATCGACATTGAATTTATTGCCAAAAATCAATTATCGTTTTCCCAGGTTCCCTCGTGAGATCATTTTAGGGAAAAAAAAACAAATTCTATTTCTGATTGAAATTCGATACAGTTTTATTTACTTAATAAGATTTGGTGTTCGTACAAAGATCATTTTTTATATTCTAATGCTTTTGTTATAGATCGGAATCGCTGGTCGCACCGGTGCTGGAAAATCAACACTTCTTCGCGTTCTTTTTGGGCTCAAAGAGCAAAAAACAGGAAATATCATTATTGACGATGTAGATGTCGATCAAATTAGTCTTCAATATCGTCGAAAAGGAATGGCAATTATCCCACAGGTTTGTTATGCTTTTTGTGTTTGTAGCTTGCCTATTTTGGTTGCGGCGTTCTTTTCGCACCCTCAAGTATTTTGTCAAATAGGCTAAACATATGTCAAACTCGAGTGGGCATTGTTTGAAGTTTGAACCTTTACAGGAACCAGTGTTGTTTATTGGAACACTTCGTCGCAATTTGGATCCGTTTGATGAATATAACGACGACGTTTTGTGGAACGCTTTGGAACAATGTGAATTGAAAGATTTGATTAAAGATATGGGTGGATTGAGTGCACCAATGCAAGAGGGTGGAAGCAATTTCTCGGTTGGACAAAGACAATTAGTTTGTTTGGCAAGAGCACTTATCCATCATGCGATGATTTTGGTTATCGATGAGGCAACTGCAAATGTTGATGGAAGGTAAGACTGAAGAAAACTGAAAATTTGAAAAACATTGGAAAATGCTAAATCAGTGTTTGATTGAAACTTACATTAGATTGAAGAACGTTTTCTAGATCTGTTTAGAATTATCAATATTTGAATCTTAAGACGTATACAAGAAAAATCAGAAAAACATCCTTTCTTTAAATGTTTCACAATAAACTTTATTATTTCAGAACTGATGCCATCATCCAAAAAACCATCCGCACTCAATTTGCAAAATCTACGGTTCTCACAATTGCTCACAGACTCAACACAATTATGGAGAGCGATAAAATCATGGTGTTTGAAAATGGAATTCTAGTCGAATTCGACAATCCAAGAAACCTTATGCATAACACCGATTCGCATCTCTGGGGTCTGGCAATTCAATCGGGTAAAGAAAATGCGATGGCGTTAAGAAAAATGACAAATGCTCCATATCTCAGAAAATGAGAATAATTTATTTATTTAGTCGTTGTCTGTCACATTCCCTTAATCATTTTCTAAATAACTACATTTCACTTTTTGTTTTCATTTTTCCCAATCATTTTTTTGTGATAATGTTTTTTTTTGTTTTCATTATATTTCCAATTGATCATCGGTTTTTGCAAATGCGGTTGATACCAAAGTTTTAATCTGAAAGCTCTTTCTTTCTCAATGTCAGATTTTTTGTTCATTTCATAATTATTTTAAGAAAATCATAATTTGTTTTTTTTTCGCGTAATTCATCAATTCATTTTTTTTTGTTTGCGTGTGTCTTTTTGTATTTTTCATTCATAATAAATTAATTCAACTTTTAAAAAATTTAAATGAGAAAGTTTTACTCTAAGCTAACTCGATTTTACTATGGTAAAGCGGTTGTGAACTCTAAAATTTGCCCATTCAAAAATAATGATACATATCTACTCGGGCAGAAAACGGCGAGGTCGCTACCAATCGGGGCGGAGTCGCTACACGTTTCGGGCGACTGGCCCGAGGATCTTTGGGCAAGCTTGGGGCGATTCGCCCGAGCGTGAAGCAACTTGCCCCGTTCTCGCCCCGATCCACTCTCTCGGAGGCTGTCCAGAAGCATTTTTCAAAAACTGTATCTATGGAGCAAAAGTAGATCTACTTATAGCTTTATTACCCTACATTTATATGGGCCATTTAATCAATGAATCACTGTGAAATCCCGAAAAAAAGCATAAAAACCATGATTTTAAAAATGGGCAAAAATTGTAGCGAGTTGCCCGGCACTCGCCACTTTTGAGGCGCGTTTGGGGCAACTCGCTACAAAACGAGTCTCGAAAATTGTGTAGCGAGTCGCCCCGAGCTATGTCGTTTTTTGGCCGAGTAGTTCTGATCTATTTCGAAAAAAAGTGCATGGCAAATATTTTTTTTCTCAAGTGATTCAAATCTATTATCAGAAAACAATCAGATATTTATGGTCTATCCATTCATTTTCATCGGTCTCTTTTCGATATTGTGTGCAATTCTCAAGTAGCGGTTTGTCGGAATCTCCAGGTGCGAATCAAAGCACTTGAAAAACCGACCAAGTGACTTTTTTCTATGGATGAAAAAAAAACATCGAGAAAGAAGAGAATGAATTCGCGCCTCCCAATTTCGGTGCAGCAGAAAAAACGCATTGAAAGAAAGAGAAAGTGCTCCGAGTGCTCCACCCACTTGTATTCATTCATTTGTGTTCTTATTTTGAGATTCAAAATCAGAATGGGCAAGTCGATTTTTATTCTGCTAGCGATTTTTTCAACGGCTTTGGGGAATTTTAAAATACACAATGATAAGGTTAGCTTTTTCTGTGGGGAACGAGTGAGGTTAGCTTGTTTTTTGGTGAGCTAAAACCTTGGGGATGTTATACCCAAAAATAATTTCATTCAAAAGATCTGGAACTATCAAAATTATCTACATATATATTGTTTTCGAAAAAAATCATAAAGTTCATGTTTTCGGAAAATTAGACAAATTTTAGGCTTTCCGAAAAATAGCATCACCCGAAAATTTTACAATGATGACTTAACTTTCAATATGAACTTTGAATCTTGACTTTTTATCGTTTTTACCATCCCTTTTTTAGACTTTCAAACTCCGACCAGATCGCGTTGCCTTGAACACAGACACGGAATTATCGTCGGGTAACTTTTGCTCAAAACCTTTTCTTTTTCGAACATCAATTTTTTCAGAAGATATTCCTGATAGTCCAGAACACTCTGCAACTTATCTGCTGGCAGATAATCCACAACCCACTGATGAAAAAGAATGTTTTGCCCTTCCAAATCGAACACGAGTTCGTCCATCATTTTTCCAATGCCGCGAAGACACCAAAATTGAACTTCATGGGGGAGCAATTACCAATATAAATGGTGATGATACATATCCAGTTTCGTTTGCTTCACCAATTCGAATCTTTTTGGATGTTACTAGCAAATCAAACAAACGGTGAGAAAGAATATGGGTTCGCAAAAAACAATTCTGTTTAGGTTTGATAATTTGAGCGTAGAGGTTTCATTATTCAAAAGATCGACTGGATGGTTTGGATGTGGATGGATGTTTTTGCCAAGTTTTGGAATGCTGTAAGAAATTTTTGAAAATTAATAAAAATCCAATAATTTATTTTCAGTAGCAATTATGATATGTGTGATGACAATCCGTCTTGCCCAATTACTCGTGGACGTCAAGTAATTGAATTCGAATTAGACCCAACCAAACTCTTCACCAATATTTTCCGAATGATACATTATGATATGGTCAGTTTTTTCTCTTTATCACTTTTCGAAATAATCAAAAACTTCCAATTTTATATTAAGTCGGCTTATCAATTGGAAATTCGTCTTCGGGACAATCGAGATCCATATCGAGAGTTGTTGTGCGCAACAATTCAAACGAGAATTGTTTTATAATTTTTTTCTGAGAAAAAATTTAATTTTTTTGTGTATTTGTCGAATTTAATTTATTATTTATTATTATTGACTTTCGATTACAGGTCATTTTGCTTTTCCATAAATTATTTATTTTTTTGGTAATAATTATATTCAACTATTCTCGACGTCAAAACCTGATACACAATTTTAAATATATTTCGTCTGCTGAAATGAACTTTCACGCTTGAAATCCCAAAAAAAATCTATCTCTAACAGAAATAACACAAAAGCTACACTATGTTGCAAGTTCAAAGTCATACAATCTAAAAATATTGTTGATCTATCAAAAAAAATCTATTTCTGTCTATCATTCAAGAATTTTTAAACTTGAAATTCCTGAGGAGGTAAACATTTATCACTAGCTGAAAACAAAAAAGTGTACTCTTATCATTATCGGTTTCCATCACTTTCAATTTTCCACATGTCAGGAAGTCAATCAGATCAACATTTTCAAAAGATACCAATAATCTTTAGAGAAACTAGACTGTATTTGAAAAAAATCTTCATGTGATCCAAAAAACCAGTAAATTGAAACAAAGCATAATAGTAAAGTTGAGAATTATATACATATTAACAAGTTATTATGAGATCGAGATCTTTTTGGTGGATTTCTTGTTGCCTAGTGGATTTCCGATAAAGATCATCCAGCATTTGTTGTGTGTTCAATATTTCTTGGAAATGTTGAGAATATTGTTGATTTTCTTGATTCAGAATACAGTGGAAGACTTGTTGTTGAATTTCTTGCTTCCAAAAATTGTGAAATTGATGGTGTTCTTGACATCAGTAGATCATAAACATCGCTTGATAATTGTGGATCATTTAGTATAGTGATACTCATTTTGTGTTTCTGAAAATTAATAATAAATATTTTTAATTTGACAAACAAAGTTTTGAGAATACATATCTGAGAAAGTCACGAGCGTTTTTATACATAAACAAAGTAAGTACAATGTTCTGTTAAAGTGTTATCTTGTTTTTTATTTTGATGTGAGCACCGTATCAAGAAATAGGAAATTCGGAAAAAATTTTATGTTGTTTTTTCCTTGCGCGAAATGAAAGTCTTATCAAAATGGACAGCATGTGACACTGGAAAGGCGTGAATTTGCAGAAGCAGAAAGCGAAAAAAAGAAGAAATATTTATTGATAAGCCCTGGCTACTGGTCAGTTTTTTTCTAGGGCTGGAATTCGAGAATTTTGAAAGTTTTGAAGGTCGTGTAAATGTTTCGATTTATATTAGAAAAAAACAATATTTTTGGACTTTGATGATATGATTTTTGGTTTCAAGCTTTTGAAGTTATCACAACTCAATTCTATAAATAGATTCTCAAGAAAAATTAGATGAAACATTACATTTTGAAGAGAAAATAAAAATAGAAAAACAAAATTGAATTTATATGATACGTTGAGAAATGCTTGGTATTTCGGGAAAATAAGCGAAAAAAGAAATTTTGCGGAATTAACAGACAGAACAAGATTTTTTGTTGCTTGTCTTCTTGCAGAAAAAATTTACAGTAAAAAAAAGATAAAAACAATACTTACTTCGAAAATTTCTTCTAGTTTGTTAAACCACCAAAAAAAGAACAAGAATGTGTAATTGTTCACTCAATCTTTATATATTATATGTGAAATAGTGGTTTTTGTTTTTTTGGAATGAATGAAAATTTGAAATTCTAAAAATAGGTATAAAAATAGTCACAGAAACTTTGATCTTGAACTATTTCCAAATTTTGAAACTAGAAAAGTGCAGGATGAATATTAAAAAAAGTACGAAACTATGAATATTTCAAGCTGTACTTTGTTAAAGAGAAAACTCTTCTTAAGGTTCAAATTTGAAGTGTAAAATGAAATGACCAAAATTGCCCAACACATACACACAACAAAATAATAACTAACTAATAATAATGAAACAATAACATAAACCAGAAATGAAAAATAAATAGTAATGGCTATTTTTGACCTCGATAACTATTTTTGATAAACTGACTGAAATTGAGAGAAAAGTGATTCTGGGTTGGGACCGACTGGCCGGCAGTGGTCACTGCGGGTCATTTGACAACCAATTTGATAGGGAGGGTCAAGATCAATATTGCCAATAAATTCACACGGGTTTATCTGTCAGTTTTTGATGAGAAGATAGCAAGAAAAAACTGCGCACTTATCGTTTTTTGATTTATTTCTGACAGATTTTTTTCGAAATGACTTTTTTAATTGCTTAATTGTAGCTTCAAATTTTGAAATTTCTAAAAATTACTACATTATTTATTGGCATGGGTTTTCAATAATATACAAAACATGTGGAAATATATATTTTCTCAAATTCCAGAACTTTTTTCAAACTACAGTATATATGAAAAGTTCTGAAAAAGTGCCAAAAATGTTCTCAGCTTGTTGTTTATACTAAAAGCGCATTGAAAAGTACACAATCAGTTTTATTTATTATTTTCACACACACACAAACAAGGAATAGAATAAATAGTCTACATACATACAGTAGTAATCTGGAACACATCAAGAGAAAAATATATAGAATACTAAACCAAACCATTTACCAATTAACACATTTATACCATTCTCTTTCATGTTTTATTTGTTCTTGGACATCAAACTTGTCTTGGCCGCCGACTAATTCGTTTTCTGACGACATCACACAAGAGCCTACAGTATCCTTGACGACGTCACACACATTGATACGGTGCTAAATGAGGGAATCGGGAAGGAAATGGAAAATTGAAGTGGTCAGGTTATTTATGTTGGAGAATAAAATAGAGAAAAAGTTTTGTTTTTTGACCTCACGAAGAAGGGGACTAGAAATGGGGTAAGTTAATTTGATCGACACGTGTTGCACGTTTACGGAACTGCAAAAAATGAAAGATTTTATGGCGAAATTGAGATGAAGACTAACCGGTTCTCGGAAATTCTGAACAAAAACTCCTAAAACAATTGGGATGACGACTGGGATCAAAAATACAATACAAATACTGATCTGGAAAAATATGTTTGCTGAAAATGAAGAACTCTTACATTTAGTTTTATTATTTATTTAAGACAACTTCTTGTTTGAAAATTTGAACATTTTCAGGAAAATCCAAGGCTTTTTTCAAAATTTAAATGAAAAGTTGGTCTGAATCTCTGTTGGAAAACTTCAGAATTCATAAGTTGTATTTGAAAAGTAGAACAGATGCATCTGCTTATTTGAAATCTGTGTTCAGAAATTTATTTTATAAATATCACTCACCTCCAATCCGATATCCAGAAATGCATGAATGAAATCATCCATAGCTTCCGATCCAGTCAGCAGAACAAAATCCATATTATCATTCAAAAATCGGAATAAGAAAAATATATGAGCAATAAGATCAAAAATCGATAACACCAAAATGCAGACGATCAACGGCCTACAAAAATAAAAATATGAAAAAAAAAACAAAAAAAATTAGCTTCCCATGCCGGGAATCGAACCCGGGCCGCGTGGGTGAAAACCACGAATCCTAACCACTAGACCACATGGGAGGACACTATGCAGCACACTCTTTTCAATGACATACACACAACAGCAACTTACACAGAAAGAGAGATGAGCGATGTGTGCTGCTGTGTGTGTTTGTTGTGTTGGCGAGCGAGAAGAGCGACGACAGAGAGTAAGAGTGTTAGAAATTGTGGAAGACTTGTTACAATTAACCTGCAATCATTTTTCAGTATTAAATTTATTGGGTTTTTCTCACCTTATAGATATAACAACTTTGTATGGAGCTACATAATATAGGAAAAGCGAATTGAACGGGATGAAGCAGAATATCAAAGGGACCAATAAAAATTGAAGAATATAAATTCGATGTTTCAAATAAGGCCAATAAACCTGTAAAATATCATTTCAAAAACGATTATTAAATTTTAGGCTTTTCCTAACCGAAAATAGGCTTGCATAGCGATCAAGAGCAATATAAAGTAGCATGAAGGATACAAGATCGGAGAAAGGTTGGAATATCGATTCAGTCATTATTTTCCAGAATTTTTGAATGAATTCTGGGTCGTCCATTTCATCAAACATTTTTGCGGCAACAGAGCTGATCTGGAAAGTTTGGGAAAGTTGAAAAGTGATATATACGTCTCAATTTAGAAAATAAAATACAATCTTTTTAGAAAAATTCAGAAAAAAACTACTGCAAAAACTATAGTGTTGGAAATCACTTAAATTATCATCTTCTCAAAAAGGTTAATCGCAATGATTCATCCTTCAAATCTCAAAATCTGAAAACATGTTCCAGAATTTTCTAGAACTTACATCATAAATACTATCCATCGCAAATATAAATGCGTGAATGAAGAAATAAAGAGTATTGATAAAAATCATCCAAAGAACCAGAAATCGAACTCTGAAAATAATCACTCTATAATTCTGATCATTACTCCATAGAAAAAATCACTTCATCAATGCGCCTTTTGATTTTCCTTGACAAATATTGACCACCAAGAAAACAGCATTAAGAACAAATCCAATGAAACATAGGGCAAATCTGATATGCTTGAAAATACTTGAATGCATCCAAGAAGAAACTTCAGCACTTGTTGAGCTAGAATTAGTGGATTTTACTTGAAAAGTATACTAGGAACTCACATTTTCAGAAAATCAATAGTTAGAATATAATCTTCAATATCTGTTCGATTCCATCTTGAAATCACATCATTTTCTGAATTCTCATAGACAAATCCAAAACCCGGTGAAGTTTCGTTAGTCAATAATGTTTCAGTGAGTGTATAATTCATCCTATAATCATTTGAAAAAAACGAAACACTATTGGAATAAAAAAAATAATAGTAATGAAAAATTCAAACAGTTAAATAATGTCCAAAAATGGCGATCATCACAAAACAACCGGTAAACACCGGTTATTATTATTATAAATAACTATTGTTATTATTCATCGTGGGGGGATTTTGACAATAGATTATATTATTTCAAAATTTAATTTCAATATAAAATTTATGTGAGAAAATGTGAAAAAAATCGGATTTCAACTAAAAAGGATCATGTTTAATTAAGTGACTTTCACCAACTAAAAATATTGTTAATTATTGTTATTCTGAATAGATGGATGGCAAAGAACGTTAGATTTGTTTCTATTATGCATGTTTTTTCTTTCCTCTTATTATTTTCAAGTGCAAGGTCTAAAAAAATTGTCCTTCAAAAAGTTGGATAATACATATGTATCTACATATTTCAAAATGATATGGTTTGTTTGCGCTGCACTTTGAGATCAAAAATTGAATTGTTTTTTTCTTATATGTGTGTGTGTGTTCTTGGATTAAGAATTTTGAATTTTGAAGCTGATCAGAACTGTTAAAGTTTCTGACTTCAATTGTAATGAACTTGAAAAAATAAAATACTAAAAAAATTGAATAAAATGAAATTTTGAGAGAATATGGAAGTTTAAATGCTACTCTACAAAAAAGTGAACACAGTAGTCCTTGGAGCTTGAAATTTGAAAAACACAAGTGCTGATTTTCATGTTACCTTTTGATACCGAATAATTGTTCACATTATTTTCTAACCTTTTCAAATTTTAAAAATTCTCAATTCCAAAAAATATCCTATTTATGATGAAGCTCGTTATTTTTAATATATGACATGATACAATTATATAATAATGATACCAAATTTACATAAACGACACGAAGTGCAGGTGGTAAAAAATAAAAATTAATCAACTGTGCTGGTGGCCAAAGTGTGAAATCGACCTGTAAGAAAATAGAAATGAAAGGAGTTATGAAAAATCTTGAACACAACAAGTTTATGTCAGTTTATGTCAGAATTAGTAACTAGATATATACTATAATTAATTCGAGTAACACTTATAATGAAGAAAATGTGAAACGAGACGAAAAAATCAGGTTTATTTTTCTTCTCGCATATCCTATGCTACTAGGTTTTGAAATTGAAAAAAAACATAATTTTTACTAGATTTCGATTTTTGAGGGGGTGATACGGTTTATGTGAAAATATAATATTTTCATATGAAAACATAAAATAAAAGGTTGACGAAATAATATGTTTGAATTGAATTATATGGAAAAACGAAAATGGGTGATCTTCAATTACCCTTATAATTAATAGGTTCAAGATTTATTTGAAAGGCAAAAAAACCACAAAAAGTTCTAACCTTCCAAATATGCCACATTTTTCGACGATATTCAGCCAACGCTGCTTTAAATGTTTTTCCCTCATAAATTGCGCCAACTGAAAAATGTTTGAATTATAATATTATTTTAAATTTACCCAGAAAAAGAAATAAAAACCTGTGATAAATGTGCATGAGAAAAATGGGATGAATGAGGTGTCCCACGCCAGTTTTTTGAGAACTTTTGATTGTTTAGAGCCTTGGAATTTTCGAGTATCGAGAACTCTATAAAAGCAATGAAGAGCTGGAGCCATCACAAGACCAATCGCTGCCATTCGACCTGGAAAATGTTTTTGGCAATTTCTGAATGGGATTCCCTGAATGGGGCTAATTTTCAAAAGGGAAATCCCATTCAGAAATTGCCAATGTTTTTGAATATTTTCTAGTTCAACCTTTGGGATAGACATATATTCAATTCAGAAACGCTTTTTTCCGTCTTAACAATTCATAAATTTCAGAATTATAACAGATTTTTTTAAACCCAAAAAAATCTACAAATTCTGTAAAATGTACCTTGATAAAAAGTTAACTCTGTTTTGTTGATTTATTTTCAGTATTTTTTTTTCAAGAAGAACATTTTCCCGAACTCCAAAACTTAATGGTCCATGATTTTTTTTTGATACCAACATTTTCCAATCTTTAATAATGCGTTCTCCATCTCTTTTTTTTTCTCACAAACATGACTTTTTCATCTAATTTTTTCATTCGGAAAAAAGCATAGTATGTATTTATATGTGTTAAAAAAAGGCATCATCAGTTCACTTTGATTTCCCATGAGATGAAAGCAATAAGACAAAGAAGAAGAAGGCAAAAAAATAGAAAGAGATGGAGAACCAACCAACCAGTCAGTTAATTAGTTTTAAACACGAAAAAAGAATTAGGCTTACATGTTCGACGCCAATCCCAACCATCACGTTCAACGTCGCCATTAATATTTTGTTGAATGATATCGGCAGTTCCGATTTGTGCACAACTTGTACCAATATTAGTGAGCAATAGGTGATTGGAGAGATAATTACGAACACGGATCTAAAAATAGAAAAAAATGTGTGGGATGAAGAAGAGAATCGGTGGATCGGAACGAATTAGATTTGAGTATCGCAACATATCGCAACAACATACTCACCAACATAAACACTTGTTTTGTGAGCCACTCACTTAATGAAGAAAGAATAGAGAGCTGAAAAAAGGTGAAAGTGGGAATTATATGAAAAATAACTTCAACTTTTAAAATTCAATATATTTTAATTTCAATAGCCCTGGTTGATGGGAATGCAAAAATATTGAAACTTTTTTGGTCCAACTAAAGAAATTCATGAGATTTCTATTTTAAATATCTTGTACGTAAGATTAGATACTGATTTTCACTTGTCAGAAAGATTTCATCTCAAACTTCAAATGTTTTACAGATTTTATTATCGAATTTCAATTTTGTCAGATTAAGTCTGGAAATCTCTGAAGAAAAAAAAACTCTATTAAAGCTATACTTTATTTATGCCTCGTTTTTTTTTAAATTCAAGAACAAATCTCAGGATTCCGAAAATCACCACAGGTTACAGTTTCATCCAAACTCACATTTCAAAAAATGTTGTTCCACATACAAAATGCAAGAAATTGCTAAATAGTAAACTAAAATAATTCCTCACGTCACCTATATTTCTTGCTCGTTTCGACTTGCTCCGTCACAGCAATAGATAACCAAATGAGATAATACTGCAAGTAGCGAGTCAATTAGTTAGTCTAGAAAAGAAGGCGTGTGCCTTTTTGTTGTTAGAATTGTCGAATGGGTCAAAATGATGAGGTATTGAGGCTCTCTTCTTCTTTTTTTTGCCTTGTCTTGTTTTACAAGATGAATTTCGAGAGTGAAGAAAAGAAGTGAGAAAAAATAGAAAAGGAAGAAGCGACGAAAACGAAATGAAATTGGAATGAACAAGAATTATGATGGGTTGAATAAAAAAAACAAATGACAAAAAATGGAACACCGAAATTTTTTGAAATTATTTTTGGATGGTCCTTTGAATTTCATAACTTCATATAATAATTACTTTCAAAGTGTATTCAATAAAATTTAATAATTCCAAGAATTATGGATTTTCTGGACCAATTGGTGCATTTTTCTCAAACCTAATTTAAGCCCCATGGGGACCGGGGAATACGATACATTTTTTCCTCTTGTGACTGGCTGAATGAAGATAGCGGGCACCGGGAATCAAGCCCGATTACTGAGGTTGACAACAACCACCAATGAACCACCTCAAAATCAGTTCAATTAAAAAAAAAATCAAAAAATGGGCCAGCACCCCTTACAATCATTTTTTAGGTTAGTCCCCTGAATTTTCTATCTCCATATAGTCTAGTTAACTTCAGTTTTGAAAAAAAGGATAATTAAATTCAAAGTATAGATATTCCATCCAAATTGTAATTGTTTTATCCTCCCATTCCATCTTTTTTATCCAATTCAATTCTATTTCATTTTCCAATATGAACATGGTAGAATAAGAGTTAATGTGATGAATAATGTTTCTTTTTTCGTTATTTTCATTCTTTCCCAAAAAACTTGTTCGTGCACAGCTTTTTTGAATACATATACATAGAGATTGCGAAATAATCTTTCGAAAAGAAGCTTTCTCTCTTTCTCTGTTATTTTTTCTTATGCTGCTGGAGCGGTAATAGTCATAATATATTTGCATTCTGCTTGAGCTCTTGTGTCCTCCCATGTGGTCTAGTGGTTAGGATTCGTGGTTTTCACCCACGCGGCCCGGGTTCGATTCCCGGCATGGGAAGCTAATTTTTTTTTGTTTTTTTTTTCAGAGAGATAACATTTTCATTATATTTTATTGGATTTGTGGCATTTCTAAAAATTTGTTTTTTTTTCAAACTGAAAACTCTGATTTGCGATAACTATGTACCTTTCCGCCAATCTAAAAATATTTGAAAGATAGTTTTCAAGGATTTTATTTTCCTGGAAACAGTACTTCAACTGCACTTTCATTTATTTCACTTCTTTTGAAAAATTATTCATAAGTTCAGTTTTCTATTCGACAAAAAACATATGTGTTCATAAATAAAAATATCTATATTCCAACTTGTAAGTGTATTTGTTGTTTTGGCAGCGACAAGTAATACAATACACCAATTCAATTTCATTTCTTTCTTAGAAATTGAGCATAGCCATATGCTGGCTCATACTTTTCTTATTTGTACGGTTTTGAATTACCACAAAGCGACATCTATACAAAAACAAAACAACAAATCGACCCGCCAAAAATGAAATGAATTAAATTGATCGCAAGTATCAATAGAGTGCATAGCCGATAAGTGTGCTGAGCTCATTGTGCTCAAGTATCACACTATACATTTCTCACAATTTCAATTCTCTGGTTTTTGTTTTTTTGTTTTTATTCAAGAAAGAAGGTGGAAGGTAACCTGATACATAATTCTATCATGATTTGTTCTTTTTTTCCGCCACTTTTTTGTTCATTTTTTTTTCTTGTTGCGATTGAATGACCATATTCATCTTTCTCTTCTTTTTTTCAATGAATCTCTGCTGCCCACCCATCTAGTAAGTATACGAAGCAAAAAAAAGTGAAGCTCTGCACAATGTGGCCAAAAAAAGAGCCAAAATGTATGTATACTTGACGAATAGCTATCTGTTCTTCGCTCCTTTTTTGCTCTTCTTCTTCTTCTTCTTCTTCCATTTGTTGGCTCAAAAAAGTTCAAATATTCATTCTTTTATTCTGACCTTACCAATTCAATTTGTATCTTACTATGCATTCTGACGCACAATCAAAAATTTCCCTTTCTCTATTTCTATTTCTTTTTTCTCTTTCCTCTTTCCTCTCAAAAAAAAAAATTTCAAGCGCTCGCCCAAAAAATCATAGACCTGGTGAGAGATGAAAAGTGTCCTCCCATGTGGTCTAGTGGTTAGGATTCGTGGTTTTCACCCACGCGGCCCGGGTTCGATTCCCGGCATGGGAAGCTAATTTTTTGTTTTTTTTCTAATATTTCGAACATAGTTTGTTTGGTTTACAGGAATTGTTGTAGATTTCCAATTTTTCTGAAAAAAAAATTGTTTTGAAAAGTTTTTTTTTGCGCCCCATTACGGTAAAATATTTTCGATTTTTGGTTTTGTTTATCTCTCATCATTTCCCGCTCGTTCTGATTTTTGATTGATAGATTTAGTTTTTGACCGGATCGGTTCCTCATGAGATAAAAAAAATACATGTGAAAAAAATGATGGGATGAGAAAATTTGGATTGGGAAAAATAATAAGTAGAACATTCAGAAACATATTATGTTCTAAAAACTGCCTCGAAATCCACAAGAAATCGAGCTATTATAATGTATTGAGAGTCAATTTAGTACTGGTTGAAATATTTCTATAGATCATGAAATATTCCGCAGTCTAGTTCAGATAATCTGAAACACCTTCTAGATGTTCAATCCAAATCATCCTCGAGAAAATTTGATTACAAAAATTAATGATTCATTCTGAAATGCTATGATTACTCTCAAGCCTGCGTTTTTTCCTACATACCTTATCGCCTAAACACATCTGAAACAAAAAATAAACAGCAAGTGGTTATTCTTACATATGTTTGTGTGGTCGATTGCGAAGCATCAATCTTTTAATGCTGACATATGACATTTCTGATCATCCTCACACTTTTGTTGCTCAGGATCTTTATTCTTCTTTGCTTTCTTTTTTTCTCTCATTCTTCATCTTTTATTCTATCCAAAAAGTTAAACATGTGCTAATATTATTTTGTTTTTCGGACGTTACAACACAAAGTAGCGTTCAAGTATTTTTTCACATAGGTTTTTGTGTTGCTTTTCTTTCCTAACGTAAAAAAATAACATGCCAACCAGTCGACCATATTTTCACACGCCACTTGGTCATTATTTTTAGCGCTGTTTTTCTCTCCAACAGAAAAATAATACTTTTTGTTCTTTTTGCATATTACAACAATAAAATATGCATAATTTAGCAAATGCAAATCTCTCCTAGAAACATAAATACGTGCACTTCCTTTTGAATATGCTTTTATTTCTTTCTTTTTTTCAAAATTTTAGTTTATTTTGGTTTGGTTTGGTTTGCAAGAAATATCGCACTTGGTGTAAAGTGAGAAATTTTTTTGAAATGAAATGAAAAAAAAAAAGTTCAATGTCAAATCGCTCATAATTATATTTCATTTCATTCATTCAATTTCTTCAAGGATACACAAAAAGTGAAGAACATGTAAACACAAATACTCTTATTCTTCTTCTTGAATATGTTTTAGTTTATTAGCAGATGTTACATTTGTTTTGATTGACCCCTTCAAAAAATAACCATCAAATTGCCTACAATTTCCCCATCCCCCTCATTTTTTTTGGCTCCTTTTATATACAATTTTTCTCGACATATTTGAATAACCGGTTTTGTTTCATTGTTCTGTTGTTGTGATATTGCAAATTCCTCTCCTTCTTCTTCCAAAAAAATTTGCAAACGACAGGTTTTGAATTTTTGTACAAATAACGAGATATTTTGATATCTTCTGGTTTGGCTAATGATCTCTTTTTTGAGAAAAATGTTCGCGCTTCTTTTGATGTTTTTAATTAATTTTGTAATGTCGGATATTACAACACAAATATTTTATATCGTTCAAACGCTTCACATTTTTGCCTCGTTATTTTATTTCGTTTTGATTTTTTGTATAGAACTCATGAAAAAATTGAAACAATAGATTTTTTGAGAAGATGTGGAATTTTTTGAAACTCAAAATTAAATCAATCATCATGGGCTTTTAGAAGTTGGAGTTTTTTTTTCACAATGAAATTACATCAGGGTGGTAACGGAAAAATAAGAAACATTGTCTTGAAGTGTTGAATACAATTTTGTAAAAATAATATTCTGAACTCCAAGCGGAGCAAAGAAAACGTTCGTCAGAATTAGACTGGAAACCCGTGTTCTATTCTCAAAATCGAGTGCTATCAATTTTCACTATTTCAAGTTCATCAAAACAAATTTTTCATGACTCCCTTAGGCTTCATTTTAATCCTCCTTCATCTATGTATTTTCGAATACCTCTCAAAATCCTCAAGTTGCAAAAATATTGCATTTTGGTAGAAAAATATTTTCACAATACTTTCTTCAAAATACAATGGGATAATCTAGTATTATATTTATACAGATTTTTCAATGATGCTTCTTATTCTTCTTCTATTTTCCAAAAACTATTGTCTATAATCTTGTTGTTTTTTGTTTACTTTTTCTCGAAATATATATTTTCCTCTAATCTAGCATAATTTCCTTTTGGCTCGCTCAATTTTCATTTCCACCTGCCTACTCAAAAAATTATACTTTTTGTTGACAGGATATTATTTCTTTTTCTGACGATAATTATTGGACTTTCACATATATGGTCCTATTAGACACATTAACAACAGCAAAACAACAACACTACAAAAAAACAAGAATCTCTCTTTCCTCATACATAATTTGTTAGGTTGTTGTTTTTTTGCATGGGTGTCTGGTGGATTTGGATAGGGGCCAGGTGGTGTTGTGTATGTGATGACTGCCAAATCCTCTTTTTTTTTTGACATCATGCCAGATCCTAAGTGCAATTATTATTTGGAGAGAATCTATTATTCATGTTGGGTTTTTTTCTTAATTCTATCGATCGATAGTTTTTTAACAAATTTTTCTGGCTTTTAATTACACTTTTTTCCTCGTTTTAACTTCTTATATAATTGTTGACAGATTTTGATGAATCACCTAACAAGAATTGTTGGGAAATTTGTAAGATTTCCACATGTTTCGGGGTAGAGAGATGTTTAGAGAATTATTTGATTTCAGAATTGATCTCGGTTTCTTTGATATCGCTTGACAAAATATTTCAAAGATATGGTTTTTTTCTGACATTTTTTAAGAATTGAAAAAAATGTTTATTGTTGGCCTAGAGTAATTTCGAAAAATAGTGGAAAAGTTTTTCGACTCACTATTTTTTTCAATCTAAATTATTTAGATGTTTTCAAATTTGATGTTTTTCACCTGTTTCAAGATTTCTAGAATAATCTTTTGTTCACTGATGGAATTCCAAAAAATGTTCGGCTGATTTGAAAGCATAAACAGTTTTTTTTAATTTTTTGATTGTTTTTTTTTCAAAATCTTTCAAAAGCTTTTCAATTTCAAAATTTTAAGTTCATATAGTTACTGAAACAATTCTAGAACAAAAGTATATAACAAATTAAGCAAAAAAAAATCCACGCGTGAGAAATCAAGCAATTTTATTCGATATTTAATTTTTTGTTCAGAAAGTGTATGTATTTTTCGGGTTTTCTGAAACAAAATTGCTATAAAATATTTCAAGAAATATAAGAAGCCGTGAAACAAAAAAAAGCAAAATCCAGGCATCATTTGTCATTGAGCTGTGTTTGTCGAGCATCATCCTTTTGTTGCATTCATTCATACATACATAGACATTTCCTTCCACTTTTCTCCCCGTTTTTTTGGTTCAAGCATATGCACTTTTTTTCCGAAATGACTAATCCATTGTCCTTCTTCTGCGCTACTTCTAGCATAAAGGCAAAATTTTTTCCATTTTTTTGTGAATAAAAAATCATCTACTATAGAAATAGAAAAAGTGTACCATTTTTATTATTATTTTTATTTCGTTCGATTTTGGCTATGTATGGGTATGTTAATTTGATTTACATACCCATACATACATCAAATATGTAGACACAAACATTTTTGAAAGGTTTTCACCTACCATTTCATGCCTTTTTTATGATTCAACCCAACCGGAACAAACCCATTCTGATTTATGTATGAAGAAAAAAGAAAAAAATTCGAATGAACAACCGAACCGAACCGCAAAATACAAACTAACTGACTGATGATGGTTTTTTATCTTATTCCAATGTGTTTGAAAGAAAGGTGAAAATCAAATTGACATTGACCGATATAGATTGATTTTGTATATATTCATGGAACATTCATTTTTTATTGTCTTTTCTTTTTTTTCGCTCTCTCCTCTGTTACTTCTTACTTGCGCACTCTTGATTTTTATCAATATTGATCGATATTGAGGAATGAATTTTCTCATTCTCAAGGTGAAAAACACATAGTGCTGCTTGTTTTGTTCATTTTTCCCCCGTCAAATTTCCTTGGCAATAAGCCAAAATGTGTATGTAGTGAGTGTAAAAAATTCATGACTCACCCTCCTTCCTTTTAGTTTACTTGGTTTATGTAGTTTTTTTTGGCCAGCTTTATATAATTTGTTCTCACTTCTTTTTTTTCTTTATTTGAAAAAAAATGGATTGAAATTTGGCGTGAATGATAGGGTTTTCAAAAATCTTGACTTTTTTCAAAAATATAGATAAGATATTTTTGAGCACGTTCGTAATTACGTGTTTTTTCAAGGCCAAATGAAAAAGATAAACCCACGTTTTGAGAACACCTGCTTTAATAATGAACACGTGTTTTTGAAGGCCAAATTATCGTTTTGAATAGATGAACCCAAATTTTAGGAACACCTGCGTGTAAGATGAACACGTGCATTTGAAAATCTACATTTTTTTTAATAGAAAAACCAAAAATGTTACGAACACCTGCGTGCAAAATATACACGTGGTACTCTAATCCAAAAAAAATTGAGTATAAATAGATACAGCTGGGAAGATCCTTATTTCATTTCATTATATTCTTTCGACGTATTCTATACGGTGAATTTCTAAAATGCTGAAATGTTTCGGGAAAATGTTCAAAAAGGAGGTGAGCCGTCATAATACATAGTAGGAATCCTAGAGTTTCTCAAAAATAATTAGATATTCATGAAGATTTCAGTTTTTTCTGGAAATTCAAAAGTATATGGGTTAGGCCAAAGAAATTTTTTAGAATCTATCGCCAGATTTTCAGAAATAACTCTGATCATTAGAAAATCGTTGTTCTCAAAGAGTACAAATTAGCAAAAATCCCAGATTGAAAAAAAATATTTTATTTTTCTGATTTTCGAACCCGTTACGTGCAAATTTTAGATTTGGAAAATTTGTTTTGCAGATCTTGAAAGATTAGTGAAATTTTTTTGGATTTTTTTGTCAGAATTCACAATTTTCCATAAATGTTTCCCAGTTAGCTAAAAACTGCAATTTCAATGCATTTCCAAAACGTTCCAAAAAATTCCAGTTTCCAAAAAACTCTAACATAAAAAGCTCTTTCAAAATTTAGAAATACAACCTTCTTCTTTATTGTCCATGTCAATGTCCGACTCCTTCGGACACTTTATTATGGAGAAAAGTTAAGGTATGTTTTCTTCTGAAAAAGTACCCAGCTGCTCATCACATCATCATCATTATTTTTTTCTTTTTTTCGTACAATTCCTTTACTTGCCTTCAAATTATCCTTGTTTTTTTTCATTTGAAAATTATTTTTCACTCGCCTCGTTATATAATTTTATAGTTGAATTTGTGCGCCGTCGTCAGTCGAAAACAAACTCTCATCTGCTTTTTTGCAGTTTTTTTTTCAAAGAAAAAAATTAATTTTTGCTTTTTTCTAGGTCATTTCACCTGAAATGTCCGATGATTATGTGATTGTTAAGTATGATTATTTGGCGCAAGAAGATCAAGAGCTTACGATTAAGAAGAATGAGCGATTAAAGTTGATTGATGATAGTAGAAATTGGTGGAAGGTGAGTGACATTTTGAAGGGTATTTTTTGGGAAAAAAATAAAAATTGAAAATGTTATCTTCCTAAATTGAAAAAGTTACAAGATCATATTTGATGTTATTCGGAATTCACTTCAAATTCATTATTATGTTCAAGAAAATTCTGTTGAAAACTGATCTGAGAAAATCCAAAACTTCCATAATAATTTCCCAAATTTGGGAAAAAAACAACTCTTTTCGCTAGAAAAATTTCACAAATAATGTTGGCAACTTGAATATCAGCTCTCTAGATTCCTGGATAATTTTCTGCACCAAATTTGTTGAATTCAAAACTATTCAATTTCATTATTTGAATATAAAGACACCGTTGAAGATCAGTAAATCAAATATTTTATGATTTCAATGCACTCTTTATCAAATTTCAAATTTTTCATAGATCAATTAAACCTGAAAACATGGAAAAATATCAGCAAGAGAAAACTTGCAAAAATGTTTTTCAGACAATTTTTTTTGTTTATAATAATTATAAAATTGATGGCAATCATCGTGAGACTGAAAATGTATGTCTCTTTCAAATTGTTGTTGCGAAATATCTAGAATTGCGGAGGCGGACCACAATTTTGCAATAATTTTATTTTGTGGATACAAAAAATCTGTTGCAATACACTTTTTGAATAGAATTTCTTTTCGGATCCCGTTTTTCCGCAAAAAAAAGAGAAAATGAAGAGACATATGCATTTTTGATTAATAAAGAAAATCTGAAAATCTTCATGAATCTGCATGATTTCAACAATTCCCTTCAATTCTCCCTCATAACAAAAATAAACAAACCAAAAATGTGTTAAGGTTGTGAATGATGCAAACAACGTGGGATTTGTGCCATCAAACTATGTTCGAAAAGAGTCAATTGTCGATAAGGCAAAAGGCACAATCAAAGGATTGACAAAAGGTCGAAATCGATCTTCCGATCATGAACAGGTTAGTTCTAAACCAGTCCTATCTTTCTTCCATTTATTCCCTCTAATTCCTTCTTATTGCTTATTAAATCGAAAGAAAACGAATGTGAATTATAGCATGAAGAAAAACGCATAAAGTTAATGTGTATAGATAAGCTTACGCAATCTGGAATCGATTTTTTCTTTCTATTCTCGCTTCTTATCATCATCATTTTTTCAAATATTTGCTCTCACTCATTTATGTTGCATGGTATGCAACCAAAAAAACGCTATGGCCTAGAAAACCAAAAAGTGCGTGTTGTTCTTTCAACCATATTAGTTTTGTTTTTTTTTCTTCCCCGCGCGCGCGCGCTTTTCTCACTTCCCTCTTCGTTCCATTTTTATTATATTATTGATGAAATCATTTTTTCTGTTGCAAGAACTGCAGATGTTTTCTATTTTTATAACTCCTGGCGGAAATTTTTTGCAATGTTTCATATTTCATTTTCTTAGTCTCGCATGCTTGAAATAGGTTTTTTGATTTATGGGGGTTGTTTGAAGCAGACATAGATTTGATATAAGAAAGTGCATGTCTGCACGAAATCTGATTACAACTTATAATTAAAATTGTACTTCAAATTATAGGCGTGTGATTTCTTAGACAAATCTGAGAGCATACCTACAATTTATTGTATTCTGCTGCTTTCAAACAAAGCGCCACTAAAATAGGAAATTTATTTGCATTTGCTCATTTACTCTTTCACAGACAATTCAAATTCTATTTGATATTCATATTTATTCATTTATTTATTTATCTATTTACATTTGGATTGTTATCACTTTAGAAGGCGCAGAAGCACCAAAAGAAAAAGAAGAAGGAAAAGAAAAAGCAGTATACTAGCGCATTGACTAGCACAGTTTCAAATTGAATAAGATATTTAGTTGCGAGAGGCAGCTCCACTCTATTTGCTTTCTGCGCAAGCAAGCAAGCAATCGGCGAGAAAATGTGCCTAGACCCCTTTCTCCTATTTCAATTTACGTGTGTCCCTCCTGCGTTTCAAACAAGAGACTGACTGAAATTTATGTACCCACTTTATCGATTTTTTCTCTTTTCCCTCTTATCCACTCTTTCTCTCATGTTTTTGTTGTTTAATGGACTAACACCAAACAAAAACTTTTTTCTTTTTTTCCCCTCATCCCATTTTTTTGTTCCGAATATACATAAAATCCATAATAATTTATAGGAAGAAAGATCAAACGGATTGGATCGATTTGCATTCAGCTCAAATAACAATTGCTCATTAACGCCATCTTCAAATAAGGTATCAAAAATTATTTTATACTTTTTTCAATTTACATGCTCATAATTATTCATTATTTCAGATTCCTATGATGACTACAAGAACTAAAGCATTGGTTAAATTTGCTTATGATCCACAATTGGAAGATGAACTAGGTTTACAAAAAGGCGAACATGTTTTTGTTGTTGAGAAAAGCACGGATGGCTGGTGGAAAGGAGAGGTGAGATTTTAAAAATAAATATTATTGAAAAAATATATAGCTGGAAAAAATCCTTCAAGAAAAATTATTCTCTGATTCCCATGGGAAACATATGTATCATTTCAAAAAAGTTGTAGTTACTAGTTTGGTCCCCTTCAAAACCCACTTCAAAATTATATAGATCATAGAAAAATCTGGTTATTTCAACAAATCGCTGCTTTTTTTGTTCATCGCGTAAAAAAAACTAGGAAATTTGTAGTTTTCTGAAAATAGGAACATACAAATAGATTTTTTTAATGTTCAGGATACAAAAAATGTCTCATAAATTATATTATTTTTGATAATTTGATCAAGCTATTGAACCGGCTTAATTTATCTGAAAATAATTATAATTACATTCTTGGAATCGTTGGATTGAGCTACTTTTTTAAAACAAGATAACATGGAACATCCTAGTGTTTCTGTGCTTCTTGATTTTTTTTTTAATTTTTCATAGAAATACGTCATTTTCCATGAAATTATAAATTATGACGTCTATGATAACCTTTTATTCCAGTCAGCCCATGATTATTTCTTTTCCACCGGCCTTTAAAATCAAAGTTCATTTGATAGTTCCGCATGAAATTCAAAACTTTAGCTCTTATCCCACGTTTTGAAATTTGAATCTCTTTTTTTCAGACAAGTAATGGATCGACTGGATGGTTCCCATCAAATTATGTCGAAGAAGTCGAAACTGTGAGCACCAACGGAAATCAAGGAAGTATCGAAAACCGAAATCCATCAAATCCAATCTCAAATATCGTTTCGCCACCAATTGTTCCAATTGCTAAAAGTGTTATGGAAACTGTGGTAGCACTTTATTCCTTTGAAGCTTCGTCTTCTGAAGAACTCTCCTTCAAAAAAGGAGAACGACTAGATATTGTTGATCATCCAGAACATGATCCTGATTGGTGGTTGGCGAAGAATGCGTATGGTGCAACTGGACTCGTTCCACGTAATTATATTGAGGTAAGTGTTTTGGAAATAGTCCACTTTGAAAATTGTCTTGTTCTAGGTTGAAAGTCATGTTGGCGGCGGTGCCGGCGGTCGTTCCGATTATAACGCACAATATTCGGGTAACTCATCACACTCTGTCCCGATGGAACAAGAACCATGGTATTTTGGTCGAATTTCAAGAGAGCAAGCTGAGGAATTGTTGCAAAACGCAAGAGAAGGAGAATTTTTGGTTCGAGATAGTGAGAGTAATGTGAGTGACTTATGTGTAAAGTTTGTTATCATTTCATTCCATTTTGAAACTGATTTTTTCTTTTGCAAATATTACACAAAATCATCGTGACCACAGAAATTGAACCTAATATTTTAGAAGTTCATATTTATCGTTCTTTTTCTTTTCTTTTTTTTTTTAAATGATCAGACACTTTGAAAAGTGTTATCAAAATGACATTTCTGGAAACATAAACATTATCACAAAATTTTGAAAGATCAACGATTGAGAAAAATTATCATCCGATTTTTTGCAGCCTGGAGATTTGTCAATTTCTGTCCGTGGAATTGAACGAAACAAGCACTTCAAAGTTCAGACAACTGAAGGACAATTGAAGATTGGAAGTCGACTCTTCCCAGATATGACTTCACTTATTCGCCACTACAAAACTTCCAACATTTTCTCATCAGCAACTGAGAAACTTTGTCTTACCAAACCCTTGCCAAGGTAAATAATCAACTGGATTGATTGTCATATTTTAAATTAACAAATTTTGAAATGTTCTCCCCATCTCTCTCTTCCCCAATATTTTTTCGTATTTATTTTGAATATTTTTTCTTCTTCACAAGTTTTAGTCATTCAACCAACACAATTTCATTTTTATTCCCGTTGCCTATCCCATTTTCGTTTTCATTTTTCAATGTTGTACCAATCATTTTCCAGATTTTTGTAAAAGTGTAAAAACACGGTTTTCCACTGGTTTTTGTCTACTTTTCTTTCGCCCTATAAAAAATTAATTTCGGAATTATTACCCGAACATTTTCCATTTTGCCATATGTGATAATTTTGATGAAAAATAAATGATTTTTGATGATATTTTTCAGTTTGTTTTACAGCTTTCTAGAAAAATCATACCTTTCAATCAAACAAAAAATTGATAGGAAAGATTTCCACATTTTTCAAGAGGGTTTTTTGGAAAAACTAAAACAGTGAATAGGGTTTCCAAATTTTGGAATTGTTGAAAGAAATCATTAATAAACTGTGAAATTTTATTGTAATAAGATTATTATTAAAATATTTTCAGAACACATTGTGTGGTGAATTTTAGTTTTTTAATGATGCTGTTAACAGTAGAGCTATACTAAATTCATCCCTTACTTTCAGATGCTTATTATCGATATTTTTAATGATACAAAAAATCACTCTAAAGTTCTGTGGGCCTGAAGCTGAATAGTAAGTTTTCTTGAAAACTTACTACTTTTTTTTAATTTAGGTAGATCTCGTTTTTAGTTTTTTTAAAAGTTAGTTTAGCGTGCAACGAATACGGATGAACCCAAATGAACATTTTTCGAGGATATTCCACGTTGTCAACGCAGATTTTTCAAATCTTCATATAATTTTGGTTTTTGGTTTTTGCCACACAATGTGAAAAAATGCAAATTGAGTGAGAAAACCTGAAGATCTTGTTTCTGTTATAAGAATAATATATTTATGATATTCTGGATTCTGATTGTACATTTTTCTATCTACTTGAGGTTTAGTTTATAAATAAATATATTCTAATCAACATTCCTCATTCCCAAAATAGTTTTAAAATTCCGTAACCTTCTAACAAAATCCTGGTAGTGATAACACAAAACATCACATCATTTCCTTTATTTTAAAACTTATGACGTTCTCATTCTACAGCTACATTTTGGCGCACAAACTTCAATCTTCAAAGAGATAACCCAGTGTCAAGAACACAGTGTTCCGCAGTCATTCTCAAAAGCCATAAAACGCAATCTCCGTCATCTCACGTGACACGATAACACGGTAGCAGTCCACTGATTAGAAATCGACCTTGTTCGCACCCAAAATAAACCTGGTTTCGATTCTATTTTCAAAAAAAAAACAGTTCCTTCTGTGAAAAATTGGAAAATAAAATAAGACAACAATTTTTTATGATAGTGTTTATAGATGGTTGATTACAAGGAGTTTATACAAGGTAAACCCGAAGTTGGCGTGAAAAAAAGAAAATGAAAACGATATTTAGGTAATCCTATACGTTGTATGGGGTGAAATCAAAATTTCCGCGAAAAAAAATAAACAAAATAAAAAGAATCACATATCAAGTATCTCCAATCAACCCCGGGAAAATAATATTATTTGATGATGATGGAAACTATGGGGTGAAGGATCCTGAGTTGATTTGGAGACAAATCAAGAAAACAATAGTAATAAAACATAGAAATTGGTTAAAAATTATGAAGTTATGTAGTTCCAGGGGAAAGGGAAAAAGCCAAAAAAGAGGGGGAGAAAAAGGATCGACGCCAGTCCAGAGATCAAATATTAGATTGGCGTATAAGGTAGATGGATGTTTTTTGTTTGATGACACTGTGTAGCTGATTGATGAATCTATCGGTCAAGAGCCATCAAATAACGATAGTTTTCCTCTTCCGTTCTTTCGACTGGTTTTGAGAAGAATCCACGATGGAACATTCCTCCGAACATACCGCTCGCCTAAAAACATTTGAATAAGAATGACATGAAAATAATGAAAAGTTTGATCTACTTACAGCTGAGCGTTCTTGATGAATTTCAGGCACAACTGGTGCTGTTGTAGTTGGTGCTGATGTTGTTGCGGCAGAAGAGGCTGACGCAGCGAGTTGTTGAGCAAAATGGTTTTGTTGTGCTGGCATTTGTGCGGCGACAACTGACATTCCTTGATTCGATTGTTTTTGTTGGTTGTCCAATGCGTTCATAACCAAACCACCTTTAAGTGGAGTTGTTTGATGTTCCGAAATTTGGTTCGGAAGATGGTGATGAACAGTTGAGAAGCTGTTCTTTCTACTATTATCGAAGAGCGCTGTTTGCCAATCGAATTGCTGAAAAATGTTGAAGGTAATTTGAATAGACATATTTCTCATATTTAATTCAGGTTAGAAAGTTTGCATTACTACGGTTAGAGTGAGAGAGAAGTACGTACACTTTGAAGTTATGTCTAATTGGCTGAAATTTTTAGAAAACAACATATCGCGAACCCTGGATGCTTTACGTGTTGCTTCAACGACTGCTCCGTTCCAATCAATTGCTGATGATGATTTACGCAACGGTGGTTGTTGTAGTGTCTCTTGAGACAGCAGAGCTGCCGAGCTGAAAAATAGATGAAATTAGTTGACGGAAAAATGAAAGCGATTTTTTTGAGAAACTACAAAATATGAATGAATGAATCTTTGATGGGGTGGGGTGGGGCAAATTAATGTACAAAAAAAAGGTTTTTGTCTTCTCATGGGCAGGTCAAAGTATAAAATAAAATTAATATGAAACACGAGAAATGCATGTGAATTTCACTGATACGTTTTATGCAAATATTGCGCAGACATATGATTGTCAGTTGATAAAAATGTTTCTTTATTTTGTCTATTTCATTTCTAATTCAAAAGTGATTGAGGGAAATTTTTTGGCAAATCAAAATCTGACAGCATTTTTATCTTATCACAAAAAATAAAACTTGCACCTAAATATGCAATGAAAGATTCAAATGAACCAACAAGCCTAATAAAATGAAAATAAATATTGACTATTCAAAAAACTGTGCAAATAAATTGATTTTGCAGGACTATACTATACAAAGGCGTTTTGCACCCACGCCAACGCGTAATAATATACACAAGGAGAGAGAGAGAGGGAGAGAGAGTGAGAGAGAGTTAGAGAAAAAAGAAAGAGACAACGCACTTTTAATGGGGAAGGAAAGAGCGGGAAAATCGATGCGTTTTTTTTTCGAAACACTACGAAAAAGAAGAAAAAAAAAAGTTTGATTCGCTTTTTGTCTCTCTCGAGAAATTGTACAACTTACTGGAACACTTTACAGTTTCAAGTAAAATGTGAAGGGAGAAGAAAAATAATTTACCTGCATGGAAAATGAAGACCAGATTCGAGTTGGTTATTTCCAATAAAGTTCATAGTTGTTGTTTTTTAGTAAGTAAGGGATAGATGAAATGATCAAAAAGTGTTGAGAAATGTTTTATATATGTTGAACCCTGTTTGCACCGCCTCTTTCCTCGACAAACGTCGAAAAACACTAGGAAAAACAGATAGGAAAAAGAGAAGCGAAAAAAAAGATTGGTCTTTTGGTGATAGATTTTTCATTGACAGAGGGACACCCCTCGTCTATCGTCTCTAGCGAAATGATTCTTCCCCCACGTGGGATGATATCTATTGTGGAGTGTGTGTGTGTGCGGTTTGTGCAAGAGACACAAAAAATGATGTAAGGTCACGAATTTCACGTTTCGATGAAACAATAAATGGATATGAATCATATGTGTTTTGCCAGCCGGCGGAAGTTGGGAAATTTGAGGAGGAGGAGGAGGAAGAAAATTGATATACACAAATAAATAAACAAAAAACCTCCGGGCGGGAAAAAAAGTGAAATTTTATTGGAAGTCAAGGCAAACACGTTTTCGAACTTCAGTCAGTGACGTATGAAGATCATTGATACATTCTACTAGACGGTTACTATATTCAAGAATGACATCGGTTCCAATAGACCACGTGGATTTTATATTGTGGGTTAGAAGGAGCCGGGAAACATTACAAGTTGTAAAATTCGGAGAGAAAAGTTCAGTATGATTCCAAGGTAGAACAATTCTAGTTTAGTTGGAATTCAATTTTTAGAAACCTAGAAAAATTAATAAATATTGCATGTTTCCAACTCTACCCATCAAAAATCTGAACTTGATATTACTTGGATTTTTGATCACGAAAACAATAAACAAGAAAAAAGGCTATAAAAACCAATGAGATGAAAAATAATTCTGATGCAATGTTGGAAGAAGAGAAAATCAAAAATGTGGAATGATATTTGATTGCATCAGAAATCAGCAAATATATAATATATAAACATATTTGAAAAGCAAGCAAGACGGAAAAATGACACACTGTTCACTTTAAATACCACTATAGACATTTTGAAATACACTAAAACATACGTCATTAATTCTTGACTTTGTTCAAATGACTGTGTAGTGTGTGATTCAATTCACTCACTCAATTCAACATAACACACACCCATTTCTTTTCCGGTCAGCTTATATATCACAACTAGAAAAACTAGAACAGGAAGAAGACAAATTCTATGTATGAATAAGAATGTATAAGAAAAAAAATGTATGTTTTGGCTTCTTTTGGTTGTCAACGTCTTTTTATTGACTGGGGGAAGACCAAAAAATCATTACCACGTGGGAAGAAAAGAAAGAATGAAGACGTCGTTGACAAATACGACCGCACATGATCAAAATAAATTCGAGTTTTTCACGTAGGTCAGAACGAACGCTCTTATTTCAAAAATCAACTTCTCTATGTAGTGTGAGTAAATTTTTAACTGGAAAAAAAATATATATTTGAACAAAAAAACAAAATAAACCCAGTTGTTTTTCATCGATTTTTACGTCGTTCCATGAGATGAAAAAAAAAATGAATCAGTCGAGCACACACACACAATGAGCTTTTGTCATCTTTCCGCGAAAAAAAATGACAAATAAAAAAAGAGTGTCGGTTACGAAATACTCTAGTTCGGGTGCATTGTGTACCCATATGAATCATGTCATTTTGAACCACGTGACTTTTGAAAATACAACCAGGAAAACTTGATAGCCTTTCAACCACGTGGTAAGAATTTCCGGGCGATGCCGACAAAATTGCATCATTTCTTCTTTTTTCTCTAGAACAAACCAGAGTTGAAGAGTTCAAAAGATCAACAACATTTTTTTTCAATTCTTATCGAAGCCGCCAGTTGTTAATTTTTTGCTTGATACATGCAGGAAAAAATGCTAGCCGTGGGCAAAAATCACTTATTGATGTTATGTTCGCAAAAACAAATATTTGAGATTTTTTTGATCATCATAAATAATCAGGTGATTTTTTTTTCAAGAGACTACGAGGCATATTTCGAAAAGCTACAGGATGATGATAATGATGATGACAAATCTAATGTTTTACGAGATTCATCATAAATTCCAAAAATAATTCTACGTACAAATATAATCTAGAGAGACAACACTTGAGTATTGTTTATTTTATTCAACCAGTTTCAGACTAACTGGCGCTTTTATCACCGCAATAAATTTTTTAGTCAAAACTGTTGTTTTTTGCAAAATGTACATAAACAACTGCCTTATCTTAAAGGTCAACAATCAAGAAATCAAACTTGTTTTGTTTTTTTCTGTCAACGACGTTTTTGCAGGGCTTCCCCCATCATTCAGAGCTGATTCCGGGTTATTTTTAGATCGTTTTTTGCTTTGCAAAAGAAAAAAAAGAAGAAGAAGAGAAATCCGAGGTCAAATGGGTGCATTTGATCAACCATAGCTTCCCCGTTGGAAAAGATCAAAACAAATCAAATCAATTGATATCTCAGTCATAAAAAAACAAGAATTTAAAGACGTTTGAGTAGTATTAGTATCATTTTTTTTGTTGAAAAAACAAAACAACTGGATTTTCAAAAAACACTCAAATGTCTTCCTTGATAAAAACAAAAAGATCAAACTTCGTTCGAAAAAAGACTTCCCCAAAGAATGTTCTTTGTGTTTGGACCAACTCCTATTTGTTTTTGTCGTCTCGAAAAAAATTCTAAGAAAAAGTGAACAAAAACAAGATGACGCTATCTTCTAAGAAGTCTATGAATTATTCAGAAATGGTCCAAACAGGCGAAAAAAAAAGAATCTGAACATATGATTTATCATCATTATCTACAGTATCTGTTACAGTACCACATTTCCGGCAGTTTTCTCTCTTATTTTTGACCAAATTGTAAACATAGTATTCTTTTTGTTGTCAACGACATCGATCATTTTTTCGAAAGGTTTCCTGGACAGACAGACTAAGAAATCAAGGAAAACAATAATAATAATTCGGTGAAGAAAGAAAGGGCAATCAAGATAAATATGAGGCGGAAGAAAACGTCTTTTTTGGAAAGAACAATCAAAAATCTCGATTAAAAAAATGAGAAAATAGTATCCTTTATCAATCTCGCAAAGAAAGTAGCATCAAACATGTGTTGCCCTTTTTAAAACTGAAATCGTCAACAGTTTTCTTTTCTCACAAGATATTTTTCATAATCGATATAACTCATAGAATGATCATGATATTGAATTGTTTATCATAATGAATTGAATTTGAGAACAATAGGTGTTATTGTTTGACTCAAATAAACAGTTTATGTTTTTTTTGGTCAAAGGTTGATAAATACATAAATATATGATATGACTAGCAGGCCTGGTCGGAATGGACCTTGTCGGAAGGTTCGGAATGAGCACACTCATTCCGAGTGGTCAGATCGTAATTCCGAATTCCGAACCTCCATTCCGACATTTTTACCTCGGAATTTCGGAATTTTTCGGAATGTTTCGGAATGATATAAAACTTATAAAATTTGTCTTCAAAAGTTAAATTTTTTGAGAATCACAAGAGAAAAAGAGATTTTTTGAAAATGACAGGTAAAATTCATCAACTTTTCCATTTTTTGTTGAATTTTTCACTAATTTCAGCTCAAACATTCCGAAAAATTCCGAAATTCGGTAGAAAAATTCCGAAATTCGGAAGAGAAACACATTCCGAAATTCCAAAAAGTTTCGGAAGTAACATCGGAATGATTCCGATTCCGAGAAAATAGATTCCGATTCCGAGACACGTTTGTCTCATTCCGAAAAACCTGTCGGTTTCGGAATTTCGGAATTCCGATATTCCGATTCCGATCAGGCCTGATGACTAGAATGTCAGACAGCTTTCAGAAAAAAAATTGTTGAATAAACATGTTTTTCAACAACAACAAAAAGATGGAGCCAAGAGGATTCTGAAAATGTGTGGTGGATAGATTAACGATGTGTTTTGTTAAGATATCCAGGAACTTTTTTTAATATTCCACATGAAAACTAACATTAAGTTTGTCATAAACCTACTATGGAATTCATACATCATTGAGAATGAGTTTGAATTTTTGATTCGAGAAAAAAGGATACTAATATTTCTATTGAGGAATAACGGAAAAACTAACAAATATGTGACTAATACTTTCTACGAATGATTGGGCTCAAAAATAATCTAATGGTTTCCAAGAAGAATTTTGAATTAATCCACAAATTTTCCGGAAAAGAGTATTGAATTGAAAACAGGATTTTCCAAAAAATTTTAGGATCAGAAGAATTTATTAAAATCAAAGGGTATGCGGAAATTTAATCAAGAATTCCAAAAAATTAATTTTTTTAATGCTTTAAACATGTGACTAATACTTTCAACAAAAAAAACGTATTAGGCTCAAAAATGAAAACTGCATTTTCTCAACAATTATTTCCAATAACTCACAAATAAAAAAAATCTTCCAGATAAAAAAGCTTCAGAAGAAATGGGTAAACAACTAGCAATCAAAGAAGAACTCAAAAACACTCAAATATCTGATTTCAATTTTCATACATCACTGAAACAAAAAAGACCACCAAATCTCAATCTATCTTTTTTTCTTCACTGGTTACACTCTTGCTTGCACTTTTGTTAGATATGTTTTACAAAATACATACACTTTGCCCTCTCGAGATTTTTCACGTGAACGGGCACAACTTCTGATTTATACATACATATCTAGTGGAAATGGGAACTACTGTAATTTAATTTAGAATAACTTTCGGCCGATGGTGATTTCTGATTCTTCAAAAGATAGTACCTACGTGATTTTGAATAGTTCAATAAAAAATGCAGAGAAAGAAAAATAAATCAACAAAACAATCGAACAGGTCGCGATTGGGGTTTCGGTCAAACTCTTCTTCTTTCTTTCCATCTTTATATTTATTTTCATCCACCCCCAATCTGTTTTCTCTAGCCAACCCAATCAGTCAGAAAAGCATCGTTTGAACTCAATGTCAGCGTTTTTTTTCTTTTCATTTTTCTCTTATTGCCAATGGACTCATCATAAACATTTCGTGACAAATGCTAAGTTTTTTTTCTTTCTTTGCGTTCAAATAATGTTTTTCCTGGTTGGTTCAAAACAATAAGAGAGTGGATAGAAAAAATGAGATGGGATGAGATGGGGATTCCCAACTATTACAGCAGGAACTTGAAAACAATAAGTGCTGACGAAATAAATGATTCGACTTACCTCAAATGTTTGTCAGTGAACTCGTTTTCACGGCGGAGGGCCTGGAAAAATAAAGTTGAGAAAGAAAAGGGGGTTTGGAAACAGAGAGCTTTCACATTCAGGAGATTGATTGAAATACATATGTTATGGGGGAATGATCATGGGTTTATACTCATTTGACTCTATTTTCTGTGAATTTTTAATAAAGTTTTAATTGAAATCTAATTCTAATTTGAGTTCTAATTTTTTCAAGTCATTTCTTATATCAAAAGTTCTGAAAAAAATAGGAGAGAATCAGTTTTCTATTTTTTTTTAAATTCGAAATAGAAAACTGATTCTCTCCTATTTTTCAGAAAACTGTGTTTTTCATATTTCGGTCGGCTATAAACTTTCTTCATATTTCTTTAACGTTTTTGTTGATTTTTGTTCGAGAAATCCAATCTTTAGATATTTGGTTTTTGGCTTTGTGAATGTTTGGATATTTTCTCAAGATTTATGAGGCTTTTTTCAAAGATAAGAAAAATATAAAAAATGTTTGGGACTTGTTTTTCTATCTACATATTACTTTTCTCACATTCAGCTTGAAGAAATAATCAGAAAGAAATTTCTGACCGGAATCTCACCCGAAAATGATTTTCAATTTTTTTTTCGAAATATTTGTTTACTGTGTAAAGTCAAACAATTATTTTATTATTGTTTGAAAACACAAAGAGAGTCATCAAAACAAAGATCAACACAAATTTTTTGTGGTTTCATACAAAAAAAGCTGAACATACCTGAAGATTTGGATGACTTGGAACCGGAGTTTTCAATCCCTCGTGAATATGATTCCAATTTCCCATAATTTTGTTCAATGATGGATGAGCTAGAAATAATAAAATTCATTTATTCATTTGCAAAACTCCCTAAAGACTTTTTATTACATAGTGTTCTTTCATGCATCATTGGAGCTGAATTTTGAAGAACGAATTTTTGAATACGTGGATCCATTGTTAGAGAAAAGAAGAATATTTTGAGACTTTCTCGAAAAAATGAGACTGGGGAGTTGAGTTGGTTTTTTTCTTTTCAGTCAGTCAGCTGGGCAAGCGAAAAATAACATTCGAAAATATGGAGAGAAGAGAAAAAAACGAGAAAAACAAGGAAATGGAAATAACAAAAAGGACAAAGAACAAAACAGAACAGAGAATAAAAATGAAAACAAATATTTTTGAGTGAGTTGAAATAACTAACCTTCATCTTGGCTCAAAATCAAATGTGGAATATCGAGATGTGGATCACTTTTGCTCATTGTTCGAAGACTAACACGCTGCAAACAAATATTTTTTCATTATTTATGTGCTCAAATAAAGCAGAGCATGTTTCATGAAATATGTATGCATAATGCCTGATTAAGACAACCATGTTCTTATGAAAAGAAGCGAAAAAGAGAAAAGAAGAATATCCTTGGTTACCAACTAAACTATTGATTTGAAAAATAAATTGAATATTATGTGGGAAAAATAATTCTTGAAGGAAAACGGGGAATTTTATATATGGAAAATCGATTTGTTTAACTATTAATATTCAAATAAAAACATAACATTGGAAATGTGCCTGTTGGCTTTTTCAAAAAAAATCCATTTTTTTGGGGTGAATCACACTCCATGAAATTTGACTCACAATCCAAAATTAATGAACAATCTGCTCACAGTTTTCTCAATATTTCGAAAAATATAAAGTATTATATAATTTTTCAATCTTTCAAAACTTTTTTTTTCAGATTTCGTAATCAGGATCAGAATTCTAATTCCACATCTAACGTGAAACATGGGATAAAAACATTTTTTCAATTTTTCCTTCAAAATTCTCACTGACCGGTGGTTGTAGAAGACTTGCGTGATGGTCATCATTTTGATGATTATGATGTTCGTCTTGATGGAAAAAATCACCATGCAAAATTGATTCCATGTTGTATTGTTACTTGTAAGCTTTGCAAAAAAACGTCTGAAATCAACAAACCACTTGATAAACTATCAACAAAAAGGTGATAATGAAACGAATAAATGATAATATTTCAATCTGTACACCTTATATATACAGTCTTAAGAAAATCAAAAGAAGAAGAAAAAACAAGTGAAGCTGTGTAAATATAATAATGGATGTTTGACTTTTTCACTGTTTCGCGAATTATCTTCTCTTTTCTGCAGTGAGTATTTTCTTGATCAATCGAATCGATAGACAATGGAGAAGAAAAGAGGAAGAAAGAAAAACATATGACGACTCTCGTAGAGAAAAATGAGTTCATCGAAACACTCAGTGTCCGAATATCATCTTTGAAAAGGTAAAAGTTTGAAAAAAAAATGACAAAGAATCTTGGATGCGTTTATATATACAACTTTTTTTTTTTAGTCTGGTCAATCAATCAATAAAAAGTATAAAACCTGACATCATATTATTTTCAAAATGACAAAACAATTTGAATACACACTACAATAATATCATAATACGCTTATAAATAGTTCTGACATCACATGTGTTTCTCTCTCACTAAATACAGGACTGGGAAAAGATCAATGTCGTAATAGAACTTCAGTCTTCAGTATACTAGCCATGCTTGTTTCATTAATCAAACTCATATCTACCAATAGAACAAAATAATAAAGATCTTTGGTTATAACTTGAAATAGTCTGTCGCTGTCTGATAACAAGGAACACAAAAAGAGAAAAATATTTGCCGCCAGCAGGGGTCGAACCTGCGACCTTGGGCTTATTAGACCCACGCTCTAACCGACTGAGCTATGGCGGCACATGTTATTAACACTAGACAAATGCCTAGAGAAGATTGGTTTCTATCTTTTCTTTTTCTCGTGGGAAGAATGGAGGTTTGCACTTTTGTTGAACAAACAGAGAATATTGAGAGGAATTGGTTTCAAAAAAAAAATTTAAAAATGAAATTTTTCTGGGTAAAAATGTTCTATGGTCATTGTATATTGTCAGCTGATTTTTTGTAAACACTTTGTAAACAATTCAAAAATCATGGGAAGTTGCAGGTATGAAATATTGGTTTTTTTCGTTTTTCTTACCTGTGCGCTGGAATTTCAAGAATTTGTTTTAATTTCACAACATAAAGTGATTCCTAAAAAGTTTAATTCTAACACATAAAAAAGCCAATTCTCACTACCTCATAAATCACGGGAATACAATAAATGTTTTGTTTTAAAATCTGGACTTTTCCCTGAACACTAAAAATTACAGTTATACTAAAAATTTACGCTGAACACTCTGAAATTACAGATTCAGAACGAAATATGACATATTCTATTTGTTTTTCACACCCTTTTAGTCTGATAATAAAACAGCTACGACGAAACAGTTTAATTCATTTACGACATTGGAAGAACACCGTTAAATAGTTAGAAGAAAAATTAAAAAAGTAATTTTCAAAATAAAAATAAATAAGTATATGACACAGTTGGTTACTGACCAGGCATGTTCATTTTGCTTTGCCGGCAAAAAGCAAAGCAGCTTTGCTGGGCGTGGCTTTGCTTTTTGCTGGCAAAAAGCAAGTAAGGAAAAAGCAAAAAAAAGCAGCCTCGGCTGCCTGCCGGGCTGCTTTTTTAAAATACAGAAGGCAACAAGCGAAGCTCCGCCCCTCCACACACAAAACATGGCAACACACAAAACCAGCGAACCGTCCGCGTATGCATTTATTCAAGTAGTCTCGCGCGCGCGTTAGAGAAGCAAAAAGAGGTTGTTTTGTCAATGCATTCTCACTGCTTTCAGATGATTTTGGAAGGAGTGAAAAAAGCATTGCCGGCAATTCGGCAAGCTGCTTTGCTGTTGCTTTTTCACAGTCTTACCGTGTAAAAGCAAAAGCGGCTTTGCTTTTTCGGGGGACGGCAAAAAGCAGGCAATGCCGGCAAAATGAACATGCCTGTTACTGACTATATAAATGTTAGCTTGAGATGAAACACACAAGTTTTTGAGAGCGTGCGACACATGCAACTTTTATCAATGGGGCGCACTTCCATTACTACTTTTATTTTCTTGTTTTTGTTTTTCGGAAAACTAGACAAGTTCACGCAAAAATAGTCACTTACTTTGGCGCTGTTTTTTGCAAACACTCTAAAATCCTTGTCAATTTATTTTCCGATCGAATGGGGTGATTCAGGTCGAAAAAAAACTAAAAAAAAAACGTTTTTTTTACAAAAAAAATTCGATTCAGCAAATGTCAAAAAACCCTATTTGTTTCCACACAAAAATGAGAGATATCTCGCAGCGAAAATGTTTCAATGAAAAAAAATGTCAAAAAATGTCGAAAAATAGGAAAAAATATAGTTTTTGACATTTGCTGAATCGAATTTTTTTGTAAAAAAACGTTTTTTTTTAGTTTTTTTTCGACCTGAATCACCCCAGAACATATTCAATTTCTTGTAAAACATTTAATGATGCTGCTCCAGCTCTTCCAACATTCACAACAATTGGTTGAACCAATGCGGATTTTGCAAAATTTTGATTTTTTTTTTGGCATTGTCGCAGAGAATAAAAGAGTTTGTCTTTGTGCTTTGAAAAAATAAATAATCGATTTGATTTCATCTTCGAATCCCATATCAAGCATTCTATCGGCTTCATCAAGAACCAAATAACGACATACTTCAAGATTTATTATTTTCTTTGTTAATAAATCAGAAAGTCGTCCTGAAGTTGCAACACAAATATGAAGACCTCTGAAGATTTTGAAATATTTTTACTTTAAAAAAATAGGAATTAAAACTTACTGTCGAAAATCTTTAGCTTGTTCTCCGAAAGGAACTCCGCCAATACATAAACCAGCTCTCATTAATGGTAATCCTCCTTTATGCAAAAATTCGAATATTTCAATGACTAAATCATAAATTTGTCGGGCCAATTCTCTTGAAGGAACTATAATCAAACCAAATGGACCTTCATTTCTATTAAAAGGTAGAGCAGTTTCTTGTTCAGCACAAATTATTGAAAGTGGAAGAACAAATGCCATTGTTTTACCAGAACACGTTGATGCAATTCCAATCATATCACGACCTGATTATCTGAAATACAGTGCTCCACAAAATGATACGGTCAACATGAAAAATTCCAAAAAATCGAAAATCCGGAAAGCATTAAATTTTCATATTCACGGGGGCTAAAATGGGCTCAAAAAGTTCAATTATTGGTCCAAAAACAAAATTGAAATTCCTGGTGAAAAAATGAGAAAATCGAAAAATCTCATTTTTAGGTTTTTTCCAATCCACAAAATGATACGGTCAACCATAATTTTTCTTAAATTTTCCAGTTTTTCGGTTAGATTTCAATGTGATTAAGTTTGAAATGGTGAATTTCGGTGATTTTAAAAGTTCGGTGTGAAAATTAGCATACCTAGCTAGGTCACGAGGTCCAAAAAGGACCAAATCAGGAAAACGTCTTTCAGAGTTCCAAAATCTAGCAAATTTTGAAACATTTCCAGGTTATGTCGACTAATTCGCCAGAAAAGGGTTAAATTTAGCCTTTCTGAACTTCATTGACAATTTTCCTTCCAGAATTCAGTGAAAATTGTGAAAAAATCGATAATTTTATTATGTCGACTTAATGAAAAAAGCAAATTTTCGAACTTTCCCAAGGAAATGAAGATCCCATGGCACGAGATGTTAAAGTTTATCCATCGGACACTTCGGAACATTCATCAGGTATGTCCACTGACACATGATAACCCAAAAAATTGAAGAAACAGCATCAGGAAAACGTCGTACTTGAATTTCAACATTTTTAAATTTTCAAAAAAAGTGGTTGATCAACGGAACAAGTGGTAGCAGTCAGTTTTGTTGATTAAAACACGATTTCAAAAAACCACAAGCCTTAAAACTTTTTTTCAATAGCATAAATCGATTTTTGACTTCATTACTCGCCTGATCTCGTCATCGAAGATAAGTTAAGTACATTATGGTAGGTTCCAAAGTGGATTTTCTTCAATTTTTGGGTTATCATGTGTCAGTGGACATACCTGATGAATGTTCCGAAGTGTCCGATGGATAAACTTCAAAATCTCGTGCCATGGGATCTTCCTTTCCTTGGGAAAGTTCGAAAATTTGCTTTTTTCATTAAGTCGACATAATAAAATTATCGATTTTTTCACAATTTTCACTGAATTCTGGAAGGAAAATTGTCAATGAAGTTCAGAAAGGCTAAATTTAACCCTTTTCTGGCGAATTAGTCGACATAACCTGGAAATGTTTCAAAATTTGCTAGATTTTGGAACTCTGAAAGACGTTTTCCTGATTTGGTCCTTTTTGGACCTCGTGACCTAGCTAGGTATGCTAATTTTCACACCGAACTTTTAAAATCACCGAAATTCACCATTTCAAACTTAATCACATTGAAATCTAACCGAAAAACTGGAAAATTTAAGAAAAATTATGGTTGACCGTATCATTTTGTGGATTGGAAAAAACCTAAAAATGAGATTTTTCGATTTTCTCATTTTTTCACCAGGAATTTCAATTTTGTTTTTGGACCAATAATTGAACTTTTTTGAGCCCATTTTAGCCCCATGAATATGAAAATTTAATGCTTTCCGGATTTTCGATTTTTTGGAATTTTTCATGTTGACCGTATCATTTTGTGGAGCACTGTATATGTTTTTTATTGAGGAATTATTTGAATTCATAAACTCACGCTACTGGTATTCCTTGCATTTGAATTGCTGTTGGTGCGAAAATTCCTTTATTTTTCAAACCTTCCAGAATCGATTTTGGAAATTTCATCTCAAGAAAACTTCCAAATGCAGGTGGTATATTTTCTCCTTCTACATTTATTCCTCTTCTTTTACGATATTCTTCATAATCTTTTTGAGTTTGATTTCGAATATGAGCAGGAGGACGCCATCTAAAAATAGTTTCACTTTGAAAAAAACTCAAAACTTTTTCGAAAAATATAAAATGCTCACCCAGTTTCAATTGGTTTTTCATATTGTTCGCCTTTTGTCATTTCTGCAAGTGCTCCACCTCTTGTAACTTTATCCAATAATTCTTCTTCTTCTCGTCGCTGTTTCTCATTTTCATCAACATCTTCTTGATTTTCCATAATTTCAGCATGTTTTTCAAGTAATGTCTTTTTTGCTTCTTCGTGTTGTTTTTCCTCTTCTTTTCGCTTACGTTTTCTTTCAATTTCTTCTTTCTGATTTGAAGTTGGAGCCAGAAATTGCTTCAAAAGAGCTCGTCTATGCAATTTCTCTCTTTTCCGTTGAACAGCGGTCAAAAACATATCATCTACATCGTTATCGTCTTCATCTGATGATATATTCATACCATTCCGTCGTTCTTTCTGTTCTTCTTCGAGAATTTTTCGTCGTCGCTCTTCATATTTTCGACGAGATTCTTCAATATTAATAGTTTCTTCACAATTGCTACTACCCTCCAAAGTATCCGCCATTCTTCTGTCAGAACACAATTTTTGCAATTTTTTTCGAAAAAATAAAACAACTCCGAGAGAAATACACAATTGTTCAATAGAGCGAATTAGCATCCTCTGTATTGCGAATTAGCATCCTCGTATATTTAAATTCAAAAAATTCCAGAATTTTCATTTTCCAACGAATAATTTTGTCACGAAATGCGCTGGATACACTTTATGAAAATCGAGAAAAATGTACTTCACAATTACACAGTATTGAAGGTTCGGATTTCATCATTTTATTATATTTTTTAAAAACGTTAACATGTTCAAAAAAAATCTAGATTGGTTGACTACGTGTTTTCAAGGTGTGAAGCAATTTGCTTCAAGCAATTCATAATTTCTCGAGATTTGTCGGGGAAACCTTGATGTTTTGCTTTGAATCGACACTTTGAAATTGATGAAATGAAAAAATATATGAGGAAAGAATATGATGATGGATATTGGGTTAGAGTTTACTAAAACTGCGGGTTATTTTTCGTATTTAAGAAATTTTCAGGTTATAAATGAGCATAGTTCTTCGCTGATTTCATTTTCAAATCTAACAGTTGATGATTTTCGATTATTTCCGATTTTAATTGATCGTGAAATAAATGTAGAATTTTATTTGTAAGGAATGTTTTGAAACTTTACGTAAGTGTTTTTTGTGAAGAAAGAGTGAAACTCAGAAAAATGTTCTCCGCCATGCAACACACTTCTGTCCCCCATGCACTCGGTTTGTGTTTCATTTTTGAAAATTTGCTCAAAAAATGGGAAAAATTAATAAAATTCTGGAAATGAAGCACGTACCGCGTCGCGTGACCGCAACGCCACGAACGACATGGGTTCTCTGAAAATGTTCACGTTTCTTAATTTTTTCTGCCATCTATTTTTATTTTGACAACATTCGAAGTTTTTTTTGAGCACGTGCGGTTTGCAATGCGTTAAAAAATTCTTTTTCTTTGCTTTTCGAAATGATTGTCATTTTGTACAAACCTGTTGAACATACTTAGACTACCCTAGCTTACAATTCTAATTCATTGAACCTAAACTTGAAAGGAAGAGGCGGTCACTACAGTTGTTAGCTCCCAATTTGCCAGAGCTAACCTAATTAATTTCAATCTTCATATGGGCAAATTGGGGTTCCACCTTCTCGCCACGGTGAGGCCAACCATTTGAGAAGGACCCCTCCCTTTCCCAAAAAAAAAATACAAAAAAAAAATAAAAATACAAAGCCCAAACCCTCCCAAACAAGGGAAAAAAGCCAAAAAATACAAATACAAAGCCCAAACCCTCCCAAAAAAGAAAAAAAAGCAAAAAAATACGAATACAAACCCCAAACCATCCCGAAAAAAAAAAAAAAAGCAAAAAAATACGAATACAAACCCCAAACCATCCCGAAAATAAAAAAAAGCAAAAAAATACGAATACAAACCCCAAACCATCCCGAAAAAAGAAAAAAAAGCAAAAAAATACGAATACAAACCCCAAAAACCATCCCGAAAATAAAAAAAAAAGCAAAAAAATACGAATACAAACCCCAAACCATCCCGAAAATAAAAAAAGCAAAAAAATACGAATACAAACCCCAAACCATCCCGAAAAAAAGAAAAAAAGCAAAAAAATACGAATACAAACCCCAAACCATCCCGAAAATAAAAAAAGCAAAAAAATACGAATACAAACCCCAAACCATCCCGAAAAAAAGAAAAAAAAGCAAAAAAATACGAATACAAACCCCAAACCATCCCGAAAAAAGAAAAAAAAAGCAAAAAAATACGAATACAAACCCCAAACCATCCCGAAAATAAAAAAAAGCAAAAAAATACGAATACAAACCCCAAACCATCCCGAAAAAGAAAAAAAAGCAAAAAAATACGAATACAAACCCCAAACCATCCCGAAAAAAGAAAAAAAAGCAAAAAAATACGAATACAAACCCCAAACCATCCCGAAAATAAAAAAAAGCAAAAAAATACGAATACAAACCCCAAACCATCCCGAAAAAAGAAAAAAAAGCAAAAAAATACGAATACAAACCCCAAACCATCCCAAAAAAGAAAAAAAAGCAAAAAAATACGAATACAAACCCCAAACCATCCCGAAAATAAAAAAGCAAAAAAATACGAATACAAACCCCAAACCCTCCCAAAAAAGAAAAAAAGCAAAAAAATACGAATACAAACCCCAAACCATCCCGAAAATAAAAAAAAAAGCAAAAAATACGAATACAAACCCCAAACCATCCCGAAAAAAGAAAAAAAGCAAAAAAATACGAATACAAACCCCAAACCATCCCGAAAAAAGAAAAAAAAGCAAAAAAATACGAATACAAACCCCAAACCATCCCGAAAAAAGAAAAAAAAGCAAAAAAATACGAATACAAACCCCAAACCATCCCGAAAATAAAAAAAAAAGCAAAAAAATACGAATACAAACCCCAAACCATCCCGAAAAAAGAAAAAAAAGCAAAAAAATACGAATACAAACCCCAAACCATCCCGAAAAAAAAAAAAAAAAGCAAAAAATACGAATACAAACCCCAAACCATCCCGAAAAAAAGAAAAAAAGCAAAAAAATACGAATACAAACCCCAAACCATCCCGAAAATAAAAAAAAAGCAAAAAATACGAATACAAACCCCAAACCATCCCGAAAATAAAAAAAGCAAAAAAATACGAATACAAACCCCAAACCATCCCGAAAAAAGAAAAAAAAGCAAAAAAATACGAATACAAACCCCAAACCATCCCGAAAAAAGAAAAAAAAGCAAAAAAATACGAATACAAACCCCAAACCATCCCGAAAATAAAAAAAAGCAAAAAAATACGAATACAAACCCCAAACCATCCCGAAAAAAAGAAAAAAAAGCAAAAAAATACGAATACAAACCCCAAACCATCCCGAAAAAAGAAAAAAGCAAAAAAATACGAATACAAACCCCAAACCATCCCGAAAAAAGAAAAAAAGCAAAAAAATACGAATACAAACCCCAAACCATCCCGAAAAAAGAAAAAAAGCAAAAAAATACGAATACAAACCCCAAACCATCCCGAAAAAAGAAAAAAAAGCAAAAAAATACGAATACAAACCCCAAACCATCCCGAAAAAAGAAAAAAAAGCAAAAAAATACGAATACAAACCCCAAACCATCCCGAAAAAAAAAAAAAAGCAAAAAAATACGAATACAAACCCCAAACCATCCCGAAAATAAAAAAAAAGCAAAAAAATACGAATACAAACCCCAAACCATCCCGAAAAAAAAAAAAAAAGCAAAAAAATACGAATACAAACCCCAAACCATCCCGAAAATAAAAAAAAAGCAAAAAAATACGAATACAAACCCCAAACCATCCCGAAAATAAAAAAAGCAAAAAAATACGAATACAAACCCCAAACCATCCCGAAAATAAAAAAAAGCAAAAAAATACGAATACAAACCCCAAACCATCCCGAAAAAGAAAAAAAAGCAAAAAAATACGAATACAAACCCCAAAACCATCCCGAAAAAAAGAAAAAAAAGCAAAAAAATACGAATACAAACCCCAAACCATCCCGAAAAAAGAAAAAAAAGCAAAAAAATACGAATACAAACCCCAAACCATCCCGAAAAAAGAAAAAAAGCAAAAAAATACGAATACAAACCCCAAACCATCCCGAAAAAAAAAAAAAAAAGCAAAAAAATACGAATACAACCCCCAAACCATCCCGAAAATAAAAAAAAGCAAAAAAATACGAATACAAACCCCAAACCATCCCGAAAATAAAAAAAGCAAAAAAATACGAATACAAACCCCAAACCATCCCGAAAAAAAGAAAAAAAAGCAAAAAAATACGAATACAAACCCCAAACCATCCCGAAAAAAGAAAAAAAGCAAAAAAATACGAATACAAACCCCAAACCATCCCGAAAAAAGAAAAAAAAGCAAAAAAATACGAATACAAACCCCAAACCATCCCGAAAATAAAAAAAAAGCAAAAAAATACGAATACAAACCCCAAACCATCCCGAAAATAAAAAAAAAGCAAAAAAATACGAATACAAACCCCAAACCATCCCGAAAAAAGAAAAAAAAGCAAAAAAATACGAATACAAACCCCAAACCATCCCGAAAATAAAAAAAAAGCAAAAAAATACGAATACAAACCCCAAACCATCCCGAAAAAAAGAAAAAAGCAAAAAAATACGAATACAAACCCCAAACCATCCCGAAAAAGAAAAAAAAGCAAAAAAATACGAATACAAACCCCAAACCATCCCGAAAAAAAGAAAAAAAGCAAAAAAATACGAATACAAACCCCAAACCATCCCGAAAAAAGAAAAAAAGCAAAAAAATACGAATACAAACCCCAAACCATCCCGAAAAAAGAAAAAAAAGCAAAAAAATACGAATACAAACCCCAAACCATCCCGAAAATAAAAAAAAAGCAAAAAAATACGAATACAAACCCCAAACCATCCCGAAAAAAGAAAAAAAAGCAAAAAAATACGAATACAAACCCCAAACCATCCCGAAAATAAAAAAAAAGCAAAAAAATACGAATACAAACCCCAAAACCATCCCGAAAATAAAAAAAAAAAAGCAAAAAAATACGAATACAAACCCCAAACCATCCCGAAAAAAGAAAAAAAAGCAAAAAATGCGAATACAAACCCCAAACCATCCCGAAAATAAAAAAAGCAAAAAATACGAATACAAACCCCAAACCATCCCGAAAAAAGAAAAAAAAGCAAAAAAATACGAATACAAACCCCAAACCATCCCGAAAATAAAAAAAAGCAAAAAAATACGAATACAAACCCCAAACCATCCCGAAAAAAGAAAAAAAAGCAAAAAAATACGAATACAAACCCCAAAACCATCCCGAAAATAAAAAAAAAGCAAAAAAATACGAATACAAACCCCAAACCATCCCGAAAAAAGAAAAAAAAGCAAAAAAATACGAATACAAACCCCAAAACCATCCCGAAAAAGAAAAAAAAAAGCAAAAAAATACGA